CTCGCTGCTCTTTGGCGGGTCTATGAGTGAGTGTATTCTTCACACGACGCGTTTTCTGGCTAATCGTACGTCTCAGCGTTCTCGAGCTGAGCTTGCAACTCAATTCATCAAACCCCGTCCTCGCACCTACATATGACCCGACACTACTTGCCCGAGCTCCCACTCTCGCGGCAGACATCAACTACCTTCTCACCCTCCTCCCACCCGACACGACCCCAGTGTCTTTGCCCGCCTCCTCGCAGTCTACTGTTGCCACGCCCCTGCCGCCCTTTCCCCTCCCCTCCTTTCTCCAAAGTATCTTTGACGACGCCCCGAGCCCACTTTCTGCCTATGTCGACCACCTCCGGACTCTTTCTGAATCACCAATCACTGCCCCAGGCCTGCTCGCGCATGCTTATGTCAGATATCTTGGTGATCTATCTGGTGGTCAATTCATTGGCGCTAGAGTCAAAAGGTCTTATGGGCTCAAGGGCGATGAAGGAACGTCGTTTTACCAGTTTGATTTCCAGAAAGAAGGGGCCGCTGGAGGTGATGAGAGCAGGGCGGAGTTGAAGAAGCAATTGGGAGAAATCAAAGATTGGTATCGACGGGGCATGGATGAGGCTGTGGGTGAAGACCAGAAGTTGAAAGGTGAGCTGCCCATCAAGTCTGCTGCGATCATGTCTAACGATACTTTTAGCCGACCTCGTTGAAGAAGCCAACTTGGCCTTTGCCCTCAACACAGATCTCTTTTCTATCATCCGTGTCCCCTCTTCAGGAGAAAAGGCTGGTTCCAAGATCGCTGTGGCCGAACAGCCGAAAGCTGGTGTCAAGGACTTCATCACGCAATCAATGTGGTTTGTGGCTGCTGCTGCTGTTGGCATGCTCCTGAATATCTATCTCGGGCCCATCGTACAAGATTGGCGAAGAGGAGAATAGAAATCTTGGTGGAAAGAGCGCTAGTATACTGTTTGGTTCCGTTAGGCTGTTTTTTCTTGATGCTTGATGTAACACTAAGATGTCTGCTTCGAGTACATATACGATCTCCGCAGCCTCCTTGAAGTTTGACTTCTCTCATTTCCACCTGATGCTAGGGTCTAATATATGATGGTAATGGAACAAATACACCGATGCCTCAATCCCATGGCTTCGTTCTTCCCCCGGTATCTTTCGATCCGCCTACGTCTTGCCTGTTCACTCCTGTGACACACACTATGGCACACAAATACCCTCGAGAAAGGTCGCCCCGGCGGGACACCAACAGTCTACGCCATATTGTCCCCGATTATTTGGTAGGTTCGGCCAAAGCCCGCGGTTTTGTAGTAGCGATATTGAGCTTGCGGGCCGCTAATGTTTGAGAAAAGGGACGATGGAGCTGATCGTAGTTCTTCGGACGTCGGAAAAGGAGCACATGCTAGAATGAACGTCAGTTGAGATTGATCAACAAGGCTTGGGCGAAAGGCATACAGGTTCCTACCATACAAGTTAGCCAGGACTTGGATGAATATGAATTCTTGAACTTACAGGCTCATGCCGCATGTACATCTCCCATCTATGCTTACAGTCAGCCACTGACCATCCACAAGAAGGAATCAAGCTCACCCAGGTGACTGTTTGATGCCGATTCCTCTCCAAACCTCTTCTGCACAGACGCCTGGCGGAATGAAACGGACGAGGGGTTTGGGGACCTAAACACTGCAAGGTTAGATCGTGGCCAAGTCTGACAGCGTAACGACTGACGATTACGTGTCTACACAGATGATTAGCATAGACTCGCTTTATGTTGCTGGGATCATGCTTACCTGTATTCCCACTCGGTATCTGAAGCAACAAACAATCGATCAGCAAGAGTCCAAAGAGCCTCCACCATGGGGTCCACAAACAGCCTGGGAAACTCACCCGAATATCGAGCACTATAATGAATCTTCCCCTCATATGTATGGATAGCTTTACGCTTCTCCTCGGCAGTGAATGACTTTTGATGATACTTCTTGCTCATGATGTTTGGTGTCTGATGATGGCAGAGTGGAGGTTTGTTTGGGCCTTGAGGGCTTGAGGCGAGGGGAGTGTCGTGGGATTTTGGGTCTAAGCTCGTGGGACTAGTTGTAAAGCTACAAGAGATTCAGCACTCCTCTCACGTAGCCAGGGCTTGTGGGGGAGGATGCAGGCAGGCTTACATCGTTGATGGTCGTGTGCGTTGTTGACTGCTGGACGGCTTGTTTTGGAGCGGGAGAAGGAGGATTACAGGATACCACAGAGAGAGCGGGACAAGAAGAGGACACTATATAGACGAGTCCTTTACGAAGTGGCAGAATGGGGAGGGGCGGACGAGAGCTGAGCCGTTGTTTGCAGTAGTTTACAGAGACAACAAGCAGAGATGCGCGAGCCTGACTTTCGGTCAACACCAGCCAGGCACAAGCTGGAACTTGACCAGGGTTCACCACGTGGCGCGTTCCGGAAGCCGCCCGACCCTTACTTACGCGTTCGACCTATGTGCGCTATTCACTATACACCTATGCATGTGACGCTGTACAGTACGAGTACTCTGAGACCTGGGCGCGACGGTAAGCATCTGATGCATCTGAGCGTCCACAGTGCAAGAGGCGGACTGGATTGCAGATGACAGGTTTTCGGGCCCCGGGACAGTGCGAAGGAGCATTTAGAGCCGGTCCATGCATTGCTGAACCTAGAATGAAGGTCAGTGCTGTCCGCCGAGTACATCATACAAGGCATATATGACTGATCCTGGCAAGTGGGTCCACCCTTTGCTGAGCGTCTGCATGGATGCGCGTGCTACATGTGTATCGATATGACCTTCCATTCAAGCACTTTTATTGGCATAAACATGAGGCTATGAACGACGTTGCTTTTTACTGCAGCATATCCATGAATTCGGCGCTCTACAAAGTAGTTATACCAAGATATATACACGTTGAATGTAGGAATATCGCATAGCAAAATTGGGCGCAGGCCGAGACCGACGTTTGGCTCGTGGGTATCTCAAGTACTTGCTTACTCCTACAGCATGTACAACCAGGCAATGCCAGTCTGCTTGCATGTGGTCAGTAAGTGGAATACTCGTGCTTGCTGACGTACACACATAGATATCTCATCGGTACAGTCGGCTCCATTGACCCACATTATATGTGACCGATGATGTCTGCTTTACGACCCCTGACTTCCTTCCGCTCTTATGGTCATATCCATAATGCGAGCTGTATCTATCACCCTCGTGTCACATTTCACGCCCTTTCCTTCCCAACCTTCCACTATATTCCATCCTCAATCATCGCTCTCTTTCCCAACACTTTCCTTATCCTCCGAGCTACTCTTCAACCTGCGCCCTTCGCTCCTTCTCTTACCGGGATCCACGGTCATATTGCCTAGGACAGCCTGTATTCTTTGCAAAATTTCCGCAGTAGTGTCCTTTTCCTTCTCCACCTCCTTTTCTCGGTCTTCCGGATTTCTACTCTGGCTTCTCAGTGGCCTGTCGGGGCAATCATCTAGCTCATGCCCCGAGATACCGCAGTAGTTACATAGATGGTAGCGTTGCCTGTACTCTCGCACCTGGCGCCGAAACTCTTCGCGAGGCTGACCGATGTTCTCGGGAGGCGGTGGTATAGGCTTGCCACGATCGGCATTGCCAGTCTCGGAGGCCCTCCGAACATGACAATTATCCAAAATATGCTCCGAGTCACCACAGTAAAGGCAGAGACCGTAGCGCATACGGTATTCACGGATTTGGCGTCGGTGTTTATCGCGTCCTTCACCGGCATCGGCAGGTGGCGGAGGGATAGACTTGGGCTGGGTGGGAGCCGGGGTGGAATGTGAGGAAGGTTTAGAGGGAGGAGTTGCTGGAGTTGCTGGAAGAGATGCGGGGAGAGATGCGGGACGAGATGTGGGGACAGATGTGGGGACAGATGCGGGGTCGGATATGCCGGATACCTGCCCAGGCAGCGAGGAAAGGAGAGGGTCCAGACTGGAAGGACGAGGAGTATTACCCTCCGAGCGTAGGCGCTGGTCGATTCGATGGGCCATTTGGGCAAGTTGTGCAATGGTACGTGATGTCCCATCTCCATCCAAATCGCCAAATCCGCTCTGAAGCTCTGCATAGACTTCTCGGGACAGACCCCGGAGATAGACGTCTTTGGTCAAGGTCCCTTCGGTTGCGTCGAGCTTGCCAATAATGGTAGAGAACGCCACATTGTATTTCTGCACCGTGCTCGTCTGGCGCAGCTGCAGCAGCTGGTCGACCTGACCGAGGCGGTCGATCGGAGGAATGAATGCGTCGGCAAAGGCCGCCCGAAATTCTTCCCAGGTCTGCGTGGCAACATGATTGACTGACTTGAGTTGCTCAAACCACAAGGCAGCTTTCCAGGAAAGATGCAAAGCCGCCCATTCGATAGAGGCGGGTTCGTCTTTGAAGGAATCCTGGTTGTATTGCAATAGTTGCTCGAGCGTATTGATGAACGACAGAGACCGAGATCTGTCGCCATCGAAAGAGATGGGGAGGATCGCAGGAAGGAAGGTGGGACTTTGCGCACGGACGCTTGTCCCTCGACCGCTTTGCTTTCGAGGAGGGTGGTTCGCAGAGTTGATCGATTGTGCTCTTCTTTGACCGTTGGGGCCACCTGACAGGCGTGCACCGGGTATGGGACCCCTAGCACCTCCCAGAAGCATGGGTCGAAGCTGCTCGAAATTGAGGGCGGGGCCATTTGGATTGTGTCGTGAGGTGGTGGGCTGCGAGGGCGGGCCTGGGTAGAGGCGGAATGCCGCAGACAAGGGAGGATCCGGCCCCAGTGTGACCACTCTCGAGGAGTGCAAGTCAGTCATGCTGGCAGCCACTGCAGATACCCTAGAGGGAAAGTAGAAAACAACTGAAATTGCTAGTACAGGCCTGTCACCGAGCGGAGGATGCCGCCGTACACATGCTCGCAACATGCTCGCGTCCTCGCTGCCGCTCTCTTGACGACTTGTGCGACTCTCTCAGCCTCCAACCAATACGGCAGCCTCCCACCAGCATGGAGTACCAGGAGGACTATGTCGACGTAAAGCGTCCACGCGACGGGGACGACTTATACCATCCAAAGCAGTACTGTAAGTCCCATCTCGTCCTCCCGTCGCGAACTCTGCTCACCTCCGCCCACAGCCTCAGATCAAGCCCAGTCATCCAACTATCAACAAATCTCACCAGACACTACAAGCTCTGTTCTTTCCACCGCTCCCTTATCACAAATCAAATCCAGTACCAGTGCAGACCGGAGGATGTCGGTCGGGATGGGTCAACCGGGAGGATACACCGGCATGGCCCAGGTGGCTCAGAGCCAAGGACCCAGAGGGGACGAAGCCGTGCCAGTCGGGTTCGATGAGGCTGTTTTGCGCGGTCTCTGTGATATGGATGTGAGGCCAATAGACCATCTCGCTGTCTGCATCTAACAATCTGGCATAGTGCTCCTTGTCACTGTTGGCCGACAGAATCAAGCAGGGAATAGTGTCGTGCAAGCAAGTGGCGACGTTCTTCCGGTCTCGCGCCGATGTTGAAGAAAAGTATTCGCGCTCACTGACGGAGCTCTATCGGTCGACCGGAGACTTATATGCTAGGGGCGATTGTAAGGCAGGGTACGCATCTGTTTTACTAGTCGATGGCACAAGCTGATATCTCTTCAGGACATTCGTTCAAGCGTACAACTCTGGTCTCCGATTACAGGACCAACTGGCTCAGAACAGACTACGGTTTGCTCAACGGCTCAACGAGATGGCAGAAGAGCTTTTCAGTCTGGCACGAGAAGGTGAAAAGACTCGGAAAATCGTATGTAATCATGTCACATCGTGACTTGACTGACTTGCTTTCAGCACAAGGAAACCGGTTCTCGCTATCAGCTCATCATTCAAGATGCCGAGATCGCTGTTGAAAAGGCCAAAACCCGTTTGGACGGCATTGTAGAGGAGCTCGATCGAGTTCTGGCTGCGAAAGAGGGCGAAACCTACAAGGACACCCGAGGAGGATACAACACTGTTGGTGGACCGGCATACGGCAACAATGGCTCGGCCCCATCAGCATCCGCACCGTCAGGCCATGGCAAGAGTAAGCTTGGAAAAGCGATGAAGACGGGCGGACTGCTGTTCAAGGGCAAGGGGTCCGGGTCGCTTCAGAAGCAAGAAGACGATAGTAGAGCAAAGATGGACCATGCGAATGAGACGTTTACCAAGGCCGTTGCTGAGAGTAAGCAGCTGAGGAAGGAATATTTCAGTTTTCAGCTGCCAAAGATATTGCGCGTGAGTCGATTCCAAGACGGTCAGAGTCGTGCTAATGAGAAACAGCTTTTGAAAGAGTGTGCCGACGAAATCGACTTGGGAACGCAGTACCATCTCACGAGATTTGCATTCTTGTACGAGACAATGACTGTTGGAGATGGGGCCGTGTTGAACCCGTTGGGCAACCCAGAAGAGGGTGAGTGTGTTGGGATCAAATGGGATGTGTACTGATTGCTACTCAGGGCCTGGCTTGAAGGCGATATTCGAGAGCATAGACAACAGAACGGACTTCAAGTCATATATGCAAAACTACGCTGTAGTCAGAGGTACACCCCGCGGACCGCGGCGAGAAGGTCCTTACGATGACGGATTCGTGAGATCAAATTCCTCCACAAGGATCAGGGAGAACTGACACAATCCGTAGCAGATGCCGTTACCCCCCCATGTCCAAAGGTCGCAGGATTCTACATTCTCCGCCTCACAATCTTCAGCCCACACGTCCCCTCAGCCTCAGGCTTTGCCATCACCCCATTCGCAAGCGTCCGGGTACGGTTATCAAACTTCTCCCCAACCGCCATCTGCCTCGCAAATGCAATCCTCGGCGCCACCTCCCCATCCATCTGGCCCCTCTCATAACTACAACCCTTCCATTGGATCAACCATCACCACTCAAACCAACAATACACTTCCTACCAATTCGTCTACGACTCAAAACCAGGGAGGGGAAACCACGTCGCTCGCGAGCTACCAACAGGACTACATGGCTCCGGGCATACCCGCATCTACAGGTCACACTTTCGGTGTCGACTTGGGTGAGCAATTGGCTAGAGATGGGACGGCGGTCCCGCGAATAGTTGAAAAGTGTGCTGTGGCCATAGAAATGTACGGGCTGGAAAGTACAGGTGTATACCGTTTATCAGGAACTTCGAGTCGGGTTCAAGCTTTGAAAGCTGCCTTGGACAACGGTGAGTACCACGTGTGAGCTTGGAGACGACGGCACTGATAAAGTGCAGATGTGAACGCTGTAGATGTTGAAAGCGACGAGTGGTCAGCGGATATCAACGTTGTCTGTGGGGCCTTGAAGTTGTGGTTTAGAGAATTACCGGAACCGCTTCTGACTCACGGCCTCTACCACTCCTTCATTGAAGCTGCCCGTAAGGAACCTCCTATAGATAGTTGAAACCGACTGACAGCTACTAGGTTATGAAAATGACCGACTCCGTCACATACGGCTTCACGAACAAGTCAACGAACTCCCAGACCCCAATTACGCCACTCTCAAATTCTTCATGGCTCACCTGGACAAGATACGGAGACACGAAAGCGTGAACCAGATGTCGGTCTCCAACCTCAGTATTGTCTTTGGTCCAACGTTGCTGGGTGCGCCACCAGAAGAGGGCGGGCTGAATTTGGAACACATGAGTTTCCAGTGCAAGGTGAGTAGTCGAGTAGCCGGGTGTGCAGAGGACTTGACTGATGTCACTCAACAGGCGATTGAGACCATTTTGAACAAATATCAGGAGATATTCGTAGAGGAAGATGATGATGGAGGGCGATAGGGCTCGACATGCTGCTCTTTGGTTTACGCTGATATCTAGATGACAATTCACGAGACAATCTTATCTCTCTTTTCCTTACTGGATAGCTCTTCATCGTTTGTAGTTGTGTGGGGATATATTCGCGCGATTTTGCGTTGGTTTGACACAATTTGTGCAAGACCGAATTTTCATGGATCTCATCATGTCTTTTGGCTTTGCCCAGCTACAGCTGTAAACGCTCGCGTGTGCTTTTGTTATCGTTCGCTCCATTGATACCATGCTTTCATGCCCTAAAAGATTATGCCTAGAAAGCGAAGAACCAAAGATGCGTCAAGACCGAACCAAGCCTCGGAGCTTAAGGCTTGAGAGAGGCGGGGAAGGTACCGGCCTCAATTTGCTCGTCCCACTTGCCGACCCACTCGTCTGCGAAAAGTGTCAGCGCTGATTTGTCGAACGCTCTTGAACCCCGTTGATCGCCTGCGTGGACCCGCGATCTCACGACTCCCTGCCCGCTTTACGCGTCTCCTGCGTCTCCTCGCGTTCCACGCTTCGCTCTCCTCTTGTGAACTGAATAGTAAACTTACTGGGGCAAAGGGCCCTGTAAGCCTTCTTGAACTGCTGGCAAGGAGCAAACTCCTCGCCCTTGGCGTTGACACACTTGTGGTAGTCAACAAAGTTCTGCCAGCAGTGCTTGGTCTGGTTCTGGTTGGGGAATCGGGCGCTGGGATCCTCATCAGCAAGGATACTCTTTGATTTCAGCGTTAGAGACGTACTCGAAGCCGGTAGTCTGGAGCTAAAGCAGCAAATTCAAAGATCAGCGAGCCGCCCCGATGTAGCCAATTGCCCTGTCCTTGTTTCTGGACACCGCCCCTATGCACCTCCATCCTCTCCGGCGGCTCTTGTCCGTATCCTCGTAATACTGGGCTGCCGTTGATGACCCCTCCCTGCCCTCGGACCATCTCTCTTGTACGTCAAAAACTCACAACGTAGGTGCTAAGCACAAATAGAACAAGTCAGCGGTCGCCCAGCCTCGCTCCCCGTGTCCACTCACTTTTCTTCCTCGGCCATTTTAGACGGTGTGGTGGTGGGTGAGCGGTGAGTAGGGGATGGGATGGAGACGAGAGATGAGAGATATGCCTCCATGGCACAGAGCCAGCCAACGGGATTATTTTCGGGTGCGGCCGGAGTTTTCGCAGGGCGTGGCGGTTTCAGGTCGCTGGTATTAGAGCTCCGTATGCATGCATGGGCAACAACAGGGCGCCGAGGTGGCCCAGCGTGTATGCATGTGCTGCCAGAGGGCCCGGCCTTCGCTGCTCGGAGGATCGTCCAGGAGGTCTATGGCCTGGTGAACGGGGCAATTTGGTTCCGCACGTTAATCTGGGCACATCATCAATACAAGTCACTTCATACAGCAACCGGCAAACGGATACAGCTACAATGTCCCGCCAACTAGACAACCTCAACCCCACCATCTTTGCCCCCACCACGGCCTCCACCTCGAGCCGCAGGCCACCAAAGACCGGCAAGACCAACCTCTGGGCGCCTGAGGCCGTCATAGAAGACACTTTGACCGAGGACTGGCTGGGCGGGGAAGACAGAGACATCGGAAGTTCTGGGACTGAAAGCGAAGGAGATGAAAGAGAGGAAATCGATGCAGAAGAGGTTTATGGTAGGTAGACTTTCAACTGAATGGTATCAGGTGCTGACAAGTGGCGAAAGATCTCCTGAGGTCTATAACAGATCCTGAGCACCCGGTGTCTCTCGAACAACTACGTGTGGTGAACCAAGAGGACATACAAGTCGCCGGAAACCGGGTACTCGTCTTTCTGACGCCTACTATACCCCACTGCTCAATGTCTACTCTCATCGGTCCGTCTCTTTGCCATGCAATCGAACGCAAGCTGACCATCGCTGAAGGATTGTCGCTCAGAGTGAGGCTTCTCCGTGCCCTTCCCCCGCGATATCGTGTCGATATCCGTATAAAGTCTGGAACCCATCAGTCGGAGCATGCTGTAAACAAGCAGCTGAATGACAAGGAACGAGTGCAAGCTGCTTTGGAGAACAAGCACTTGCTCAGCGTCGTGGAGGGTTGTCTGGCCACTGCTGGCAAACGGGGAGAGTAGACGTCTGGTCTCTCATACCTTAGAGGGTCTGTGATTGTATCGTATCTGTATCTGTAGGGCTTGCCAGACCGATCTGGGTGGCATGGAACAGATGTCATGAATGCCGACACATGTAATCCAAGGCAATGCATCATTATCATGAACAATCCGAAACGTTACTCATCAATATCGTAAAGCGGATCAAATTGATCCTCCCTTGTTCTCTTGCATTGCAGCTGCTTGCCGCAGTTGTATCGCACTTCTCACATCGCTCACATCCTTTGCTACACTTTCCACCCATTTGCCGGCAACCCCTTCAAGCATTCCCTCCCACCCTTCGAGCTTTTTGGCGATTACCATAGGGTCAAAATCGATTCGAGGCACATCCTTTCCCTTCCCGGCCAGTGCCGAAGGCAGTGATACTCGGTGAGCTGAGGTAGCCCTCTCGCAAGCTACAAGAGACGGCTCCTGCTCCGTCTGGATAGCCTTAGTCTCCTTCTCGGGACGGGGAAGAGCCATAGGTCTTTTGGGCTGCAGAAAGGTCGATGTATTGGCCGATGGCATCACGATAGGAAGTTGAAAGCGGTGTCTCAAAGCCCTACAATCGGATCAGTACCATATCGATCCAAGAGACCACAAACTCACGCAGCAAAGCAGGTCAAATTGCCTACCCTTCTGAATGTCCACTCCTTGTCCCTTTTGACGTCTTCATTGGTGGGAGCTGCTGTACCACTCTCGTCCGAGCCGCCAGAATTTAACGTAGCGTGTACGTCTTCCTCGGGTATAAAGCCCCATGGCTTGGAGGACTTTATTAGAGAGGTATTGTAAGCCTCTATCAGTATGTAGCCATCACTGACCAAAATCAGTACCGCGTCGCATTGAACGGTTGCCGCTCACGATAGGACAGAGAGGAAATTTGTTGCAAAATCCGAGCTTTGAGGAGGGGGGAGGCGGAGAGCCAGATTTAGGGAGAGGTTTGCAAGTAGAAACGCATGCAGTCGCTCTTGACATAGCCGTCAGCGCTGATATACAAGCAGATACTCGTGGTGCTGACCTAGAACCTTGCCATCCCAGCCTTCCTTGGACCACCCTTCTTCCTGGCCAACATTTTCTCCCTTCCCTCCCACAATAAAGAGCTTTTCCACTACCCCCACCCACTTGCCGACACCCTCCCGAGTATCTCTCGCCACCTTTTCCCACTCTGTTCCTTCCAGTACCCTGTACTCCCTGCCCTCGGACGCAATACGTTCCTCCCAAGGCTGCGACGAGAGAGACATCTCTTGAGATTGCGCGAGTACGTTCAAGTTATGAGAGTCCGAGTCGTAGTCACTGTCAAGAAAGTCTGGCTCAGAGTAGACGATGGACTGGTCCAGAGACGGGCCCTGAAGTTCAGCCTCTCCCACTCGAAGGCCTTCTTCAAGTACGCGAAGAGTGTTGAGTACCTCCAGCGCGGCTTTGCGCAATTCGGCGAGACGGTCATCCCCCGGAAGACTCGTACTCGAAGTCGAACGCCGGTCGACAGGGCCTGAGACAGCTCGCGGAAGAGGCAGAGAAGGCCGGGAGGGTGTGGAGAAGCGGGGCCGAAGTTTGCTGCTGGGGACTGGCAGTAGAGAGCCACGAGTCAACGTGCGCTGGCCTTGGTTGTGGTGCGACACTGAGAGCGCAAGGAATCGAATCCGGCGGATAGACCTCGCAGTTGTGACAAGAGCTGAGTGAATATCGTCAGACGTCCGTGGAGCCGGTTCTTCGCCTTGAACAATGCTCAGGTCAAAGTAGAGGGACTTTGAAGTGGACAGAGTCTGAAGGTTGGGTGATGTAGGTGACAGAGGAGCCGACAAGCCCCAGATCTCTCGTATGGCCCTGATGATATCCTGAGCTTCTTGCCGGGCGGCTTTGGGGTCTACTTGAGGCAAGTCCACCTCTTTCCAAGGCTTGCGCTCTTTTCTTTCCTTGCCTCTCTCCGCACTCAGCTTTGGGTGGCCAACCTCTTCCTCTCCATCCTCTCCGAGACTTCCGAGGCCACTGGGAGATCTGACGCCGGCGCCAGCTCCAGCCTTGTGGGATACTCCGACCTGGGAGAATTGGAGACGGAGGTCTTGAATGGACCCCAGCAGCTGGACCGACTCGCGCTTTGCCGCCGAGCGCGAGACATGGCGGTACTTGGGGTTTTTGAGGGGCGGGAGCGGCGGCTGGGGATTCTCCTGCTCCATGGCGTTCGAGGAGCGAGAATGATTTTGGATTGATTTTGGCTGGAGTGGCAACGCGACGTGTATCGTTTACGTAAGGGCTTGGCCGCCGGGCGGATATTTATTACACGTCACGCGTACATACTGCAGCGGGAGGTATTTATGGCGGGTGGAATGCAATTCACTTCTTCCCTCTGCATCTCATCCTGCCCCCCCCAACTTTCACCATGGACACACTCGCTTCCCCTGCGTACCCATTTGCTACCATGCCTCGTCTCTTCATACTGCCCTCCGCCCTCACTGTCCTCTACTCACTCGTCGCTGTCTCGCTTCTTTCCGCCGGACTCTACATCTACCTCTACCCCTTCCGCCTTTCCAGGCTATCATTCCGAAACCTTCCTGGTAAGCCTGGATTCCCTATAGACTGGCCACCAGCTCACCTCCATATCAGGACCTGAGCCCGGCCACTGGTTCTGGGGTCATACCCAGACCCTCATCGCCCAGCAGCCCAACGCCATGCACACTGTCTGGACCAACAAGTATGGACCGACGATTTGCTACCCCATCTTCCTCGGAATCCAGCGCTTCCTCACAATCGACCCCTCCGCCCTCAACTACATTCTGACGCACCCGGAAAGCTTTGAAAAGCCCTCAGAGACCCGCGGTGAGTTGACGACCATGTTGGGCAACGGTCTCTTGGTCGCGGAAGGCAGCGACCACAAGAAGCAGAGAAAGGCATTGGGTCCGAGCTTCAGCCCTGCTGCTATCCGAGGCATGATCCCGGCGTTCTATGACAAGGCATACGAGTTGAACAACAAGTTGATGGGGCTCGTTGAAGGAGCCGACACTGAGGTGGCGTCGCCGACCCCGGCCAAGGATATCGACTTTGTTCCAGGAGGAAGGAAGATTGACGTGATGAGCTATCTCAGCAAGACTGCTTTGGATATCATTGGAACGTGCGGATTCGATTACGACTTTAAGGCCTTGTCGGAACCATCCAACGAACTCTCGGATGCTTACAGGAACATGTTTATGGCGGTCATGGATGTTAGAGTCTGGGATTTTATTGTTTCCAAGATTCCAATCATCAGGAGCATTGTGAGTATCGTGTCTATGATGACGGATGACTCTGACCCAACGTGTAGCCCACTGAGAGGTCCAAGGTCGTTGCCGCAAGCAAAAAGCTCACCCGCAGTATCGGAATGGTACATGCAGCTTTGCGATAATGATGTCGCTGACGTCCTACTAGAGTCTTCTCCGCGAAAAGAAGACATCGTCATGGGCGCTCATGGCGGTGACTTGGAGAAGAAGGCTGATATCGGCAAGGACTTGATCTCGATCCTGGGTAAGCATACATAAGTCAGATGTAAACAAAGACTGACATACTCTTTAGTCAAGGCCAACATGGCAGCAGGACTCAAGCCCGAGCAGAGGCTCTCGGACGAAGAAGTGCTTGACCAGATTACCACTTTCGTGAGTCTATCCCACCGGGAATGATCTTGGCTGACTTGATCCGAAGATGCTCGCCGGAAACGAAACGACATCTACCGGTCTTACTTGGATCCTCTATAATCTGTCGCAGAACCTGGATGTGCAAGAGAAACTTCGCAAAGAGGTCCAATCAGTCTCGGAGGATCGCCCTTCCCTGTAGGGTATTCTGTTGTCTGTATATCGCAAGCTGACGGTGTTTCCAGCGACACCCTCAACACCCTTCCTTACATGGAGGCCGTAGTTCACGAATCTCTCCGCATCTCTCCTCCCGCCTCCTTCACCTTGCGCGAAGCCACACAAGACGCGATCCTTCCGCTTGCCAACCCCGTCACCGGAAACGACGGCAAGGTGATGCACGAGGTGGCTGTCGACAAGGGAACCTCCATCTTTATTCGTGAGTGCAGTCACATCCCATGGGGCAACTCTAACGGACGATAGCCGTCATCACGGTCAACACTAGCCCGTCTATCTGGGGCGACGACGCTGCCAAATTCATCCCTGAGCGATGGCTTTCTTCTTCCAAAGATGGCTTCCAGCCTGGCCCTGTCCCTGGAGTTTGGGGCAATACGCTTACATTCCTCGGCGGCGGTCGAAACTGTATCGGGTACAGGTTCGCATTGGCAGAGATCAAAGTCATTCTCTTTGTGTTGATGCGCAGTCTCATGTTTGAGGAGCTCAAGAGCAAGCCGGTTATTTCAAAGAAGACTGGGTGAGTGTCATGATGCTGAGTCAAGGGTCCCGCTGATAGCCGTGCTAGGATTGTCATGCGCTGCTCGATCGAAGGCGAAGAGGAGGCCGGTCTGCAGATGCCCCTCATGGTCCGCCCTGTGCCCGCCTGATCTAGTCTTGATCTTTCCCATGCGCGCGCCTGACCCGTATCGTTATCTCTGTTGTCGTTGGCCACTCAATAAAATAATGGCCTCAGCGGTCTGAATTTTATTTATTTTATTTATTCTAGCGTTGTGACATACCCGGCTTCAGTCTTCCCTGGCCCGGGTAATTCGGACCAAACGATAGTTTCTCAGCAAAACTTGGCTGGCTGGCTGGGGATTGTAGTAATCAACAAGTATGCATCGCCTGATAAGCCTTCCATTCCACGGCCTCCACGGCGCAAGGCCCGCAAGGCCTACTGTGCTCAGCTGGACTTGCTCTGCTCGCCAATATGCAGATCCCTTGATGCACAAGGCCAGCAAGGGGACAGAGATAGGGCTGGCCCAATGGCCGAGCGGGCATTGGACGGGTGGCCGCCTGGTAGTAACTGGGCAACGTCACCTCTCCCGTTCCCAAATTGCAGGGATCGTCATAGGCAGCGCCACACAAAAGACGACAGCACGTAGGACGCAGAAGGACGACGCCCCTGCGACTCCCAAACCATACTGGACACCACCATGCCTCTCCCATCTCTCTTCGGGGCGCTCTTCCCCGCCTTCCACCTCCACTCCTGGGCCCACATCGCACTCTCCCTCCTCGCCCTCATCGCTGCCACCCTCTTCGCCGCCTACCTCTACGCCTATCCCATCCGTCTCGCAAGGCTCCACTTCTACAACCTCCCAGGTCCGCATCCCTCCATCTCTACCTGCCAGAGCTGACCTTTGAGCAGGCCCAGAACCAGAGAGCTTCCTCTGGGGTTCTCTGCCAACCCTCCTCAAGTCGGAACCCAACGTGCCACAGGGGGAATGGACCGCCAAGTATGGCCACACCATCCGCTACCGTATGCAGCTCGGTGCCCCGAGGTTCATGACGCTCGACGCCACCGGTCTCAACTACATCCTCTCTCATCCAGACGTCTTTCCCAAACCAGACGTTACCAGACGTGCTCTGGCCGACATGCTTGGAAACGGCCTCTTGACCTCGGAGGGAGAGGACCACAAGCGACAAAGACGTGCCCTCAACCCTTCTTTCAGTGTCGGCGCCATCAAGAACATGGTGCCTACATTCTACGACAAGGCATACGAACTGCAAGCCAAGCTGCTTGCTCTTGTGGAAAATGACGACCCTTCCGAAAAGGCGTCGCCAACTCCGGCAAAAGAGGAAGATTTTGTGCCTGGCGGCAAGAAGATCGACGTAATGAGGTACCTCGGCAAGACTACGCTAGATGTCATCGGCGTGACTGGATTTGGTTACGACTTCAAAACCTTGTCTGAGCCAAACAATGCTCTGTCCGATGCGTATGCCCAGATGTTTACCGCCGGCATGAACATCACCTTCAAGGACTTTGTTCTCAACAGGATTCCGCTAATCAGGCATATTGTAGGTTGCGACCTTTCATTTGTAACCATGCTGATCCGAGAAGCCTACCGAAAAGTCGAGAATTATTGCCAGCAGCAGAAAGATTACGCGCGATATGGGAGCTGTAAGTGGCACCTGATCAAATCGAAGTATCACAACCTAATCATTCTGCAGAAACTCGTCAAGGACAAGAAAGAGGTCGTTATGGCGTCTTTCGGCGACGATTTGGAAAAGGGACAAGATATTGGAAAGGATCTCTTGTCCATTCTCATTAAAGCCAACATGGCTGCGGACCTCAAGCCGGAACAGAGGCTCACAGACGAAGAAGTGTTGAATCAAATCACGACTTTTGTAAGTATTGATCCCAGCACGACATGTGACTCGAGTTGATCTCGTTGATAGATGCTCGCTGGTAACGAGACCACTTCCACAGGCTTGAGCTGGACGCTTTACAATCTTGCTCTCAACATGGATGTTCAAGCAAAGCTCCGCGAAGAGGTCATGTCTATACCTGACGAGAGACCTGACTTGTAAGTCTCGTTACCTTCTGTGCTGTATCTCCTCTGACTGCTCTACAGGGAAACACTCAACTCTCTGACGTATATGGACGCCGTGCTCCGGGAAGCGCTCCGTCTCTGCCCTCCAGCACCAGGTACCATCCGACAAGCCAAGGAGGATGTTGTCATCCCCTTGGGTGTACCTCTGAAAGGCAGAGACGGAACGATGATGGAGAGCGTGGGCATCAACAAGGGGACAATGGTATTCATCCGTATGTCTTTTTGCTGCTCGAAAGCCCCGATACTGACTCGTTCTGCCAGCGATTGCCAACGTCAACTGCTCTGAAGCTATCTGGGGACCGAATGCGAGCAAGTTTGACCCTTCCCGATTCTTGTCCTCTTCGACAGAAGTCAAGCCCACACACGTCCCGGGTGTGTGGGGCAACCTCTTGACTTTCTTGGGGGGTACGCGAAACTGTATCGGTTACAAATTCGCCTTGGCGGAGATGAAGGCTATACTGTCTGTGTTGATGAAGAACTTTGAGTTCCAAGAGCTCAAGAGTAAGCCGGAAGTTGAGAAGAGATCTGCGTGAGTTGAAATAAGTGTCGTATCTCGTTCAGGAGCTGACGAGTCCTCAGTGTCGTTATGCGTTGTAGGATCAAGGGGGAAGAAGACGCAGGATTGCAGATGCCCCTGATGGTGGTTCCTTTGGAAGCAGTCTAGGCTCAACGCAAGTGCTGAACGGTGGCGTGAGCAGTTCGGAGAGGGAAGTCTTGCTGGTGTTTGTTGAGAAGAGTGTCATCTGTGTTTGATCTGAGGGGATATATCTCGTACTGCTGAAGTTTATAGATTTTGACATACTGTACAATCTTACACTGCTTATCTTTATGTTACATGCTGTAGATGTTGGAACTTTCTTGGCATTTACAACACTCAACGTCTCAATCCACATCCTTTGCCAGTGGTCATCGACCAATGCTACGGCATTGACAGCAGTGAGAAGTAGAACAAGAATGTCAATGATGGACTGCCGATGGAGACTCACTGAGAACCAATGGATCTAAAGGGCTTACGGCATCGAGAACTACGGGGGCAAAAGTTGCAGGGTCCAGGCGCGTCGCGTCGCGTCGAGCAGATTGCCGAGTGGTCGTCTTCTGTGGCCACATGCATGCAAGTCAGACTATGCGATCTTGATAATCACCATATCATCACGAGTGTACACACAGGGGACAGAAAGAGAGACAGGCATGGCCGAGCGCTATATGGACATGCAAGCTGTGTCAACAAGGGGCCCAGAACTGAAGCTGCGGCGGCTGGAAAGCTAAGACACTTTGCATTTCCCGTTTTCCACGGTGCAAGCAGAGCGGGAGGTGGCATAGCATAGGGGTGAAGCGATGCATGTGAATATTCGAGCACGGTGAGGGAGTACCCCGAGATACTGGACCAGCCGTCGCCACTGGCTCGCTTGTGAACAGCAGAGATGCCGGAACGGAGGGAGTAAGGCAAAGGAGCGAGCGCGTCTCAGAGCATCGCCGTTCGTTTCATCTGCATCTCTCCCTACATCCCACAACGCCTCTCTCGCCCTCCAGCTCTGTCACGGCGCTATTTCGAGGACCCACAGAGCACCACCAGCGGGAACGAGGTGCTTGCTTTCGTCGTCCTGGACACTCTGGTGCTTCGCAACCAAGTTGCTCACACCCCTCGTCGCCAGCGTGCCATCTTGACATCCCCCATCTTCACATCAAATCGTGTCAATACTAGCCAACTATCATCCTCATCAGCATGTCAGACGCCAACAAACCCTCGTCCAATCCAAGTTCGGGCCCATCATCGGCAGCTGCGTCTCCCCTGCCGGCCAGCGCGGTCCCTGCGGCACGCTCCCCAGCAGGTCAAGGAGACAACGACAGGGGTCTCATGCTGCCCCCTCCTGTCCCCGCAAAGTTTGGGCATAGCCCCAGCGGGAGTCTGAGTAAAGCTGGACCGTAAGTCGTCCAACCTGGGCTGTATCCGCCTCGTGTAGAGCGTCCCCCCAGCTGTCATCTCCCGTGTCTTGTATCCGCATCAGCTGATACTACTATATAGCCCTCGAATGGCCCGTCTGCCTTCTCTCAAACAGCTCTCCGAACACCTCAAATATCACCCCTCCGCTTCATCCCCTACCTCCCAGTCTCCCAATCCCTTCGAGGCTGTGCCAGTCTCATCGAATAGCCCAGCCGGTGCAGGCCCTCTGCGGATCACCACCAACCCTTCAGCTCTTGCCGGATCTAACGGAGCTCCCATGAGCGGAACCTCCAACTCGCCTATTGTCGCTCCTAGCCCTAGCGGAAGACTGAAACTGCCTGCAAGCGCCATGATGCGTTCCCTCTCGGCGGGTTCTAACGGCGGTATTCTGCCCACAATCAATTCTCCTCGCACTGCGACCGGCCCCGAGGCCGGGTCTCCTGCTTCATCTTCCCCTGCCCCAAGGACTGCGGCAAGCGAGCTTGCCAAGAGCATTCCCGGCGGTCTGGGCGATTTCAAAGAGCCTGCTTCTGGCAGTCCTGTGACGCACTCTCGCTCACCCTCGCTCGCGGGAACTGGTGCCGAAGGTAGTGCTAGCATGTCGAGAGGAGTCAGCAAGGACGGGGTTCATGGCTATCGGGATGTACCCACTTTGGAGGAGATTCGGAGGAGGGTCAGTGTCTCCAAGGGGACTGGAAATCAGGCGAGTGGAAGCGGGCATAGGATGGGTCTGCCATCCATGTGGATGGACCCCGAGGAAAAGACGGAGGAGAAGCAGGAGGAGGTCAAGGAGGTTGAGAAGAGCAAGCCTACTCCTGTCGACGCTGCCTCGACAACTCCCGTCGACAATGCTGGGAAGAAGAAGGAGCATCCTTTGCAGCACGCTTGGTAAGTTGTATTGTCCCAAAAATTCCTCCCTTGCTCACCTTTTGTAGGACTCTTTATTACGATTCCAAAACCTACAAGCCCGATCCCTCCACTCTGCCGCAAAAGCAAGGTGACATTTTGGCAGACTATGAGATGACGCTATTGACTGTAGGCAAATTCGAGACTGTAAGTGGTAATAAATGTCAGCGACAATGCTGACCAATTCCAGATCGAGGGATTCGCCCGCCACTTCAACAACATCCGCCTCCCAAGCCAGCTCTCCCCGTCATCCAACTACCACATGTTCAAGAACGGCATCCGGCCCATGTGGGAAGATCCCGCCAACGCCAACGGCGGTAAATGGGTGGTCCTCTTCCGCTCGTCCCCCGGTACCATGGACTTTGCATGGGCCAACTTGACGATGGCGCTTGTCGGAGAGATGCTCGACCCTGAGGACCAGGTGTGTGGTATTGTGGCGAGCGCCAGACCAAAGATCGACAGGATCCAGCTTTGGACGCGAGGCAGAACGGACCAGGAAGGACTCAACAAGTTGGGCAAGAGGATTGTGGAGGTGATGGCGTTGGAGGGGAGGGATTTGGAGTCCATGTCTATGGAATACCAGGTACGTCTTGCTTTCGATCGCCGTATACTTGCTGACCGGCTTCGCAGTACAACACTAGCGACTCTAAACCTCCTGCTGGAGCCTTCCTCCACATCCCCTTCCCCATTCGCAACATTGGCCCACCTTCCACTCCCTCTCGATCCATATCGACCTTCCAAGGCCCTCCTGGTAGCGCCTTTGGCGGTGGTGCCACTCCGCGAAGCAACCTCGCACCCTCTTCCAACCTCACCCACCCGTTGCCACTTCCCCCAAAATCACCATCCGTCCATGTGACTGACTCCGCCCCGACAATGAGGAGAGGGCTGAGTGGGGGTGTGGGCAATCCATTTGCAGGACCTTTGGGTCTGGCAAGGAGTGCAAGCCATAACACCCGAGAGGGGATCGCAGGTCACTAAGACTGCTAGTATCGGTTTCGGGCAGTCTCACTGGATGAGATTGTACTGCTCTCCGTCTGTGGTAATATGATAATGATATACCCTTCACGTAACTGTGGCCGATCTTGTCCGCTTGCCATGTATGCCTTTTTTGCCTAGATTCGATCACTTCCATTATAGATACAGGATGCGAATACATGCAGAATTGGGATGTCGTTCTTCTTCTATGATATCATTTTTCCTTCACCTTCTACATCTTCTCGTTCAGCCGCTCACAGCTGCTGTTTTTGAGCCTCAATCTGTCGCACAATGTAGAGCGAAGAGTCGAGGAATCGGTCGACACAGTTCTCGAGACATTGGGCTTCCGACCTGTGACAGTGGTCAGCTGGTGACAATAAACACCAAAGTGTATACTTACTTGGAAAACTTGGAGCTGATGGACCCGGTGATACAGCTATATGACAGTCAGTGATCGCTGTGCAATCCTCTTTGCAGTGTGACGTACGTGTTCCAACCTGCATAATGTCAGCTCGAGAATTATATGTCATTTGACGACAACGTACATGTGTTGGTGAGCTCGTGAATGCTGGCCTGGAGTTTGGCCTTGGCTTGTCTGTTGGGTCTCAGCATCAATATCTCGTTTCCACCTGTCCACATACTCTTGCTCGAGGAAGGTTTCGAGCTCCTTCTGCAGAGAGGGTGAGCATGCTACGCTTTGCTAGGGGCAAGAGACGGACCTTGGAGGCTTCGTCGAGGGCAGGGATAGGGGCGGGGGCAGACATGGCTGTTTTGTGCTTTGTGGTCGAGTTATGGGATGTCGACGAGTGGCCGAGAAGGAGACAGAAAAGTAACCAACAGCAGTGACGTGTAATTAATTTCCTATGACGATAACAATGCGCCACTCTTCTCTTGCATCCTCACTCCAGCAGCCATGAGCGACTACGCCTTTGTCTCGGGCGGGTCACTCAAGTTCAAGGGCGGTGCGGACACGTAAGTGCGCTGCGTGGGCATTGGGACATGGGCTGACTGCGAGTAGAAAGAAGAAGAAGAAGAAGTCCCACTCGTCTTCAGATCGCTCCAAACTCGACTCTGAAATCAAGCTCAAGGATAGCGGCAGCGGCAAGGGAAAGGAGAGGGAGACGTTGGGGAGTGCGGAGGCTCATGGTTCCCGCTCAGAATCGCATTCAAGATCGCCCATGCCCGAGAGAAAGGAGGAGCCAAAGATGACGGAAGCCGAAAGACGCTTCTTAGAACAGCAGAAGAAGAGGGTAGGTGTAAATCTGACTGGCACCTCGTTTTGATCCTGACATGGGTTCAGCGACAAGAAAGAGTAAAGCAAACAGCAAAGATGACCCACAAGGAGAGGGTGTCCGAGTTTAACGCCAAGTTGGATTCTCTCAGGTGAGCCTTGTTGGTTGAATTCACCTTTTCAAATGAATGCTAATGTTGGTCCTAGTGAGCACCACGACATGCCTCGTGTAAGTATCGATGAGATTAGATCGAACAGTACCATGATCATGAGGCTGATGTTGTGTCTAGATCGGCCCCGGGTAATATCAATCGCCATCTGGAAGTCTATCAAGATATTTTGTACTCTACATGCATGTATGTTCGATCATCGCTGCTGAATGTGTATGGCTCGCTTGCTGCTTGCGACCGAGAGACTACGCGTGCTCTATTCTCCACAAAGCGCTCGTACTTTATACTCAATTCATCTTCATTTCAATGTATGTATCATGTATCAAGCAAATGAAACCTTCTCAGATATCACAACACATCGGCCTCTACACCGATCCCCTCCCGGCCGAGAATCCGTACAGCTCGCTCACACTCCTAGCCATGATGTCCTTGACAGGACCCAGTAGCCTGGTGAAGGCCTGTTCGCCCAGAGCAGCAACCCTGAGGTTGTCCTGCCCGTCCGCCATCACGGTGGCCGCCCTCGTCCGCCTGTTCAGCAGAGCCAACTCTCCAAAGTACTCTCCCGGACCATACTTTTTGACAACAGCCTGCCTTCCCTCCTCGTCCTTCTTGATAGCTACTGCGGCTCCACTCTCGACAAGGTAGAATTCATCGCCCGCCTCACCCTGGCGGATAACGTCCTCACCAGGAGCAAATGTCTTGGACTCGAGAACATCGGCAATCTTGGCGCGTTCTTGGGGCTGGAGGGAAGCGAGGATGGGAACCTCGGAGAGGAAGGATTCATACAGGCGACGTTTGCGGGATGTGTGATCGAGGAGGATGGTGCGGAAGGAGACGCGGTCGAGGGCCCAAAGGGTACAAGGGGTGAGAGAGATGATGGAAGCGGCTCGGGGAGCACTGCAAATTATGAGCAAAATCTCTATTTAGACAGGCATGCTCACTTGTGCATCAGCGCAAGCTCTCCAAATGAGCTGCCTTCCTTGCATTCAGCGACCTTCTTGCCCAGCTCTGGTCTGTCGCCTTTCTCGGCATCGATGACCTGTCCATCCTTCTTGACAAAGATCTCCAGCCTACCGCTCTCGACAACGTAAAAGTAGTCGCCCGCCGCGCCTTGCTCAATGACAGTCTCCCCGGCACTGACGCTCACTTCTTTCATCGCAGCGAGCACGTCAGACTCTTGCTCCTCATCCAGGTTTCGGAATAAGAAGTTGGGTTGGATGGCCTGGCGTATACGCGCCTGCTGCTCGTCGGTCTTGGGGTAAACTGGCGTGGGCGCGAGGCCGGAAGAATGCGAGGGGTTGGGAGTCGTCTCGTCTTCCTCCATCGTCGTCTCCAGACCTCCAGCAGTGTAAGACCTCTGGCCACTGGGCACGAGTGACTCGGCAGAGACGGATGTCCTTCGACCGAGAGCATACGACGGGATGGGAGGGTCGTCAGAGGCGACGTTGGGGCCAGGGACGGATTGGATGCCACCGTTCCCAAAGGGCGAGGCGTTGAATCCGGCGCCACCCTCGCTGAAAGGACTGCGGTCTTCAGCAGGGACGCCGCCGCCGGCTCCACCAGCACTAAACGGAGGGCTGAAGATGGGGGGAGCCGAGAGGTTGCTGCCGGTGGGGACAGTTGCTCTGCGAGCACCCGCTGCGGGACCGCCGAATGGCGAGTCAGAGGGGCCCATCTCGGAGAAGGGCGAGAGGGCGTGAGGCTGTTGGAAGTCGAAGGTGGGGTTACTGAATGCCAGAGTGCCGGGTGGCCCTCGCTTGGCGACGGGGTCAGAGGCGGGGCCTTGACGCTGCAGCTGGGTGAGAAGGCGCGGTGGGTGGAGGGGAGGGGCTTACCTCCTGCCTGAGCCTGTGGTGGAACCAGTCTGCACCCCACTGGAGGGCGTCTGCGGGCTGGTCTCTGGCGTGGTCGTGGTTGAGGTCGTTGAGGATTTCTGTCCACGGCATGGGGGATGGATGGGAGTGTTGTGGATGCAAGAGGTGAGTGGGGCGATCACCCATTAGGGTTCATTACAAACAGTTCCTAATCCCATTACAAATCCCCCCGGTGGAGGCAGCCCTCCATTCATCAACAACACTTGACGGTACATACATTGCTGCCCCCCGTAGCCATGTCCGCCCAGGGGTCGCCCCAGCAAGATCACTCGCAGCTAGAAGAGCTTGTAAAGAACCTCGACATCGAGTACGGCGCCACGCCCGGCAACGACCTCACCCTGCCAGCCGCGAGCGCGACGCTGCAGACAGACCAGGTGGACAACCATTCATTGTCGGAGGATGACGCACCTCGAGAGAGCGGAGTCGCAGAAACCGCCCAAGATGCGACGCCCCAGAGTCCGAATGATGTGTACGGAGTTTCATACGTTGAGTACGTCCGATACTGACCTCTGGCAGTGACTTGACGAAGCAGATTCACGATCTGATGCAGCGAGTGGCTGCTCTACTTGACAAGATATTTCGTGAGTGACTGCGCCTTGTAGTTAGAAGACGCTGAACAAGTATAGAGCTCCAAGAGCTACGGCATACGTCCAGCATCCCGAGCTCACAGCTCGAGCATGTGCTGGAGGCTTTGGCCTTATCCGCGTCCGAGATTTCCACATCAGTGGGCCAAGTCCAAGAAGCAGCAGCGCTGTGCATTCAGCAGTGTACAGATGCCAAGAAGGCCAAATCTCTCGAAGACGGGCTGGAAGAGTTGGACGAAGCGTGGACAAAGGCCCAGAACAGGTATAATGGGTTCAAGATGGACGTCAAGGAAGATCTGTGGCTGTCGGAATTTGAAGCGTGAGCAGCAATTATTGTGTCACCTATGGGATGCTGATCTGCTATGTGTCAGCTCTGCTGAGCAAGTGGAGGGACTCATGTCGCCCTTATCAAAGAGTTTGCTGGATTGTCAAGTATGCCTCAACTTTATACCCTTATAGCTGGCTAACACTATCGACAGGAATACCTTGAGCGATTCTCCAGGGCATCGGGCCCTATTCCCGAGAAATCAGAATTCGAAGAACAACTCAGCGTGGAGGGCCTGAAGAATCTGGCCAAAGACCACAGGTCGTTGCTCAAGTTGGTATTCTGACTCTGCAACATACGGGCAAGCTGACCGTGAGCAGGACGTACATGTCGAGCACGAATAGGACACTAAAGAGGCTGGACAAAGACATAACAGAAAAGAAGATCACCAACGGGGCCGCGTTGAGGCGGTAAATACACGTCCTTTTGACAATGGATCCAAACGCTGACAGCTCGTCAGGTTCAACGATATAAGTCAACAATGGATAGTGCTCCAGTCGCATCTGCACAAGCTAGATGATCGCGTCGAGAAAGTGCTGGATCAGATCACGTCGGACAACCTCTACAACCGACATCAGGACTCGGGCCTGGACGGAATGGAAACGTTGAGGGATGATCTCGACGAGGTCCTGGATCGGGCTCCGGCAGGCGCAAAAGAACGGCGGACTCCTCGTTCGTCCATGTCGTCCAACATGTCCTCCTCCTCAGCTCGATCATCCAACAGCCGTCCCAGTCCTGGTCCCCTCCCATCCTCCTCCGCTCGCCCCCCACTTGGCCGCCGGCGCTCTTCTGTATTGTCCAACAGCTCTGTTGCTACAGCACACACGACGTCTCAAGATCGACCAAGGTGGAACGGATCCACGATAGTGGATTCTTCTTCACCATCTATAGCTACGCCAACGGTATCGCGGATGCGACCGTCACCAGGTCCTGTAGCAGGTGGCATCCACTTTCCTTCCGACAAGGGCAATAGGGTCACGAGTCCGACCCCCAGCAACACTTCGGTGGCAAGCAGGGGCTCGAGGCGTCTGAGTCGTTTACCTGTCTACACTCCTAGATCATCAAACGGCTTGATGTCACCGCAGAGCGAGGCCAGCCATTTTTCCGGCTCATCTGCCCATATACCCCGTCTTTCCTTGCCCGGATCACTCTCCGCCTCGCAGATGTTGACCCCCAACAAGGGCCAAAGCCATCTTGAAAGAGCCCGCATGGGACTCAAGACTCCCGAGCCAGGGAGAGGAGTTGGACCAGGGGGTAGTGGAAGGCTAGCCGGGACATTTTCAGCTTTGCAGCCGAGGACGAGCTCGGGGAAATCTACACCTACTCGTGCTAGACGAGAATCAGGAGTCGGAGCTGGGTCACAGACGGCGCCCATGCCGAGGTTTGTGTTAGACAGACCACCACCTTCGTCGTTCAACTCTCCTACTCCCACCCCACGAACCCCAACAAGACCAGCCTCCCGCCAGTCTGCCATGTCTTACGCGCCCTCTGTATCCCATGACCTCTCCATCCTCCGCCCATTTCGTCCCTCCCCATTCGATCTTCTTGACCAATCTGTGCAAGCGCTCTTGACGCAAGAAGAGTTCACAGTGGAACAAGGATTCTTTGTGTCTAGAGTGGACGAGGCGCTAAAGCGGGGGCAGAGGCTGAGAGATGGTGAAGAATGGAAGGGAGAGTATGTCTTTGGAGCTGGCAACAAGGGCTGCTCGGTCAAGAGGATGGAGCTGCCCGGGAGGGGCAAGGACGGGGCAAAGAGGGTCAAGGTGTTGTGTCGCGTGGGCGGACGGTGGGTCGACCTGGTGGAGGTCCTAAAAGAGAGGAAAGAGATTGTCGAGTTTATGGAATAGAGAGGCTCAAGAGGGGGTCTGCATATTACGATCTTGACGATTTATACGATACCATCTATGGCTGCTTGCTCTTCCGTATGCAACATTTGCTTTATACGAGCAAAGAGGGGATCACCCTCTCCACAGATGCATAGCATGGTCATAGAACGAACACGTCGCTATAGCACTCTCCTCATTTTCTAGAGGCAACCTGCTCCAATCGGCACCATACGCCAAACTCTCGTGCGCCTCGAATGCCTTGATGACACTCCCATCATCATCACTGAGGGATCCCCAATCACCCCCGACCATCTGTTCCGACAGTCTCACGACCTTGAACCCATCATGCATGCTAGCCACCAGCAAGTCTCCCATTCTCTCGACGAGCGGATGCCACCGAACCCGCCAAATCCCACCCCCCATCGACAGCGTGAGCAATGGCGTGCGCGGGGAACGGGTGTCAAAGAGGCGGAGAGACTCGTCGTACGAGCCGATGGCGAGGAGATTCGGTGTGTATGGAGACGGAGTGATGGTGGTCACGCCGCCATCAAAGTTTTTGTTGACCATGGACGGCATGAAGGGTTCGCGAAGGTCCCAGCGTTTGAGCTTGCAGTCGTCTCCTCCTGACCATACAGTGTTGACATCTTGGAGGTCGAAAGCGGTGATCCAAGGTTCAAAGTCGTGGGCATGCCATGAAGAAGAGACTTCATAGCCTGTAGGCGTAGGCGTGAGATGTGAGAGTGAGCCGTTCGAGATGGAAGCAATGATGGACGGCTCTACAGATCTTCAGAGTGGGATGTCAGCTGATTGTTGTTGACCTCACATGGACTTACGGCTCGAGACGGTGCGAAAAGTCGAGCGAAAGACAAAGTCGGGTCTCATCTTCGACATCAATCGTCTGCACTTCCTCCAGTCGTTTCTGTCACATCACAATGTCAGCTCGTTTCTTCTGTTGCATGGGTCTCTCACAGTGTCAGGGTTGAGCTCGTACAAGGCGATATGCCCTTTGGCATCTGCAACAGCCAATCTGGGTCCGCCGCCAGTCCGCACATGAGGGGACCATTTTGAATCGAGGATGGCTGGTGTCTCTATTCTTTGAAGCTCATTGCTTCAATCAAGTCAGAATGGATTCTATTGCTCGGACAAAACTTACGGTTGACAATCCTGATCGATCTGGAACAATAGCAGTCGCCCCTTTCGCTGTGTCGACTGCGGTACAAACTCTTCCTCGTCGCTATCGCTCTCCTCCTCGTCCTTGTCTTCTTCTAACGCTTTAGGCTGTTCTAATTCCTCGGGTTTGATAATTTGATAAGTGCCGCATACAAACAAGTCTTGAAAGCCTTGAAACGGGCAGAATTCGATGGAGTCGGCAGAGTAGACTGTATCGACGTAGGCTAGGGAGGTCGCTGTTTGATGTCAGCTTGTGTTTGAGCTGATTGCTTGGAGATTTGGCTTACCCTTATTTGTAGACATCCTGGGCTTATGAGTATACAACAGATTGACAATTCATCATTTGACCGACATTCTTGCAGACTCTTTCGCAACTCTTTCGTCGGATGAGCGAAATATTTGCTTCCGGCGGGGGGCCGACGGTCTGAACCAACTTTGTGAAGCTTGATGGACAAGTGATACATTCGTTAAATGAACTGGGCCCTGCTGAGCCAGAGCGTATGTAGATAAGATATTCTATTGTGTGGCAGCAACCTTTTATCACACTACCTCCGAGCACATCGAGTCGATACAGTTGTAGTTATAATCCCTTTTAGGCTCGACACAAGCCCCTCGCTCCACCGAGCCTAATAATCCCTTAACTTCAAGAAAGCCGAAAGAAACCGACATGAACAGCTTTTTGTCTACCTCCGGAGAGAGGCCATGGAGGGGTTGCCCATATTCTTTTGGCCTCCCATCTCGATGTCGAGCAGCAACTCTTCGTGGTCGACGGAAGAGAACCAGGTGGGGAGGGAGATGGCCATGATGAGACTGAATGCAAAGCTGCATGGTTTGTCAGCGCTACGCTCAAACGTCAAGAGGAGAAGACGACTTGCAATTCAAACAGGATCTGCAGGATCCAGAAAGCGACGCGGGACTGGGCCACAGAGTCCGAGTCGGTGTTTTCAAATTGGGCGAGCTTGTAGACGGTTATGACGAGAAGACAGCCGTCGAGAACGTAAAGCCAGGCGGTACCTCGGCGGGAGAGGTTGTAGTTAACAGCTGTGAGGGTGATACCGGCTCCCACGAGACCGACGACGACTGCAAAAAGTCAGCAGAGACAAGATGTGAGTCAAGGAAGGAGGCTTACCGACGGAGAGAACCAGACTGGCTCGTCGAAGACCGGTGACAGTGTCCATCTTGCTGGGGTCTTTGATGGCTGAGCCGATCATGGAGGAGCCAACGACCGCTGTGGCAATGCAGGCCATGAGGAGGAGGTGCAGTGCCCTGTGAGTGGTTAGACAAAGACCCTTTGTGTGTATGAACGAAAACTCACTTTGAAAGGAGAGACAACCATCGAGGCCTGTCTTCCGGCCTGACCTCTGACTCGACATGGTTCGTCCAGCACGAGATGAGAGGGGCAATCAAGAAAAGGGCACCAATCGAAATCATGACGAGCTCGGCGATGAGTTCGCTCTCGTTGTACGTGTTTTTGGACATCCAAGCTCTCAATCCGAAACTTCCGAGGCGACAGGCGACAAAGACGGCGGGCCGTATGAGGATCATGGTGCGGTCTTGCTTGCGGACTAAGCGGAAGACGAGGACGGGGATAGCGAGAACATACTGATGCTGGTGTCAGCCATGTCGTTCATGGTCGCGGCAAATTGAACTCACGATAGCCAAAAAGACAATGGACGGGGCGAGGTCGGTAGAGGTGGGGAAGCCACCGGTAAAGTTGAAGTCGGAGATGTCTGTGGTATTGGAGGACATGGCGAGCAGGCAGGATGTTTGAGGGGAGATGTGAGTTGCATATGGGGTGTTATATAGTGGGCGCTCGCTATTGAGGCTGCCGCTGGAGGTATCTCGGAAGCGAAATGGGATGTGGGATGAATGCCGACGGAGTGTGAACGCTCGAGGTGTTTCTCGGCAGCAGGGCCGGCAAAGACACTAGCGCGAGCGAAGACAGAAGGACAAGGGAGCACGGACAGCAGACGGACGAGTACCGATCACCGCCGAAAATAGCACCCGCTTCAGCTCTCGCTCCTCGACCTCGCGTGCCTGGCCGGCCATCTCATGATCATCTCGGCGCTGGCCGCCCTTGCGATGAGGCTGAAGCGAAATCTTGACAGCGGGGGTTATTTAATTAACGATTGTTACCGTCCTGCTGACGGATGATGCTTGGGACACTCTCTCCAGCAATGCCCTCCCCCATGGCCCACACCCAGGCGGCCCACTCCGCCCCTACCCAGGCAGACCTCGACATCCTCTCCCGCCTCACCTCAGACCAGTCCTCCTCTGGGCCCCTCAACACAAACGGCAGGAAAAAACAGCTGCCCCGTAGGGAGAGCCCCATAGACGCCCTCATGATCAGCGCTGTTCTCGCAGGCAGTGGTCCAGTATCGAGACATCATTTCGGCCATGGAATCGGTGAGCAGGCTTTTGGCGACAGGCGGGTCCACCTTCATGCTGACGATTGACACCCATGATTAGCCCGTACAGGCGCATACGCATCTTGCGATGAATCCCGGCCGTCCTCCCCCGGACAACAAACAAACCAAGGCTTGACATCTCCAAAAGTCGTCATGAAATCAGCCCAGGCGCCTCGGTCCCAACGGGTCCGTATGGAACGCGAGGCAAAGCTTGCCCTCCAGCGAAAGTTCGAGGCTGAAAAGATTACGGAGGATGTAGCGACTGCCCCTACTGCCGGCCCGTCTGTGACGGGTGGTGGTCCTGCGCCAGTCGATGAAGAGCACCAGTCCGGTCACGCGCCAGACTCCTCGCGGTACCAACGAAAAATGTCCCTCGACCCTACCTCCGTCACCCAACTCCTCTCCTTCCCCAAGCCCTCTTTCGCCTACAACCACTTTCATTCCTATCCATCCGGATCGGCAGCTTTCAACCCTATCCCCAACTCGCTTCCGGGGCCGATCCAGGTTCGATGTATGGCCCGAACGCGAGTGCCGACGCCGCATGGCGAAATATTCTTGCACCTCTACCACAACTCGCACGACACGAAAGAACATCTTGCAGTGGTGATCGATCCGGTGCAGCTTGACCCGCAGACGCGAAGCAAGGCGCCAGAGGGGCGTAAAGAGATCAGGAGCAAGAGTCTGAATGCTGTATGGAGGGAAGGCGAGACAGAGATGGAACGAATCGTACGGGGAGCATACGTGGGGCGCCTCAAACCTGGAGTAGCAAGCTCCAGGGGCGATGGTCTGCCCCCGGTAGAGGGCCTGCAAGGCGTGGAGGACGTCAAACCGCTGGTCCGGATTCACTCGGAATGTTTTACTGGCGAGACGATCGGGTCGATGCGATGTGACTGTGGCGAGCAGCTCGATGAGGCTATCCACCAGATCGGTCTACCACAGCGTATCCCTCATCGTCAAAATTTCCATACCCCGCTATCCCCAAGGACGCACTCGCATCTTCCCGGCAGGGGCGTCGTCATCTACCTTCGTCAAGAAGGCAGAGGCATCGGCCTACTGGAAAAGATTCGTGCCTACAACCTCCAGGATCTCGGCCACGACACCGTCACTGCCAACTTGATGCTCGGTCATGGCGCAGATGAGCGCAAGTACGACATTGCCGCAGAAATGCTCCGTGACCTCGGGCTGGAACAAGAGGGGATTCGCCTACTGACCAACAATCCTGAAAAGGTTGCTGGACTTGCGGGCGAAGGGATCAGGGTTGTGGATAGGGTCGGGATGGTACCAAGAGACTGGCAGTGTGGCGATGACCAGCTGCATCCCAATGGGGCCGCAGAGCAGGGCGAGAAGGAGGAGAAGGACTATGAAGATTGGAGGATGAGGAGAGCGGGTGTTGGGTTAATCGGCTCCAGCAAAGCTCAGGGCCCGGAGCTAGAAAAGTACCTGAGGACAAAGGTCGAGAGGATGGGACATAGTGAGTTGGCTTCTTTCCCTTGCCGTAGCTTTCACTGATGATTTGTAGTCATCGATATCCCTAAAGATCTCTAGACAGCGCTTCGGCGCTTAGGACGATTCTGTCGAGCACGGTTTCTCCCGTTGTACACATATAGACACTTGTCATTTTCTAATGCATTGCTTGCTATTAAACATACAGGATACACATACAACGCGGGCCTTTGCAAATTATACGTCTCCATCTTCTTCCCCCGCGCCCTCTGCAGCTTCTGGCTTTGTCTCCATTTGCTTCCTGTACATGTCTGCAAATTGCTCGCTCGTCGTTGCTTCTTCCCAAGTCTTGTCCTCTCTGATTTTCATGAATCTTGGGAATCTGACACTGAGGCCGCGTTCAGAGCCCAGAGCTGAAGAAGCTGCTGGGTAGACTGGCGATAGTGTGATGCTGCAAGAAACGTCAGTGGAGGTTCGCGCTACAGACATATGAGACTGACTCTGCACCCCGAATCTCCCACACCTCGCTCGGATCAAACCAAACGTCCGGCGTCAGCCCGTTGGTATCGATATACCCTAGCGGAGTCGTCTTGTTGCATTTTTCAGGCATGCCTTCGGCCGGATACCTCTTCGTGAGGTCTTTGTAGAATGCGTCAGAAAACCCTACACCAATCAATCAGCTGAGATTCGCAATCGTCAACAATCATACTCACCAGACATGCATTTACAGACAGCTTCTAGTGCGCCGCTCTCTGGATTATGGCAGGCCAGAAGAATCGGGCTCCACCAGCCCGCCTTTCGTCCATTGCCCCACCAAGCACCAATCGGTACAAGATCAAGCGAATCACCAAGGCCTTCCAGATAATCTGCAGAAACACCATGAGTATTATGTCATAGTGGATGAACACACTGACCTTTCTTGACTTTGAGCCAGCCCTGACTTCTCTGATCTGGTTCATACGTGGCAGGTAATGGCTTCCTATTGCCAGACTTGCGCTTCACCTCGGTCTCTCCCTCCTCTTCCGCTTCTGCATCTTCACCCTCCAGCCCTTCTCCACTCTCGAGAAGTTTGACCATCAACCCCTCGCACTTGTTCTCTACTACTTTTTCAAAGAAAGCTTGTAGTTCTGCGGGTGCATCTTCAAATTTGGTCGAGTCGACCGATTCGACGTGATTGAACCCAGCAGCAATGAGTGAGCTTTGAGGAGAGTCTTTGGTCGGAGTCAATGGCGGTAGGAAAGTACGCATCAAGTGACGGCGGTGCGAAAAGGGGCTCCCCAGAAGTGGCTTCCACATCATCAGCAGACTTCAGGGACCATGTCCCATGCCAGACCCACTATATCATTCAACACCATGAGGTCAAAGGCGTAAACACCAACGATGACTTTGATATCCTCTTCTCTTACATCCTTCTTGGCTCGATTGCTCAGCTCTTGAAAAGTTTTGAAAGCACCGGTATCTTTTTCAATGGCTACTATCTCTGCGTCGATGATGAATGACGTTATCTTTTCCGTCTTGAGGAGATCGAGCACCGACTGGGGCTCGGTCAATGTCGATGAAGGAAAAGGTAATCGCTCGGCCGGCAAAGTGCGTTTTAGAAGCCGGAGAAGTAATTGACAGACATCTGGATACTTTTCGGTCATATCGTCGAGGTGCCTGATATCTCACATCAGCTCACCATAATGAAGTCGGATGATGGGACATACCTGCTGAACAATCTGACCCAGATCTTGTCACCAGTGTCTCCCACAACCCATCTACCGCCTCCGTCATCCTTGCCTTGCGGTCCTTCGAGCCTCACATGGCACTGTACTCTCTGCCCATCCAGTTTGGCTTCGGCTGTGAACGGCAGCTTGCCAAGTCGCGTAAATACCTCATTGAGCGATCTTGTGATAGATCCAAGCATGGGGGATAACGGTATACCGACAGTCACAGCAACTCTCTCCTCAAGACCCTCAACACCAAGCTCTAATCCTTTGATCAGGTGCGCATAGTTAGGATGGCGAACGTATGCTTTGCGAACCACACCGATAGCCGAAAGGCATAGTTGTTCGGCTGCTTCACGAGAAGGATCCGTCTCTGGTTTCACTTTGGTCGAGCGTTTGCCTTTGCCATCAACGGTCGGTACAGGGAGTGGAAGTATGGTGGATCGCAGGTCCTTGGGGAGATGGAGTAGTGCTGTGGCGCGGGCCAAGGCGGTGAGAAGCGTCTGAACTTTGATCAGCAATCGTAGGGCAAGCTCATCTAAGCGTACCAATTTTACGGCTCCGATCTGTGGCCGCGTTAGCAGAGTGACTGTTTTGTAGAAAGCACTCACCCTTAAATTGCCTATCATACTTCTGACCAAGAATCTGACCTCTTCTCCTCTTGCCTGGACCATCAACTTTCGAACGATATCACCCTTCACCTTCCCACTGGAGCTGCCCTTGATTTTAGATAGTCCGATGAGCTTCTCATAGACATCTGCTGCCAACAGAGGCGCTGGCTTGATGAGCGTTCGCAAATTGGTCTTGGCCTCAAAAGCGACATCCCCAGGGTCCCCGTACTTTTGATACAAACGCTTTAGATCGCGCGGCTGGAGGCCAGAGACTTCTTGCATAGCCTTGGAAAGGATTTGCGAACCGATGCCGAGATCACAGGGCACGTATGAGGGGGCAAGATGGTTGGATAGAAGGTAGAGAGAGGGTGACAGGTCGACAGGAGAGGCATGCATGACGAGATGCAAGAAACTGGAGATGTCAGCTGAATAGCTCGAACAGCATATGACACGCCACTCACTTGGTGAGTATCCGCACTATAGCTAACCGGGATCTCGTGCCTGATACCTGCACGTAGACGCCCACAAGGATGCTATACGGTAGACGACCTTTCGGCCATAGGGCAGTATCGATACTGGAGGGGATAAAGACGAAGGAATCAGTGTCAAAGTTAAGAGGCTGGACAGAGTTGCCTGCCTCCGATGCTATGACTGGAGTCTTTGAGAAGGCGTCCTTCTTCTGGGTTGATATCGAGGCCTTTCCCTTGCTAGGATGCGTGCTTTTCGAGCATCCGGGAACAGGCTTGATGTCTTCATCTTCATCATCCAGTATATCTATGAGCTTGTTGACCTGTGGACTGATCTTGTCGGATACCGATCTGGCACCCTCAGACCCGAGGGCGGACGTCCCTTGCTTCCGGGATTTCTCCCCGACAGCTGCCAGCTTCGTTGTCGCTGGAATAGGACGCTCTTCATCATCCGAGTCGTCAATTGTGATGACCTCGCTGTCCTTCGGTTTCGACGACTTTGCCTTTGAGGGAGAGGCAAAGAAGGAGGCGAGGGTCTTTTGCTGATTGCCGGACGACCCTTTTGCTTTCTTGGCGGGAGATGCAGGAGACGCTGGAGCCTGTCTCTTTGGAGCCATGGTGAATACGGCCGGGGATTGAACAGATGCACATTGGGTTGGGAGTTTGGCTGACATCACGATTCACGCGGCGGGAGTGAGGATCGGTCTCAGACGCGTCGTGGACTCGCGGTTTCGGCGTTTAACTTGGATTCTCATCTATCTCTTGCATCCATCTTTCCATCTTTCCATCCATCCCTCAACACCAGCAGCATGGCAGAGGGTCTCGAAGAGTGGATCAGCGATTCCAACGAAGTTTTGATCCTCCAGCTGGGTAAGTGCATTTCTTGCTCGACGCGTCAACGACCAGCTCATATATCACGTACAGTGAGGGCACCCCACGACGCGGATGTTTTGAGTCACGAGGAGGTGCAGGCCATTGAGCCCTTCAACCCTAGCTTCACATACCCAATCTTTGGCGATACCGAGAAAATATTTGGCTACAAAGGTCTTGATATCAAGGTAGGTTTGCGACACGAGGTGGTCATCTCTGACAGTATACAGTTGCAATTCGCCTCTGGCAGTCTGAAGCAATACTTGAATGTGGTTTATGACGAAAAGCTTGCTTCCACCACTACCCCTCCCGACGAGATTGAGCCCACTCTCTACAAGTTTATCCCGCCAGACTACACCAAATCCGACATCCAATTCGAAACAACCGTCAAGGAGGACGCAGAGACTTTCAAGCCCTTTGGCGAGAAGCTGGGATCCTACAAGCTGCCTTCTAGTAGTAGCCAGAAGAACAAAAAAGGAAAGGGAAAGGCCCAGGCGGTGGACACAGCGTCCCTCGACGAAAACAGTGAAGACACGGTCGTCTTTGAGATGTACAAGGTTGGTTCCCACCGAAAGTGTGGTGTAGAGTGTGCTGAGCAGTGTATTGCAGGCATCGTGGAACACTCCTGGATTCCGAGAATACCACCGCAGAATGCAGCTCTTCATCCTCCTCTTCATCGAGGGTGGAAGCTATGTCCACGTAAGTGGCAGTATGGCCATGTCTTATGACCACTGACCGTATTTTCAGGAGGACGAGGATGCCTGGGAATTCATCGTCTTGTTTGAGAGGCGAAAGCGACCCGAATCAGATATTTTTACCTACCATTTTGCTGGATACGTTTCAGTATATCCCTTCTGGTGCTACCCTGACCGAGTGAGACTTCGCCTCAGTCAATTCGTTATCCTGCCCCCGTATCAGCACCAGGGACATGGCTGTACGTCCTTGCCTTCATGGTTGATAGCGACTAACATTGCATAGCGAAACTGTACTCGTCCCTCTTCCATCACATGCTGTCCCGTCCCGAAGTCGCCGAGCTCACTGTCGAAGACCCCGCCGAAGCGTTTGAAGACTTGCGAGACCGAAATGACCTTCGCCTCCTCGTCAAAGAAGGGCTCTTGACGGATCCCATGTTCCAATCCGGTGTCGGACAGGGCAAGCGCGAAGCACGCAACGAGTGGGAGTCTTTGACCAGAAAAAAGTACAAGATTGCGCAGAGACAGTTCGACAGGCTGTTGGAGATGTTGCTGCTGAGGCAACTGGACAAGAAGGATGAGGCCAAGGTCAAGGCGTATAGGCTGCATGTCAAGTCTAGGCTGTACCGATTCAACTATGTAAGAGGCATCGATGTTATCCCTGAGCTGCGCTGACGTCTATAGGAAATGCTGGTGCAAATGACCCCCGAAGAGAGGAAGGAGGCACTGGCCAAGACGTACGATTCGGTGGTAGAAGACTACGAGCGTATCCTCGAGATGACTTTCCATTGATATATTACAATCGGATGGCGAGATGCATGGAGTGAATGAAAAATGCTACACAGATGGTTCGGTCAGAGGAGACCAAAGGGGTTACCCAAAACTATATTACTTTCTACTATCCTTCGACCTTGTAAAAAGTCCTACCCTTCTTTGGCCTCCTCGTGACGTGCACTTCCATACCGTCACCCCCTCTGAAAGCAAGCACCACATTCTCCTCCATCTGCGGCGTCCCAGAAACAGCAGACTTTTTCCTTTGAGCAAGGACTCTTTTGGCAAAGGAGAATCGGTCTTGGGGGGATGTTATAGGGAGATCGGAAGATTCCACGAGGGATTTAAAGAGTTCGTAGGGGAGGAGGGAGTAGGTGGTCACAAGGGCGTTGTCTGGGGTGGCGAGCTTGTCCTCTTGGACAACGCGTGAGGGGAGGTCATTGAGGAGGTAATTGAGCCTGAGCAAGGATGAGAGGTAGCGCAAATTGCAAAAGGATAAAGACTCACACATCATGCTTCAATCGTATTGTCCACTCTCCGTACCGGGGATAAGGGTTGTCCAACCACGCCGATATCCCTCCCTCCGTGCTCTGCACTCCATTAGCAGCTTTGGGGGGCTGCTGCTGGGCAAACATTGCCAACTCAGGCGAGACTTCGAGCCAGCGCACGAGGTCTACGGCATTGCTGGCATCGATGGAATCGCGGGTGATGAGATACGCCTGGTGGACAAGCTCGGGCATGCCACCGAACAAAAAGGCAGTGGCAAGGACCGCACGAGCGTTTCCGGGCTGAACAAGGCTAAGAGAGGGATCTGTACGACGATGGTCAGCCAGCGTCATTTGGTACACCCGTTGGTTACTGACTGTAGAGGTGCTGAAGAGATATGTGCACAGCTTCCTGAGTAATGTTGGCATCGGCAAATGAGAGCTTGATAGTAGATCCGGGGGCGCTGGCCGCCATCAAGTGAGCCAAGTAGGGGCTTCTTGCAAGAATGACTAGGATACGAGTCAGCACAGAGGCAGAAGAGAGATAAACGACTCGTACGTCGGTGAGCCTTCAGCCCGCTCGCAAAGAACACGAGATGAACGTCCGACCACTCTTGGTTGATGTATCCAACATTGAAGATTCCCCTGGCCAAGCTGACTGCATGGAATATGGGGTCGATTCTGCAAAGTCATCTGAGTAATTGCAGGCGCCGGTCGTGCAAGGTACGTACTCGTTGCTGGGCACTATTGCGGTCTCAGGGTCCCCATTGAGGACAGCGGCACCATTGCCGTTGTGGTGGACGGTGTCTGAGGCCATGGCGATCTGAGGCTTTTGGGGTAGATTAGTAGATTTTTAGTAGATGGAGGCGAATGAAAGAGGACAATTAACGAACTATGTACGCGTTCATGCCTCCACTTTTTGAAGCCCGGCACATAGGCACGCCAGCGCGCCTAGTCACTCAACATTCAACTGGCTGATTTACACAAAGCATGCATTTGTATGATGGTGGGTTTGATATATGTAGCATGAACAGACGCCCATACTTCCCTCTAGCCTCTAGTCCCAGATGAGATGTCCATTCGATGTCACAGTAGCCTTGGCACTAGCAGCCTTTGTACGTGCGGACTGACTCTTGTTTGTCGAATAGATCTCGTTGATGCGCTCCCTGATGGACCATAAGCATACCATTATGGTGTCAAGAGAAAGAATGGCACCTCTCGAGGTCCTTCTTGTGACTCGCCAATCGCTTCACCCGGTCCTTTTCCTCCGCTTCTCGTTGGGCCTTTTTGAGTTCTGCCTTCTTGGCATTCTTCTTCTGACCTTTGGTAGATGTGGGCAGGGGCAAGGCAGTCGATTGCTGAGCCGAGGAAGACGATATGTTGACAGAAAGCGGCTCTGATACATCGTCAGTCGGCTCCCATCGCGAGGTGGGAGACTTACTCTTCTTCTTGGGTGCGACCGATTCCCAGCCGTCATTCGCTACTTTTTTCGGAAGCTTGAATTCGGGCACGACATCATCGTCGGAAACGCTGCTGGCGTAGTCCTCTTCATACTTGGCTACCTTGACAGGCGGTCCCAGGGGAGGGAATTCGGGGTCGTGGACGGCCTGATCCTTCGACTCGTTCGGGGCGACCCGCATCACTCGAGATATGGGCACAGGCCTGTCCTCTGGGGCAAGCATACTGCAGCAACATCAGCATGATCCCAGCACAAGAGCCAGTCGCGCGTACTCGTCGACTCTGGTCTTTCGCTCCTTTGGAAGGAGCTTCTCTGCGAGCAGCTTCTTCCTCTCCGCCTTGGGCTCTGCCTGCTCAGTCTGTACAGCTTGTACTTGTGCCTGCAGCTTGACATCTTGCTCGTCTTGTGCAGAGGCGGGCTTGGTCTTCTTCTTTGGCTTCTTCTTCTTGGACTTGGCTGACTGAGAGTCTGTGTTTGGCGGGGTGTTGCTGGAGGGGTAGAGGCTTGCTGCAAGGACGAGCACGAGGAGGAGGGCGCCCCCTACAAGGGTCTCTGTGGGGATGTAGGGCATGATGTGGCTGTCTACGGTCAGTGGAGAGAGCGCGCACAATGCCGCCTACATAGCAGAGCAGCAGCATCTCGGCCGCCGGGGATTACATAAGGGGGCGGGAGCAAATGGGGGCCCAGGGCAGGGCAGGGAGAGATATGCTGATGCTAGGCAAACCTTATGTCAAATTCCCCGAAGGAAGGCCGAATGAGATGTGTCAACTCGCCCAGTGGAGTCGCAGAGCAGTGGTGCCGTCGTGCTGCCCCGTCCTCGTCCAGTCCACCCCTGCCCCTGCCTCCACACCAGCTACAAACGAGCATAATGCATGCATCCCAGCCGGTCCAAGTTCCCAATACGGCAATTTCCCAACTAGCGTAACTCTTCCCCGTCCAGTTCCCCAAAGAGCACGATAAACGCGAGCGACAAACGGATAATCACGGAAGGGTTCGAGAAGTTGCGGTCGATCTCGATAATCCCAACAGAAGAATTTGTGGGCGAGACAGAATAGACCAAGTCCGCCAAGTCGTCTTCTATTGTTATCGTTTCTACCTTTCCCTTTCCACCGTCTCTCGCCTGTTTGGCATCCGGCACCTATACCCCAGCAGATCCTGCCGTAATCTCCTGCGGCACTTGACGCGTGACTGGCTTGGCTCATCATTTGCTGTCTAACATCGGACGCTATCGTCCTTCACGTCAGATACCAGAGAGCGAGATACCCCTCCCTTCGCCCCCGAACGCACTCTTTCCAACACAACCGAGGCCCGGAAGATTAGAAAAGAGGTCTGTAGATCAGGTCCGGATAAGACAGCTGGTACGTACTTCCAGGGTGTAACTGTTCGAGTAGTTTGAATCCGGGATGGCAGGCGTGTCCCGTCGGGGGGCTTCAAGGGGTTTGGACGTTTCATGTCGACAGAGTCGCTCGAGGCTCAGTCGTTGTTGGCGTGAAATACCAAGTCAGGCCATGGCCCCTCTTCAGTGTTGACATTATTGTCTTGTTGGACTGCTGGCTGACTCCTCGTGGTGTTGAAGATCCCTCACTGCACTCGAGACCGATCAAAGGGACGCCCACACGCGACTGTCTGCGGTGCCAAAAGTTTGGCCCCTTTCGTCTCCTCAACGGCCATACTTTCACCATCTCCATACTCGCCATTGGCGTTTTCGAGCAGGGCCACTCCTGCCCTCATCTACCATAGTGTTTGTCACAGACTCACGACTCAACCCTTCCTTATTCTCTGCCTCCATTTGAGTGAGTTCCCAGCCCACGTCCCACCAACCCACGCACCCACCAGTCCACATGCTTTCGACATGCTGACTAGAGTGTACAGGAGTATTACCCTGGCCCCTTTTACCCCAACCGCATCGACCTTTTCGCCAAGGCAGCTCCATTCAGACGCGCAGCCTGTCCTCGTGAGGTGTATTCTGCGCACATCAGCTACAGGCGACTTGGATCCCGTCATCTAGCGGGCCCATCAGTCTACTGGAAATACTCTCCAAAAACACATCACCTATCGTGGACGGTGCTCCAGCAGTAACCGACGCCGAACCGGTGAACGTTCTCTTAGCGAATACAGACACCCAAAGTTAGAAGAAGAGACGAACAAGTTTCGGACTGCCTCCTTGATTCGCGATAGGCCCAAGGTCAAAGGGAGGTACCTCTTCAACTATTATCTTGAAAATTAGACAGGAACGCTGGCAAGTCATCCGGCGATCTCGATAGACGGACGGACAAGCACATTTGTCACATCTGTAAGTGATCCATCGCCTTGCTGTATGCCCTTGTTGGGAGATGCTTCGGTATATGCGTGCTTGCAGCAGGGTACAGTCCTGTACACTGTGAGACAGCGTGGCTGACGGAGACTCCTTCAGGTGAAGGGAAACTCGTGCGCATACACATGTCTGGCTACCTCCATCCTATCTACAGCACATCATTCACATACGATACTCGAAACCGCCTCCACTCCTTACAATACTACTGAGAACATGTCCACCTTGTACACAGCTCGGGAAACCCCTTCGCCTATCAAGATAGAGCCTTCTTCTGTGACGTCTTCGGCGCGGAAAAGAAAGAGAAGCGAGATAGATCAGAAGGATTCGCCAGGTGTTGAATCTCCCTCGAGAGGCTGGGAAGCTATTGCGGGGGGATTGGGTCGCGACGGCTGGTGAGTGTACTGATAGCTGACATGCCCAAGATCAGAACTGATTGTCTCAAACAGGACGTATCACCTCGAGATTGTACAAGAGCCCTTGAGGGCCAGAGCTTGTGGATTCGGCAACAAGGCAAGTCGTAAGAGTCTGGTGAAGTGGCTTGTGCTCATTGAAATGTAGGATCGTCGTCCACTGACCCCTCCGCCCATCATCCGATTATGGATACGCACAGCAACGGGTGAAGTCGTTGATCCCAAGTAAGACAACATATCTACCAAGGGGCGAATCTCATCACTAACATGTTCGCAGTGTCATCAATCCAACCACTCTTATCCTCCAGATGGACCTCGTCTCTGTGGACGGCCAAGAAGAGCGCAATGTTGTAAAGCATCCTATAGGAAGCGCGTCTACCGCTACAATTTCGAAACCTGTCGGCTCTTCTGCGGCGGTTAGCCAGCCGTGGATGGGAACGTCGGATATGCCTGGGGTGATCACGGGATCCCCGCGACAGTCTTTAAGTGAACATTCCGGATACAGGCAAAGGTCTTGGGCGGGTGAATTTCTTTGGCATTCACAGTCTTCTGCTGGCTGACTAGACTCAGAACCATATGCTTCCGACCTTGGGTTCCCTAGGTGGGCCGAGCCTACTCAAGCTTACGCCCCCTACCCCTATGCGCCACCCCATTCTGGAGAATGGTCGCCAAACCCGCGCAGCTGGCAGGCGGCGAACGAAGGGCGTCGTCCTCGGCAGCTCCCCTCTCCTCGCCCGGCCACCGCCCAAACTCACGAACAAGCTCCGCCACTGTTGCCAAGCGCCTCACACAGGCACTCGGCGGGCCAGACTCTGCCCCCGCTCTCATACATCACTGAGAGCCCCAGGGGATCGACGCACAACGCCAGTCTCCCATCCATCTACTCTCAATACGCCTCCTACTCTCGTCCTACATCGAGTCGTTCTTCTTGGGATCGCGCGCATACATCTCAATCTCCTGGCGAGTTTGCGTCGGCACCCGCAGACTATACCATGGCGAGGCCAAGTACGGCAAGCTCCATCAGCAGCTTCTACCACCCGGACGCGGCGTACAGGGACCGGGCTCATACGGGTCCATGGCCCGATGACACTCGGCCTCCGTCAATGTCTTACACAAGCGACCACAGGCCTTCAGCGTCTTCGTTGGACGATTCCATCGTATCACCGCGATCTGTGTCTCGGCACCGATTCTCCAGCTCTAGCGAGTACAGCTCATACAGCCCACAGGCGTACTCGCACACGTTTGATCCTGTGAGAGGAATATACCCGTCCGGCTCTTTTAGTGCGGACCATTATCTGACGCAGCCCAACTCCATCTCGACTCTTGTACTTGTGGGTAAGCGACATACGCCCTGCAACAAGCTTCAGGATGAGCATGGGCAGTTGGGTTTGTTCTTTTTCGCGACAGACTTGGGAGTGAGGACCGAGGGGAAATTCAGGTTGCGGATGAAGGTCATGGATCTGGCTTTGTGAGTAGCAGCCTGAATCTTCCTCAATGTCTGCTGACCATGTCTCGAGGTTTTCGCCTGTGCCCATACAAGGGGAACACATTCCCATACTGGCCGACACATTCAGCGAACCCATCGAGGTCTTGTGAGTGCTTATCGCATGCCGAGTCAATGATTCTGACGCTGCACGCTACCACAGCTCCGCCAAGCGTTTCCCTGGCGTGATACCTACCACCGACCTGACCCGAGTATTTGCTTCGCAGGGGATCAAGTTGGCTGTGCGTGAAAACCACAAAAAAGGCGGGCGCAAGAAGAAGGGAAAGGGAGACGATGGAGATGGGGATGATGACAATGAGGACGAGGAGGATGATCAGTGACGGACGTTATACAAGCTGGACTATATATCATGGGGGTTTCCGGGTTTTTAGCACGCAGCACATGAATGCATGACATCAGACTGAGACTCTTACAGTACGAGGAATATGGATCAACCTTGCAGTGCAAATGAGGGGGGCCAGATAAATATCGGACATCGCCGCGCTACCAGCATCGTGCTCGCCCGGCGGGGTCATGGGAGGGATGCCATCCATTCATTCATCTCCAGTGTCATCCAGCTGCCCCCAACCACCCATACCGCCAGCATGTCCAGATCCGGCGCCCTCGACGACAATGAAATCCAGTCCGAGATGAACAAGATGGTACGTCCGCGTCCCCCAATCAACGTGCCCTCTCCGTTGTCCTTGTCGTGGAAGGGTGGAACGATGCTGACCAAGGGCTCATAGGTGGCGTTCATCTCGCAAGAGGCGAGAGAGAAGGCTAGAGAGATACAGGTCAAGGCGGACGAGGAGTTCGCTATCGAAAAGGTATGGCTGCTGTCTGACCAGGGGTACGAGCTCACCATGATCCACAGGCCAAGATTGTGCGACAAGAATCTCTCGCCATTGACGCCCAGTACGAGAAGAAGCGAAAGCAGGCTGAAGTAGGATGGAAGATGTGCGTCGTTGCAAGTGCCATGTGCGGCGCCCAGCTGACCCAGTGCCCAGCTCCCAATCCACGGCAATCAACAACTCGCGTCTGAAGATCCTCCAGTCTAGAAACGACCATCTTGAAGCCATCTTCGACGAGTCCAACAAGCAAGTCAAGGATCTGTCTACGTCTGCCAAGTACAACGAGGCTGTTGAGAGTCTTATACTCGAGGTAAGGAGATTGGCAGTGGTCACAATGGTATGCTAATGGCTGGGTACAGCTTCTCCTCAAGCTTCTTTCTCCCAGAGTGCATTTGGCGCACCGCCCAAAAGACTCGGATCTTGTAAAGAAGGCTGCATCTGCTGCCCAAAAGCGATACAAGGAGATTGCGGGCCGCGAGTCCGAGCTCTCCTTTGATGACAGTCTTGCGGACGACAGCGCGGGCGGTGTCGTTGGGTCGACTTTGGGAAACAAGATCAAGGTGGACAACACTTTGGAAGAGAGGTTGAAGATTCTGGAGGAAAAGATGCTCCCAGAGTTGAGGCATGATCTATTTGGACCGAACGAGAACCGCAAGTTCTACACTGTGAGTTTGGTTTCTTCCGAGATGCATCGGTTGGCTAACGTGGAGCAGTGATCATATGATAGCTTGTTCTTCGTACCAGTTGTGCCATTACCCAAACTCGATTTGATGAATTCCAACAATATATGTTGACGTTCGCGAATCTTGCATGACTCTGCAAAAACTCTTTGAACAGTAGTGTGGAAGCAGACACAAGTGTGCATTAATCACTTAATTACATTGCGACCAGCATTATAGAGAATACATTTAATGGCAGCTTGCTGAATACCCTTCTGACGAGAGCATGATATGGAGACGCCCTCTCATACACCCCTCCAGTATACACCCCTCCAGTATGTACAAATACAATATAAAGACACTTTTACGAATTCTATAGCGATCGAGCGTAGGCAGTCTCAAACTTGGCTAGTCTCTTCTTGACTGTCAAAGAGTCAGCGTTCATTCTTTTGGTGGTAGAGAAACAACTTGCCATCTGAAAGTTCGCGGCGCAGGCGGGCGTTTTCTGCATTCGCGAGTTGGATCTGATGTTCCTTCTCACCCAAGCCGTGCTCTAGCGAAGAGAGATGCTCTAGAGACCGGTCAGCGACTGTCAAAGGCCAAGTGTAAGCAGCTTACCTTTTCTCTTGGCGCGGAACGTCCTGGCACTGATCCTGTTGCGCACCCTCTTCCTCTCTCGGGCAGACAGCGCACGATAGTCCTCGACCTTCATGCCCCAGATCATACCGTCGCGCTCGACACCCTCGGGGACCTCATGCTCGTGCTCATCGTGGTCGTGCTCGTCGGGACTGTGGTGCGAAAACTCCGAGTCTGAATGCAGAGAGTGGCTGCGCTTGATGGCGGCGCTGCCGATGCGTCTCCTGCCTCGTGTCTCGCGTTTCGTAGACGAGTGGCGTAGTATGGGGGAGGCGTGCGGGCTGACGATGTGAGACGATATGGGGGACGGGGATCGGGTGAGGGACTGGTCGACGACGTTGAGGGACTCGGAGGACCCGAGCTGGGCGGGCAGGGCGCTGGCTGGGGTGTCTGCCTGGGTGAGGAGGGAGGTGGCGATGCCTGTGGCGGGAAAGGGAAAGTAGGCCTGCTTGTAGACGTCCTGGAGCTGGCGCAGCGACTGCTCATCCGCTGGAGAAACAGGCTCGGGCTTGACGCTCTTCGGCGATTGACCGGACGCCGATGGCCATACCGAGGGATTGGTAAGCCCAAAAGCGTACTCCTCTCGTGCTGGTGGCGGGGGGATCGATACGGACGGGTCTGTCCAGTCGAAGACGGTGTCGGGCGAGGGCGCCTGGAGGTAGTTCTGGTACAGGTAGGACCCCCAGGTAGGCTGCAATGGAGGCGTCAGCAAGGTCGCCGGGTGCCGAGAGAGGACTGACCATGGCGAGTTTCTCTTCGGGCGTCTGGAGGGCGGCCATGGCTGTGGCGTGGTGTGAGACGGAGGGGAAGAACAGGTAAGAACAGGTAAGCACCAGGCGGAAGAAAGAAGATGCTCTTATATGTACTCGCTTCAGGACTGTTCTCACCGGCACACCGGACGGCAGATGAACAACAAGAGCTTAGTCACACCCCATTAGTCACACCCCGCACCACCGCCACCGCGCCCCCCCGCCCCCGGCCCCGGCCTATGCACCATGCATCTATCTCTCTGTGCTCGCCCGTCTGGCCCCTGGGCACCATGCGCACAGAGATGGCCGCGCTGCATGCATGGGCGCAGAAGAACGAGACGCTGTTTATGGCTTGTTCGGCCGCGGGCGGGCCTACCGTAAGGGTGACTGCTGTCCCTGTAGTCCCTGTTTCCCGAAATTCAACCGGTATCACATTAGACGAGTCTTTTCTCTTGGTCATCTGCTGGTGAGTCTTCTTTGCCGGGTGCAGTACGATACCAGTATGGATCAGCTGCAGGGAGAGCACAAACAACGGTGGATGCTCTCGTCTCGTATAAGACCGAATCCACCGCATGCCGTATGCTCCATCACTAAAGGCCGCCGAGCCCTTGTTGACGCTCATGGATCTCGGTGGAGAATGATACAAGACCGCCGCCGCCGTTACCGCGGGTCGGTCAAAACATTAGTTGGATCGTCTGTTTTACTTAATTCAAGTGCTCAAGAGCATCAGGTCGGGTCAAGGAACTTCCGTGCGACGGCAGCGCGTCCCCGAATTCGGCTTCGGTATCGTCATCTTCGGCCTTCTCTCGCAAAACCAAACAGATGGTTATGATGATGTTTATCGTCTAATTATAGAGAGCGCGTCACAGTAAAAATCAGAATTCATGCATTTCATACAGATAAAAAGAATATCAGAACTGTTCGACACTATCGTTCTACGGCTGATCTACACCAACACACACTAGACAGCAGCCACAATGGCCTCTGCAGAGTTGAGGGCGCCCACCATCTTGACACACTCCCTTCTCCTCGCCACGACATCTGGAGACTCCTTGAGCAGCTCTTCGAGTACTTCGGGCTTGTACAAGTGTTCAAGCAGTTCGCGCTGGAGATTCTCCTTGGCAAAGTTGACAAGGTTGAACGTGATAGCCTTTGGAACCATGTCAATCATTTCACGCTTGACCACGGAAAAGTATGAAGTAATGAGGAGCTCTGCAAGCACATTAGCGACAGTCTCTGTACAAACGCAAAACGTACTGATGACATCCGTCTCCATCAATTCACGGTCATTGAGCGATGCCACAGGCTTGATGATCGCAGGAGGCGCCTCCATAGCCGCAGATCGCTTCTTGGGCGCCGACTTGTCCTTGTTGAAGAAACTGCCAAAGAAGCCACCCTCATCCTTCTTGTAGTCTGCGTCCAGATCCTTGCCATTGTTGAGTGCGTTGGGAGCAATCTTTTTAGGATCGACGGGCTTCTCGGGAGGCTTGTTGGCGGCGATGCGCTCAGTCACCAAAGCCATGGCTTTGTGGCCACCGATAAAGTCTGGATGCGTAGTGTTGACATAGCAAGCCTGCATGGCCACCATGTCGGTGACTAGCTTGTTGGTAGGGTTCATGCAGTTTTTGAAAAAGTTGATCACGACCAGGTTGAACCGGTCCTTGAGCTCGGGGTATCGTTTGAAGGTTTGCTGCGTTTCGTGTAAGCTCCCATCGCATCGCCGCCATCTCATCCGCCGACTTACGAATTTACCCAAGAGATGACCCAATATTCTGATCAACTCGTCATACACCAAAGCACAGCATCGCAGGGAGGGCTCTTCGAGTCGTCTGATCTGTTGCTTGACAATGACCTCGAAAGCGGTGGTTCCCACAAACAAGGCAGGCGTGGAACCTGACGAGTTGTACAGGATGGTACGGATGTCGCCGTCCTTGACCTGGTCAAAGGGGTCAATCCCCTTGACACCATTGTTGTACAGCTCGTGGAACACGAAACTGATACGGGCACCACCTGAAAGCTCGTTCAGAGACAGATCGTTCGTGTTACCGTCGATGGCAGAGCGGAATTCAGAAGTAAACTCGGTGATGGTCGACAGCACCAAACTCCCGGGGTTTGTCTCGCCCATAGCTCCGCCCAGAGACGTGAGCTCGGTTTGATACTTGTTGAGCTGCTGGCTGATACGAGCTTTGATGTCGGGAAGGGTGTTTCGAATGTGGTGCATCAAGATCTGCAACCGATCAGCTGAGCCTCCACGCGCCAGGCCAACTCACAATGTTGAGCTTTCGCGCCAACCATGGAGTTCCGCAATACTGAGCCTTGCTCGCATACGAAGCGTGGTTCTCAAAGAAGCGCTTCTCATTGTCCAGAGCGGAAGCAATGGTCTTGGACTGGTCAATGTCCTTCTGGCCTCGGTTGACCACGGGTACGTAGCCCAATCTGAGGGGAATGACCCGGCCGGCCAAAATGTCGACAACATCCGTACCTTGGTCCATCAAATCGACCTTTGTCAACACACCAATCGTTCTGGTACCCTCCGGGTCCACCTCCCGAGCAAGCTTGAGCCCGTCAGAGTTGGCCAGATCGGTGTTGGCGCCAGTGACGGCCAGAATAATGGCGTTGGGTTTGGAGATGAATCGCATGAGCATGTCACGGATCTGCTTTTCGATATCACGCGGCTGGTCACCGACGGGCACCTTGGTGAGACCGGGGAGATCGACAAGAGTCAGGGTGAGGACGTTGGGAGAGAAGATACGGAGGTTGATGGGGTTGGACGAGATACCTACCCACCCCATTAGCTTTATGGACAAGACGAGTGGTATACCTACCAGCATTCTTGCCCGTCATCTTTTCCGTGTCTCTCACAATCTCGTCTCGGATTTGGGCAAAGTCGTGGAACTTTTGTCCCGGAAGATGGAGAAACTCTCCCCATTCGTCCGCATTGTTCTCATTCAGTTGCACCTTCTCCAAGGCCTCTTCGGGCTTTTCTGAGTCTTTGGCAGTACCATTGGGTTTGCTCGTAGCTGGCCGATTGATGAGTTGCAAGACCTGTAGCGTGATCAGCCCGGTACGCGAACCGCCCTCGCTCACGTGATTGCACTCACCAAGGGTCGCCTGGTCACAATACCAGTACCTCGGGGCAGGAAATCTCTACCGACAATGTTCTGTCATGGTAATCAGCTACCAGCGATGCGTGTTGCAGATAGAGACTTACCTCAAGCACAGAGGATTTACCACTACTCTGCGAGCCTATGACGGTAATTTGAGGCAGATCCTGTACAGCGACGCGTGTCAGGGCTGGGTCATGCGGTGCTATACGCCATAGGTTCTCTCATATACGCACGATGTTGTTTGACACGCCGATAGAGGCAAAGACATCTTGAAGCTACACGGATGGGGTGGTCAGTGACGGCGAGGACGAGGGTGGCGGAGGGGATACCTTGTTGACGAGGTTGATGAGTTGCTGGTCCATGGTGGATGATGGAGACGGGGAGGATGGGAGGAGGAGTGCAAGAGGAGTGGGATGCTTGGGCCATACTTGTACGTCGTGGACGTGGTGGCGGCAGCTGGGGGCCACGGCGACCGCCGCCCACATTAATTGATCCCGTCGCCACTCTCTGACCGACTTAGAATACTCGTAATGCAACAGGAACAACCACAGCGAGGTCAAGACAACCATAGGTCAAGACGAGGTCAATTGATCCAAAAGTCGTTCATCTCAGGTGTATGCTACCTATGCACAAACCCTATTCCCTGTTCTACTTCTACATTGATAAGAAAAGTCGAGGTTGCCCGGAGACGATCGTGTCGTGAATCTGTATTACAAATGGCAAAAAATCACTGCTGAGCAGAGTAGCCATTAGGTTGAGGATACACCATGTTGTTGTTGTTGAATTGCAGCTCTCTAGACGCGTGGAATAAGCAGACGGCCAGACGTGCAATACCCAGGGCGACACTTACGGCTGTGATGGCGCAGACGCCATGTTCATTTGTGGAGGCATTTGATGTCCCATGTACTCGAAACCAGACTGGGGCGGTATCGGGTTAAACATTGGCTGGAACATGGGCACCGGTTGTGATCTGACGTCGTCAGCGACACTTGTGACTAGATACGCCATACTCACGAGCTCTCCATAGGCGTCATCTGTGGAACAACCTGACACGGGTAAACAGCATCGATGGTCGCGTCCTGTCCACCCCCGTCTACAAATTGCGCGTGTACCGGTATCTCGAATGGTGGGCCAGGTTTGTCCGGCACCCCAACAAGCTTGGCACCAGATTCCCACCGCAGCCAGCTCGGTAATGAGCCAGTTGGGGAGCTGAATGTCGGCCGCAAGGTTTCTGATGCAGCTTGAGGATCCCAAATACGGGGCTCCCATTCATAACGTTGACCAGCAAGACTGCTACTTGGTCAGCCAAATTCAAAATGGGTCACAAGGTATGCTTACGCAAAATTGCTGGGCTGGCCAATAATTCTCCGTTGGAATGGTCTGAAGACCCATCCTCCCCCAGGAAGCTTCTTGGCGTCGACGTTCCAGATGTGGTTGCCCTTGGATTTGGCTTTTTTACCGTCGGGATTGAACCGCGAAATGAGGTTTTGCCGCCAAAGGTAATTTTTGATCTTTTTGATAGACATGATCTCTTCGGTGATGCCTCTTTGTTGCAGCTACGGTCTGTGGTCAGTCTCAAGTCAAATGAGATGGGTATCAACTTACATTATCGGCGAAAGCATTGGTAAATGCTTGGATACGGAACTTGAATGGCCGATAATCCGTGGATTCGTCCAATTTCTGCATCTTTTTAGGCATGAGCACCTGATGGATCTTTTCGCCTTTGCTATCCGTCATTTCCACTGTCAAGGGTTAGCATATTCCCAAAGCATTGGCGAGACACTCACAATCGCAACATATACTATTCAGGAACTCTGCAAATATTTGATCCAGTTGCTTCCTCACCTCGTCCGAAATGCCACCAGTGATATCCGCTTGAGCGTCCACCCCCACCGAGCTTCGTCTCCGCTTTGTCTTTCTGAGTCCTTCATCATCCGAGTCCTCATCATCATCGTCTACGGGTGAGCCAGCTCTGGACTGCCACGCAGATGGAGGTACACTGGATGTCATGGCGTTGTGGCCGTTGTTTTGATTCCAGTTCCTGTTGACAGACATGCTTCGTCCTCGAGCGATCGGCCGTCCATCTGGGCGCTCAGCGGTAGATGGACGACGTTCGAGAGGGTGAGCAGATTGCTGCGCAGGTGCTGGCACTTGATGCTGGACGCCCATGTCAATCGGCATCATCTCGACCTCCCACTGATTGGGTAAAGCATACCGAGGAGGACTCGGCGGTCGAGAAGGCGGGACAGTCGCAAGCGGTGACGAGATCATGGGCATGTGCTGGGCACTGATCGAAGTGATAAAGTTGGGAGAAGGAGCAACGGGCGTTGACGGTGGTATGTTACCTGACAACTGGCTAGGCAGTTGATGTCCATTGGGGTAGGAATGAGAGTGGACAAGGGGTGGTGCTTGCACTTTGCCCAAGTAATCGCCGGTGACCATCTTGGTACCCGATGGCATTGCGTGATTCGCAGTCTGGATGGGGGGAGCACGTCGACCTTGTTGATTCTGGTCTGCCACGAGAGATGAGAGCAGATTGGATGGCTGAACGGTCATGGGCATGTCGTGAAGCTGGGGAGGCACTGATGTGGCCATCATTGGCATATGATACTGCGGTGCCGGTGCAGGGGCCGCAGCCTGCACAGGAGGAGATTGATGGTAGCCATTCGGCGAAGTACTCTGTTGCGAGCTTTGGGAATTGGGAGTGGTACTGTCTCTAGAAGGGTGAGCGGGGCCTACGCCCAGCTCGCTCGCGACTTCAAGCTGAGTACTGATATCACTCAAGTTGTGAGAGACCTCAACCTCCTGTCCCCTGAGCAAAGCCTCCCTGGCACTCTGAGCAGAGTCCAATATCTTGTCCAACAACGACAACTTGTCAATCATCTCGCTCGACATGTCTGAAGATGTCAAACCCGCGGAAGGATTTTGAGGCAGTTGGACCTGGGGAAATGATTGTGCTGCGATCAAGTTTTGCGGCAGGGCCTGTTGGCTGTACTGCCCAAGAGATGACCGTCTGACTGGCGCAGAAACAATCCGGGGATGTACAGGCGTAGGTGTGGACATGTCATCCATGACAATGTCGTTCTCGCCCGTCTTGTGCTGCTGCGCTGAATTCGGCGCAAGAAACTGAGATTGGGCGCCTTGATATTGAGGAGAGGCAGTGGTGATGTCGGGCGACGGCGCCAGGGGAGAGCTGGGCGACCCGTTGGAAGCTTGAACGGAAGAGAGGGAGATGTGGGTTGGAAGAGCCTGCTGGGGTGCGAGCGGCTGTGCGAATGTGAAGTTTAACGGGTTGGCAGCACCAAAGCTATAGAAAGAGCCTCCACTGAAGGTTGCCCCTCGTTGCCTTCCTCCTAATGGAGTCTGGTGCTGTTGGGGAAAGATACTTCTCGCAGGGCTCGACGGCTGGGAAGCGGGCAGCCGATGGGGCTGTTGCTGCTGCTGCTGTTGCTGGCCGCCTATCAGAGGGCTTTGAGATTGGATGGAATCTTCGGCTCCTGCAGAGAGTGGCTCGTCTGGAGGAAAGTGAAAGTAATCTTGTCCAAAATCAGAGTTGTGTGCAGAGAACGAGTCGGTAAAGGGTGCCCCCGAAGACGGCAAGGATGTGGGCGATTGGTATTGCTGAAATTGGGGAAAGACTGAAGGGAGAGAGCTGAAGCTTAGGGAGAGGTTTTGCCTGCTGTGATTCGAGCCTGACGACTCTTCCTCTGTGCTCTCTGATGAGGGGGGAAAGGTCTCCCCCCCGATCTGTGAATCGGTTGTAGATGCAATCCTGTAGAAGATGAGCTGTGTGCTTGCTGTATTCGCGGAGGACGTACGTGGAGGGGGAAGGGGGAGAGCTGAAGGCGTTGAATACCCAGGTATTGTCTGCCAACTCGGCGTCTCCGGTGGACCCCAGTGGCCCAAGCGACGGGTCTGAGTTGGCTGATGGATGCCGCTGTGCGCTCGAGACTGCTGATGGGATGGGGGAGTTGTACGGTGGCGCAGCAGAGAGGAGGGGGGCTGGAAGCGGAGGTGTAGACGGCAGATTGACGGACTGCAGGAGAGGCTAGATAGCGTTCAGAGTCAGCTCAGGGCATCTACTGGGCACCGCATGTGGGGATGGCGATGGCTTGACGATCCGCGAGCGCGAGGACACCGGCCGTGCCCAAAAACGTCCGCCCTATTCTCCTTCCTGGCTTCAACGCCTGATCCATCTCCTGTCCGCCCCTCTGTCGCCTGTCGCCTTCGCCTGTCTCTGCGACCCCCTGGCCATGGCACACCCCGATGAGAGGAAAGGGACCCACCTACTACAGCGCCTCTCTGGACTTGACAGTCGGGAAGCAAAAGAAGAATCAAACAGAAAGGCGTGGTAATCGCCACCACAGATCTCCAGAGCTTAACGGGCTGTTGTGTGAGGCGGCTGTTGCCGAAATACAGTTTGCGAGAAGAAGTCCAGTTCGCTGTCCGGTCTACGAGGGCAAGCGGGGGTTGGGGGACAGCCAGCACGGCGTGTGTATTGTTCCTGCTGTGATCGTTCTCTCGTCGTCAAGGCACGGCACCGGTTCTCGTCGCCGCCGGAGGTCGATCAATCAACTCGCGTGGTACGAGCAACGTTGACTGACGATCCAGCTGTGATCAGCCACTCGATACGGCAAAGGCGATGCGAAAAATCACAAGATCCAAAGCCTGCTTCTCTCGCGCTCTCTCTTCTTTCTTTGGTTCGCCCGGTCTAGGCCTTTGCTGAACCCGCAGTCCAAGCTGCTAGATGCACGTCGAGTGCCGAACGTTGCTGTTGCAAGGGTCGATGGGCGGGATGGAGGCGTGGGTATTGTCACAAACAATACAGCAAACCGGAAGATGCTTCCGCCGGCCGATGGGATGAGATGGGTGAGGGCTGCTGAAGGAGGACGGGGCAATAACGAGAGTTGTCCTGCTGCCGGGCTTCTTTTTTTGTCTACCAGAGATACTTGGGCGGCAAGGCTGGGTGTGTGGATGCTGTTGGGATGTGTGGTACCTGTGAGTTGTGCAATACAGCGGCTCTGTGGGCGAGATGGAGGAAAACCCGGGACTTTGTGGCGGTGAGCGCCGCTTGAGACTGTTCCACGCCATGATAGGGCCGTTCTAGACCCCCCTGGGTCCCCTGCCCAGTCCTGAAATTGTCGATCTCGCGCTCATTTCAGCTGCTGCAAAAGCTACATACCCAGATGCCAGAGGGCCAAATCCAGAGTCGTCCATCTGCAGCCGTCTTTGCCATCAGGGTGGTCTTCCTTGCCTTCATCTTGCGGCAGCACCTTCGGGACCACCTGCTTTCATTTGTGCATACGTTTCTGCTCCCACTTCTCTCTTCAAGCAGCAACAGAGACGCAGAGTCGAAACAGGCGCCGGAAAATAAATCTATGGTCCTCCCTATAGCGGTAATTCTTGAAAGATTCCAGATCTTTTGGACTTTGGACGCTTTCGCTTCCGTTCCTCCATGCAGTAACTGAATGCCCTGGCGTATGTACGGGCCGCACGGCGTACCTGGCCTACCTTTGCTGCTGCTGGTGCCTCTGCCTCGTTCGCAGCTCGTTCTTTCAATTTTGTATGTATGAGCTGACGCGATGATTTTGCATGTCGACATTGCACCACCAAGCCCAACAGAAGAATTTATCAACGTAGAAGTAGTATCTCCTACTAGGAGGGCACTCAAACAGTACATCTATCGACTCGCCATGCGATGATCCCTCAAGTGCCGTGCGTTCCTACAACAAATGTACGCTCTTGGGAAGCATGTTTTTGGGAGGCATCTTGTCGTTGAGTGGCTTCCATCTCATGTGCAGACATGAGTCTTGACTAGCAACGACTGTGTACACCAAGTTGGCGTACAAGAAGTCCGTCAAAAGCATACTGCACACCACCTGCTGCCGACCGGCTGCTTTTTGAACGGTGTCAGAGATCGGTTGGAGGTACGACAGGTAAAGTCTATGAACGGTGCACGGTGCAGCACTTGTTCAACAGGTAAACGGTAACGACCAGAAAGTACCTTGGCAAAGACGCGAAAGCAAAGAGATGGTGGACGGCGCCATGGTGATAATAAGGACAGCAGACTTTCATGAAGTACGCATATCATTCGGGAAGGAAGGAGTAAAAAAATTGATGATATTTGTGTTGATCAGGCTGAGCAAGCGCTGAAAGGGTATAGGCGGTAGATGCTGCCGATAACGACCGTCTGGCAATGGTCTTTTGCAACGTTGCTTGTCGCGAAACTGGCACGCAGGGACACTCTCCACATCAAAGACAAAGTCCAAATCAGCAATTCGCCATGATCTGCATTGCCTCTTCTCTACACCTGACTTGCCTCATAACGCGTTATGACTCGTGATCCACCTATACGACTTGACAATTGAGCACTTCGTCTTGCCAAGTATCCTTTTCTCCCAACGCTGCTACAGCAGACATTCTCCTCATCGAAGACCATGTCACTAGATCCCAGTCACTCCATAGCTCATGCGTCCGCTGTAGCCGCCCATCTTGCACTTTGACAGCAACTAATACCGTATTTCACCAAGAGGCTCAGCTCGGATTTCGGTATAGTTTATTATGCTGTCTTTTTCCTCGTCAACCTCAGCAACCAATGCCCTGAGTGATGTCAGCATGGGTAGGCGGGGAAGGAGCGCAAACGTACACATTATCGCCCTTGATCACGTATAACCCAAGTGGAACCATCTCGACGCCTTGATCGACAGAGTACTCCCGCTCAACGCTGTCCGCGAGGATCAAATTGGTATAGACATCGGAACCTTTGAGCTTGCCCTGAGATATGTTAAAGAAGCTCTGGACGGAAAACGATCTGAAAGACTTACAACGATGATTCGGCCATCTTGGAGGATGACTTGGACAGTGTCTGGGGTATACTGTCAGCCACGCGCATACTCGGCTGATATCGCAAGCCATATATGTATACTTACGGTCAACATAGCTCTCGACTGACGCCATTCTTCCTATCGTACGCGAATGAGGAGAGGGAAAGACGGGAGGTAAGAAGAGTGGGATGGGATGCCGAGGCGAGCGCGGAAGATGAGCCTAGCTTGGGCGAGGTGTTGGCCCAGAGTAGAGTGGGATGTGGGAGTGGACAGGGAGGATAAGACTTAAGAGCGTCTAGGAGACTTGTTGAAAGCGCTCAAGGCGTGTGTGGGGTGCGCAGAAAAGGGACGGTAATTGCCTGATTGGGTGTTTTCGTAGTCGCGGTGGACAACAACCAACAAGTCCATCCGGCTTTGTCCATCTCTCCTACAAGCCATATATATAACCCCGTGACCCGTCTCCCCCCTCACACTCTTTCGCCCCACCGTCCAGCCTCCCGCCAGACCCCCCCACCCCGCCCGTCCCCCACCCCGCCGTCCCCCTACCACAGCATCCCCCACCCTCACCTTTCCTCCTCCGCCCACGCCCCCTATACTCCTCGCCATATTCTACATTGCAGCACAACATGGCCACTACCCACGTAATCGGCTCGTCCAACCCCGGCGCTCACCTCACTTCCTCGGGGAGCCATTCGTCGAGCTCGAGCAACATTGTTGGTGTCCACTACAAAGTAGGGAAGAAGATTGGAGAGGGATCTTTCGGTGTCATCTTCGAAGGTCCGTCATATATACCATCTCGCCGAGCCCGCTGACAGTGCACAGGGACAAACTTGCTCAACTCGCAGACCGTCGCCATCAAGTTTGTGCGCGGAAATACCCTTGTAGGCGACCTCCCAACTGACCATGCATCAACAGGAACCGCGAAAGTCGGATGCCCCCCAGCTTCGAGATGAGTACAGGAGCTATAAGATTCTTAGCGGATGTCGTGAGTTCAAGCCGCGTGCCCTGTCGCTTCCGCGACTGACCCGTTATCAGTCGGCATCCCCCAGGTGTACTACTTTGGCCAGGAAGGGTTGCACAACATCCTCGTCATCGACCTGCTCGGGCCTTCTCTGGAGGACCTCTTCGACATGTGTGGTCGGAAGTTCTCAGTCAAAACTTGCTGCATGACCGCTAAACAGATGGTCAGTCAGGGATTATCCACGCCCGTGTGGTGGGGAAGGCTCGTGCGGACAAACATGTGTTGTCCAGTGCAAGCTGCCTCCATCAAGTGCTGTACTGACATCTATGCTGTAGCTGTCACGGGTCCAGACCATCCACGAGAAGAATTTGATCTACCGAGATATCAAGCCCGACAACTTTTTGATTGGCAGGCCTGGTACCAAGGGCGCCAACGTCGTCCATGTCGTCGATTTCGGTATGGCCAAGCAATACAGGGACCCCAAGACGTAAGTATCTGTATCAATCTCTACGAGTTGCTACTGATTGCCGTATAGTAAGCAGCACATTCCGTACAGAGAGCGGAAGAGTTTGAGCGGAACTGCCCGTTATATGAGTATCAACACTCATTTGGGCCGAGAACAATCACGTAGAGATGACCTTGAGGCTCTCGGCCACGTCTTCTTCTACTTTCTTCGAGGCGGTCTCCCCTGGCAGGGTCTCAAGGCTGCCACCAACAAGCAAAAGTACGAGAAGATTGGAGAGAAGAAACAGACTACCCCCATCGCTGAGCTTGTCGAGGGCTACCCTAGTGAGTACAATAGATCGTCGGCCCTAGTCTTATTGACACTCGCACAGACGAGTTCTCCATCTACCTCAACTATGTCCGAAAGTTGACTTTCGACGAGACTCCCGACTATGACTTTTTGAGGGGCTTATTTGATCTGGCGTTGAGCAACAGCGGGGAGATCGATGACGGATTGTACGACTGGATGGTCTTGAACAATGGCCAAGGATGGGAGGCTTCAGGAGTGAGTCATGTCCTACTTCCAAGGCGTTGCTTGCTGACCCCGGGCGCAGCGTCAATCTTCTGCCCAGGCCGAAGTCGCCCGACACAACACTCGTGGTCGTGACAGGGAATACAGGGATAGAGTCGACAAGCTCAGAAATAGCTCCGCTGCTCAGCCATCTCCTCTGTGAGCCATCACCCTTGCCTTACAGGACGTCCCCTAACATGTATAGCAAACAAAGGAAATCGGGCCAAGCTGGTACTGCTCTTCCCAATGCTAGCAACCAGGCTATCGTCGGTGTATCCGCTCCCAGCCCGTTGCCTCAATCGCGACGACAGTCTCAGCAAGGTGGGCATCCGTTTGCGTCTGCAAAGGCATCGCACGGTGAAAGGAATGAGACGTATGACCCGTCAAACATAGCTGTCCAATCCCAAGCCGGTCTCCAGCCTATCAGCCCTATGAATGTCAACTCTCGAGGCGGCAACACTGCTGCCAACTCTCAGCAAGTGGGCGAGACGGACTATCGACAGGAGCCCAAGGGAGGCAATGGCTTCATCAAGTTTATCACTTGTGGTTGTTTCCGATAGTCGTGAGTGGCCCTGGCGCTTGATCGTAACTGTATGCTAACTACATACAGTCAGTAATACCTCTCTTTCTTTCGCTTTCACTGTCACTGCATCCAAACACCGTCAACGACACTCTCATGCTATCCCGTTCACGCCTTTTCACTGCTATACAGCTTTGGCTCAAAAGAAATACTTTAATTGATTCTATAGCCCATTTTGTTCCAAATTTTGTGTTTATTTTTACCCGGAACTTGCATACCCATCATTCCGTCCTTACTCATATGGCCCGTCCTTTTTCTTTTCTCCAGTCTGTCTGTCGTCCTCTTACGTTTGTGTTTCATTGGTACTTTTTTTCACGATATGTGCGGCGGGTTTATTAGGTCGGGCGAGAGGTGGACTTGCTAGGGAGGCGCTTGTCCACCGCGCTTTCTTTTGGTATCTGGTCCCAGCATCCCATTTCTAGACGTACAGTACATAAAATAATGGACCGTATGGATACCTCTGCGAGCCATAGATGGGTCATGACGAGCACGAGACGACGCGCGCGGATGCCCGATCGTCGCTGTGTTGGTCGCCGACGCAGCATGCAGCGACATCGCCACCCAGCATCAACATCCCGTTCCCTTCTTCTCTCCCACTTTCTCCGCCACTCCTGCTCTAGCCACCCCTCTCATGCCCGTCTTGCCCTCTCCCACTGCGCCATTCGGCTTCCTCGAACCACTCCACGCCTACGTCCTCGCACACTCTGAGCCCCTGACATGGTCCAACTGGTGGAGACTCGCTGTACTGCCCACCATCCCTCTATTATTGCAGGCTGTGCTGCTGAGGAAGGAGGGCACAAGGAAAGATCGTCTGGCTCTCGGCGTAGTAGGGATAGCGCTGCTCTGGCATGCCTGCCTGAGATACCGCTTGGAACGTAAGTCGGTGATGCTTCGTCCTCGGTCATGCTGACCTTTTGTCAGAGCCATGGTACAACGCCCTCAATAACGGCATCTTCATTGGCTGTATGACACTCACAGTCCGTTACCTGGAATTCGCCCTCATCAATGGGAGACTCGTCGACCAGTATTGGGAAGACAAGGGGCAGCACTGGCTTGTGTCGGCCTTTGATGTGTGTACGAATGCCAGGTGGATCGGGCTCGATCCTGTTGAGCCGGGATCTAACGGGATAGAGAATGGTGGCAAGAGGCCCAAAGCAGACAAAGAAGTCTCGGTTGGAACAGAGGTCAAGCCTGGAGACAAGGCCATCTCACCAGCAAGGAGTTATCCTCCATGGGTTGTAGTGCCTAATTCACTCCCCTCCAGAAGCCATGCCACCATTCGACATCTCACAATCGCCTTTCGAAACTATGTCATCTCTGACATACTCTTGTCTCTATTGCGCTCCTTCGGAGCAGACTCTATCGGCTCTTCCACCCCAGTCCCCGACGCTCTTCACCGTTTTTCCAGTGATAACACTTTCGTGCTATTCCCCAAGCTAGGGAATGGATTAGAGTCGCCGTGGTGGATGACGGAGATGGCAGCTGTCATTGCAGTGGCGCTTTGTGTATGGTTGGGGCTGAGCATGGGGTACCATGGGATAGCAGGCGTCATGGTCGGCACAGGATTGCATGAAGCGGAAGCGTGGGAGATCGATCTGTTTGATCATCCTCTCAAGTCGGATAGTCTCTTGGACTTTTGGGGCCATCGATGGCATCAGTTCTTCAGGGTGGGTATCCGTCCGTAACCAGTATGGGACATGGGCTGATGATGGCTTAGCATTCATTCACACTCGTCTCCACCCAAACCCTTCGCTTCTTCCATCTCCCGGCGACATCGACATATGTTCTAGGTCTGTCGTTCTTCTTCTCCGGCGCGATGCACGCCATGGGCCAATTCACCATGGACCCGGTGCCAGCCTTGTTTCCCATATTTGTGCTCTTTCCAATCTCTGGACTAGGTTGCGCCCTTGAGGTCCAATTCAAACGTTGGACTGGGAAAAAGGTCGGAGGATTCTGGGGTAGGATATGGACGTGGAGTGTCATGTTGACCACGGGCAGGTGGGCGGCCATTGCGTGGTTTGAAAGCGGCGTCGGAGGAAGTTACCTTTGCCCCGCATGGGCTGGGGATCTTCTGAAACCCTTCATCCTGGAATGGATATTGAATAGAAAGTAGATCATCGTTACATGTGCATATATATATATATATAGATTGAAGACCATGTACAAACATCCAGGTCTACAGTGAGCGAGCAGCAAGGTCAGAATTCTGAATGAAGCTAAGGTTGAACGATGATAATACCCTTACGTAACGATGATTCCTCCACTTTTGAGATTTTGAAGATTGGTTTTGCTGTGATTGTTCATGGTCACTCGCTCAAGTATCCCAGTTTATAAATATGGTGCGTGTCCTTGTGCCAGCTGCCGGCCTCTGCTTACCTGTCTCCACAGCCTCCTAGAACTAAAACCCAGACCTCGGGCCTGGGCAAGGCGCTCAAGAACCGCAAAGCTAAGGAAGCCGTGGCGCCCAAAGAATCCCAACTGGTGAGCCACCGATTCAACGGCCTCACCCCAATCTCAAGCTTACACATCTTCAGTACACCCTAGATGACAACAACCCTCTCGCCTCGGTCACCCATGAACGAGACCTCGATGAATTCCTCGCCAATGCTGCTCTTGCCGACCAAGATTTCACCACGGAGCGTAGTAAGATGAGGATCATTTCTGCTCCCGGCATGCCTGTCCCCGAAGGGAACCCATTCCTGCTGTCGGCTGCTGAGGAGAAAGATATCGTGAAGAAGAAGGCGGCATTCGAAGGCGGATTGACAGTGCCGAGACGACCATATTGGACTCGACAGACTACGAGGCTGGAACTTGAGAAACAGGAGCGAGAGGCTTTCCTTGAATGGAGAAGAGAGATTGCCAAGTAAGTTGCCACACTCTCAAGGAATCTTTCATTGACAATTCGTCAGGCTTGCCGAAACATCAAATCTCCTTCTTACTCCCTTTGAGCGTAATATCCAACTCTGGCGACAGCTCTGGCGTGTGATCGAGAGATCTCAGTTGATTGTGCAAATCGTGGATGCCAGAAACCCTCTGGGATTCAGGAGTGTGGATTTGGAGAATTATGTGAGAGAGATTGGAAGCGATGAGGGTGCGGAGGAAATTACGGTCCCTGGGAAGGGACACAGAAGGAGTCTGCTCTTGATCAACAAGGCGGATCTCCTTACTTACGACCAGAGGTAAGCAGTTTGAGACAATCAAAGGGTGATTTTGCTGATAGTCATTCAGATGCGCTTGGGCGGACTACTACGAGCGCCATAACATCTCCTACGCTTTCTTCTCTGCGGCCAACGCTGCCGCCCTGCAAGAGCAGGCGGAAAAGCAAAGGTTGAGGGCACTTGGAGAATACCCCGGTGACCAACAAGAGAGCGATTCGAGCGACGAGGAAGCCGAGAACTCTGTTGAGGAAGATGACGATGCCCCCGAGACCGAGCTTGCGCAGGACCTCGATGAGACCCATATGGATGACGAAGACGAGGAAGACTGGGCTAGCGACGAGGATGACAATGTCGAGCAAGGAAAGCTCGAGAAGACTCTGGTGGACGAAAAGCTCGAGAAGGGCGAGACTATCCCTCTCGAGAAGGTTGCTCAGGATGTTGGGGCCAAATATGGAGAATCCACGGAAGAGGAAGAAGACATCAGGACACGAGTCCTTTCTGTCACTGAGCTCGAAGACTTGTTCATCAACTCTGCCCCCGGCCTCGAACACTTTGCCACCCCGCAGTACCCCAACCCTAAGCTTATGGTTGGTCTTGTCGGGTACCCCAATGTTGGTAAATCGTCTACCATCAACGCTCTTCTAGGCTCCAAGAAAGTGTCCGTCTCTGCCACTCCTGGTAAGACCAAACATTTCCAGACCCTGGTCTTGTCCGACACTGTCACTCTTTGTGATTGTCCTGGTCTCGTCTTCCCACAATTCGCCGATACTCAAGCCGACATGGTAGTGGACGGTGTGCTGCCAATCGATCAAATGAGAGAGTACTCTGCTCCGGTGACTCTACTTTGTAAGAGAATACCTCGAGAGATTTTGGAAGGAACGTATGGTATCAGGATCGATGTGAGGGAGGTGGATGAAGGAGGTACAGGTGAGGTTGGGTGGGAAGAGTTCCTGTCGGCTTATGCCAGTAAGTACGATCTTGATCATACCGATCTCGTGATTAACGCTTTTTTTCAGTTGCCCGTGGTATGACCCGTTCGTCTTTCGGTATGCCCGATACGTCTCGAGCGGCTCGTTACATCTTGAAAGACTATGTCATCGCCAAACTTCTCTACGCGCATCCCCCTCCTGGAATCTCTCCTGACGACTTTATGGCGACCTCTCGCGAGGAGTCTATCGCTCGTCTGGAAGAGGAGTTTGAGCAGGGACGAAAGCGAGCGCCGGTCAGCCATGTGTCTCGCAATGCCGACACCTACGTTGCTCCTGCTGGATCACAGGGTGTGGATGCTGCCATGCCCGAAGATGCGGTAGAGAATGTCAAGCGCGAGCGACAGGCGACGTCAAAGCAGATCAAAGCCAACGCTGCATCGGCTCCTGCTCGGTCAGGCCGAGAAAGAATCAGCGCTTTGGACAATGTCTATTTCAATGAGGGCGGCCAGCAGCCTCGTCTCGTAGTCAAGGGGCGCAACCAGCCCGGTGAATTGCAGGAAGGCGGTCAAGGGTTTTCGAGGAAGACCATGTATCCTCACCAGAGGATGTTGGGGCCAGATGGAATGCCCATCATTGGTGCAGGGGACAAGGGATCTGAGGGTGCCGATAATGGAAAGAGACATTTCAAGAGAAAAGAGGGAAAGAAGAGGTCTGGTCGTGGTTATGACTGAGCAGGTGGTAGCATGTGGTTCAAGTATCATTTCATACCATTGCGGGCGCTTGGTAATATCTGTATGTACTTGTATCTGCCGATGCAGCTTCTACCCCAGAAGTATCGTACAATCTCGCGTGGAGAGGACCATCTTTCGATTACACCGATACGAGCCTATTTGCTTATGCATATGCCCAAGGTGGGCAACATCAGCTTTTTCACTCTCATGACTCCTCCTTCAATCATCCGCAAAAGATTTTTCTGCTTTCTATCGTGAGCCCTGGCCAACGTCTTCTGAATCAAGTATTTCGGTGAGAAGGAGGAAGCTGAGATTACACGATCTGATACTAGGTGGGACAATGGTCTGTCCATGTTCAGCAACGAAAGGTTAATCATTGGTCTGGAAATGTGGAGCTCTTGCTGCATAGCAACAGTGTGACTGTAAATGTCTCATGCAATACAATGCAATCGACTTGTAAATGGCATAAGCTAGGTGCAGTTGACTTGATTCCCTCTCAAACTATGATTGATGTCAGCTCACGACATTGTAGAAAGCAAAACACTCACTGCGACTCTATCTCCTGTGGAATGGTATTCTGAAACCGCTGACCAACGCCCTCGCATTCTCATGCGCATTGTCTCCCGTCAGGTTGGTCTTGAAAAAGACGTGGAAACCATGCAGCCTGGGGTAGGCATCGGTGTTGGCCTCGATTTGGGGGAAAAAGCTCATGGCGGTGTGTCCGAAACCAAAGCTGACCACCCCTGCCAGACTTGCCGGCGAGTTTTTAGGGGTAGAGGCGGGAGGGAGAGGGACTCCAGAAAAGTCTCGCAGGCGGGGGAGGACAAAGTCGACGAGGGATTGGAGGAAATCGTACATGGCCTCGCCCTTGAGCTCGACCTTGACAGCGACTGGCATGCCCGAACGGAGCTTCCAAGCGGCGGCAGACTTTTTTGCGGCAATGACCTGCACGCCAGAGGAGCCTTTCCGCCCACCGCCGTTTGCTGTTTCACCAGAGATGGCTCTGAGGGCAGCGACGGCGGACAAGAGGGTGTTCTTGTTCCCAACAGCCTCCTTGACCATTGTATGGATAATGATGGATTCTACTTTCGGGACAGTCTCTGGTCCGACCTCTGTCGTCTTTGTGCGGACGGCACGGTTACCCCTCATGATCGGGGGTTTGGGCCGGTTGGCCTCGTACGGTGTGGGGGGTCTCTCGATGGCAGGGGGCGCTTCAGGTTTCTGGGAGAGTCTGTGGGAGTAGGTCATGTACATGAGGTCGGAGGAGAGGGTTTTGTTGTAGTGCTGGCCATAGCGAGAGGGGTGGGTAGGGCCGAGGTGGATGAGGGGAAGGGTCCATTCGTCGTTGGGGGCCGGTTTGGCTTTTGGGGGCTGGGATGAGGCGGCGCGGGCGAGGGAGGGGATGGCGGGGGCTCGCCTGAGAAGGGGCCGCAGAGAAGGGGAGGCCATGGTGCGCAGTGAGAGGATGTAAAGTGCAGGAGTGAGATGCAATTCCGACTTTTCGTTCGAGGGCGATAGGCGTGCGGGGGGCGGCGGGCAGCGCCTAGGGAGACCATGCTCCATATACTTGTACGTCCATCTTTGGTCCATCTACTAATCTGCCATCTACAAATCTACTAATCCACTACCACTAATCTTCTAATCTAACTAATCTGAGCACGATGCCCGCGCCGCCCCTCTCCCTCCTGCAGTCCCTCTCCCCCCGCATCGCCGTCCTCGCAGCAGACGACGTCACCACTTCCTCAGAGGCAAACGGCTGCAGAGGCCTCCACGAACTCCTCCGCCCCTGGGAGGGCGCCACAGACAGGGTCTCCATCCTCAGCTCCACCCTCGCCCCCACCCTCCACCCCACCTTCCCCCTCCGCTTCGTCGCCTGGGACTCGGTCTACCTCAACCCCGCCCTCTCCTCCCCAGACCCACACCTCCTCGTCGATACCATCAGCAGCTTCGTCGCCGCCAAGAGTCCCGGTCAGTCCATCCCATCTCCTGCACATTCGCCCTATTGACGCGCACACAGACGAGGAACAACACTACCCCTTGACTCGCTCGCTGCTGCTCTCTTCAAGACCTCTAGCCCCCTACGAAACTTTCAACCACCCCGTCGGTATCCTCTTCGCCGTATCCACATCGACCCCGGACCCCCTCGGCACCCTCAGCAAGCTGCAGGCTAGAACAGTAGGAACGGGCTCGCAGAATGTACCTTGGCTGGATGGAGTGACTGTCCTGAAATTCTACGTCGTAGTTCATGATGTCAGTCGGATGGGAGATGATATGGCACCGTAAGTCTTGTGTCTGTTCATGCTGGCTCCTGCTGACCGTCTCAGGGCTCACGAGCTGTTGGCCAATGTCAAACGGGCATATGGTCCTCACTCGACTCTTCTCGTCATCAATTCTCAGACTGAACATCGCTCTGCACCTCCTTCTCCCGACACATCCACGCACCCTACTATACCTCTTCCACGACCGTTCACTCCCGAAGACGGCAACCCATCAGCCTTGTCTCAAGTCTACGCCTCCGCCCTATCGTCGTTAACGCTGTCGCCAATGTCTGCCGCTGCGCACCTCCTGAAAAGCAACGACGGTGACCAACCATTGGCTACACCAGGGAAACCTTCACGGCGGAAATTATACGGAGCCAAGTTGACAGCAGAAGACACTCAGCGTCTTGCAGCACTTGTGCGGGAGCTGGTCGTCCAAAGTCTGATCCCGTGGATGGAGGCGCGTATACGAGAATGGAATGAGGTGTACCATGCCAACAGGCGGGGTATCACGGGCAGGCTGTTTGGCGCGGGCAGAAAGCTGTTTGGCAGCAGGCCTAACAGCCCAGCGACCGACGCGGGGGCTGCAGGGTACAATGCTGCTGCCGGCTACTACCCCTTGACAGCTATCGAAGGTCTATCACGGCGTCTTGCTGATTTCGCATTCATGCTTCGCGACTACCGTTTCGCGTCCAACATCTACGACTCTTTACGAAAAGATTATGCGCAAGACAGGGCGTTCCGTTACGCCACTGCGGCCACAGAAATGTACGGTCTCTGCCTCCTCCTATCCCACTCATTCTTCAATCCCTCCGTCTCTCCCAATCGCGATCCCATACCATTCACCAATCTTCACCATACCGAAGTGACATCATGGCTGGAACAAGCCGTCGTGTCCTATCATCGTTCCGGTCCTGCCTCACAAATACAAGTGGATGCTTTGCGCATTACGATGCTCTACTATGAAGCTTGGAAGGCTGTCAAGGAGTGGCGCGGGGTCGGCGCCACACTGGTCAAGGGAGCAGGGGAAGCAGACGAAGTGCCGAATGCCGTCTTTATTGAAGAGGCGGCAGCGGCGGATCTGAGGAGCGGCAAGAATGGCAGAGGAAAGCGAAGGAGTGCCTTCCATCTTGTGCTGGCTGCAAGAAGGTATGAGACTGCAGGATTGGTGAGCATTTCAATCATCCCTCATGGCGATAGCTGAATCCTGATAGAAAACATACTCCCGAAGGTGTCTTGAGCGCGCCTCCGAGATCTATCGTACTGCTCCTTGGTCAGCAGCCCAAAATCACATTGAATTCTCATTAGGGCGACAGGCCTATACCTTGGGGCAAAGTGACGTCGCTGTGGAACATTTCTTACGGTTGCTGCGAAAGGAAGACACCACTGGGCTTGGTTCCCAATCAGGGCCCCTGCAAGATCTAGAGCTAGCTTATGAGCAATTGCAAGCTCATCCGGATTTGCTGAAAAAGTCGAAAGAGAAATTGCAGCTTCCAACAGCTATTTTCGATCACAAACAGACAAGAATCAGCGCGGCTTCAGTGTCGCCTGTGGTGTTTGGGACTATGAGGCAGGAGTGGGCGCATCTAGAGAAGCAGGCGCTGAGTCGATGGAATAGAAAGGGGAAGAGGCCGGCCGCGCTGTTGTCGGACGACAAGAAGCTTGTTGTCAGCGTAGGGGGTGAGTCTAAATCTTCAAATCACTCAAAATCACAGTTTGACAATAATTGCAGAGAGTTTTACGGTAGAATTGACTGTAACCAATCCTCTGGATTCTCCTCTCTTGATCTCAAAGCTCGAGCTTCAATTTGATCCGCCTTCAGCTGTCGAGATGGAATCTTACCCAGACATCACTCTCGACCCATACGAATCACGCGCTATCTTTTGCTCCGTGGCTGTCCCAACCTCCTACCCAAGCTCAGGTACCATCAAGCTCCTCAGTGTCTCGTTCAAATTCAACGGGTTTCTTCCATGTACTCAAAACCTTGCCAAGAGAGGGAAACGGCTACATGCGACAAAGGCACAGAGGTTGCAGCCTACGTATGCAGAGGACACATCGTTGGCGGTGTTCCTCTCAGCTGAGCGACCTCGAATCCTTGCCGAATTAGTAGACCTCCCCGAGAATGTCTACGAGGGAGAGATCGTGGAAAGCGCCATAAGAATCCGCAACGTTGGCAACAACAGTGTGGGAGAAGTGAGTATGATCTGGAGTGAGGGTGTGCTTGTTAGTAGAAAGGGTACCGAGCATCAAGATGCCTCGTCGAGAATCGCCAATCATATCAGTCTCAATCAACTGGAAAGTCTTTACCAAGAGCCTTTGTCTTCAGGGGAAGAAGTCGATATACCGATATCATTTTCGGGTTTGTCGCCTGGCGCCCTTGATGTCAGAGGGTTGCTGGTGTACAGCGACGAGCAGGGGAAGAAGGAGACTTCGGCGACAGTGATCCATCACTCGCTGAATATCCACCCGCTAGCAGCTCTAACGACAAAAATCAGTCCCGTAGGTAAAACCCTGGGCGAGTATGCGGTGCTGGTAGAGGCGGAGAATGTGTCTGCAGAGACCGTAAAGATTGAGAGTCTGGCGGGGGCGGCGCCTGCTTGGGACGTGCAGGAGATGAGCTTCGAAAGGTGAGTCTTCGCCAACAACAAGTGGCCAGTCACTTATCAATAGTAGCCATCTGCTGCCCAACCAAACTATGCGGGCGCGCTTAACAGCGAAGCTGAACTTGGATAATACTTTCGACGTCACGCAGTCCGCCACCGTCAAGGCTCTCGGAGAGCTCATCGAAGGCCGAGCTGCTGATGAGACCCGCGCAGATATCACACCTACAGTGTCTCTGCTCGGTGGGCCTGCAGCTGAATGTCTACCGTTCCTAAGCGCATCTCGCCGAGCTTATCGACTGACATATCTCCACACCCATTTTCCGACCATCCCCATAGATTCTCTGTCAGCTTTGTTTCCGCTGTTTGCTCCCCTGGAATTGGATATTTTGATCAGATACTCCATCTCCTCTCCTTCGAAAACGTCTGTTCGCCGAGGCTACCTCACCCTACATGCTCTTCGCCTCTGCCCGGATTTCTCCGCTGTTGAGATACTGAAGAAGCAGGTGGAGGAAGCTATCGTGAGCGGCACGAGGCAGACAAGGACAATGTACGAGGAGACAGGACGACTGCGAAAGCTGTTGTTAGACAGCGTCTTGGACGGTTGCTTGGGCCAGGAAGAAAACCCTGTCGGCGTTGAGGTTGGGGTGGAAGATGAAAACGAGGACGGTATCATTGAACATGACTTCAGAGAAGGGTATGTCCAGTCCATCTCCGTGAAACGTCTGCTAATTTCGGGCAGGCCTTGCAGCGTTCCAATCAATTTCACCGTTCGGAACCATTCCCCTCTGCTTCCTGTCAGATATATTATCACGCTTCCTCCTCCACTTCCTCAGCACGCATCCAATACCTCCGGGCCGGCGTCCTTGACGTCTCCCCGCTTCATCGGCCAGCTCTCGTACCGCGGAACATTAGCACCGGTATCATCTGCGGTAGTGCAGTCTTCGCTATGGCTCAGTGATCCTGCCTTGGTGAATGTGAATGGGTGGAAGCTGGAAGTCGAGACCGGGCAAGAGAAGAGCATTGCGGAGGGCAAGTGGGAGACTAGGAAGGGTTGGAGGAGCGAAGGGGAATCAAAGATTGTGGAGGTAGCTGAAGTGCGGCGGAAGATATAAAAGCCGATTCGCATGGCGGAGGGGCACAGCCAAGACGACAAACCCCGTGTACAGTACTGTACATATATTCTTCATTATAATACCCTCTCTCATGCACAACAGAGAATGGCCGAAGATATATCATCAAGCTGCTGCATGGTAATGAAATTGATCCCGCTCGCTCGGGACGTGCGTGACAGTTGCGAGTTGCGTTCACGCTGTTGCATCTGGTGGCCATCAATTCAACAGCTCGGTTCTTTTCACCCAGCCTTCAGACACCATCCGCAGCACAAAGCACCGCACCACTAGCCCGTCGTCCTCGGCCGTCTCGAACATGTCTGAAGCAGATCGGCAGGTCTTTCCCCACATCGTCGGCTTCATCGCCGCGCGCCTGGTCGATGGTACATATAGACAAATCCCCCCTATCGGACTGCCCACAGCCGGTGATGTTGCAGCTTTGGGACGCATATGGAGATCATACGTGGCTCACAACAGAGGACAAGTTTACACGCTACTCAGCCGGCGTAGAAATGCCAGTAGAGACTTTACCGGACTCAAGGGTACAGTTCAACACTTGATTGAACACACAAGAGATACCCAGCAATACGTGAGTTATAGCTGTCTTAATGTACAGTATTGTTCTTACTTTGGGCTGTTAGCTTGGGACGGTATCGGAACTCTCCCTTCGCACCTTGATCCCGGATCTTTCGACCTCCGCGGCGGACATCCTTCGCAATCCTCCGTATAAACCGATAGGCAACTTGGACGCCACTGTATTGGCGCTCTGTCGTTGGTTCAAAGACGATTTTATGAGCTGGGTCGATCCTGTACTCTGTCCGCAGTGCAATGGTCCCACGCAGGGTGCCGGCAATGCGGCTCCGTCTGCGCAGGAGTCGACGAAAGGCGCTGGCAGAGTCGAGCTTCATCGTTGCGCAGATGGCGCTTGTGGGGCAACACGAAGATTCCCAAGATACGGAACTGTGGCTGCGCTGGTAGAAAGTAGGGAGGGAAGATGCGGTGAATGGGCGCATCTGTTCTACGCCATGATGAGAGTCAAGGGTATCGAAGGGAGGTACATCTGGAACAGGCAAGTGTTGCACCTTGGAGTCATCTAAACAATTGCTGAGTCTATGAGCAGTGAGGATCACGTCTGGTGTGAGTACTGGTCTCCGACAATGAATCACTGGGTACATGTAGATCCATGGTAAGCACGCTCGTTCTTGCCACCCTTCGCCATTGCGTGTTTCATCTTGTTTGCTCACATCTGACCAGCGAAGCTGCCACCAACAAACCGTTGACATATGCCAAAGGTTGGGGCAAAAAACAAGCATATTGCCTGTAAGGAATCTCAGTGGTTTCCGTTTCCTACTCACAGCTGACTGATCTCCGTAGCGCATTCGGGCCATATGGGGCGGAGGATGTGACTAGGGCATATGTCGATGATTGGGACGGGGACTGTCAGGTCAGAAGGCGAGCTCGTGGCTGGAGTGAGAGAGACCTTCAAGTGGTGCGTCTGCCTTCCTAGCAATCATGGATCGTACCGACCAGACATGGTAGGAGCTACTCAAAATCACGGTATCCTTGCGCCTCAGAATGGATCCCCTTTTGCGAGCCCGTCTCTATCGCATGGACGAAAGCCAAAGATCTTGGATTTCTGACGAGAATACTCGACTCAAGGAGGCCGAAAGTATGGGATTCGAGGGGCGCATCTCTGGGTCAGACGAGTAGAAGAGAATGCGAGATGAACTTGGTGATGCCAAGAGAGCGGTGGTCAAACCTAGATACACAGGTCTGAGGGCTTTTTAGGTGGCCGCTAATCTCATCTTCACAGTTGTGACTCAATTTGGTGCACAAGTCGGCGACCTCGTCAGATTTGGCGATGTCCAAACAGACAGTGACTCCGAGATTGTCCTCACATCTGCTAAAAGCCAAACTTCAGCAGCTTTCCAACCATGTCCAATCCCTCAAGCCGGGGGTGGGGACGGAATTGCAATCTTGTTTGCGAACAACCAAAGCATGGGGCTGGGGGGGGGGGGGGGTATGGGCTCGGATACTCAGGAGCAGGTGATGAAGGCGATTTCGCTGTCGAAGGTAGCTTCTTCACCCTATCAGAGACACGTATTGCATGCTCATGTGGAAGGACTGTAGTCGATACGTATCGTACACGGGATTTGGCCAACGATCCTCCAACACCACACATATCTGTTCACTCCCCTTCAAACGCCCATCACCGCAGGCGACCTGCCGCAAGTGAGCAACGGAGAGGAATATACTCTGCATCTGATATACTCAGGGAATACTCGACGATTGAGGAGATACTTGACAGTACCGCCCTCGGATGGAGGCGGGGAAATTGAGCTTGTGGATGTTGTCATACCTAAGGGAAGGACAATGTCAGATTGGTATGCGGGCGTCACCGGCTCGTGCGGAGGACTTTGGCAAAGAGTAAGCATTGGCTTAAGGATCTATGTATCTCCGCTCACACCCTAGCAGCAAGAGGTCACCAAATGGAGTATAGACCTCATAGAATTCGAAGAGGGCGACGTTGTGAGAGAAGAGGCCGATGACGTTTGACCTATCATGCATGTAATGCACACCATCTTAATCTTATTTAGTGACCGAAATGAGAGGGGAGATGACATGCCCAAGACTTCTATGCTAATGCTATGCAAATACAAAATTACTCGTGATTGACTCTTCAAGTCTTGAACGATTTTTGAGTCTAGAACGACTCTTTTTTTACTACAATACTTTCGTAAAGCTCCTCAACAGCGTTACTTGCTCAACTGCTTCGTCCTGAAAGCCTCCGACATCTCCCTCTGCACATTGGGCATCACAGGCTGGTGGTTTTTGTACTCCATGGAGAATTCACCCTTGCCTTGCGTCATGCCTCTCAGTTGACTAGAGTAGCCAAACATGTCATTGAGCGCCACCTCGGCCGAAAGTGTAAACTCATCGTCACGGATCTCGGTGTCGACGATGGTACCTTTACGCTGGTTGATAGCACCGATGACGTTACCCTGGAACTCGATGGGAGCGACAATCTCGACGGTCATGACGGGCTCAAGAACGACAGGCTTGGCCTTCTGGAAAGCTTCGCGGAAAGCCCCAATAGAAGCCAGCCTGAAAGCCAACTCGTTGGAATCCACGGCGTGGGCAGAACCATCCTCGAGGATGAATCTGCACCCAGTGATGGGGTGGCCGGTGATGAGGCCTCGGTCGAGAGCTTCTTGGAAACCCTTCTCGATAGCGGGGATGAATTGGTTGGGAATATTGCCTCCGATAATCCTGTTGTCGAATGCGGTGTCCTTGCCAGTGTCGGGGTCGACCTCCATAGGCTCGATTGAACCAATGACTCGACCGAACTGACCGGAACCACCAGATTGCTTCTTGTGGGTGTAGTTGAACTTTGAAGGCTCGGTGATGGTTTCGCGGAAAGCGACACGAGGTTTACCGGTGACACAGGCGACGTTGTACTCGCGCTTCATGCGCTCGACGTAGATGTCCAGATGGAGTTCGCCCATACCCGAGATGATGGTCTGTTTTTGATCAGCAAATGAATGCGAAAGGGCAATAGGCTCACCTCCTGCGACTCGCTATCAACGTGTACTCGGAAAGTAGGGTCCTCTTTTTGGAACCGGTTGAGGGCTCGAGAGAAATTGGGGGTCTCGTTGCCTTCAGGTCGGATCGAAAGAGAAATGACCGGTTCGGGTACAAACATGGAGGTCTACCCGAGTCAGCGCATTCCCTTCTCTAACGACGACAACATACCATAGTATAAGTCGAAGTGCCGTCATTGAAGGTATCTCCCGAGGAGCACTCGACACCAAACATGGCACAGATTTCACCAGCTCCTACCGACTCGACATCCTCCATCTCATCGGAATGCATCCTCACCAATCTCGGCACTTTGACTCTCTTTCCTGTCCTTGCGTTGTAGATCAAAGTACCCCTCTTAAGAACACCTTGGTAAACCCTCATGTAAGTGAGCTGGCCATACTTGCCCTCTTCGAGCTTGAAAGCCAAACCGACAAGTGGGGCATCCGCGGCGGGTACGATTGGGATCGTTGGCGCGTGCGCTGGAAGGGTAGCGTCCATAGCTTGGTTGTCCACTTCACTGGGATTGGGGAGGTAAGTGCAAACACCATCCAACAAGGGCTGAACCCCGGTGTTCTTAATGGCAGAGCCCATGAAAACGGGGGTGAATCGGAGGGAAGTGGTAGCACGCTGGATGGCTTGGGCGATGTCGGTATTGGAGATAGGGACTTCGTCGAGGAAAAGGTCGCACAGGGTTTCGTCGGCTTCGGAGAGCAGCTCGATGAGTTCGGCTCGCTTTTCGGCGACTAGCTCGCGGACACTTTCCGGAATCTCGTCGCTCTCGACAATCTGATTGCTGTGACAATTTAACTAAGAGCCAAGAGCAGGTATGGCAAGTGACTCACCCCTTGACGCCTTCGTTGTATATGGCCTTCATTCTAACAAGATCCACAACTCCACCAAAGTCACCCTCGGATCCAATTGGCACCTGCACAGCGGCAGCGTTCATCTTGAGCTTGGCTCGAAGCTGGGTGATGACCCTCCAGGGGTTTGACCCGGCCCTGTCCATCTTGTTGATGAAAGTCAACCTGGGGACATTGTACCTTCTCATCTGCCTGTCGACCGTGATGGTCTGACTCTGGACACCAGAGACGGCACAAAGCACAAGCACAGCACCATCAAGTACTCTCAAGGCACGCTCTACTTCGATAGTGAAGTCGACGTGACCGGGTGTGTCGATGATGTTGATCGCAAAGTTCTCCTTGCCTACATTGTCGAATTGTTGGCCATCGACGAGTTCGGTAGGGGGAGTAGGGGCGACCCAGTCGCAGAAGGTAGCAGCAGATTGGATGGTGATACCCTTTTCACGCTCAAGTTCCATAGAGTCCATCTTGGCACCGACGGCATCACGGCCTCGGACCTCGTGAATGTCACGGATTCGTCCAGTGTAGTAGAGAACCTGAAGGTTGTAAATATAAGCTTAAACTATCATCAGTCATATGCCCACTCACCCGCTCGGTCAGGGTGGTCTTGCCGGAATCAATATGGGCAGAACTATATATATAGTCAGACCAGCTAGAAATCCTTGATTTTGTGCTCACATTCCAACGTTTCTCTGCCTCTTCAATCTCGACTTGTCGGTCTCGCTGAGAACTGGAAGCTTCCTCTCGGGCCATTGTTGATCACCCCCGTCGACAGTTCTAGCTGCGGTGCTCGCCCATCTCCTTGGGAAGGCGACGCTCTGGCCTTGACGCGCCACTCTGGTGAGAGGCTTGCCCTGGATGGCGCCGAGGGCGTTGAGGACAGGTTGGCGGTGGAGAATCAGAGGGCGATAGAGGGGTGCAGCATGGACGTGTCTAATGCGAGCAGCAGCCCTGGCAACTCCGGTCATCGTGGGTAGGTTCGTCAAATCAAAAGAAAACCCAAAGAAAACCACGCATCAACGAATCTTGCTGCTCAGAAAAAAGAGCTCTTCATTTGCTTCCGGTAACGGCCGCCGGCCGGACGGCTTTTAAACTGCTGATTTCCGGACCGTCCAACCGCCAAACGTGACTTCTCTTCATCACAGAGTGCATGTGCCATGAAGATATCTTGCATTCTTCTCTCTATATGCATACTTGGCCGCATATTGTCACCCAACAGCTGCAAGGAGCACTCGAGCAAGACTGGGACCGCCAGCATGTTCAGCATCACCAGCATCAAGACATCTCTACGCCAGCAGGCAGGTCGCGCACAGCGAGCTACGTTTTTCAAAAGTGTCCAAACTCAGGTAGCACCATCTGCGATTGAGCGCAAGCACCGCAAGGAGCGCGAGGAAGGAGACGTCAGTCGCGTTCCAACACCTTTTCGACTCTATGCGTGTTCGTACTCATGATGGGATTATAGATCAGCTCCGTATTCTCATCCTTGTCTGGTGAAGAGGAGAAGACACTCCCTCCTCGATTTTCTGAGCTCAAGAGAAGTGTCATTGGGGATGAAGCAAACCAGCAAAGGCTAGTGGCCTCTTGGGGGAGGTTAACCCAACATCTCGCCAGAGTCGCTCACGAGATTGAGAGCGGCCAACAAGACGTGCGTAAGACCTGTCATCGTGCTTGTACGTTACCCTGATAGCCACTGTAGTGCATCCCCGAGACAACCTACGACGAGTTCATCAACCACCGCACCCCAGTTCTGGAGCAACGGATCAAGACATGTGGATCCGTCATCATTCGCGACGTCGTGGACGAGCAAACTGCTTTGAACTGGTTGGCAGACCTGAAGTCTTACATTGATCTCAATCCGAGCGTAAAGGGGTTCCCAGAGAATGACAAGCAAGTCTTTGAATTATAGTGAGTATTACTCCGTTATTCGGACTCGAGCATCGACGCTAATAAGCCATCTGTTCACAAAGTTGGTCCAGATCTCAACTATCTGCCAGATCCCATCCTCGAGCCATGGCCGTCCAGCGAGCCCTCCTCGGTCTCTTTTCCCATACTCCCGCCGACCTTGTGTCGCTTCATACCCCAATCACATACGCCGACCGGCTTCGAATCCGCCATCCGGGCGATGCCCAATTTGCCCTAGGCCCCCATGCCGACGGTGGCAGTGTAGAGAGATGGGAGGATGAGACCTATCGTCGGGTGTACCATAGTATTCTGGAAGGGAGGTGGGAAGAATTCGATTCCTGGACAATTGGGGAGAGGGCGCAGGCGAGGCAGAGCATGTACGATGGCCCAGGGTCGGTAGGTTATGATTCTTTGATTTCAAGCAAATGCCGCGCCAGATGCAGCTGACAGATGCCAGTGCGGTGTTTTCAGAGCTTTCCAAGGATGGACCTCCATGTCCAACACGGGTCCTAACGAAGGCACCCTCCAAGTATACCCCTTGATCAAAGAGCTTAGTGCTTACACTATGCTCCGTCCTCTTTTTAGGCAAGTATCCGCTTTGCGCTGCCCAGAACCTCGCGCTCATAACATGTGAAGGGAAAAGCAACCTCGTACGGATTTGGATAGGGACGATTATCTCGCCCCTGCCAATTGGGAGCTCGACTTGGAAACATCCCGCTTTCCAGGGTCTCCGCTAGCTCGAGGTCAAGAATACAATGACACCACCCATCCACATTTGGAGCTGGACAGGACGATGATAGCTATCCCCAGAGTCAAGCCAGGGGATCAAGCTTGGTGGCACGGCGGCGAGTTTGATAATTCCGTCTGCCAATGAACACCAGAGCTGATGACTGAGAAAGACGCCATCCACGCCGTCGAGAAAGTACATAATGGCAAAGGGCCGTCGGCGGTGATGTATATCCCCGCTGTACCACTGACCCTTCAGAACGCAGCATATGTCAACGACCAGAAACAAACCTTTTTGAAGGGGAAACCAGGACCCGATTTCCCCGGAGGGGTTGGGGAGAGTAATTTCGAAGGCCGGGGACAGGTGGAGGACATAGAGAGTCTTGAAGGAAGACGAGCGTGCGTTTACAACCGATCCTCTGTCCGTATTTGGAGCGCCGCGCAGCTAACATGATTCAGAATGGGGCTTGAGCCTTTTGATGTCTCTGGAAGTCTTGCATCGGGCGAGCGAGAGGTGAGGAAACAAGCGTGAGCTGACCGAGCGCCATAGACATACGCACGCAGCTGACACTGTTTGACAGCAACACTATTATAGGTTCTTAGATTGCTTAGCTTCTCAATACCGTCCGTTGTATTCCATTACATGCGTACGGCCCCCTAAGCAGCAGGCATAGCAACCTCTAATCCTGTGCCACGCTCCGCATCGCCCAACCTCGCACGATGTATTTTGATTTCCTCAACTGGTCTGTCGTCCTTATCTGTTCTCACAGCTTCAAGACGCTGAACAGTCTTCATTCCGGAGGAGACGCGGCCGAATATGGTGTGTTTTCCGTCGAGGAAGGGGGTGGGAGCCTGTGTGTGATGTCTCTGATCAGTCGGGTGAAGCACTCCATAAAATAGCAAAGGGACAGACGCAGGTGACGAAGAATTGAGAGCCTGTATAGCATGATCAGTGACATTGTTGATATGAGATGACTATGAGTGGGCTCACCATTGGAATTCGGACCAGAGTTGGCCATAGCGAGGATGCCGGCTCCCACAAATCTCAGCTCAGGATGGATCTCATCAGGGAATCTGTCTCCGTAGACTGATGTTCCACCTCGGCCTGTTCCTGTCGGATCACCCCCTTGAATCATGAATCCCTTCATGTATGGTCAGCATGTATAGACGGACAGATGAGATATGAAGGATATATGCTCACTGGGATGACACGGTGAAAGATGACCCCGTTGTAATAACCTCTCTCGGCGAGTTTGGCGAAATTGTTACATGTCTGCCGACCATTTTCATCAGTATTTATACTGTAGTATCACCTTTTCGGTAGGCCCAAGCTTACTTTGGGGGCGTGTGCAGTATACAGTTCCACGGTGAAGGCGCCGACAGAAGTGTCGATAGTGACATATGTGGGGGTCGGACTTGACATGACCGCAGGTTTGTTTCTGATGGCTTGTTTATTGGCGATGGGCGGAGAGGCGGACACGAGCTGTTTTGATAGAAGAGCGGGTAAAAGAGACGGTACTCGAGTAGTTACTGCGTTGTGCGAGATCATCAACAGGACTGAGGCACAGCGCGAGAATTTGATTCCGCCCGTTCGGAGTGACACGTTCACGTCAAGTTCACGTTCACACTGCATTCCACCTGCCTCCGTGTCTACCCACCACCACCAGCATGGGCAAAAATGGCCTCTTTGGCTCTTTCCAGGGCATCGACGCCTTCGGCAAGGTACGTTGCACTCTCCCGTGGCCAGCTGAGCTGATTCGAAGGTAGACAATGGAAGATGTCAAGATTAAGACTAGAACAGGAGCCCTCTGTACGATTCCCACGCACCGAAAGAGTTTTTGCTCACAATGCTCGACAGTGACGTTCATATCATTCTCCATCATCCTTACCTCCGTCATGCTCGAGTTCATCGACTACAGAAGGATACATTTGGAACCGAGTATCATCGTGGACCGCTCGAGGGGGGAGAAACTCGTGATTGAGTTTGACATGGAGTTCCCGAGAGTCCCTTGTTACCGTACGTGTCACCTGTACGCATGAGGAGGTAAACTGATAATCTACATAGTACTCTCGCTCGATGTCATGGACATCTCTGGAGAGCACCAGAGCGGTTTTGAGCACTCTGTCACCAAGACGAGGCTCAACAAAGAAGGACAAGTGATCTCGCAAGTTGTAGGGAAACGTAGGTATTGCTGCTCCTCCATCCAACAATCTCTAACTACTCCATATAGAGCTTAAAGGAGACGTCGAGCGAGCCCATCTTGAAGAAGACCCTAGCTACTGCGGATCGTGCTACGGCGCCACTCCCCCCGAAAACGGATGCTGCAATTCGTGCGAGCAGGTACGCGAGGCGTACGTTCGCAAAGGCTGGTCTTTCTCCGACCCTGCGGGTATCGAGCAGTGTGTGGAGGAAGGGTGGATGGACAAGATGAAAGAGCAGAACCAGGAAGGCTGCAGGATTGATGGGAGGGTGAGGGTGAACAAGGTCATCGGGAACCTTCATTTCTCACCAGGAAGATCTTATCACAACAACATGGCTCAGATGCTGCAGCTTATGCCCAATCTGAGAGACGCCAACCACGGGTTTGGGCATATTGTGCACAAATTCAGGTTTGCAGGAGATTTGGAGGAGGAAGAGGAGAAGGCGGTCTTGCCGAGAGAACAACAATGGAGAAATAAGCTTGGATTGAAAGACCCGCTGCAAGGCGTAAAGGCGCACACTGAGGAATGTGAGTGTCGAAATATGCCCGAAATGTCAAAGTCCTGACTGATCCGTTTGACCATAGCCAATTATATGTTCCAATGTGCGTTGCTCAAGTCCGGCCTATATTCAGTCACACGTACTAACGCAATAGACAGACTTCCTCAAGGTGGTTTCCACCAACTTTGTCTCTCTCGGTGAAGAAGAGATTCCTACCCACCAATACAGTGTCACACAGTACGAGCGAGATCTTAGAACAGGAAATGCCCCAGGCAAGGATTCTCATGGTCGTGAGTACTAATGCGAGTAGCGCGATGAACCCGTCTGATGAGTGTCATAGACATGACTAGCCACGGTGTTCTTGGTATACCCGGAGTTTTCTTCAAGTGAGTCATGATTGTCCTTGGGCTGTATTTTTCTTCTTACAAGCCGCTTCAGCTACGAAATATCACCTATGAAGGTCATTCACACCGAGGAAAGACAATCCTTTGCCCATTTCCTTACTTCGTACGTTCCCCTACTCACCTTTGACTTCCCAAGCTGATCTTCTTACAGCACATGCGCCATCATCGGCGGTGTTCTTACTGTCGCGAGCCTTGTCGACTCCTTCATCTTCAACAGCTCCAAGCGGCTGAAAGAGAGAAAGGACGAGGGATTCGGTGGACCTGGCGGTAAGATGCTCTGAGATTGAGCTAGCTCGCGGAAGGGATTCATGATGCATTGATGTCACGAGATGTACTGTAACATTCGGCATTGGGCGTGAGCATGATATCATGAGGTCGTTACTCGTTACATAGTCTACAGTAGCATAATCACGCGGCGCTTGGCCATCCCTCACCCGCGACTGCTGATACACATATATGTGAGGGAAACCTAGTCCATCCGATAGGACACCAACGCCTATAGGGAATCAGTGTCTTTCTGTATTCTAATGGGGAGTGGAGGCAACTGACCTCAAGGTTGTGGACATTGGTGCTGAAACTCCTCAGTCTAACTTGCTCGACCTTGCCTTGGTCGATAAGATGCGGGTCGGCGTCATCCCAGGTAGCCGGAATGGCTTCAGATGACCCATCGTGGTAGGCCAGAATGTTGAATGTGTCTGTGAACACATGAGCACATTTGGATAAAGAATTGAGGAAACTGTACATACACTCGCCTTCCGGCATGGGCAGGAACGTGACAGTCGAAGTAATTTGCTTGATGATCTCCCTGATTTCCCCTTGCACCTCCTTTTCGGTCTTGTCCTTCTTCTTCTCTCCCTTGGCAGTTGCTTTCGGGCCGCCGGGTAAAGGGTCGAGGGCCGACTCGTCGGTATAGAGGTCGAATTGCCAGCGCTCCGCGGTCTCACCTGTGTCGGCTGATTTGATGGCGAGGACTAGGCGGGTAATGGAAGATGTAAGGATCCATTCTGTTGGGAGGCGTCAGTAGCTCCAGCAAAAAGCGGATGGGCTGCATACCATGAACTTGGGTAAGGATAGTCGAGATGTACTCCTGGACTTCTTCGTTTGTCAACATGAGCATCGGGAGACCGTACTTCTTGACGATCCTGATGCCCCAAGTTAGCTAGAGCAATGCAACATATATGCCAGACTCACTTGAACTCGTCGGAAGGATAGACGCCTCGCTGGTAAAGAATGCTTCACCAAATCAGTGACTCGTGTCAACATGGCGCGACCGACTTGCCCACTCACCTGTTGATGCTATAGTTGAAGAATTCTGTGACGATGGCAGTGGACCCCTTGAGGGTGATGGCCTGGTTCGCTCTTTGCTTCTGGGCCATGGTGTATGCTATGGGATGTTGCAGGGCTTCGAAGGTGTTGTCTGGGTGTTGTGGATGAAAAACAGTCTCGCACCAGAGCGGGATCAAAAGTCCTAGCGCCGGAGACCTCCACCACGCGCTTGGGCTGGCTGACATCTACCTTGCATCTACCTTGCATCTACCTCTGCACCCAGCGACACTCTTGCCCATATCCCCCCATTCCCTGCCATGTCGTCCTCCACTGGCTTCGAGCAGTAAGCCGCCGTGTCCACCTCGCTCATCGCTGACAGTCCATCAGACCATCTCTTGACACTTTCTTCAAGCGCAAGAATCCGCCGCAATCTCCGGGGGCAGCGGTAGATGAGGACGGGATCATCGATCTGACCGAATCACCACCCCTCAAAAAGGCCAGGCTGCCTTCCGGCACCGCTCAGGCCAAAAAATCCATGTCGAATCCATCATCGAGCTACTTCAAGAAACCTTTGGTGCCGCCCAAGACAACCTCAGCACAATCACACTCCCCACTGCCACCTATATCCAAACCAAGCCAGGCTCTGTCAAATTATGGTCTTCCTCGATCATCAAACGCGCCACCTTCTCAGTCTGGCTCCGCGTTCGGCACATTCTCTGTCTTCTCCCAAGCATCGGTCGTCCCCGACTCTCAGCCTGATCCCCCTGCATCTCAAGTCATCAGACGGACGGAGGAACAGGAGAGGAGACGTGAGATGTGGCAAACAAGAATAGCCTCTATGGGAGGAGCCCTCAGGAGACGGAGATCTCTGGCCTTGGACGAAGCTGCTGCTGCAGAAGCGCGCAAGGCGGGGATGGACATGCCTGGCTCCGATGACGAGGGAGCGCCTATTGAAGTCCAAGATGATATGTATCCAGAAGAGGAAGACAAGACAAAGAAGGCCAACGCAAGACTGTCGAGATACTCTGCAAAAGAGCCAGTAGCTGCAAAGGTCAAGGGCAAAGGCAAGGGAAAGGCGGCAGCGGTGGGACCAAGTGGACAGACATATACGCCTCTCGAAAAACAATATATGGAGATCAAAGAAAAGTACCCCGATGTGCTATTGATGATGGAAGGTGGGCACACAAGCCTTAGACTGCGCCAGGTGCTAATCACCTCTGCAGTTGGATACAAGTACAAGTTCCATGGTGATGATGCCAAGATGGCTGCTCAAGAGCTCGGCATTGTAGCGTGAGTATGCTATCCCGTCCTGGATTGCTTCTGACTCGTGACTTCTAGATTTCCCAAAAGAAATTTCTACAGCGCTTCGATACCCGTACACAGATTACATATCCACGTCAAAAAGTAAGCACTGTTCCAGCGTCTGAACACCACTGACAATTTGCGATATAGATTGATATCACTTGGCTACAAGGTTGGCGTTATCAACCAGACTGAGACAGCCGCGCTCAAGAAGGCTGGCGATAATAGAAATACGCCATTCACGCGAGAGTTGACTCACCTATATACAGCGTCAACGTAAGCTTGCCCCGATCACAACTATGCGCCGAATTGACAATCCAATGTAGATACGTTGAAGAATCATCTCTCATGTCGTCCGCCACCGACGCTGACGATTTGATTCACCCTGGTGCTGCGCCACCTCCTACAAACGCTTTACTAGTTGTCGTGGAAGATCCAGCCGGCGCGAGTGGCGATAACAGCGATACCGCGATCGCACTGATTAGCGTCACTCCTGGGACTGGCGAGGTGACTTGGGATGAGTTCACGGGTATGTATTTTCGCGGTATCGCCTCAGAGCGCTAACATGCACAACAGATTCGCGAGTACGTACGGAACTGGAGACTCGTCTGGCACATTTTCGGCCAACCGAGATGATCCTTCCGAGAGACCTCAGCAAGCCTACGCGAAAAGTTCTGGAATACTACTCAGGAGGCTCAAAGATGAAGGGGACCACTTCAGTTAGGGTTGAATATCTGGAAGAAACACCGGATTATGACGAGTCTTTTGATCTCCTGACCAGCTTTTACCATCAAAACTCTAAAAATGGTGCATCAAGCGCTCAACAGACCAACGCCACAGCCAACATATCGTCTGGCGACAGTCCTCAGGAAGTCACAGAAGGAGAAATCGGAGATGCTGTCCCACTGGCAGCCGGTATCAATCGTGAGCATGTTGTCTTTTTGGGGGTGACTCTGACGTACGATCATAGATGGGTCTGCAATACTCAAGATCATCGACTTTCCGCGACGGATTGTGATAGCCCTCGCCATCGTCATACGGCACATGAAAGGTGGCAGCCTTACTCATCCCAATAACAACCACTGATGAATCAGGTGCAGGTTTCGGGCTTGAGAACGCGTTGCTGTATACGTCTTCTTTTGTCAAAGTGAGACATGTTCTTGTCACGGACAAAGTTTGGCTCAGCTCATACGCATACGCAGTTCATGAACAGATCGCACATGCTTCTATCCAGCAACACTCTTTCCAATCTGTACGAGCGAGCATGCTGGATTATGAACCAGACTTACAATACTCAGTGAGATATACAGAAATCAAACAGATGGTGGATTGCACGGCAGTTTGTTGTGGTGTAAGTGACAACTAGAGCATGATCATTTTTGTAGCACTGACTCTCTGCGGATATCAAGTACTTGACCAGTGAGTGACTCGCACATGATCCAATGTAATTGATCATTTACCCCGTCACAGTTGCAGGACTCGTATGGGCAAGCGGCTTCTTCGTGAATGGATCGGCCGTCCTCTATTGGATGTGGCGTGAGTGACCTCTGGCTCTCCACGGTCTGCACTGACACATGCTACGCATACAGTGCGCTACGAGCGAGGGCCGATGCCATCGAGGAAATCATCGATGACAACACCTACCTATTGGGAAAGCTCCGTAGCTTACTGGTGAACATGCCCGATCTGGTAAAGGGCTTGACACGCGTGCAGTATGGGAAAGCTCTACCCACAGAGCTTGCTACCATTCTAGTGTCTCTAGTCAGACTCGGGTCAGAATTCAAGCCAAATATCGGCAATGTCTTTCGATCATCACTTCTCAACAGTATACCGAATACGCTTCCTACCATCGTTGAACGTGCCCGAGAGCTTCTAGGGGCACTAGACATGAAAGAAGCTAAAGCCAACAACAAAGCGGTTCTGTGGAGCGACCCTGATAGGTACCCCGATATCCAAGACGTCAAAGATGCGAGTCTTGTCCTCGTTTGTCTTTTGGACAGTGCTGAAGATCTCTGCAGTGCATGAGCGTCTGCGAGTCGGAGCTGGACGGACATCTTCGTGAGATACGGAAGGTGATCAAGAGACCAGACCTGAAATATGTTACCGTCTCCAATATCGAGGTGGGCATCCGTTGTGTCTGGTGACGAACGCGCTGACAATCAGACGTAGTATCTGGTTGAAGTGAACAATAAAAGCCTGAAGCTCGTCCCACCAAAATGGGTCAAAATCAGCGCGTGAGCTGTACCGCGCAGTTGATCTCAATGTAGCGCTGATGAGCGGTACAGCACGAAGCTCGTTACACGCTACCATACTCCAGAAGTCCTCCAACTGTTTGTGCCCTGACAGAGGAAGGATCAACAGCTTATACAGAAATCAGCACCAGAGAGCGCGAGCAGCTCAAAGAGCAGCTATCGAAGGTGGCCCATCAGTCCTACCTCGACTTTCAAGCCGAAGTCGCCCAGTGCCATGACTTTGTGGTTGTTTCCAAGCAGGTAGCAGTCATTGACTGTCTTATGTCTCTTGCACAAACCGCAGTGTCCTCGGGATACTGTAAGCCAGTATTTGTGGCCGACACGGAATTGAGAATTGAAGAAGGCAGGCACCCCATGGCAGAATCTCTCAAAGAAGACGCATACGTTCCTTTTGATATTGACTTTTCAAAAGATGATGGTGCTACGAAATGTATACTGGGGCCCAACATGTCGGGCAAAAGCTCAACTGTCCGCGCTATAGTACGTCGCTTCCTCTATGACATCCTGAGCTGATCCAGGTTAGGCTCTCATCGTTTGCATGGCTCAAATGGGATCATTTGTACCGGCAAAATCGGTCACTTTGGGTGTCCACGATGCTGTTCATACGTGAGTTCTTCGGGTGGAAAAGCTACTTGTTGCTAACGCCAGCTAGTCGAATGGGAGGCAAGTCACATGCGTCCGACATACCGATATATCGTGGTCCTGGGAGCTGACTCTTCTCTAGCTTCGGATGAGATCGGGCGCGGCAAGTCCACCTTTATGGTAGAACTTTCTGAGACTAGTGACATCCTACGCACCGTGACTCCACGTTCGTTGGTGATACTGGACGAACTTGGCAGGGGGACGAGGTATGCCACTGCTGTATTCGCAATTCAAGATTCTGACAGTATTCGCAGCACGTACGACGGAGTCGCTATAGCTTACGCAACCTTGTCGCATATGGCTGGTGTAGGCTGCAATACCCTCTTTGTCACTCATTATCCTACAGTGGCCGAACAACTGGCCAGATCAAACCCCGCCCAGGTCTCTAATTGGTACATGAGCTTTGACGAGACCACGCTGCCCGGTGAGTCCCCTCAAATGTACAACCATTGGCGATGCTCATTGATAATCGGTATTGTCATCAGATGGAAGCAAGGAAATCACATTCTTGTATAATCTGACATCCGGCCTAGCCAACGCATCCTTTGGTGTATGGTGTGCTCGGTTCGTGACTACTTCATACTCATGCCCTGTGAACTAACATTATTTAGATTGGCTGGCTTACCCAAAGCAGTATTGGAGAAGGCCCAATTGTGTTCTGATGAGCTGAAAATCGATTCAGAGAGGAAGAGGAGAAATATTGTGACAAAGAGGACCCAGCAATTACTCTTGGATAGCTACAGCGGAGACGGGGAGCACGTTCACATCTTGCGAAATGCGGAGATAGTGTGGGGATCGCTCGACCTGACGACGTAGCCTTGACGCGTCTGATGGGAGCATGTAACTTGTGAAGTAGTCAACAAAGCTGAATGCACAATGCAAGAGGGAAATAACACTGGAATATAGATACGAAAGTAGACTACTACGTAAAACAAGATCATGATGAGGAGGCCTTGGATTTTGACTTCTTCTTCTTCTCTGCCCCTTCCTCTGCCTTTCTCTTCTTTGGCTTGTCATCCTCAGCAGCAGCATCGGAAGATCTCTTGGCCTTCTTGGCCTTGCCGTTGCTGGTCTCCGCTACTTTCCGTTCCGAGTCGACGTCCATCTCTTCGCCCTCAGAGTGTTCAAGCTTTGACTTGCTCTTCTCCGCCTTCTTATTACCAAGTATGCCTTCTAATTGTCCCCACATGTTGTGCACCCCCTTCATCTCCTTTGTCCTATCCCCGCTCTTCAACTGTGAGCCAACTGCCTCGACTCGCTTCACATCCCACTGGACTCCCACGATTTTGCTATTTCTCGCAAGCTGAAGGGCAAACTTCACAACTTCTTTGAGCCTCTGCGCGTTGAGGGACTCCTTGGAGTCAGAGTCGGCAGTGGAGGCAGCTTCAAGAGTGGTGAAGACTCTAGTACTGGCATCGTTGACGAAAGTCGCCACGTCAGATGCGGGCACAGTCTTGGAGATGACGGGCAGGTGCTGAGCAAGGGTCTGCAAAGCACTGTAGACCTGGACTTGTCGGAAAGAGTTCACGGCAACACCGGGAGCGACGAAAGAGATAAGGTCGGGGGAGAGTGCGAAGCCTTGGAATGGGAATCTCTTGATGAAATCGAGTATGAATGGGGGATGCACAAGAGAAGCTTTGCGGGTGACAAAGTCTTTAAGAGTTGATCTGTAGGCATCAACCACAGGCGAAGACTTTGAGCCGGAAGTGGAGGCGTCGACAACTCGAGCGACAAACAATGATGCCAGACTGCACAGGTTGGAAAACTCGGCAGAGTGGGCCTTTTGAGCCATTGCGTGTATGTCGTTGAGGATCGTGGTCGCCGTTGAGATGTCGGCCGTGGAGGGAATGTCTTTCGGCTTGTTGAACTTGCCTCGAAGGATTCCAGCAGCCTTGTTGGCGACTTCAGCCTCAGAAACGCCGCCCTCTCTGACGAGCTTGAGAAGTGTCAAGACGACCTGCAAGATGAGGGGGTTGGTGGATTGACGCTTGGCGTAAGTGTCATAGAAATCGAGAACCCTGTTCTTGAAATGGATGGACTCGGTCAAATTTTCTGGATAGGAATGGCGTCAGCCACAATCATATAAAGCATCAGGGTGGTGCACGACTCACGCTTCTTATCATTCTTGGAGGAGGCCGTGGCTCTCTCCTTGAACACTTTCGCCAATTGCTCATCTACCTTCATCATCTGCTCATCGTCCCAGACCTCGTCATCCTCAGAATCAGCCTCCGATTTGCCATCCTCTTCGCCGTCGCCACCCATGCCAGACACTTGAAGGGCCTCGGCGACTCGCTTTCGGAATTCGGGGTCGACATCACCCATCTCTTCGTCGTCCACTTGGGCGTCATCTTCGTCAGACTCAGACTCGTTGTCCTCGGCCTCATCAGAAGAGCCCTCGTCATCTTCGGCTTCCTCGTCCGAATGACCGTCAGCAGCAGCTTCCGCAGCAGACTGTTCGAGTTGCTATAACAGTATGTCAGCGGTAGTAATCTATAATGGTTGCAATCAGCTCACAGCAGCCAAGTGTTCCAGACTCGACTTGGTCAACTCTGAAGACACCATGCCGAACACCAGGTTGGCCAAATTCCTCAGATCGCTCGAGCCCTTATCCAACAGCCCGACAAGGACGTCCAACAAGATGTCAACGGCGGCGACCTCTTCATGAGACTTGCCGAGGTACGTTTGAACGGCCGTGTTGATCTCTTCAATATTTTCAATGGAGTCGGACACTTCGTCATAGGTCTGAAGGATGAAGAATGAGATGAGGATCTCGAAGGCTTTGGCGACCTCCTGCTGGTCCTTTGTAGCGTTGGCCAAAAGGGCAAGATTCTTGAAGGCCTCTTTCCTGATTTCCCTGATTTCATCATCGGCATCGGTCAGAACCTCGACATGCTTCTTGTCTTTCTCCAGAACGGCGATGGTGTCAACAACTCGTCGAATCCAGAGCTTCCCGGAAGCATCACAACCCTGTTGGCGGGGGACGGTGGTGTCCTCTGAGGCTTTTTGACCGTCAGTACTGGCGACTGACTAGCATAAGGACTCACATCTCCGAGGAACAGCAGCGATAGTCAATTCGACTATACAGGCAAAGAACTTGGCGCGACACGCAGCAGCGGTGACTTCTGAAAGAGGTGGCCTGGGAACGGTGTGCACAGCGGAGATGGAGCTCTTCTTGTTGACATTACGAATGATGAAAAAGCCGTGGACAACCATGAAATCGAGCAAAGGAGCGATCCAAGCATCCTTTTTCGGCACGTTACCGTTCCTGCAGAGGGCTTGTATCTGCTCGAGAGCCCAAAGGCGGCGTTCGTCTAATCTAGCAGCATCCAAGCTGAAGGTGAGTCAGTAATAATAGCGTGGTGTTATGGGTGCAGATGATGCTCACTTGTCCTGAGAAGTACCCGTAATGATGTCCTTCAAATAGTCGACAAAGTCCCTAGCACCTTCCTCATTCAGGTTGCCCATGATGGACTCTACAGTTTTGGTTTTGGTGACCTTGTCGAAATCTGTTCTTCCGTGCTTTCCGACCAATTGGGATAGCAATGTGAACCCGACCTTTGGATTCCCCTTGATGACCTCCTGGACTCGCTTGGCGATCTGTTGAGCGGCCTTGTGGAGGTACCTGTCGGGAGAAGAGAGGTTGTTGACCCAGCAACGCATAAAGTTGGGGGTGAATATGAGGGGCATCTGAGACTCGGGAAGGATAGGGAAAGCCCTTTCAAAGACTTGGAAGCCCCAGAATCGGCGTTGAGGAGAGGCCGTGTTGGAGAAGAGAGACTCGTCGACAACGACCCGGAAGAAATCTTGGAACGGGGCGTCGATTTCGGAAGTGGAAGGTTCAGAGTTGGGGAAGTAGCGTTCGAGGATAATGTTCCAGACAAAGTGGAGCTGCGGTTTCCAGGAGCCTGTCGTAGATGCAGAAACACCATCCTCCTCGTCTCCAGTGGTTTCCTTGAGCACGCGTCCCAGGGTGACCAGATTGTGGCTGTCGAGGAGAGGGGTGTACTTGAAAGTTGGCGCAAGGTGCTGTTTCCACTCGATATCCTAAGATTGGCATTAGAATTGCCTCAAGAGTAGTCTTGCACAACTCACAAGATCACATTGTTCCAGAATCAAGACCAAGGCGACCTTCTCCTGAGTCCAACCCTTCTCCTCAAAAGCAGATGCCAACACTGATTTCAAAGCGTCCTCTTTCCAAGCGACTTGGCTGCCAGCCAAAGCTTGGGTCATCTGCACCACCGTCCACCAGGAGCTCTCTCTCATCCATGCCTTTGCGTTCCCCAGGGCGACAAGTTGCTGCACAACGCCTTCAAAGTCTTCTGCCTTAGCCCCAGCGGTAAAAAGGGCTCCAGACTGGACGATCGCTGTCATACCGAAGAGACGAGCAAACATCATGTCCCGCTCGTCAGATCCCTTCATGTTCTTGCTGTATTGCGAGTTCCTGATGACCAAAGAAAACACTTGAGGGGCAGTGATGGTTGGTATACGAGACATGAGCTGTCGACCTATCAGCACGTCGTCCATTTCGGAAAGTGTCACCTTACCTCTGTAAGTGCGACGGCGAAACCCAGTCGACTGCTCTCTCGTGAAGAGCCCAAACCCCTCACCAATCGCTTCACCGAGTAAACGACATCCTCGGCATTGTTCCTGCTCATCTGACGGTCAAGCTTGACAGCCTGCACGTTCATGCCACCGTCTTCCCCTTCATCGTCGCTAGCATCAACCTCCATCCCTGACTCGTCGCCGTCATCACTCTGACTGTCCTGATCCTCTTGCTCCTCGTCATCCTGCGCCTCCTCGTTGGCGGCCTTCGAGGGACCGGCGTAGGATTGTTGGAAGGATTGAAGGGAGTTGACGAGGCTTGCGGATGCGTCGAGACGTGTCTCTTTTGCAGAGTTTGCGAGTGGCCAAAACAGGGGCAGCACGTTCGAGGCCATTGCTTTTGTGGTTGCTGCGTTTCTTGCAGTGAATGCACAATTATCATCGCAGCCGCAACTTTTTGCAGCGCGGAGTGGAGGCACGACGGGATCAAAATACCTTGTTTGTGCCCGGCCGTCACCGCTTCGGCCTCTTGCTGCTCATAGTTGGTGCATAGACTTCCGCCTGTCAACTATATTCCTGCATCTACCACCCTGCGACAATGGAGAAGCGCGGATAACGTCCCGCCTCTCTCCCCTCACTATGACCCAAGTCAACCTCGTCCTCCTGATCGAGCTTGCGGCAGTCGTTGTCGGAGCCACCGCCTTCCTGTTCTATTGGAACAGACTCCTCGCCTCTGTCCTCGCATTTCTGGTCCGGATATACTCATGGAGGGTTCTTCACGCGTATGTCTCGATAGGGTCGCTCCAAATATCACCACTGGCCGGCCGAATATCATTCCGTGATCTGGAATATCACTCGAGTAATATATCGGTGAGAGCATTGAACGGCCATGTGACTTGGAGATACTGGAAACTCCATGTGAGGAGTGAATTGGACACTCAGTCAACAAGCCGTAAAAGAAGTGAGTGCTGGCTGGTTTGGCTTATGTAGCGTCGCTGACAGTCTGCAAGACCATTTGCCTTGTCGGATCGTCGTCTACGCCAAGGGTGTCGAAGCTTTTGTGTACAATCGTACGCCCGCCTACGATGACATTGTGGAGCGCATGAAGAAGCACGAGAAGGAAGCGAACGATGAGAAACTCAGGCAAACCAGATCGACGGAGTCTCGAGACGAGGGAGGGCTGCGATCTCGCCTAAGAAATCTCGGTAGGATGTCTACGAGAGATAGTTCAACAAAAGGCATCATGAATAAGGACAAAGAGAACTGTCAGTATACCCCTTGCGCCGAAGACTCGCCTGACTTTGCATAGCGGACACATCACCAACACACGAGCTTCCAGCTCAGATCAAACCATTGAAGGCGTCGTCAGATAGTGTCAACTGGTTTCGCGAAGCTCTTCCACTTGAGCTCCGGATCATCGCAGGATCTATAGTACTGGGGAGTGACGCAACTCCCACAGTCCTGATTGGCGATTTCAAAAAGGTGGAAGGGACTCTTGAGACCTGCGACTCCCGCTCGATCTTGGACCAGTACAAATTGGCGGTGGAATTGAAGTTCCATGAGGCGAATGTGCTTACACGAACCAACGTCGATCATTCGGGGCCGCTGTTGGCGCACGGTAAGAAGGTGTATGACGAATTACTCAAACGCCAGGCAGACTTGTCACGCCAACCTCCTTCGGTCATCTCAATATTTACAGGGTTTCACTTGCTAGCAAAGCAGTTCCCTTTCCTATACGACCCAAAATTCTCCACACCTCCTGTTCCAGGTCTTTCAACAAGCAAACTGTGGAAGGGGTTGGCTCGTTATCGTCTGCCAGAAGACAGTGATCCAACGACACCTCAGAATAGTACCCAAGAAGAACTGGAGTATGCCAAGGTGACCCATCTTCTAGAGGCTCCAGAACTCACCTTAACATACTATTCGGATACACCGGGAATTGTACCCGACCCTCTCTCCGCGCCGTTCATTGACCCTTTGGATGAGATAGGCAACGTCGATTTGCCTCCCGAATACGGCATTGATATAACGATCCATAAAGGCATCATCAAATATGGGCCATGGGCCGATCGTCAACGAGAACAAATTCAAAGAGCATTCGCACCTGCGCTGTTCTTCGACAGTGAGCCCAGACCTCGGCTAAAACAGGGAGAGAGTCGACTCCACACAATTCTTGTGCTCCGAATCATGCTGGAAGATGAGACCACCTTGCGAATACCGACCCGCGAGAGTTCTAAAGTGAGCACATTACTCTCGTCGTTGATTCCTATGTTGACTGGCGTTTCTTCAGAACTGGCAGTACGACAATGCTTCATCCAACACCGAACGTCGGTATGGGTGGCTCGACGTCGCCGTCGGACCAAATTCCTCTGTCGTGTACACTCAAGAACAGATCGCCACGTCCCGCGGATACGAATCTATGCTGGTTCTGCATCTTGATCAACTAGCGATCAGCTCGAGTGTCAACTTGGACACCTTCATCCGATCCAAGACTTGTAAATTGTCGATGGCGATGCCAACGCCTTTGCCCTGGAACGCGCAGCGTGATTGGGGTATGGACGTTGCTTTCGACTCACCAGCAATAAGCATCTTGCGCGACCATGTGACTCTGATATCGGATTTAGCGAAGGACTGGAGTTCTGGTACGACAGGTGGCGACTATCACCATTTCGTACCTTGCCATTACAACTTCCGGGTATCTCTCATCAACTACGCCTTCCATCTCTACATTAATGACTATAATATCGTGGATGCCCCTGGCTCAAGAGATAGCAACGGTAAGTCGGCTCTATCATGCCAGTATCGCGACTAATCATTTTGTCAAGCTTTCATGGACGTGTATGGTCCTAGACTCGATGCTGTAGTGGCAGTTGCCTCTACCCAGTATCGTCCGGAATCATCCGTTGTACCATTCAACATATCGCTTTCGGATGCTCTTGTGGAACTATGTGTGCCAATATGGGACACACACAGAACTTTTGGAACAGACGTCTACGAAATTGGACGTGTAGGAAGCTTGACTGCCTCTGGTTCTTACCGCTACTACGCCGTTGCACGGCCAGATCACGAAGAGAATTTGACTCTTCATCTGGAAGGGAAGCATGCACGGTTCAAAGCCCTAGGATGGGTGCTGAGGAGGCTCTTTTGCGTCAAAGACAACTATTTTGGGTCGTTTACGCAATTCACAACTATGGCAGAATTTCTGGAGAGGTTCGATCATGATCCCGCTACAGTGGGGGATCCTGTGGAAGAGAAGTGGCGACCGGGTCGGGTGAGTGAGCAACAAACACGGGCACATTGGCTGACATCTCGCAGTCCGACCCATTTGCCGCTCACATTACAATGAATATCGAAGAATCCCTCATCGTCATGTCGGACGAGATCTACAACATTACCAGCGGCATCGCTCTGCCCGTGCCCCAGCTCCAATTGACTATCAAATCGGTGGACGAATTTATGGAACTGGCTTTGAACGCTACACCGACTTACATCGTTGCGGCGCCCAGCTTGATAGATATCTATCGTAAGGGCAGCGCGCCGTTGCTAGCTGATGACCAGGTCATTTTTCTTGAAGGGATGGAACTGAAAGCCATCAGGCTATTTGGCCCTCAGCCGAGAGCAACGACGTACCTTTGTCTGTGGGAAGCCAACATCACAAGCGTGACTGCGTTCCTCACTGGCGATTTCATCTCCACTCTGAAGGCTGTGGGATCAGCCGTTGGGTATACGTTCTCCGATCCTGAAAATTCTCCAGATCAGAACTACCAACTCAAAACACCGCCTGACGGTGCGTTCATCGTGATTTCCCAATGCCAATGCTGACATATCGCAGTGACGTTCTTCAAGCTTTGTGTAGAAAAGGCGTTGGTCATGTTGACGGAAGATGATCATTCCATCTCCATCGATATTCCCCTAGGCCTCTTGCTAGACACAAGCACATGGGGTACCCGGTCTCACTCCTCCAATACCAGCATGCTCGTGCCTTCTCTGACTGCCAACCTACTCAGTCGTGGCCCAGGATCACAGTGGCAAGTTGTGAGCAACGTCTGCCTCGGTATGACTCTGGACGTCTACAATGCGCCGGAAAGATGGCAAGAGCATGTGGAGGCGCAGCAACGGTTCTTGAGAGACCAAGATACGGCGACCGGCAGGATCTGGTTTCTGTACCAGGGCGGAAAACCACAAAGTGAGAAACATGCTAATCATCCGAAGTATGGAATCACTGATACGAACACAGAGAGACGACATGTGAACGGCTTGTATCTTCCGCTGCCTTTGAAGAAAAATCGTGAGGCTGCCGTGTGCGTCGCAGTGTCCGTTGCTCATCTGTCTGTAGCCGACACGCTCGCCAATGACTCTGAAAGCACTCATTCTTTGATTGACCATCATCAACAGAACAAAAGGCCGTCCTCAAGGGACTCGGACAGCTCTGACGATATGCAAAGCCCAACCATGTGAGTCCCATGGCTACTTGTATGTCCCCTACTCATTTCCTCAACAGCCCCTTGATGAAACGGACCAAGGCAAAATTCGCCAGTGGCTCTATTCCAGGTGGCACCAATGGCCCGTCCGATGGTGACGAATCTGACACCGTATCGAGCTCGACGTCCACTGAAGGCTCCCGCATATCTGTGTCTCCTAATTTAAGGGTGGACATGGCAGATGGTCTGGATATCAGGCTACGTCATTATCGCCTTGCCCACAGTCAGCATATTCACAGCCAGTGGCTTCCTCTGATAGATGGAAGCGGCTCTCGGGATCAGAAGGATCATCCGAGGAGTGAGGGCGGTTTGGAAAATGGCAAAGTCATCCGTATCGGATTCAACACAATCGTTGGCAACATCAAGCCCGAGGCGTTACCCGCCGTTGCCAAGATCAACTCTGTGTTGTCTCATCAAGATGATTCGTACGAGAAGCGACTCGATCGCCTCCTTGTGAACCAATACGACAAAATAGAAGACGCCAAATCATCGGAACACCCTACCGTATATGACATTCGCATCCCCGCTTTCCTAGTCTGCGTGACAGGCCCTGACGTATCCGCATCAACGATGGTCAAAGTAGACAACACCAAAGTTGATATACACAATTATGCCCCTCAACGGGACCTCAGCCCGACCCATAAGTCGGTACTTGATTTGAAAGTATCTGTCTCGTCGGCGACTATCACGTCTTATGCGTCCGCAGAGAAGTGTCCATTGTCCTTGGTAGACGTGGATGATATGGCAGCAGGAATCCCTGGGAGCTGCCCTATAGCCCATGTTAGCCTGGGAAAACTCAAAGGCAGCCTGTACCAGAGTTCTCGCGTTAGGCTTCAGGGTACCATCTCTCATGCTCGACTCTACATTGTCACGTCGTTTGTCCCCTTTGCGGTGGCGTACGCCGACTTTTGGGCATCGACTGTCAAACAGGCCTCCCTTTTCGCTCCAGAAGCCACCCTCGACTCGGAAATGCTCTTCCACGTACTCTCATCGGCGGTTGATTCTGGGCGAGGCGCTTATCTTCCCAGCTTTGCCTATGTGGCACCATATGGGCTACACGAACAAGACAGTCAGTTGGGCAACAGACGTCAAACAGGTTGGTGGCTCCTGGCTAGGTTCCGTGAATGGCTTCGCAGCGGGCCCTTGAACGGGACTTTCGACCGACAAGACTTGCCCACCAGGACTAGCTATGTCTTGGCAGAGCTGCTACGGTATGACGATTCTCTCCAGGGAGCAAGTCAGATAGTCGAAGCTCAGCCCTTTTTCCACTTGGCCTTCATGAAACCGTCTCGGACCGACGCAAATAGCGGACAACGTGACAAACCAACAGATGTGTCTCTGTACGTTGAAGAATTGGCGATGCGCCATCGCGGCCGGAGCTTGGGCTCCCGCACTGAATTCACAAGTCTCATCATGATCAACAAATCATCCGTTGGATACTCAGTGATATCTGCAAGCAGCGAGAAGACATCGTGTCAATCGAGGCTCATGGCCGCTATCCAATCAGTCAATCTACAAATACACGACAGTATCTTGGCCTTGGCCAACCAGGCTGTCCATACCCTAGCCGAGAGACTCAACGGACCAAACGCCTCGACCGATCTATTGCAAAGTGAGCCAGTGGGGACTACTGCCATGGCGGTCAGTGTTCAAATTACCAACGCTAGTGCGGACGTTGTCGGCGGAAATCTTCGTCTACATCTGGGTGCACATAACTTCCTAGTCAATGGGGTGTCTCGCTCCAAAGTGGGAACCACCAGATCCAGCAAGGAATCTCTGACAGCCTCTCTTGACATTCTGGAATTCGCCCTTCTGCAACCACATGGAACAATAGAGGCTCGTCCAGCCGACAGAATTGTCCTGTCACTTCGTACGACTGGATGGGCCAGCTCTTTGCATCGCTTTACATCCTCTGACCAAATCGCAAAAGTCAGACTACTGGTGGGCTTGAAGGCCGTGGAATTTGACTCTAGGCCTCAGCTTCGTGCATTGTACTTCTTCGTACAAGAGTGGAAGGCTCAAGAGCTACCGTGAGTCTATTGTATGGCTGTGGATGTGGCTGATCAGTTGACGTAGACTCTACGCGTCCAGCATTGAAGACATGCGAGAGGTCCTAAAGAATCACAAGAGTAGTTCACCGAACCACAAAGAACCAATGGTGCTGTCTGAACTTGATATTACTGTGCAGCGCTTGCAAGTGCAAGTGAGAGCGGCCAGAGCGCTGTGGGTCCGGTGGGATATAGGGAAAGTGTATACCTCTAGGGTGGCGGCCTCAGAGACGATTCGCTTCGCGTTCAAAGCCGCCCCCCAGGTTGTTGGTGCCTACGCCTCCCGCAAGTCCAAGAGCAGTGACGCTACGGCGCTTCATCTACCCTCCGTGACGGCCACCGGCGTTTGGCGTCTGCTTGAAGATGCACCTCACGTTTCCGCGGACGTTCAGGTCGGTTTATTCACCGGAGTTTTGAGACCCGCGATGCTTGACAGACTCCTGTCCCTACACCAAAAGCTGGGCGAAGATCTGAAAGAGCTAGTTCACGCCTGGCAACACGATGTTGCCAAGGTACGAGACAAACTACGCGGCAAGCACCCTGGCGCACCCTCACCTGCCCCTACAGCCATGCGGGATATCATCTTCAATCTGAACGTTGGAGTAGCTGGGTTACGCTTCGGTCTACGGGCAGAAGATGTTCCTGCAACGGTAATGTTTGAGGCTCTTGCCATCACTGGAACGGCAAACAACCAGCATCATCCAGACAAGGGTCTTCAATGGGGCGCACAGGTGAACCATTTCAGCTTGTCCCTAGGCCATCCCTACGAAAAGGGGTCTCTCCAGAATTTTCTGCCGATAAGTCGACCTTGTACTGCCTCCATGACATTGGACTTTTGGGTGGAGGAGATTCCAGAGACACCTACGTCCGCTTTACATCTCAAGATCAGCCTCAGTCAAGTGCGCACGGTCATGCACGTTGAGGCGTTGAATGAGCTCATCGATCTCTTCAAGAGTTGGTCTTCCGATCTGTATATTCTACGAGAGCATAGAGCAGAGGAGATGGCTGAAGTCAAGGAGCAGACCACAAAGGTACTCAAAAAGCTGGAGTCTGCAGATAGTGCTGGCCGACCCGAAAGCTCGTGGCTGGCAAGCCGTCTTCTGACGGTCAAAATCGAGGGCGTGGGTATTGCCATTCCCCTGGTCCAAAGTGCTCAGATTCTCTCGGGAGGTGTCCCTGCTTTGCTCTTTTCGATCAGAAACATCAGCTATGAAAACAAGCACAATGCGATAGCGCGATTCAGGATGCAGACTATGGCATTGCAATTTGTCAAGCAGTGAGTACTGTCCGGAATGATTCCGTGCTGATCGCATTCTAGATTTGACCTAGGCAAGACCGATCACTACACGCACGACGCCCACGGCACAAAGAACTGCATGGTTTTACCTGCTATCGAAAGCGAAGCTCAAATGTCCTCTTCCCATGACCAATGGCAACTGTCCGCGCACTGTTCCGCTACCGATTTCAAACTCGTCCTTTCTCCCGACGTCTCTGATGGCATACTCGAGCTAATTAACCTCTTTGAGCAAGGAAAAGAGCGGATATCAACTGCCGAGGCCCAATACAAGACTGAGATGGCCAAACACGCTCAAGAGTCGTTGACCACCAAATATGATGATCATCTTTCGCCAATGCCTGTTCCCCGGTCTCAGTCAATCCTGCTGAGAATGTCCTTTACATTCAACAGTGGCGTAGTAGAGCTTCACAGGGAGCCATCGGACGCGGAAAGACAAACAATGGACGGCGAGACAAGGAGGGGTGGAAAGGGCTGGCACGATGTTGTCATCCTGCCAACTGTTTCGATGTGGGTAGAGTACAACGGACCAGCCCAAGATGAAGAGCCTCTCTTGTTGTTCAATCTTGTAAGTAATGTGGCCTGCGTATAACTCTTCTAATTTGCGCGCAGGCGGTTCACGAGAGCCGAAACTTGCTACGGCCGACTATCCTCCCATTCTTCGTACAAACCGTCAATCGCATGGCTCGTCGACAAGGTTCTTCTGTACCCTCTTTGCCTGTGTCAAAGACATCCGACCCGGCCCCAGTCGTACAGGCGCCAAAGCGTACTGCGACCAATGTTCGTGTCACTCTGCGCATCGACAAGTCTGAACTCCGACTATCTTGCGCGCCCGACTCGAACTCTTATGTGGATCTAAAGTGGGAAAGCGGTGGATTCTTTGCTAGCTTTACGCCGGGCACGAAAGGTCATACGACTGTTGCCGGTTCAATCTCTGGGGTCACGTCGTACCTCAAGCACGAGTTTGCCGAAGGCAGGAGCTGCATTGAAGCTGGTGCCAAAGATATTAGCTTTTCCGTCACTTCCGGCGCCCTGGGTGATCAAAAGTTTCTCTCTGTCGCGCTAGACTCTCAGATATCTGCACAATTCAGACTCGAGCAGTTCAGCGCGTGGCTGGCTTTTGCTGCTGTGTGGATTGATAATACTCCCGAGATTCAGCGTCCAGCAAAACCGATTGTCGAGTCGTCCCCATCGACTTTACCCAACAGCACGGTCATTACGACTTTGGTCCGGTTCCGAGCCATAGACTTTGATGCCAATATTGGCGTCACCAAGGCAAACCTCAAGATCAGCCCAATCGTCATACGTGCGGTCTCGAATGGCGTCAAGACAGACCTCTGCTTCAATCTTGGTGTCACGCATGTAATTGCGAGGGGTGATATCTCGGGAGATATTCGCAGTGAGAGCTTGAGCTTGAAGACCACAAGACAGTCTTCAAGAAGCGGTGTTGTCAATGACCCCACCGTCCTCAGCATGTCAATTGACGCTGGGCATCTGAGTGGTGATCTGTCTTTGCAAGAACTCGGTGTGATTAGCTTTACGTGAGTCGTCTCGTATACAAGTGTAACCCGTGCTGAATAATGTAGGCTTGACCCCGCCACAGTCACGCTTGCCGACGACTGGAAGTCATTCACGCAAGATGGCACGGCGCCCGTCATCCTCTCCTTTGCCGTCAAGGCTGGAACTTTTCGCTCAGTGGTCCGCTTGCTCGCGATTCCCGCTTTGCTCAACAAGTTCTATTCCGTCTCCAACACTATCGACTCTCAAGAGCGCATCGCTTCTCATAGGTCAAACACTTACAAGTTGGGGCAGGCTCGCAAGTCAACCGAGCCTACACCGATGGCTGCAGCTATTTTGAATACTGCTCGTCGGGCTGGCCAGTCCCTGTCTGCCGACAACACTGTCAATACGGCTCAGAATATGCGCTTTGACCTGGGCGGGGTGGACATTGGTCTGTTCAATGCCCCACCCAGTGAGAATCAGAGAGGCGACTTTTACCGATTCATGATTGGCAAGGTCGAGGCGGATCTCAAGAGGCAGGTGACAACCGAGGGCATGCCAAAACGAGATATGAACTTGCTTGTGAGCTATCTCGAGTGGGTATCCAGTGATGGAGTCAAAGCGGCAAAAGAAGTCAAGAAGGATCGTCCTCTGAAGGAGACTATTCACGCCGCGTCCGCATACCATCGTAAAGAGATTGCGTCGTTGCCATTGATGGTGAGTTTGCATACTGCGGGATCTTGGCTGATAATTTAGACCATGACAATGGACTCTGTTGAAGAGCCAAAACCACTCGCTATTGTATACGACTTTGACCTGGTGTGGGGCGATGGCGACCTCGACATATCTATCATGCCCTACTTTTTCGAGCAAGTGTACAAGACGTTTGATACCTTGATCAAGGGTCTCGACCAGGAACAGCTCACTAGGGCCCGGCGCCGTGGCGATGGCGATGTCAAGGACAAGGGGGTAGCCCCAGAAGAGCAATTGGCATTCCGGCGGCGGATCGAGGGACAGAGACCTTTGCCAATACCCAGGCTCAAGTTGCTGGGTGAGGCGACGGGAGAAGCAATGACTTGGGTGCCAAAGATCACTGCGGCCAACGAGCGGCTGCCAGTCATGGTGCATCGTTTCGTCACCCTGCCCTTGGAGGAGGGCATGGATCTGTGAGTCGTAGCAGCGGGAGAGTGTTCAACGCTGACTGTAGATAGGTTGCTGAGACTGTACGAGAAGCAGCTACCGGATAAGGCAAAGTGATCTCCATGTTGTACATTATGATTCGTTCGGTATCTAGATTTTATCTTGTGACACTCACTGTATGCATATACGCTTGACTCCTATGGTACCACGATTCAATCGAATGTCTACATTTTAAGCATGTTAACGCTCGTTCAAAGTGCACAGAGCTACTAGGTACCTGCATGTTGACCGACTCTTGCAAATGAAGAGAAGAGAAGAGCAAAACAATATGACGGCGCCCATATTCGAACCCCGACCGCACCGCGCTTGGTCATCGCCGCCGCCGCGGCCAATTCGCCAGGGTCGTTTCTTCCCGGACCATACGTGGTCGCAAAAACATGATACAGGTATGGAAGTTAGTCCTCCAGATACCCCTGTTTCTTGGCTACCCAGAGATGCAAAAAGGTAAAGAAGTCAATACGCAAAAAGACTTAACAGCGATGGGTTTCGATCCCATGACTTCGAGGTGACCAAACCGAACGCCGTTTGGCGTTACGTAATATGAGCCTCGCATTCTTCCTCTGAATTACGCTGTTTGGATAAATATCCGCCAATTTGTTGAATCATACCACGCAATTATTGACGCGTCGAGCGGGAAGCTTGGCGATTCGGCCGCCTTGCTGGCATCTTGCTGGCACGCAGTCGCGTTCGCGCGTTGATCCTTGTTGATATTCCGAGTTGTACACTTGTTCCAAGATCCTTCGCAGCCTTAGTCCCTCAGCTCAATCCCAAATCGATACCCCCGAGCCCCGCAGCGACGCAAGCAGTTCAAAACACCTCACCCTTTTCCCCATCCCCAGAGCGCTCTTCCATCATGGTATGTCATGTGCTGGACTAGGATCCTGAAGGCTAATGATGTATAGCCAACTGCCCACGACATCCGCCGCAAGAATGCCAACTTTGCTGCTCGAGCTCAAGCTGGAAAGAGGACGGCGAGGCCTGCAAGGTCCACTCAGAGACGAAGTGTGGGGACTTGGGTCTTGATTGTTATGGGATTCTTGCTTGTAGGAGGTAGTAAGTGATTCCTCCCGTGCACCCCTGTTATACAGCTGATGATCTCTACAGCCATTGCCGAGCTTGTGCGGCTTTTAGTGTATGGCGCGTTCTTCTGATCTCCAAACGAGTGATGTGTGAATGGTAAGCCCTAGCGGCATGCCTATTAGACAGATGCTAATGATTGCAACAGCTAGTGGAGGACAAGTAAGATGAGGTTTCCATTCCGGGCATTGGTTCATGTAACATTCAACATATTAAAAACGTCCAGCGCTCTCCGTCCATGACCAGTACAATACATGTCTTGATAGTCGGCGCTGAGACATATACAAAAGATAAGGCTCAAAAGAGAAGGATCTAAAGCGAAAATCAAGGATTGAAACAATGCGACTACTGCTGATACGCCATCTCCCCCTCCTCAGTCTCCTGTTCACCTACACCCGCCATTGGTACAGCCGCAAAGTTGGCAGCGAGCTTTGCCAGACCTTGAAAGTCGGGCGACCCTCCCGTCGCACCTTGAGCAGCGGAAAGCGTGGGGGCGGTAGAACCCATGCTGCGAGACGCATTGAGGGTGTAGAAGAGGCTGCGAGACGGCAGGCCGGCACCGGGGATGTACCTGTTGACGAATTGCTGGAGAGTGGGGTTGCTCACGAGATCAAAGGGGATATCGAGAGCGACAAAGAGGTGGTAAAGATGGACGTTGAATTCGCCCTGCTCTTCTTCCCCAAACTTCCCATCGGCGGTGAATTTACCCCCTTTGGTGGGCGTGCCAGACAAGTTGTGGCGGCTGCCAGAGGCGCCGTCACCACCCTTGGTCTTGCGTTTCTGGACGGAAGCGGGAGGGATCTCGACGTGTCGTGAATGAGGGCACTTCATGAGGTGGCTTCGGAGGCGACTGGGAACGCCGGTGAGAGGAGTCAACTCGGACATGGCTATGCATCGCGTCAACGGAGCTGGTCGGCGTGCATTGGCCCGCACTCACCTTTGTACCTTCGGGCAGTCTCCTCATTCCCAGCCTCTACCAGGAGCTGGTGGTCGGGTTGCCAGTTGAGGAGCTGGGTGACCGTGGCCCGGACGCAGTTCCTGCACCAGCCGTTGTTGTGGGCAGTATTGGCCTTTGATTTGAGACCGAGCGAGTGGACATCTTGGTCGATGCGGTAGTAGAACTCCCAGACGGGGTCGAGTCCTCGGCCCATGGTTTAATACCGGGAGCGTTAAGAATGGATAAGGTGGATAAATTAGATTTAACTGGATTAATTGCTAAGATTGTAAGGTTGACGGCGGCGTGCACCGCTCCAGCCGACACCCACAACCATAAGCATAAAGTCATACGCAGCAGTGTACTGTACCTATAGCCCAGCAGTGCATGTACTCTACTACTAGGCTCTGCCAATCTTTCAACAACCTCACTCGCCTACACCCTCCGAGGCAAACCCACAGCATTATATCCGGCGGATTTCAATTTTCAACCTATTACATAAATAGTGACGCGAGTAACTACTTCCGTAACGCCGAAGAGTGGCGAGTTACTACTGTCGACTTAATTCATGATGCAGTAGTGACCATATCAATAAGAAGAGGAATCCATGTCTGACCGAATGAATATTATCCCCATGTCAAAGACGACGGAGCATTCCCTTCTTATGCTAACCTAGCTCGTACCTCGCTCGCAGCTCGAGTAGTGCCCTGGTACCCAGTACTTCAAGTACGAGCGCCCATACAGCTAGAGCATCCAAGAGGCATGCTACCCACGTCATCACATCATCATATCAGTATGGAGAGCTACATGATAGGTGCGCCGCCTATCTCCTCAGAGAAGTGGAGTTTGGGTCAAAGGAGTCCAGCTTATCATTGGAAGGCGGCAGGAGTCACAATGATGGGAGATCAAGGGCGCCCAAAGGATTATTCTAGGTGCACGTTTTAGCAGGCCTCATACCTCTCTATCCATGCACAGACCAAAGAACCCCGAGGCGGAGCTTAAATTATTATACATTTGCCACTCACATATGCTGTATCGCCGCCACCCTCATTGTCTCGCTGCTCTGCATCTGCTCATCATCACCAAGCAGCCCGGTCTTGCGCCATCCATTCTTCACCCCATCCAATACGTCCCTCATTACAACACAACTCCCCTATCACCACTGCTATGGCATTCACCTCCAACACTCCTCCTTCTACCACCGACATCCAGATCCCAGAGTACCTCAACCCAAATACCCTGTTCCAGCCTCAAGAGCAGAACGTGACCAATACTTTCTTAGGACACCCAAAAGCAGATGGTGTGACTGCGCTAGCTGGCGCTGGACAGTCAGATATGGCCAGTATCCTTCTCAACACTTCACGGGACGCCTTCAAGGCCAACATGATGCAGATCGATGCTACCTCGCAGCTTCCGGTATGGCAAGAAGAATCTTGGGACGAACTTCTTGGAGAAAGTGTTATGCGACCGTGTCGCAACAGACGTGAGGGAGGTGCGATCCATGGTAGCTCGACTATGGCATCGAGGTATATTGATCCTCAGTTTCTTGACATCCCAAGGTCGCCACCAAGCACCGCCGCCTCGCCTACCTCAGAGCATCTCCTTCCTGAGCCATTCGATGTCCGCTCGGTACTCGAAGACCTTGATCGGCAAAATGACGTTTTCAGCCAAGAGGGTTTCACGACGATGGATATTGACTCATCTGGCCCGATTCTTCCTGGAACAGTGGTGGGAGGAAGAGATAATGATAGAAATGAGCCTCATAGCCAGATCGATCTTGCCAGCCTCTTCAACCGACTTGACCACGCGGGGCCGACTCTCACTCTTCAAGATGCACTGAAGCAGTCTCAGCTGTTTGTAAACTTTGATGACGACGTGTCGAACACCTCTGTCCATCCCGAAAACCTCGCATTGAAAAGGAAGGCATTTGAGGGGTCTAATCATGGGGTTCCGGATACTAAACGTCGCGACATGACATTTGAAGTTGACAACCTATTGTCTTTGACTGCACCCCTGACCATGACTCCCAAAGCACTTCTTGCCAACGCTCCTGATAGCCCATTGCTACAAATTGCACTCAAGAGTGATAGCTCGAGTCCCGACGAGTCAACTGCGTCTGTGGCAAATGTAAAAGCATCCACTGCCCGGCCTAAATCTGTCGTACCGGAAAAGTTCATCGGCGACGGATCAGCCGAGACTGCACTGGGTATGAGTACAGCCGCCATTCAATCTTTCCCCACATTCGAAGAGCTTCTCAAGCATGTTCATCCCGATAACTATGCTCGCGCGAAAGCATTCGGCGAAAGGATTGCCAAGAACAGGCTCAAAGCCAAGAACGCTGCAAAACGGTCCAGGGATCAGAGAAGAGCAAAAATTGAAAAGGCCGAGGAGCTTGAGAAGGAGACGGAGATGCTACAGGGGAAGCTCGATGGTATGAGGACATTGTTGAGTAGATTGGTGGCAAATGGAACGTTGAGCAAAGATGCGGTAAAGGGCTATATCTAAAGGCGCGAGATCAACACATGCGAGAAATGGGTGTCATGAAGATCTGTTGAGCTCGAGAGCACGGGGAGTGAGATACTTGTACATCACATGCAATAACGTACTACTCATCTTGGCCATCCCCAACATCTGCCTCTTCGCTCTCAAAAAAGGGTTTGCCATCTCTCCCCATGACTTCATAAAAGGCCCTTTCCCCTTCTTGAGCTTCCCAATCAAGACCTTCCGTTAACAGCTCCTTGCCCGGGTAGGGTCTCAGGACGACGGCATGCGGTGTTGAGGCTGTCTCTTGGGCACTCTTACGTGAGCACGTGTAGTACGCCTCAAAGGTCGGCCGTTCGCTCAAGCGATGAAGACACGGCCTCAAAAGGGCAGAGGGATCCGAAGAAGTATCCGAAGAGGCACACAAGTATATGATATCTATGCCCAATATCATCAGCATGGCACGAGATAAGAGCGGAAATCTGCTTACACTGGCCTGCAGGACAACTGCCAGTGCCTTCGCCGTTAATCAGACATCTAACCAGGGGATTGTCACCCTCTGGCGGGAATACAAGTAGAGACGTATCGTCGTTCTCGTCCTGATCCACTTCCTGGCTCTCGGTGGCTCGTGGTCGGCGCAAGACGTCCGGGAGCGAAGACGTTATGGCAATGCAGTGGGCAAAAACAGTGGCATGCGAAGACAAAGTTTCGTCTTTCGTCAAAGCAGCAGGTGGTAGGTAGTCGGTGGAGGCTATTATATGGTTGGCAGTGACTGGGCGAGGATGGCAGGGGATGGAGATTGTGGCGCTCGTTTCTGTGACGACACACGACGTCGGTATTGAAGGGGATCCAAGGACATATGTCCCACCAAATACTGCACAGCCTCTATATGAATGAGAGAGTCTCTGCGGCAATGATCTTAAAATACTCACCGACAATAACTTTGAGCAACTTCTCCGGCCCCGCCATACTGCCCGACGAGGAAGGACGAGGGTCCATACCGACCAATGGATCGGAGATAACGGCGAGTACGTATCAGAGAGGGAAGTGACTTGTCGTCCGGAGATTCACAGTGGGCAATGGCATAAGTGATGGAGGCAGCAAGTTGTGGTGATAGGCCGAATGAGTCTTGCAAGAGTTGCAACAGGGGTTGGTCCTCCTTGCCTATGCCCGGATCAGTGACAGGTCATTTGTTGAATAACTCACCTCTCAGTATTTCACTTTCTTCAAATTCGCCAGCCGCAAACAGCAAAAACTTCATCAACTTTCTCTTGTCCAAGAGCGTCACACTCCTGTCCTTGAATACGTCTTCCTTGCTTCCGGGTACCCTCTGCGGCGCACCCTGCTCTTGGTTCCAAATGGAAACCGAGTCTAGGAGCTTGAAGGAGACGTATTTGCCAACGTCGGATGATATCAAAGTTTCGATCAGGCTCCCCCGTGATGGTATCAGGGCTGGGAAGAGAGACAGGGAATATCGCCGTCGGTCAGCCTCCAATGCAGGTGTCAAAGCGGTCGCTGATGCGTTCGAGTACGCGACAACGCCCTCTGCTTGCCCAGCCTCGGGCTGTCTCTTGATCCACTCTGATAGCTCGTCGAGAGTCAAGCTGGCCTGATCTCCCCCGTAGTAGTCGTTGGGGTCTAGGTGGAGGACATTCTTGCCAGCTTTGGCGAGGGCTGCCGCGGCGATGCTGTGAGAGACGCCGGTGCCGATCACAACGACGTCGTAGCTGTCGGATTCGAGCTCGAGGTTGGCCATGGCTGGTGGGGGGGGAATCGCGGGGGATGTGGCTATGCATAGGCAAAGAGAACGTCGAGACACCATGCATCACCGTCGCGTGCAGTGTTGTTGTAGAGGAGGCCGGTACACTTACGTAACTAATTCCACGTCGCTCGCCGTCGTCCACCACGACAAGATCAACTTGAGCGTCGACTTTCTGTCCATCTTGCAGATTATTTCTACCCACCGAGTGCCCTATGGCGACCTCCCTTTTAGCCCCAGTGGCCTACATATCTGTGCTCGTCACAGCTATGGCCATTTTCTCCAGGATATACAGACGGAGAAAGGCTGGTAAGTCTTCTCGCAAGGATCCGGCTATCATCTCTGACGCTGCCCTAGTCGCCAAGACATCGTTCACCCCGTACTTTTCCACCCACCCTGCTCGTGATATCTACGTGTCCCTCCTCTCCAACTCTCCCCCGACTCCCGACAACTTGCTGAAATCCGCTCTTCTCGCGCGTGCCATCGTCGACATTCAACGACTCGCCCAGCTTCGAGATGACAAGATGGCCCTGAACAATCTCCACACCCGTGGGCTCATTGGAGATGACACTATGGACCGACTCGCGGCTGCCGAGAAGGAGCTGGAAGCCGAAGTGTTGGACGTGGTCTCAGAGGCGAACTCGTTCAAGCAGGGGTGGGGGCAATTCGTCTTCGGGACTGCTTCAGAAGCTGCTCAAGCGGAAAAGACCAGGAATACGGTGATGAATATGCACGTCATCAGGCAGATGGAAGGTGAGTCTGGCCTTTTCTCTGAAAGTCTGGTTGACTGACCATGGGCACATAGAGAAGCGTCTTGAGCGACGAAACAAGTATCTCAACCTCTCGAGTACTGCCCAACTCCCAGCTACCCCCAATGCTCCTGCTGTCATCACTCCAGAAGCTTCAACACCATCCCCTCAGGCCCTTCCTGAGGTGTCGCAGGAAGCACCAGTCGCAAATCAGGCGACCGCCACGGCCTCGGAGGGTGTCGCCTCTCCCAATGGCAAGGTATGTCATGTTATGTTTGTACTAGGGCAGATGCTGACCATTTCATAGGCTAGTGTGGGGAAGAAGAAGGGAAAGAAGAAGTGAAGTTGCTAGCACAATATCGGACATGTATACGGTCAGCCAGTAGCTTGCGTTGAAACTCGTCGGGAAACCGTAATACGGGCGCAGGGGTGATTTGCTACATGCTCTACGATCTGATAGCTGAGGTGTGGTTGCAAATCAATGCTCTATAATATGACAACTGGTTTCGTATGCTGGATAAACTTTCACTCGCCCTTCTCACGGCCGTCTTTCAGCCTCGCGATACTCGAGTCGGGTGGGAGGGCGACGGTCCTGGGGCACGGGATTGCTCCCTCTGCCACCCCATTCCTGTTTGTCCACCCAAGCAGCCGAGACATGAGCCATTCCGCCACACCCTCTCCTGGTAAGGGTCTGATCGTCTCAACCTCGTGGGAAACGATCAAGCCTGATGTGGGAGAAAAAGTATACAGCGATGATGTATGCCATCGTGCCTCCTACACGAAAGTTGGTGAGCAAGCCCCAAGTATACATGATCATGGGCATACCGAGTGAGGTGGAAGCCGTAGGGTTCCATATACCGACAATAGCACTCTGATTTGTTTCAATCTGTGAGTGGGAACACCTTTCTGTGTCATAAGAAGAGCGGCGCGCTTGTCATCTTTGGCGAGATCTCTGGGAGCCGGGGAGAAAGTCATTCTCTCCAAATCTGATCGCAGATCGGTGTGGAGGGCTGCATCAAAGAATTAGCTTAGTGGCTAGGTATTTGCCGCTGTCATACGTACCTTGCATTCCATTACGAGTGAGCGAGAATGCCATAGAATACCCAGTTAGTGATGAAATCTATACACTGTTAGAAAGACATAGACTGTCAACAGGTTTCAGCGTACTTTAAGAGGGAGCGGCGCAGGCAGCTTGAGCACCATGTGCTGGCTGTAAACTTCAGGTGACAACATGTTCGAGGCGGTCATCTCAGGATTGAAGAATTGCGGAAGCGTTTCTTGTAGGTGCATCATTGCCCTCGCTTTCTCGTCTGGTCAGCTTACATGCACAGATGTGCCGAAAACAACACGCACCCACTCGTATATCCCACTCTCTATCATCGACTTCCTCTTCTGGGTCTACCCCTTTACCGCCACCACTCGGAAATGCGCGCCCTTTCCCTTTGGAATAGCCGGGGTATTTAGAGTACGGTATGGAGAGCTGGGGCTTGGGATAGACATAAGAGAAGGCACGTGTATGAATATGAGAAGTGCAGCGAGCACAAGCGGACAGGCGGTAAAACGACCCTCTCACAGCTCTGGTCGATATCGGGACTGCGGTCATGGTGACTGTTGTGGTAGCTGGGATTATGCTGTTGTACGCATATATCAAGTGAAAAGGAGAAAGTATAACATTTCTCGGGCGTCACTCGTCACTCGTCACACGCAGGTGGGCTGAAATTGCAGCCCGGATCGGCCATCGCCGCTGACGCGCACCAAACAAGAAACAACAACAACAACAATTTAATAACAAGATTGAACGGTCTTTGTCTATCCCATACGATCACCGCCCCCATGTCTCGCTTTGCCAGAACGCCTCCAAAGCTTGCTAATGAGTATCTCAAGGAGGAGAGCGCGGTCACGCCAGGCCCGTCACGTGTCAGAATCAACCAGCTTCACGGCCAGGTCAGCGAGCTTGTCCGGAAAAATCAAACCCTGGACGCGAGTCTCTCTTACCTCAAGAGGTCTACGACTGCTAATATTTATTTCCAGAGGAAACTGATATCTGAAGCTACCCACTACAAACTAGCTATCCAGACCAAAGACGACGAGATCAAAGCCATCAAGGATGCCTCTAGGATTGTTCGAAAGGAGCTAGAGTGGTTCAAGAAGGAGTTGGAGCATTGTGTATCCGAGGGATCTTCCATGAGAGACCAGGTATGTTGAAAACCTCTTGACGCCCAATCTGACTGTCGGCACACCAGATCCAACTGCACTCTGGCATTCAACAGCAAAAAGCCCTCATAGCGCTAGCTCAAGAACAGATGCGTGTTGTAGAGATCGAGAATCAGCTTTTGGAGTCGGATAGAGCCAGAGGTGAGTTTGGTGCGAACACCAGTCTGCAGGCGCTGACGAAGACAGTTCTGAGGGACCACAAAATATCGTTATTTCAAGCCCGCGAAGAGGAGCTGCTAGCAGACCTCGAAGAAAGAGATGCCAAAATTGATGACCTCGAGGTATGTCGTCGTGGGCCAAGAATGTGCTTTCAATTGCTGAATGCGACTTTCTCAGAGTGACTTGGCTATGATGTCTTCTTCACTTGAGGCCGAGCGTAATACTGCCCAATCTGCCACCTCTGCCCGACCCTCTTCCAAAGAGCTACGACAAGCCCAGACAGAGGTCCTATCAGCTCGCGCAGAAATTGCTTCCCTTCAAACGAAAGTAGAATCTCTCGAGTCAAAGACGCGCGCTCTCAAGTCTAGCGAGAAGGAGGCGAAATCTGAGCTGGAGAATTGGTTGCGAGAAGAGGGATCGGTCAGCAGCAAGCAAAAAGAGAAGACGGAGCTTAGAACACAGATGCGGGGTCTCGAGTTCGAGCTTGGGAAACGACTAGAACAGGTTGAAGAGCTGAAGGAAGATTTGAAGAAGGCAAAAAAAGACGGAAAGGAGAGGGAGAGGTTGCCGAAGGACAAGCTGAAGGACGCCCAGGAGAAGGCGGAGAGGCTACAGGAGGAACAAGAGGAGTCCAGGGCGAGCGCTCACAAGTCTGGTACCGGGAAGAGGGACAAGGCCAGGAAGGTGTGTATATCTATCTTTGGTGTACAAAATTCCTGACTTTCTGTAGGCAAGCCCAGAAGATACTGAATCCGAAGACGAGTCACCGAAAAAGAAGGCCAAGAAGGCTGTATCGGTGAGTAAAGCTCCCTTTCCTGTTCAAGGTCTGACAATCTGTACAGAACGCCAAACCTCAATCCAAGGCCAAGCGTGCTGCGGAATCGTCCCTAGCCTCCGACTCTGAAGCCGACAGACCCGCCACCAAGAAAGTCAAAGCTCTTTCCAAAACCCAGGCCACGCCTCTTGAGGAATCGGATACGGACAACAAAATCAAGTCGAGTAAGGTCAAGGTGGCTGGCAAAAACGAGGGACTTGAAGAGGATGGGACAGACATCTCGAAAGATGGGGACGAGAAGAAGAAGAAGAAGAAAAGAACCTTGGGTATCCAGCCAAAGCCGAGCTTCTCTTGGGATCATATCATGGACGTGAGTGATGTCTGCGCAAAATTCAAAGTGCTTTGTGCTATTGTGCTAACCAACCAATCTTCAGAGTGGGGACGGTGTCATTCCGTCCTATCTCTCCCCTGCCAAAGGTGGTGGCAAGCCCACTGGTACCATTCCTCGAATGGGACTCTCAATACCAAACAGGATGAAAAGGTTCGGGTAGTAATGACCTCTTATCTGGCATTGTCTTGTTGTGAAGCGGCCGGAAGGTGGAGGATCTTGTGTGATAGGATATCGGATTGATGCTACATACATATATTGGATAAGATGGGTCAGATCACAGCCTCTTCTTAGCGCCTGTAGCTTGTGGATTATCGGACCTTTGCGATATGGCCGCTCATCCCTGGAACGCAAATCGTTCTCGCAATCTCTGTCCTCTGAAGAACATCTGATGAATATTAGATCCACCTCACTGGTAATTATACTAGGTCCACACTCACAACGATCGGCCCGGGCACACCTACAAGGGCGACACAGGCGATGAGAGTGCCTCCCCATCCCCATCCAAGCTTGGAGAACATCTCCGGTACAAATACCGGTAGGACGCAGGCCATTACTGAACGTGTCTGACTGCCAGTCAGCAAGAGCGTCTGAGTGGCCAATAAAAGTGCTTACAGCCGTAGCGCCCGCGATGGCGGCCCCCGAGTAAGGATAGAAAGCATCAACAAAGCTAACCGTGGTCAGACATCTCGCAAAGACTAGAACACGAAACCACTCACAAGTTTTGGAGGGTGTTGAATGCCAACATGAGCCCCAGACCGGTGATGGCTTGTCCAATACAGGGTGCTATCCAGTGGACCTCTGCGTTCGCCGTCCAAGCCTTCACAGTCACCGTCAGCGACGAGCCAAAAAAGCTAGACAAGGCGTCGGACTCACAAAGACGAACAGCCCAAGGGGCATCACACACATTCCAATCTGGGTCATCACAAGCTGAGGTCGTTAGCATCTGGGTACCACTGCAAATGAGCAACTCCTCACTCGATACTCTGGCTGACCCTTGTCGCCATTGACCTTTGAGAGATGCTTGTAGATCCTATCCTGGAAAGTGGACGTGACAGCTGCAGCTATCAGAAAACCCAGCCCTGATGGTACGATCAGCCGTCTTGACGATCTCTTGCAGGACAGCCGACCCACCAAGAGATATATAGGCAAGTCCCATGGTACCGAGTGGCCATTGATAAGAGAAGAGGTTGTCTTGCTTATAGGGCGCTTTTCCATAGAGTAAAGGAAGTCCTATTATGAAGAGGTAGATTATACCTGTAAAAGCATGAGTGGGTTGTCCGATCGGCGACCGTCTCCAAACTGACCGTAAACATATCCGTAATACATCGAGAATCCGAAGGCGACAGGATTGGTGAAGAGAAGCCTTGGAGGGCGAGAGAACGCTCTGCCGTATACGGCCTTGGCATCTGCTCTCGATACCATAGCTGGCATCCAGGAGAGGACAGGGACATATCGACCAAACCTCGATGACGGAGCTGGGGGATGCGTAGCACGATGCGTAAGAATCTTTTGAGTGGCCCTTGAAAAGTCAACGTCAGATGAGCCCACATCAGAACGATCAAACTCACGGCGCATACGTCTCACGCAGTATCAGACACAACAGTGTCAGGTTGAGTGCGGAGAGTATGGTTATGAAGTAGTACGCCCATCTCCAACCACCGAAGAGCAACCAGTATCCGACCATATTGCCGATCACGGGCCCGCCCTGATTGTCATGAGCATTTATTGTTACTCTATGGACAAAGCTCACCATGGGTCCTAGGGCGTATAGAGAGATGGGTTTGCCCCTCTCATGAGGCGCAAATATCTACAACTTACGTCAGAGCCAGTAGCTTTCAGCACAAGGAACACTCACATCTGCACAAGTTGCGACTCCCAGAGAGGGCGGAGGGGATCCCCAGCACCCACAAAGGCTGATTATACTCAGTAACCATGCGTGAGGGATTGCAGTACACTTACAAACGAAGGATGATCAGAGTGGGCATGCTTCAAAGCGTCATTAGTCATACTGTACGAGTACGCGGCTGTTTGGATAAGATCTACTTACTTTTTAGAGAAGCCTGTCCCCAAGGAGAAGATAACGTACAGAAACTGACTGGAGAAGTAGGCCACTTGACGTCCATACAGCTCTGATATTGGAGCGAATACAAACGGGCCAAAGCTATACCACAGTAAGTAATCGTTCACGGAAACGTTCCGTCACGCACCCCAAGCCCAAAACATAGGCACTCGATATCAGGACCCCGATCTTTTCATTCTTCACCCCAAACTCTTCCATCACCGAATGCATTCCCGGAACGCCCACCGAGCTCCCTGCGGTGGAGATGAATCCTGTCAGGGCAAGTGTCGCTGTAATGGCCCACTTTTTCTTTCCACTCCAGTTCAAGGGATTGCTTGGAGAAGTCGGGAAAGCTGCTATAACTTGGCGGGCTTCGCGGGTAGATAGGGACGTCGGCGTCAAGGTGATCGGATCCGAGGAGTGCTCGTCCTTTGCTGTGCGAGGCGATAGTAGTCCTTGGCTTCTGTTGGCCAACTTGCCGTGCGCAGAGAAATCATCGTCGAAAGATGGTCCTCTTTTGAGGTCGATGGGATGTTGGGGGTCAGATTTGGTCATGAGGCCATATTTGAGTGATTACTGAACGAGTACTGGCGAATATTGCACTGAGGTGGATTCAGAATGCCCAATCAGAGATGACTCTTCATTTCGCAGAAGACCGGACCGAAATGTGACCGAAATCCTATTTTATCAGTTGGACAGGTGATGTCCGCCGGATCCTCCGTGTCCTGGACGGGGCGGGCTATGTCCGGATTTGTTGTTACGTAACACTCCACGCGCCGTCTTTGTTTCGTCGTCAGATGTTGTTGTTGTTTTCAGTGGATCGACCTTCTCTGCCACCAAACAACAAATCCAACAATGTCCAAGATAGGCCACAGAAAGTCACTGTCTACCTCGGCGCTTTCTGTCATTGCCTCCTCGAATACGGCAGAGGCTGCTCCGCCGCCGTCAAAGCCTCAGAGAGAACGTAGGGGGCGTAGCCATTTGCCGCCGGGGTCCAACGAAGCGCAACCAGAATCGGCGAGCCTCAGTGTCTTGCATGGGCTCACGGGAATGGTGGAAGAGAGAAGGAGAGAAAGGACAGGGGATGCTGTGAAGGAGGTCAAGAGGGAGCGGGGCGAGGGAAGTGCAGAAGAGTTGCTTCATGACGTGCGTTCAACATATTGTATACCGACCGGGCTGATCCTGTCTTTAGCTCAAGTCATTACGGAGCTCCAGTAAAAGGAGATTGGCGGCCCTCGATGGACTGGGAAAGAATCTTGTTTATGCTTGCCAGGCCGAAGACGCTAGCGCTCTTGAAGACTTTTTGTCGCTCACGCGCAAGTATTCTGTGACTATTGCAGCACAAGCTGACCTGTTTGCAGCCTATTCGACGCTTCTCAGTCTGCTCAATAGACATGCTTCTGCATTGTCCCTTCGCTCGTCTCACACTTCATTGCCTGCAGGCGACGACCTCGCAATAGGTTTGATACCGGAATTGCACGCCATTGTCAGTATGCTCCAAGGTTTGTGCCTTCTGAGTCAGAATTGCAAGGAAGCTATCGGGGACGAATGTGTTTTGGAGGTGAGCCCGAGCAAGGAAGCATGATCCGCTGGACTGACGTGCTATAGATGTTCATTGACAGTCTGCTACTCCTGCGGGCCCAGCCGGCACTCAAGGGAGATAAGCCGATATGTTATGGCATTCTGGAGCTACTCTTTTGCATCCTTGTAGATTCGCCCAAGAACGCGAGGACGTTTGAGAAACTCAGTGGACTAGAGGCGGTTGTGAGAGTGTTGAAGGGGTCAGGTGTGACAAAGGATGTTCGGTAGGTGGACTCTGATTACATTGTGAGGTGCTGACCGTGTTATAGAATGAAGTGTATAGAGTTTCTCTATTTCTACCTTCTACCCGAATCAGAGGCCAACCAACGGCTTATCGCATCGTCCAACGCAGACGTCTCCAACGGCTCGCTTTACCCACCCTCCCCTCCTTCCTTGGGCAACAACCGTCACGGTCCGCACTCGAAACCTGGCCAAGCAGAGCTCGACGACGTCAATGTCGCCTTCGTCCCCATGACGCCCCGTAAACGGCCCCAACCCAGCCTCGGCTTCCTCACTCCTGCTCATCGCCATGTGTCTGGCACGAGCTACTCATCCAGCTCGACCCCAGCTCTTCCTCCCATATCTGGTTCGCCGATCGCGACGCCTCAGGTCAAGGTCAGCCAGTCATCTACGGGACTGTCGCGATTGTTGGACGAGGATTCCCCTACAGAAAGGATGACTCCAAGGAGCGCGAGTATGAATCGGGGATCGAGCGACGAAAGCGGGAGATTAGGTCTGGGAATGCCCCGGACAGGAATGTCTCGAAGCAGCAGCACACGACCAAACATGTCAGGGCTATCGACCGACCCGTTCAACCTTGCCTCAAGCTCGGAGCGATCCCATTCTGGTTCATCGGGCTCGTCTACCGTCGTGCCATCCCACGGCATCCCCCGGTCTCAGACGCAAATGCTGTCAAGTCGACCTGCGTCTAGGCTCGGGAGAAGCGAGAGTCTGAGACGCGTGAGCCCTAGCCCTGCACCCCGCGAAGGAACTGCCCAAAGGAGTAGGGATGGCTCTTCCGGTTCGTCTCTCGCTCCTCGCACACCTCGAATGCGCCACTCCCGAACTCAATCCCATCTATCTGGCCTCTCACCACCACCTCCTGCCAGCATTCCAGACGTCCCGGTCGTTCCTAGCGCGCACAAACCCGGGCTTTCGAAACCTCGCGCGTTCCCTGCAAACTTGACGAGGGGCTTGCCCCCGAGCATGTCCACCCCATCGTTGGCAGGGATGGCAGCGTCGCCCAAAGTTGTATTGGGCCCTGCAAAAAGGGTGTCGTCGATAACGCAAAAGGCTGTTGAGAAAGGGCACAAGGAGGGTGAGATCAAGTCGGTGGCTGAGAAGAAGGAAATGGTGAGTTTTCTGTTGGTTGTTTGACTAAATGCTGATTGGTGATAGCTCGGCAAGTGGTTGGGGAATGTGGAGCAGCTGGTGCAAGGGGTAGAGAAGGGGAGTTTCTGGGGATCGGTCGGTAAAGAGAGGGGGGAGTGAGGGAAGCTGTAAGATGATTAGACATTAGCATTCGCATAAGAGATTTGTTGATATACTATTTTGATTGGAGCGTGTAATTTGTGTATAGCCATGAACGTTTTTGTCGATTCTTGAAGAGCATGGACGCAACCGCATGATTGACGGGCACCCCCACGCAGGTTTGCGCTCGACCTTATGTTGGGTGGAGAGACATCAAAGGCAGCTTGTGGCTGGAGGGGTTTGATCAAATTCTCATGATGATAAAATGGGGGACGCCATGAGACGTGTATCGACACGGGCGATGGCAGCAAGGTAGGTGGGCAAGGAGGACATGGCGAGAGGCGAAAGCCTGATGAAAGAAGCCAAGGGGCGGAATGGCGGAGACGAAAGCAGCCAGGCGACGCTTGTTTGCATGCGAGCAAGAAGATGGAAAGGTGAATGAAGGATTCGAGGGATGGTTTTGCCCTGTTTGTTGGGTTGTCGCTGGTCGGGTGCCGTCTCCCAGCTCTCCCATGATCCCTTGTGAAGTTGTGGATGGGCGACTGACCAGCGAGGCGTGGATGGCTGGTGATGGGTACATACTGGCCCAAGATGGGCGACGAGGCATACGCTGAGTGGCCCCTCCATCCCCTCCATCCCCTCCATCCCCTCCATCCCCTCCATCCCCTCCATCCCCTCCATCCCGCCCTTCCTGCTTGATGGATGTTTGGATGCAGGGCCAATTGTAATTCGCAGTGCCACGCGCGATAACGCCGGGAGAATTACTATTTCGCCCAGTCACGTGCCGGTGAATTAAGAAATAGAGCGTGCCTAGATCCTCGATAAACGCAACAACCCTCCAACCGCGCCGCAACGTATAAATACCCATTTGCATCTCTCTCTCTTTGTCTTCTCATCCCACAACTTTCCAACTTCTCTCTCTCTCTCCCACCCCACCCCCAACAACACACTTATACACAATGTCTGGTCGAGGAAAAGGCGGCAAGGGTCTCGGTAAGGGTGGTGCCAAGCGACACAGGAAGGTGCTTCGTGACAACATCCAGTGAGTGTCCCCCCACCTCTTGCCTCTTCCTCACTGACATGCTCCAGGGGTATCACCAAGCCCGCTATCAGGCGATTGGCGCGAAGGGGTGGTGTCAAGCGAATCTCGTGAGTCTACTTTCCCTCTTCTGTCGACACCAACTGACAACCATTCAGCGGTCTCATCTACGAGGAGACCCGAGGTGTCCTCAAGATCTTCCTTGAGAACGTCATCCGAGACTCTGTCACCTACACTGAGCACGCCAAGAGAAAGACTGGTGAGTCGACTTGTATCCCAACAATCCACACGCGCTGACTTTGGCACAGTCACTTCCCTCGACGTTGTCTACGCTCTCAAGAGGCAGGGCCGAACCCTCTACGGTTTCGGTGCTTAAACACTTTGTTTGCGCCTTGTAGATCGCTTTGTTGCCTTATTCGTTTTCGCTATCTTTATTTACTACCACGCCGTCGAAAGATGATGCATTACTTGACTGCCACTTGGTTTTCTCTGACCACTGGCACATTATTCTCGGTTTCAGTCATTGTTTGTGGAGCGCATGATGGAGTATGTTGGTATAATCGCACGAGTCGAGTGTGGGATGACAGAGAAGATGAGCGGTGCCGCGTCTGTATGACCGACCATTCACTAATTGCTTTGGATCTGAATGTTGCAATCCATGGTGCATGCACTACATACTATACATGCATGCCCTGGTATGGCTGCATACGCCAGACCCGCTTCGCACCCACTGCCAAACACCGGGCGGCGATGGCTTATCGACTCCCGCTTAATCAGCTCCGTAAACATTTTTACTCGCCGTTCTTCACTTTGCGCCTTTCGACCACTCCATCCAGAAACCCGCCCAGTATGCCGCGGAAGGCCTCCGCTGCCCACGATAGCGACGTAAGTGGCCCGTACTGCAGGGGTCCCGTCGCTCACCGCTCGCCTCCCAATCCATCCCTCTTCCTCTCCTGGCCACTTGACTTACCCTGCTGACCTCACCATGTTGACGTCAACCACCTTGCACTTGGTCCTCGCGACGCGCCTTGCACCTGATCACTCCTGGTATACCTCGTACCGCATCTATCAATCACTGCAATGCATCGCGGCCACTACAGGACGAAGACAGCTCGCGCGCTGGTTCGGCCGCCCCAGAAGAAGGGGCCAAGGGACCCTCGTACGCTTGCCATTGACAGGTCAAGATCAGCGCTGAATCTTCGTCAGGTCGAGCCAGGTGAGAAAGGCTCAGAATAGGATCGCTCAGCGAGAGTTCCGTCTACGAAAACAGGTGAGCAGACTAGAAAGACATGTGGCCTATGCTAACTCTTGATGCAGCAATATGTAGGTCGCATGCCCTCGCAGTCGCATCATGTAGCTCACAAGACTGTAGATTCGCGATCTGGAAGCCAAAGTGCAAGTGCTCGAGGGCAACAAGGAGGAGCGAGTGGGGCTTATGACGCTGCTCGTGAGGAATCTGCTCAAGGAGAATAAGGATCTCAGAGGGATGGTACGCTCAATGGCTTCTTTCGTCGGCGAAGGTACGCATTTTTCCCCACCATCCCGCACCAGCTGATTGCTTATAGGCCTTGGCTCTTGCCTCCCCAGACTTGGCCTCACGGCGGACCAACTCGATGCCGTCGTCAATCGCGCCGACACCGACACGGCCTATGAAGCCTTCCTAAACCTTAAAGCCACGCGTGAAATGCAAGATGCAAACCCCGGCATCAAGATGGGCGAGCTACGCCGTCGGTCCACAGCTGCTGGCAAGCGCAAACGTACGCCCGAGACTGAGACGCCCTCTGCTGCTGGGGACGAAGATCATATGCCGGATGCTGGGCCGTCGAGCGCGAGTAAAGACAAGGGCAAGGCGCCGCAGAGTGAGGGGGCAAAGAGGACAAAGAGCGGGGATGGTCCATTTATCTCGGACGAGTACACCTATCTCTTCCCGGATCTGGACGGAATGTTCATGACGTCTGAATTCGACCTCACATCCCAGTCCAATATGGAACGTCCGAGCGCGAACCCGCCGCCCGGCCAGCCAAGATCATATCAAGGCTACCCAAGACAAGTAGCAAATCGTCCACAGACAAATGGATACGGTGGACCCTCAACCTATCCAACCGATATCGATAGTGGCTTTGGTCTGACCCTTCCGCCATCCACCTTGGGAGCACCCGACTTGGGTGCCGCTACTGGACAGAGTCCCTCTTCCTCTTATCCATCTGCACCCCCGATGCGCCAGTCCCAGGCTCATCCCCCCTTGGTCACCGACTTTGCGAGTACCTGCCCCCCGCCTCCCTTTCACGCACCTTCGAGACCTCACTCCCAACCGTCGTCTCTCAACCGCACGCCTCCGCGACAGATGCCCGATCGCGAGACGCCAGCTCAGACCGTAGCTCGACTCGTACCGCCGGACCGCAATAATTTCGGAGTACCAGGCATGTCGCAGGAAGAGCTGGAGGGGAGAAAGAAGGCTCAGGACCAGCTAGTCAAGTCCATCGAGGAGAGTGACGCGTCAGACAGAAAGCTGGAGGCCATGCAGTTGATCACGTATCATCTGAACAAGTAGGTCCGGCGATATTTCACAAATCAGAGCTGACCATGGCCTGCAGCTTCCGCATGAACCACGAATATCACCTTCCCCCTTCGCTGCGTCCCACTGTCATTCAACGTACAGTGCCACACGAGCATGCGATTGATGGAATCTGCTTCCCATCCATGAGAGATAGGATGATATTGTTGCGCGGAAGATATGACTTGGTGGAAGTCTTCCATGCCTTGCTATCAGAGGTGGGTGTCTTGTATCACGGGCGTCATATGCTGATACATATGCACAGTTCACTCTGCACGGTGATGATGTACTGGACCATCGGAGCTATGAAATCTCGGAAAAGTTTGTCCGTGAATTCACGTACGTTCATTGCATTGCTCTCAAGCAGCTTCTTGCTGACCTGTATCAGTATACTGGTGGATGATGTCGCGGTGGACATTAGCAACAAGTGGCGAGCCATTCGAGGCGAGCCGCCTATTGAATGGCCGCTGAGGAATGAGAATGGGCAAGTCTCCGAGCAACCGCCTTCGAATTGACAGATGTCGCTGTAATGCGGGCATGTCATTGTAATAAAACCAGAAACACCAATTATCCACAACTAATGTAATATTATCAGCTCTTGACATGCATGCTTTATGGATGCAGACATCACATATGTAGCGTAAATACGAGTACTAAATTCATCGACGGTCCTCGCATGCGCGCTCGCGCGGGTTCGTCAGGGACAACGCTGCGTGACCACTTTCTTCTACCAGCTGCCCCGGAATATCTCGCTGTCGAGCCCAATCCTGTCTCCGAAACCAGCCCCCAGAGAGACTAGCCTGCCAGTCGACAAGTAACACGCTTGCAGCATAAAGTACGACCGCGTCCACGACTCCCCAAGCCCTCCAGATCGCGTCTCATTTGATGAACCGACCGCAATGATCCCTTCACCCCGGCGGGCAGCTTCGACTCCCGCTGTACACACCTTGTCTGAAGACTGGGACGATGACGAAGGATGGCAAGGTAAGTTCTGCTTAGAAGCTCAGCGGAATATACTCTTACACGGCATAGATATGCCAGTTGTCCGCTCAGAGGCAAACCCTTTCGGTCTCGACGACGAGGATCAAAAAAAGTATCACTATCAAGCCCCTATCCGCCTTGAAGACGACCCCTCCTCCCCGAATCCAGCTGGGGCTGGCAACGCTACAGGCGCCCATCTTGAGCTCGAAGGTGAAACTGCCGCCACCGGTTCATGGCGGGCCAAAATTGATCAGGACGAATCTGATTACACCCGCTTGAGGCTGGACGAGGATGAGGAGAGTGAAGAAGTGCATATGAGGACCCGGTATCTGTTTGATGAGGACAAGGCGATGACACCGTTGAGTCAGATGCAAGCGACGAAAGAGCTTTTGACGGAGGGACAGAGAATCGCGTATGTGGGTCTCTGTCAATTGATCATGCGGCGGATGTTGCGTGACATGGGCAGAGGCTGGGAAGGATACAAGGCAAAGAAGGTGTTAGGCATCAAAGGCGGCAAATCTGAAGTGCCGGTGGTGGAGAGTGGGCATATATGGATGCTCAAGATTATGGCGAGGCTGTATCAGCACATGGAGCTCAGCAAAGATGGTATGTCAAATCTGAAATGTTGGAGTCTGCTGATCTTTGGGCAGAACAACGCATGATTGAGAGCCTGGCAGAGCATGGCGTCGACCCCTCTGATCTGGTACCCGCTCTGATGACCACCCACACTGTCAATAACCCCGACTACGACCCTAAAGAAAAGCAGCGAGCAGACTTGGAGGAAGCCGGAATAATAGAACAGCAAGCCGATGCTGAGACCCTCCGCGAAGAAAAGTCTCGGCGAGAGAGTCATGAAGCGGAAGAGGTCTCCGATACAGAGACCGAAGCGCCTCCTCCTTACTCTCGGCGAGAGCAAATAGAAAGCGTTGCACCTACGCAATCCAGCCAGAAATCACCAGATTTGGAGCTGTCGTCAAAGCCTATTAATCCTTTTGGGTTTGATGACGATGACGAAACCGACATGTCCATCCCTGCACCGTCATTCAAGTCTCTCAAGTCCCGCGAGCCTCTTGCCTCTACATCGCCCAAGAGCGTCAATCCTTTCGGGTCGGACGACGAGGAAGATGTACCGCCGCCCCCTACCATAAAACGAACGCCTTCTTCTGATCCCGTTGGGGATTACAGTGGTGACATCGGTGGTGCTCTTTCACCTCCTCTGTCCTCGACCGAATCGACGGCTTCACCCTTCTCTCCTGCAGAACCTTCTCTACCCCTCACTCCACCCAAGACTGCTAAATCCGGAGATGAAAAAGCAGCGCCGGCCAAAACGGAAGAAGACATGGATGAGAAGGCGAAAGACTTGGACGAAGGAGAAAAGACTCCCAAGAATGATCCCAATGTTCTCTTTGACGCGGCAGATCGCCAAGCGCCCGCCCCCCTTCCATCCTTGCCCGGCGTCTCGACTTCTCTGTCGACCACAGATCAGCTGGTAACCCTTGATATCCGTTGGACAATCCTATGTGATCTCTTCCTCGTCTTGATTGCCGATGCTGTCTTTGATGCTCGGTCAAGGACGTTCTTGACACAGGTCGCCGCAGCCTTGGGCTTTGACTGGTTAGACGTAGTACGCTTTGAAAACAGAGTGACGGAGGCTTTGGAAATACAGGAAGGCATGGAGAAGAAGGAGCAAAAGGAGATCATCGATGGAAGAAGAAAGGCAGCTAGAAATAAGAGATATGCCATGATGGGCGCTGCTGCTCTGGGTGAGTGATCTGTCTGTCATGTCGGGTACTGTGCTGATGCGTAATCATCAGGTGGTGGTTTGGTCATCGGGCTTTCCGCTGGTTTGATGGCACCGCTTATCGGAGCTGGTCTTGGCGCCGCTTTCACAACAGTCGGCATCACTGGGACTACCGGATTTCTGGCTGGTGCCGGCGGTGCGGCTGTCATCACCACAGGTGGAGTCTTGACTGGCGCCAATATCGCTGGAAGAGGAATGGCTAGAAGGACGAGAGAAGTGCGAACGTTCCAGATGAAACCTCTCCACAACAACAAGAGGGTCAGCTGTTACATTACCATGGGAGGGTGAGTCAATCGTGGGCAGACCATGAGGGGTGCACTGACAGGGCGCAGATTCATGGCCAGTAAAGTCGATGATGTCCGGCTCCCGTTTTCAGTTCTCGATCCATCTGTTGGTGATGTGTTTTCGATCCTGTGGGAGCCAGAGATGATGGAAGAGATGGGCGGCGCCCTCAAAATCTTTGGTTCCGAGATCTTGACGCAAGTCGGTCAACAAGTTTTACAGGCTACAGTCATGACTGCCCTATTGAGCGCTTTACAATGGCCTTTGAGTAAGTCACCTCCTTGAGCCGTCTCAGAATCTTGCCTGATGATCGATGCAGTCCTCACCAAACTCGGGTACCTCATCGACAATCCTTGGTCAAACGCCCTCGACCGCGCGAGGGCAGCAGGTCTTCTTCTGGCAGATGTGATCATGCAGCGCCACGCTGGTGTTCGTCCTATCTCACTCATCGGATTCTCCCTGGGCGCCCGTGCGATCTTCTACGCCCTCATCGAGCTGGCCCGAAACAAGGTTTACGGGCTCGTCCAGGATGTCTTCATATTCGGCACCACCATCACTGCATCTCGAACCACCTGGCTAGAAGTGCGTAGCGTGGTGGCTGGACGGTTCGTCAATGGGTACGCCACAAACGATTGGATGCTTGGGTACCTCTTCAGAGCCACGTCTGGCGGTCTAAATACTGTGGCGGGATTGAGGCCGGTCGAGTCCGTGCAAGGACTGGAGAACGTGGACGTGACTGAGCTCATTACTGGCCATATGAGCTACCGAAGCTGTATGCCACAACTGCTGAAAAAGGTTGGCTTCCCTGTCACGGCAGAATACTTTGATGAACCCGAGGTCAGTGGTCTGCACAATTTGCTCAATAACAGGCTGATTCTCTTAACAGGACCCCGACCTTGATATGAGCGTCCAGGAGCGAACGATCGTCAACGAAGCCGAAGAAGAGGCAAAAAAGAACCGCAGAAAGATTCTTGGGATCTTCCCGGTCAAGCAGACATCTTCGTCGAACTCTGGACAAAATACTCCCAATGCAGGCGCATCTACGCCTACTACAACGCAGGCTGCCGCTGGCGAGTACGAGCTGGAGGACGATGATGATCTTCCTCCGCGAGAGGAAGTCGACATTGGAGAGCTTCCTTCGGCCAAGTCGCACTCGCCAGCCTCAGGCATGGCGAAGGAGGCTACAGATGCTGAAGATGCTGCACAGGCAGAAAGAGCGAGAGCAGTCAAAGAAGAGGAAGATCGTCGCTTGGAGGCAGAAGAAGTTAAAGCCATCCCCAAGACCGCCGGCTTTGACTTCCAGGCGATCTCGCGAGAACTCGGCAAAGACATTGACGTCGACAAGCTTCGTGAGCCCGAGCCTCGCAAGCTCCCACCTCTGCACGTTCCCCTCTCTGAGCCTCGCCCTCTAGAGAGGAGTGGTTCAGCTCCTCCACCTCATGATTTTGCCCCTCCGCCTGTTGATGTTGCTTGGTCTTCTACGGCACCCGATAACGGCAAGAGCTCGAGATTCTTCCCAGTCGAGCTGGACGACGGCGGTGACATATCCGGTAACACCTACAAGGTCAGACAGATGTCTTTGGCCGATGATATGCCCAGCTGGGGCAATCCAGAGCCGGTGACATCCCCATCACCAGACACAGGTCACCAATCGTCATCTACAGGCTCCAAGTGGGCCTGGAATACATGGGGGTCAAGCTCAAGTTCTACCGGCACATCCACTCCTGGCCTCAAGCTCCCAAAGGCTGCGCCTCCCGCCAAACCTCATCCTCCAGAGTTCCTGAATGCATGGGGAGACAGTGAGGCGTCTGGTGGATTTGCAAGCAGTATAGAGGTCAATTCAGGGATGAACTCTGCAGCGGGCTATCGAGCAGATAAGATGAGAATAGACGAGGAGAGAATGGCGGAGGAGAATCCTTGGTAATCTTCAAACATAGGTATATAAGTGTATTTTAGTTCCGTGTTTTTTTTGCCTTCTTGCATTCATCAGAGATGGGATCTCTTGAGATCAATGCATCCTTATGATATACAAGGTGGTCGTCGAGCAGAGCATGCCTTATTCATGATTTACTGGATTCCACGTGATGGCGCCTTCCGTGCCCTTATCAAGTCCGTCAATCTCTACCATCTCCTCGCTGCTGAGTTCAAAGTCAAACACATGGGCATTCGATTGGATACGGGCCGGTGTTGCAGACTTGGGCAATGGGATGAAACTGGCAGTGTATGGTAAGCACGCGCAATCGCAAGACGATAGGACGCCGACGTACCCTTTTTGCAAGCTCCATCGGATAGCGATCTGAGCTACATCTTTCTTGTGTTTCTTTGATATTTTGACCAAGACAGGGTGATCCCAATACCTCTCCTCTCCTCTCATGAGGGGTGAATAAGCTTCGATAGCGATGCCTTTCTCTTGGCAGTATTCAACGATGTCGCGCTGTTGGCAAAAAGGGTGCAGCTCAATTTGGTTGACTGCTGGGAGAGGTCCAGGTAGAGATTTGAGATGGGCAACCCCACTGAGGTACGCATCGGCTTCATGTTTTTACCGTGGATCGGGAGGACTCACAAGTTGGACACTCCGATATCTTTGACCCAGCCTTCCTTCTGTGCCAGGCCCAGCGCCTCCCAATTGTTCCTCCGCCCTTCATCTCCGCCCCAGGGTGCGTGTATCAGCATCAAGTCGATGTATGGCTCTCCTTCACCCGACCGGTCGATTTTCTTGATAGACTTTCGCAGGACCTGCAGAACCTCTTCGGGACTGAAGACTTTGTGTGAGGGCATGTACTTGGTGGCCAAGTAAACGGAGGAGCGGGGCACGGGAGCATCTCTGATGGCCCTCCCGACGTCTAAGATAGCGCAGAGTGAACAAATAGTCATGCCGATATCCAGATGTTCTTACACTCTTCATTGTGATAGCCTGTGTGGCGGATCAGTGTTAGACTAACATCTTTGGGACAGAAGACACACCCTGTGCCGAATCCACTGTCGCGCCGATATCAGCACATGTTGCTTTTCAAATGCACTGCCGTACCGTGTCTGTAGCCAGCCTCTGCGGCCTTCAATACCGCCTGTTCACACTCCTTCGAGCGAGCTTGGTAGACACCGAAGCCGAGGCGGGGAATGAGGTTGCCGCTGGGCAGCTTGATGGTCGAGTCGAGAGATAAATGGACCATCCTGGGTCGCCCGCGGATCTGTCGAGATGACACTAGGGAACCTCACAAACGATGCGATGTTCTCCGAGGACTCATCGGAAGCCCGGCGAGGAAAGTGGAGGCAGCGTCCACGTCGCCACTGAACCGCGAATCCTCTTCCTCGTTCTTCCACGTAAGTCTACGTAGAACCGAGCCGTCATAGACAGGGAGCTACGCAATCTCCGGTTACGTCCTTCTCTTTGCTTGCCGATACAGTCCACGCACGTCTCAAACGTCTCCTCCTAGCGCAAGAGCTTCTCTGTCTTCTGGCGCTGGGCCACGCAATCCCAACTGACTCTTCTCCGCGGCCATTGGTCTGCTCGCGCCTCAACCCCTAATGGAGCCTCCTCAAGATCCAGAATTACGGCCTCGCTGACCATATCTGACTTACCAGACAAGATCCGGCCGTCATGTACCCGACAGAACGGCAACGGTGCAGCACGAATCTAGACTTGATTTCTGTCCTCGGAAAGGTTCTTCTGTACGCTATCCAAAGCTGATGACGGTATCCTCTTTTAATGATATTGATCGTGCGTATCTATATAAGGCGGACGTCTGCTTGATCTTTCCCAGAACCAACACGTCAATTTGCCTCCCATATACACTTATACGTAGACGCTGATCATGCCCGGAAACTGGTGAGTCTCAAGTTCATGGTGGCGATGGACTTGCTGAAAGTGATTGAAGGCTTAGAGGTATCAAGGGCCTTGTCACGGGCTTGCTTTTGGCTTCGGCCTTCTGCTCGGTGAGTCATGCGTTAGCCATCACCCGCATAGTCCAGCTCACAGGCGGCCGCACTAGTTCATCATCGACATTATAATGATCCTCAAAGTGAGGCATTACAGCAGCACCTACCCCCCTGCAGTCGTCGCCCTTATAGTCTGCTCAATCTTGGAGTGGCTTTATGTTCTCATGCTCATGATCATGCCGAGATCGAACATGTTCCGGGCCACTTCCGTCGCAGCTGTCATTGGTCTTTTCACCTGTTTTAGCTTTGGTAAGTGTTCGCTTATCGATAATTCGGAGTCCATGGCTGATACATCTTGCTAGCCTGTATCGTCGCTACGACCGTTCTTCGACACCACTCAAAGTACTGTGACACCAGCCTTGCAGACAACGGCGATCTTTGTGGTGTCCTTCGAGTGCGTATCCTTGACGCTTGTTTATAGACGGTAGCTGACGAAATCAATAGGGTACCGAAGGTCTTGGTTGGATGCTCTTTGGGTTCAACCTGATCTACCTGTGTCTTCTCCCCGTCCTTGCTAGTGGCGGCCACTGGAGCCGAACCATACACGAACTTCCCTACGAAGAGAAGTTTGTCGACGAGGAGAAGGCTCCTGCTCACTAAGCGGCAGCAGGGTACGAAGCCAGCTGGCTGAGGTTGTCTTGCTATGGCGGCATAGTAAGGCTCTAGTAGGCTGACGGCGACATAATGCGTAGGCGAAGTATAATCTGGACTCCAGTAGTGACATCACCTTTATAATTCACAGTTCATGCAAAATGTTTGTCTCTAGATGTGCATCATTATATTATTAGTACGAGCACCGCACGTCTACGATGATTGTGCTGGCCCCTCAAGTCATGGGCCTACATCTCCACCACTGATAGTCTCCTCATCCCACAAAAACCTCAATGTAGCGTCATTCCTTCCCATCCCATCTGAGATCTGCACCGTCTCTCCCTCCTCCCTTCCATCCCACATACTTGTAGGAGGCACTGTGGCCACACTGCCCCTCCGTTCCCTCAATCTGATCTTCAATTCCGTCAACGTCTGTGGTGTCCAGTAGCTTGGTAAAGGGAAAGCTGTGAGAGACGAGGACAGGGACGAGGGGTTCTGGGGAGCGGCCGATGGGGGATGATCATGGGGAGACACAGGGGAGGGAGTGAGGAGAGGCTGGTTCTCAGGGTTGGAGCGGATGGAGTGGTATAGATCCAACAAAGCGTGGGTGACGTCTAAGTGGCGTTTGGGATCAATGTTGTGAGCAGTGACGGAATGAAAGGAGACTGACCATCTACTTGTCCAACACTTGTGATATAATCTTTCTCCCATCCGCCCTCGTTACCCAGTAAATCCACGACCCATGATATTGACATTTCGTTGGCCGTTGATGAAGGCTCACTCAGCAGGTCAGACTCGGATAACAGTAAAGATGCTGCGTAGATCGACCCAAGGGCAATGATATGAGGCGGGTAGGAGAGAGGGGCTTGTGTCCGATGACTGCAGACGACAATCAGCATGGTAGATCCTATGATTTGCTTATGTTCACTGACCAATCTATAGCCACTCTCCAAGCGTCACCACATAGTGACTTGCTTACTGGAAAAAAGTCAGCCCATTACCAGACAGCAATCTTTGGTCGCTCACATCCCAGCCTTTTGCCAATCTTGATCACCACCTTTAACCCATCCTGCGCCCCAAAATGGAACGCCAAAGTCTCCAATACTAGCCTCTCTATACTCAGCACTCTTAAGCGCTCGCTATCTAGTCCATGTGCTTGGGCTACAGAAGGATCGATCGTCCCTTTTCGAACAAGCTGAGGGAATCGGATGGGATAAGAGGCAAGGATGATGTCGCGCGGTTTCTTGAGCGTGTCAAGCAGTTTTGAAGATACGTAAAGGGCTGCCAGGGAAACCTCCTGAGATTTGGGTCAGCTAAATCAGGCATGGTACAGATCACGCTGCCCACAATGTAATTGAAATCCTTGTATGGGAAGAAGAGGTGAAACCTCATATAAAGCTGCTGGGCTGTTGCAATTGTCCGTCTCGGACTGAGCGTGTCAGCTTTCATTCACCCAAAGATCTTGTCCAGAACCTACAATCCACATCTGACCCCTGTGGCGTCAATAAAGGAGCAGGCCTGCTGCCTGGCCCGCTCCTCTCTCGAGACACTGAGCTTGCCGCGCTGCTTCGCTGACAGGCGTTCGACTTCGGCGGGGGCGAAATATGGTCTGTAGAGTTTCGTGTGGGTCGGAGCTGATTCCTGTGTTCCTCTTACGGCCATCCTGGGATTGAATCGATACTTTTTGATCTGGTGTATGCTGATAGACGGTACAGCAGCGATGCTTAATTCATGTCGTCGCGTCTGATTTACGTAAGATAATCATGACCGTGAATTTTGAACGTTTCTTGACCTTTTGCGACTTTGGTCTTGACCGTCATTCATAACGCTCAACATCCGGAACCCTTTTGCTCACCCCAGTCGACAAAGCCCCGTATCGCACAGAGACTTATATCAATATGGTTCGATTAATCACCCACAATATGCTTCAGTGCCACGTTAGTAAGTTGCGCTAGTCCTACTTCCATTTGCCTTTGCTGACCACAGATTGCCCCTCTAGAGAACTGCACCAAAGACAACTTCCCGCTCGTGTTTTCTGAAGTGGAGACTTTGATCAGGGAGGCCACTTTCAACCCGGATTTCATCCAGAGGTTCCTGCCAAAGTTGGATTGGAGGGCTTTGGTGGACACTGCCAGAAGTGTACGTGAATGCTTCTCTGGGTGACGCAGGGCGTATCTGAACGTGTGGCGAGGCATTGCAGAAAATGCTCGAACACAAAACAGAACTGACTTACCACCCTGCAGCTCGGCGACAACAGCCTCCCTGAGCAGATGCCTGAAGAGTTCTCCGAAGAGCAACTGCAAGCTTTACATTACGTCCTCTTTGAGGTAAATTATCACAAATATGCCCCAATTTTCTCATGACTGACTCTCTGCTTAGCTCAATGTGGAAGAGGGCAACATGACATGCCGGGGTTGTGGACATGTCTACCCTATCTCCAACGGTATCCCTAATATGGTACGCTAAAAATCATGTCTTTGGATAGAGAGAGCTAATAACGATGTTTAGCTGCTCGCTGAGCACGAGGTGGGCCGCTAGATAGTAGACCAGGAGGTCTTGAGGTCATTTGGGCTTGACGGTTGTTGTACATTATGATGCATTTGTGGTATACCACAAACCCCTTTGCAGATCTAGTAGCGGCCGCCATATCCGCCGCTTCCCCCTCCATTGTAGCCCCCTTTGCCACCTCCTCCGCTGTAGCCTCCTCTACCGCCGCCTCCCCCATATCCCCCGCCACTACTGCCATATTGACCCGCACCTCCACCCCCATATCCTTGTCTGTCCCTGCCATCCCTGCCGTCTCTGCCATCTCTACCATAAGGCGGGTACCCAGCCTGTCCCTGTTGAGGTGGACCGCCATACCCTGAACCACCACTAGGTGGCGGGTGATTGGAGAACCCCCCCTGAGGAGCACCAGGTGGTGGGTAGCCACCGTAGCCTCCGCCTCCCTGTCCCGCAGACGGGTAGCCACCCGACGCGGACGCAGGGGGCGCATTACCAGGAGCACCACGGAATGGTGGTCGGTCCCTGTTCTCCGACACTGACCTTGTGGGAGCCCCAGCCCCTCGTTCACCAAACCTCCCGCCGGGCACATTATTCTGCTTCAGCATATCTCCTTGGCTCGGCAGCGCGCCTCTCCGGAAGCCGGCGTCACTCATATTTCCGGGTGTGGATGTCCGCGATGGACCACCATTAGAGGCACCGAGACCACCAAGACCGGGAAGGCCGGGAGGTGCTGAAAGACCCGGGAGGGAAGAAGAGTGAGAATTGTTGTTGCCGACAGCTGCCATGAGGTTTGAAAGACCCGGCAAAGAGGCCTCCTCTTTCTTCTCGCTGCGGGCAGGCACTCCCCAAGCTCGTTTGTGCACCTTCTCGAGCTCTCTCTGTGCAGCTCCATCTTCACCCAAATGCCACTTATCATCCTCCTGTCCACCAGAAGGTCGGGCACGACACCAGAACCTCGCCGTAAAGTCTCTCGATCCCGAACACAAGATGTGTCCAAGTGGATGCCAAGAAAGCGAAAAGACGGCATCCTCATGAGCGGACGAGAGGGATGTGATAGGTTCGCTAGGGGTAGGTGAGTCTAGCGAGTAATAGTTGATAGCCCCTGCAGCGTCGCCAGAAACAATGAGAGAATGGTGGATGGGGTGGAATTCAATGGTGTTGACTTCCTTCTGATGACCTTTCAAGACCTCCAGTTCACGGAAAGTCCGAATGTCGAATAGTCGAATGACATTGTCTTGGCCTCCTGTTGCAACAAGATGGCCATCGGGAGACCAGCGACAAGCGTTGATAGTAGATTTTGCAGAGTGTCTTTGGCAACGTCAGTAGGGTCTTTGACTCGTGTTGCTCAAACATACAAGGTACTGAGATCTTTTCCTGTTCGCGGATCCCAGAACTTGACGAGCATGTCTTTAGATCCGGAAGCGATAAGCCCCTTCGTAGGGTGCCAGTCGACGCATCGAACATCCCAACCGTGTCCTAAAGACCGTCAGCGACTTTGAACATGGCAGAACTCAGCGACTAACCCGACAAAGTCTTTTCCTCTTTAGCTTCTCTATAGCTCCAGATCTTGACCAAACCATCATCTCCACATGAGACAAATCGCTCATCGTTGGGACTCCAGCTGACATCGTGACATGCTTCTCTATGCCCTTGGAACCCGTGGATATTTGTCAAGTGGGGCGTAAAGTATTTGATCGTCCCGCCTTTGTCTGCGGAGACTAGAGCTTGCCCGTTATGCGAGTAGGTGAAGGATCGAATGGAGTCGTCATGGACTTGAGTGATGGATTCATAATTGAAGGAGGCGCCGTTCCAGAGGGTGAATTGACCTTTGTCGTTACCAGTGAGCAGACGTCGGGCGTCCGGTGTCCACTTGGAGGGATCAGCACCTTACTCGTCGATGGGGATACAACGCACCTGGACTACACGCGTTGGAGAGCGCTCCTTGTTGATCGAAGTGTGGACCCAATAGTCACATACAGAAGTCGAAGGATTTGACCGCAGAGCCATTGGAGGTAGCAGCTATGAAGAGTCAACGATGGCCCCAAACAGCTGAGATTGTTGAGCTACGTTTACAATGTCCGAAGCGTTGGGGTGTATAGAAGGTCTAAATTCGTGTATGCCCTTCAGCTTGTTGAGCTGAGCATGGGATGCATAAGCGATTATCGTCCAGCGAGTTTACTGTGACCCACCATGCGCCATTTCTGTACACCGCCCTGGTAATCCACTGTTCTTCTTGGCTTGATCTTTCGCTTCCTGTCGTCTCCTGGGGCTCGAGTCACAGCTGCCTGATACGCTGCTTGCTCCAGCACCTCTTCATTGTCGGGATGGGGCGGTTCGAGGTAGCGGGTAGGCGCCCAGGAGTCTTCTCTTTGCGGTTGCCGAGAGGGCCCTGCGTGGGCTCGAGGGAGCGGGTTTCCGTTGTGGTCTGACGGCACAGTGGGGGGTGCTGCAGTCATGCTGGAATGGGATGGATGGAGAGATGCATGGCGATGTCTTTGGACGCCCCTTGGCCTGCAAAGTCCCCCGGTTTTTGCCAAAACGCCGACGAAAAAGCGTGCCCGTCCAGCTTCTATTTGGCTCTTTTTGACCATCTTTGGACCATCTCCTCTGCATTCCCCGCCCTCCACGCCCCCTCGCGCTCATCAGGGGGTACTTCAGGCGTAATCCCTCGACCGCCCATCCCACAACATACGCCCCTCCCACTTCAGCAAAACACCGCAACATCGGCCTCTCCCATCGCGCTCTTTTCCTCCTCCCGAAACAACAACTCAACCATGGTGTACGATCCAATCCGGGACTGTGATTTTCCCTCGCCCTCAATACAGGATTCAAAAAGATACCCTGTCTCCCATTACGCTCAGCCAACGTTGTCAGATCGAGACAGAGAGCTCGGCGAACCATCCTCTGCCCACCATCCATATTCTTCGCACTCGAGGGCTGTATCATCCTCCAGCGCAACATCGCACTCCCCGCCGCCTCCAGTCCAAAGAATACCTTCCAGCTCGAGCAGTCTGAGAGGATTGCTGAACGACCCAGAGCCCGAGGTCCCCAGACGCGCCAGCGAAAGAACCCCGAGTTTTTCATCAGCTGGTGGTGACACCGAGTCTCACAAACCGAAATTGAAGAATCTACTCAACGACGACCCCCCTGTCCCTACCAGCCCCTCTACCCATTCTGGCGGCAGCCTCGTGAGGGGCTCGCTGTCTCCCAAGAGGGCTGAATCGAGGGCCGACTCGAGTGGTTTCCTGGCTCCCGCCACGCCGGCATCTGCCGTCCCTGGTTATCCCAGCCGACTCAGTATCAGTCGATCTCCTTTACTGCATACGAGTCCTCCTACTCATCATATCCCAACTCCTTCCCATGGGAGCCCGGTATACTCTGCGGGGTACGGGGAGCCTCGGCCAGGCAGTATGCTGCCCCCTCTGCAGCCTCATCATCCACATGCCGAATACGAGGAAAGGCGTACATCTGGTAGTTCATTCCCTGGTGCTTCCATCGCTGCAAGGTCACCGTCAATTAGTGTCTCTCCGCGAAGCCAGCATCAAGCCCTTCCTTATTCCACCTCTCGACCAGGGTCTGCTCACAGCGCAAGAGAACCTTACACGTACTCTCACCAAGCGATCCATCTCAATAGACAAAACACATTGTCGCCAGTCATCTCTAACAGAAGATTGTCGGAGGATCAGAGGCCGACGTCGTCGAGCTCAGGCGCGGGCAGAAGACATACAGAGCCCGTGGCGCAGAGTCCGGTGGGTATGACTCAGCCTCCGCCGAATTCGGTGCCGTCGGCATACCAGCCGAGACATCAGTCTACGCCTGGTTCATACCCTCCTCTACGCGTCACGCCTCAGCCTTTCTCTCCCTCTCCATCTCATTATACACATCACGCTGTCGTCCCACCCCCTCGCTCGAGGCCTTACCACCCTGATCGACCCACTCGTGTGATCTATGCCGACGAGATCGACCATCTCAGACAATTGGCTCGCAATAACAATCCTTTGCGTCGTAAATCTGGACACGCACCCTCTGCCAGTCGGAGTGCGAGCCGAGCTCCCGAGCCCACGCCTACACCTCGTAGGAGCTTGCCATACGAGAGCGACACTTCGTACTTTCCTCCGCAAAGCGCGCAATCGGCGGGCTATCCTCCTCAGCAGCATCAGTGGGACGATAGAAGTGCTGTCTCGGCTTCGGGTGGGTCGATAAACACGCCCACGCCTGGTGGACATGGTCACGGATACCCGCCCAATTGGGAAGACCAAGCTGCCAGTGGCTCTTTACAGAAAGGCAGAGGGGACAATGGAAATGGATATGGGTATGGACACGAGAAGGGGTATCGGCAGCAGAATTTAGGATATGATCAGGAGCCGCCTCATGGCACGAAACGCGGCAGGGAAGACGAGGTGGAGATTTTCCCCTCAAAGAGGGCTGTCTCGAACCATCAAGCGGGACAGGCGCATAGCAAGAAGGTGGCACAAGTTGCAAACTTTTGTACGTTCCTTCCATCTCCCACCCGCTCCACACAACCTAATACTCTGTTTAGACAATTCTCGGCCAGACGTTGGGGTCGAGCGACGTGAATTCTCGCCCATCATTGGTCTCAAAAAGTTTAACAACTGGATCAAGTCGGTGCTCATCGGCAAGTTTGCTCATCGGCCAAGAGGAAAGGTACTGGATGTTGGGTGCGGGAAAGGCGGTGATTTGAACAAGTGGAAACAAGCGAGGATCGCTCTATACGTTGGAATCGGTGAGTCGGAACCTCGCTTGCTCTGGCAAAGCTGACAATGATACTTGCAGATCTGGCAGAGCAGTCTGTGGATCAAGCTGCGGACAGATACCAACGTCTGAAAAATGCTTTCCAAGGTTACTTCTACGCCCATGACTGTTTCTCCGTGAGCCGTCTTTCGCGATACCCCATACGCTCAGCTAACGGCATGATAGAACCCACTCAGCGATGTCCTAGGCCCTGAACTCCGAACCCGGGATCTCTACGACAACGTCACCATGCAGTTCTGCATGCATTACGCCTTTGAGAATGCCGCCAAAGCTAGGATGATGATTGAAAACGTATCAATGTACCTCAGACCTGGGGGCATCTTTATCGGGACCATACCCAATTCCGAGTTACTCTTGTATGTCTATCTTTGCCAACCCTTGTGACGTGTGCTAATGTCATGCCCAGGGAGAGATTAGAGGAATTGCCTGAAGATGACGAACAGTTGACTTTTGGAAACTCTTGTTATTCCGTACAATTCTCACGAAGGCATCACACAGGTGTCTATGGGCATGAGTACAGGTTCTATCTGGAGGATGCAGTGGAAGATGTGCCAGAATATCTGGTCAATTGGGAAAGCTTTGAGTCGTGAGTCCCTGCCAGAATCTATCTCGAGGTCCCGCTAAACAACGTGATAGATTGGCCGCAGAGTACAATCTTCGACTGATTTACAAGAAAGAGTTCCACGAAATCCTGTCTGAAGAGAAGGATTCGAGAGACTTTGGGCCACTGCTTGGGAAAATGGGCGTGTTGAATGAATATGGAGAGAGTGCGATGGATGGAGATCAGTGGGAGGCTGCCAGTGCGTTTCCCTCAATCGAACCTACTAATGGTTATGCTGACGGCAGATGTTTAGACTTATATATGGGATTCGCTTTTGAGAAGCTGTATATCGACACGTAGAGAGAATTCTCTGCTTCTCTTTACTTCTGTAACAACTACCACAGCTTTGCCATCATGACGGCATCTTTCCGTGCCAATAGTCATTTCACTCCTTTTCGTTCTTTTTGGGCACTTGACGCCTGAATCCTTCTCTGGGATGTCTGGCTGTTCATGTAATTGTAGTATCTGGCTTCTTCCTCCTTCGGCTGGGGCTTCACCTTTCTGGATACCTTGTATAGTCTGCATCACACAGGCACAACAACAGCTGTTACGTGGCGATGCAAAACAAAACACTCGCGATTTCGTCCTAGATGGTGTCACTTCACAATTGAAGATATGGGGCTCTCCTCGTGACGGCATCGAGCAACAATAGCACGTCCCACTGAATGATATGTGGCAGTTTGATGTTGCTTTTGTAATAGCCAGAATGATTTTTGGCTGACATGATGAGTATCCGCTGCATCCAACACCCAATCGCCTGCTGGATGAGAACGTCGCCCAGTCGTGCCTATCATACATATATGCCTCTCGTGCTCCGCTCGCTCGGTATGAACAGCTTGGGCAGCGATTATGGAACTGGTTCAGTGGCAAAAGAAAATGGCCAAGCTGAGCACAATCTGGAGATCGATAACACTTTCGGTAGATGCTATCATTTGTCTTTTCAGTAAGTTACCGTTTCCCTTGCCCCCATATCGACATTGACCCGCTTACAGTGATCATCATCCTCTTCATCTCTCGTGACAGTGTTTTCCGTAAAGAGACCGGTATATTCACAAGAGTCATCTCTTTGACATTCGAGACCACGTTGCCCCCGTCATTATCCTCGTCATCCTCATCAGTCTCTATGGCAAGAGCAGCACTCCCCTGTGTAGGTCAATCACCATTCGAAGCCCGGGCGCTGCTGAAAGAATCCCCTAGTCGATGTCCGTCAAGTTCTGATATGCGCCCTCCCACCTGTGTACTACAATTCTGCCCTTCATGCTCTTGTTGGCCGTCGATCCGTCCGGCGCATTCTCGACGCTAAACTCGCTGCTGATGGAGTACAAATGCTATGCGGTCAGTTCCATGGTGACTCTAGCTCGCAAACTCTGGATAGAAAAGGCGGAGGGGCCCATAGCCCCTTTATTCACGCTGGAGTGGTCGAGAACACCGGAGAAATCATGGAGTACCAGAAGATGACGATGTTTGGAGGTAAAGGGAAGATGGGCATGACTCCTCCTATGATTAGCGTGCGTGAAACCTTTTGTTTGTACTCCATTACCCATTATATCGTGCTGACGCCCACACAGGTTGAGACCAGCACCGTCATATCTGAACCGGACAGACGTGCCGAACAGAAGCGTTCTGTCAGTCAATCGAGGCTGGGTGGAAGATGATTTGGATGACATCAGCGAAGCGAGTGTTTCCGCCGACATCAAGGAGGAGGCTCTAACACCTGAATTCACGGAGCCCATTATCAGCATTGAGATGATTGCGCGCTCGTGTGCAAGCGATGATTGAGCGATGACCTTGTTGTACATCCTGGCCGTTACTAGTGTATTTAGTTTAGTTTAATGATTAGTTTTTCCAGATCGATTCACTCGCCTTCCCATATCTACTATATGCACAGGTATACTCGAGTACCCTCACCCGCATTGAACATAGAGTAGAGGCGAAATGGGAGCGGGCATGAGGCAATACATAGGCATTCGAATTCCAGCAAAGGCAGTTATTTATTTTTGCTGATTTCCAGCGGGATCAATTGTGTTGCGCCAAAATCGCCGTCCATCCTTCGACGAAAAGCAGTCAAAAAGTCAAAAGTGCGACACATCTCAGAAATCACCCGTATTCTCCTTCATAGCTACTTTCCTACGCCATCACCCTTGCTTCAAGTGCCACCGCCATCGGCTTTACCTCACAATGGCCGCCATCCCAATCGCCAGTCGATCAATTTCCACCCCCCTCTTCTCCCTTCGCTCCTTCCTCCCAATTGCCCGACCGTCCTGGTCAACTCCCTGCGAAGCTTCATCTAGTGCCGCCCCCTCTAGAGTGTCATCCAGCCTCACTCTCGTAAACCCCCCTCTGTCCACGCCTTCTTGGACCTCGCTGTTCCCCTCCTTTTCCCTCGGTTCCCTGCTCGAGCTCATCCCTCCAATCGTGTGGGCAAGTGTCCCGAAGAAGAAGACTTCTCACGGAAAGAAAAGCGCGAGATCTGCCAACAAGGGGTTGAAGAACAGGACGAGTAAGTCAATCCATGGCAATAGCGAATGTCTTGCTGACGAACGGCCATTTAGACATCTCTCAGTGCCCGGCGTGTGGCTCTGTCAAGTTGACACATCACGTTTGTCCCACCTGTTATTCTCAGATATCCCGAAAGTGAGTATTCATTATACCCCGTGGGATCGATAGCTGATACATTTGGGGTTTGCCAGATGGAAAGAAGAAGCTCGAAAGCAACTACAGCTAGGGGCTCAGTGATGCTAGTATAACATGTATCATGATACCATGAACTCTCTAGCAGGATCGGATAGGCTCAGATGCTCGCTCTAGTCTTGCACACACCTTATGAGCCTACATATTCGTAGGGTTCGCAGACGTTCGTGTTGAATTCTGTCCGCGTATACGGACATGCCTTGTCTAAACAGAGGTAGTCAACGTTCACTTTGAATTGATCCGGGTATTCTTGATGCATAAGTCACTGTCGCTAGATAAGATGTCGCTGCTCGGCACAATTGACCTCTGTATATGTCAGACACGAGCGTAATGACCGCCCGATGCTCTAGATTCTAGAAAGCCCCCCGCGGCTCAGTACGCTGGAGAAACGGAACCAAACGCAGACTGTGGAGGGCATGTTTGACTCTCCGCTCTTTTTCCAGTGCCATATAGCTCGTGGCACCACATACGCGCTGACCATTCGGCGACGCCTACATCCATTGGCACCCACGGAAAGACAAGGATTCAAGCTCTCCACGGCAACTTCGACCGCTGCGAAACACCCCGGAATGACTTCTCCACCTTCTGTCAGTTCAAGTCTTTCGCCGCGTATCGTTACTGACATCCGCCCGCTTTCTCGGCGTGTCATCGCAGCTGTTTCAACTTCGGCATGCCGTCCACGAATCAATACAGTCCAGGGAAAATCAACTCTCGTATGTCCAGCTCTTAGTGATATGTAACATAAGCTCGGCTGCTGATTGTTTTGTTTTCCGTTCTCAGTGAGGAGGAAGCAGGCCATGAGCGATCACTCAGAGACCTGTTCGTCATGTTTCAACCTAGAAACAACCTCATAGATCCGGAACATCGGCGGCTCCAGACAACAGCCCCAGAGACAGACAAGACTCTGAGCGGCTTCAACGAGTGGAAGAGGAAGTTTGAGCTGGGTCATGGGTATGTCTCAAGCTGTCAACCATTGAAGACCGAACTTGATGCTCATCTCTTTGTCAGATCTATCAACAGCTTGAAAATCCCGGATCTCCCTCCTCCCTCACCTCCGCCGACCACCAAAGTCTTTCCCGACGAGACCGTGGAGAAAGATCCAACTCCAGCTGGTTCAACGTCTTCCGCCCCTGCCGCTAAGCCAGCTGCATCGAAGCCGGCGCCTATCTTACCCCCTCCCCCATCATCCACCACTATTGAATCCCCTTTGACTGCCGCCCCACTCGAATCCTCGCTGGATGATGTCGAGGAGGAGCCTACAGTTGCCCTATCCGAGGTTCAACCACGGCCATATTTCACACGAGAGTACTCTCCGCCGGCCGACCTCGAAGTACCGCCTTGGGTTCCTGTGGACAATTACCGCCCAGCTCAAACGCCAGTATCTCCTCCCCCTTCCCTCATGCCTCTCACCTCTGCCTACCCTTCAGAACTTCCTCCTCTACCTCCTCTGCCCCTTGCTTCCAAGAGGCGGAGACTTGCCAACTCTGATCCCCAACCCGACATGTTTCAACTATCATCATCGCTCGCTATCAACCCTGTCTCCAAAGATCTGTCCCATTCGACCAAGTGTGTCTTGACATGCGATTGGAAAATCGCAATGGAAGAGCTGAGGCATATCCGAGCTATGGACAAAATTAAGGCCAAAAAAGCTGAGGGGCGATGGAGTTTGCGTCAACCAAAGAAAGCCAGAGCTCCTCCCATAGCAAAAGCACATTGGGATTACCTTTTGGAGGAGATGGAGTGGATGAGGACGGACTTTTCAGAGGAGCGCAGATGGAAAGTGGTCCAGGCAAGGGAGTTTGCGTATGAGGTTGTTGAATGGCATCTGGCGAGCTCAGACGAAAGAAAGGCTCTGATGGTTGGTGGGAGAGGGTGGGGAGAGTCAAACAAGGTGCCTATACCCGGGCATTCCGGCAAAAGAAGACTACAGGAAGTAGCAACGCAGGAGGCAGAGGACGATGACGTAGAAATGTTGGTGGGGCAAGAAGGGGATCTGCCAGGAGAAGGCGAAGCGAGCAGAGTTCTCGAGTCGATGGATGAGATGAAGGAGCAAGAACAGGCTCGACTGGCCAAGAAGGATGAAGATGCGAAGATAGCCAAGGCTAGCGAAACGGAAGGCGAAGCAGATGCAGATGGCGAGGACGACGCAGACGGCGAAGAAGAGACAATAGAAGCTTCCGGGTCTGCTCAAGTCGGTCTGTCAGGTAAGATCGCCGATCCGAGCGTTGTTCGTATACTGATTTGCCACAGAAATCGACGCGGTCAAAACCGAATCCGACGCCTCTGTCAAGCCGCCGAGACGATTGTCAAATCCTCTCGTCATCAATGGTATCACCATCGACAAGAGGTTTAGCAGCCGGGATGATCTTGTGGCTACGCGCAAACCTGTTCTAGACGCTCCTCTGGCAGCCGCAACCATCAACCTCGAGACCCTTCCCAAACCTGCTCCCGTATCTGATGTAGATAGCAAGGCTCTCCCAGCTTCGCCCGATTCGCCTCCCTCTTTCACCGACCTCTTCCCAGAGCTTGCTTCTTATGATGGGCCTTCGCCTCCGGAAGAACAGGAACAGGCTCGCCGTCCTGAAGGCGGCAGCAGCCGTATTGCACACACCTCTCGACTCATGGACATCCGCCCAACGTTCGTGTCGACTCTGCAGCCTGCAAAGAACCTCCGAAATGGGCATTGGGACGTCCATGACGGGCCGTACTACGAGCCCCTGCAGAACCCCACCATTCCCAACATTCCCGTGATTACCGCCAGCTCTACACTCTTCCACGGTGTACACAAGCGTTCACTGAACTCTCTCCAGCCTCACGACATGACAAAGCCTTCTGCGCATCATCTGCGGCACCAGCACCCATGGTCGACGGAAGAAGACCAGTGTTTGGTTCGGCTTGTAGAGATGTACCCCTTCAACTGGGAATTGATTGCGGAAAGCTATAATTTGGAGATGGTGATGGTGCCTGTGGAGAAGAGGGGAGCGTACGAGTGCTGGGAGAGGTGGTACTATGCCTATGGAGAGGGAAAGAACAAGCCCCGGCCCGACGCTCTTCCGCCACCAGGAAGTGCTGCGCTCAATGCGGGCAACAACACACCTGTTCCCCAATCAGCTGTCAGTACACCCGGTATACCTTCGGCTATACCCTCACCGGCCAGACCTCCGCAGTCAGCTACGGCCATTGGGGGGATTTCTGTACCCTCCCTGCCTACACCCCTGGGCGAAGGACTACCGGATGGAGCGCCTCCTCCGCCTGGTATGTCGAAGCGAGAGAAGCAACAGGCGAAGCCAAAGTACGAAGGCACGAAGAGGTCAATAAGACACCAGGCCATTTATGATGCGGTCAAAAGGCTCAATAGGCGAAGGGAGGCGGCAAAGGTCAAGTCTTGTATGTCTTTCGAGTCTATCTCCTTGCGAAAACTGACGATGTGCAGACAAAGATAACGCCCAGCGAAAGATCATCAATGTCCACGAATCACACGTTGCCTTTACTTCCGACACGTCGTCTACTCCCTGGGAGCTAGTTGAAGCCAAGTATCAGCGCGACATGCAAATGGCCCAGCAACGCCAGCAGCGTGCCATTCAAGAACAGCAGCGTGCTCTTGCTATGCGCCAGCAGCAAGCCATGTTGCTCGCACAGCAACAGCAGCAGCAAGGTCAAATGCGTCCACCCATGCAGCAGCAGGGTCAACAAATGCCACCCAACATGCCCAACATGACGCCACGAGTGGGCCCCAACGGTCAGCCGTTGCCAAAATTGACTCCCAACCAACAGCAGTTGCTGAACGGAGCAGTTGGCCCCAATGGCCAAGCCCTCCCGCCCATGCCGCCTACGCCTCAACAGCAGCAACAGATCCTCAATGCTGTTGCCCAGATGAATAACGGCAACGGGTCGCCGAGGATGGGGCCCAACGGGCAGCCGATACAGGGTTTGGCGCCTAGCCAGCAGCAATTGTTGAACGCAGTGGCTTTGGCTTCTGCGGCTCGCCATCAGCAAAAACAACGTCAACAGAATGGAGCGGTATCGGGGCAGGGAACCCCGCAGATGGGTATGCACCCTCCACCTAGGCCTCCCCAGCAGGGTTGAGGGCAGTCATGGTTGGAGAGTGGGAGTCGCGTATATGGGCTTCTGTCGGGTTCTCGAGGGTTAGCATAATTGTATTTTTCGTTCGTAGCCATATGTCTTTGTCATAGCCATGATCGGTCTAGACCGTAGTATTATCATGTCACATATACCCACCTGCTGCATATCATTTGACTGGTTTGCAGGACAAAAGAACAGTGGACGCTGAAGGTGCAAGCCACGCCCTGATTGTTTGCGGAGACCCCGGACGCGTGCTCTATTGTTCTCGCTCTCAAATGCCGACTTTTCCATCTTTCGTTTCTGCAACCAAGAATGTCAGAGCCAAAGCAAGGCCCCGAGCTTACCCCTCCTGCCTCCCCCGCCCCCGTCGCCCTCCCCAAGACGGACCAGTATGCTGCTCGAGGCACCATCCCAAACACCCTCTTCGCCGTGGCCGTCATTGCGGCTGTTCTCGGTGCTGTCGCCGGAGGCTCCCTCGCACTTGCTGGGCGGAGAATATGGGATGCTGTTGGGGGAGAGTGGGCCAGGCCCCAGCTGGGATTGTATCTGGCAGCGATGGCAGTGTTCCATCTGATGGAGTTTTTCACAACGGCCGGGTGGAATGCTCAGAAGTTGAGCGTGGATGGTCAGTGCATATGCCTGCTCATATATGGAAGTCAAACTGATGATACTCAGCGTTCCTCTTGAATAACGGGAAGATGTACCATCTCGCTCATGCTGTTGGCCTGGCCGAGTATCTCATCTCGTCTTTGGTCTGGCCCAGCAAGTTCAACAGCTGGTACTGCTCTCTCCCCTGGCTCGGTGTTGGTAAGCCTTTCTTCTCCCATCTGCTCGTTTCTAACTCGTAATAGTGACAATCCTCATGATCACGTCTCAGATCATCCGCAGCGGCGCCATGATCCAGGCTGCCCAATCCTTCTCCCACATTGTCAAGTCTAAAAAGCACGACGACCACATTCTTGTCCAGCACGGCCTCTACTCTTGGTCTCGTCACCCCTCCTACGCGGGTTTCTTCTACTGGGCGGTCACAACACAACTGTTGCTGGGAAATGTGGTGGCTACCGTCGGGTTCGTGGTGGTGTTGAACAAATTCTTTTCCGACAGGATTGCGGACGAGGAACGGTGGCTCTGCCGGTTCTTCCCCGAGTACCCTGCTTACAGGCAAAGGGTGGGCACGAAGTTGCCTTTCTACTTTGCTAAATAGAGACACGCGTTGTTGCTAGACATTGTCTGATTCACTCTAGGGTATATATGCATTGGTGATACACATCACTTCCTCTTGCCAGCCACCTTCTTCTTCTTGGCGGGCTTGACCTCCTCCTCTTCTGACTCGCTGCTCTCCTCGTCAGAAGTCAACTCTCCCTCACCAGCTCCGGCATCGGATCCCCAATCATCTCCATCATCTTCTCCCAGATCTTCCACATCGGCCGCAGCCCCTCTATCCTCATACTCAAAGTCCTCATCATCGTCGTCGCCCTGGAAGCCAACTTTACGTTGTCTCAGTTTCTCGAGCTCTTCCTCGGGGTCCACATCCGACAAGCCCTCGACATCGAGATCGTCATCACTCGAGTCTCCTTCTTCTTCCGACTCTTCCACATTCTTGCCCTTCTTCCTGTCCTTCTCCTTCTTCTTCCTCGCCACATTCTCTGCCTGCTGCCTCCTCCTCTCATCCTTCAAATCCCTCCTCTCCTCATGCTGTCTCTGCATGGCCTCGGCCTCCTGGCTGCTCTTGTGCACAAACTCATGGAAGACTGTCTCTCCCTCACCCCTCTTGGAGCCGACAAGACCTTCGACAACCTTGATGAGCTTCCACTCTTGCCTCGGCCCAGTCTCCACAAGCCTGACAGCTTTACGCTCGCCCTTCTTGTTGCCTCTGCCTACGTAGTCCTCCGGAAGCTCGACAGCATTCGTATCGCTCTCTCCTTCAGACGCTTCTGTCTCAGAGGCCGAATCGTACCCCGGTGTCCCGCCTCCTTCAGATCCGACTCGGCGCAAGAGGTAATCGGCGATATCGTCCGTGTTGGACAAATCGACGCCTTTACGGGATCTGGCAGAGGACGATGCGGATTGGGAGGGGGCGCCGGCGGTGGTGAGGAGTTTGCGCACGCGTCGAGAGACGCCGTGGGGACGGACAGTGATGGTAAAGTGGCGGAAGGAGATGAGGCCTGTGACGTGGGAGTAGGAGATCAAGAGGACACGGCGGAAAGTGGGGAGAGCAGACTGCATGTCGTCAGTCGGGGTACCGGGGAGAGATGGGGAGGCTTACCTTTTCCACTTGGATGGGAGGGAAGAGACCCTGGAACATGGTGCTCATGAGACGGAGTTGAGGGAGGGCGGCACCGTTTTGGGGTTGTTGGAAACCGTTGAGCACAAGCTGTCTCACGTCAGCACAACAATCTTGCGTCTCCCTGTTCTCCCTTGACCCTTCCGCCTCTTGGTCTCCCAGCCCCACGCTACACCTCTCCAGACGCTACACCTCTCCAGCTGAGCTCGTTACACTTACCAGAGGTGGATTTCTGTACTCTCCTCCTGGCGCCTTGCCGATACCCCGCATCCCCGCTCCCACAAGATCCTTCGTCAAACTATATCTCTGCACTCGGAATGTCAAAGTTGGTCCTTGCGGGAAACGAGCCACTCGGAGGTGGACGTTGGCGGCGTCGGTGAGGGTGAAGGCGAGAAGATGGGTGACTTTGAGGGAGGGGGCGATGGTGAGGTAGTCTCGTAGACGAGCATTAGGACGTTCCTAAATCACAAATGAGCCGAGTCCTTTAAAATGTAGTAGGTGCGTACTCTGAGACGGGAGGCCGTATTGGGCTCAAAGATCTTTCTGGTATCCCTGACAAGCTGCGAGATGGCCTTGGTGACATGGCCCGACTTGATGACGAAGCTCTTGGGGACGTTCTCCTCTGCCTCGCCCTTCTGTGGGCCCTTGAGATGCGTCCTGTTCTTCTTCCTGATCCTGCCCATGGTGCGGTGGGTGTTGTGGTGAGCAGTAGACAAAAAGAGTGGAGGCGCCCGGAAATTTTGAGTCCAGGGGGGCTTCATCGTGCGTTACGTAAGGCTATCAATTCCACGTGTAATTTATCTGTGGCTCACCAAATTCTGCGCTTCGCTCTTTGTGTCCTCTGAGCCAGTCACCGCTAGCACAACGTCGCCAAGTCGCTGCCTCACTTTCCCACCAACACATAAACATCAAAATGGCCGAGTACAAGGAAGACCTCGAAAAGTCTGGCGCCGGTGCCCAGAAGATCCACAAGATCAGGATCACCCTCACCTCCAAGAACGTCAAGCCCCTTGAGAAGTGTGAGTCGCCCGTCTTGCCCGTAGAAAAGTCAGCGCTGACGAGAAGCAGTCTGTGCCGACCTCGTTGGCCGTGCCAAGGACCGTGACCTTAACGTCAAGGGCCCCGTCCGTCTCCCCACCAAGGTCCTCAAGCACACCACCAGGAAGTCGTACGTCCTTTTTTTTTTTTTTTCTTTCTCCATCATCCCGCTCACCTCGGCTGTTAGTCCCTGTGGTGAGGGTTCCAAGACCTGGGACCGATACGAGATGCGAATCCACAAGCGTCTCATCGACCTCCACTCCTCCGCCGAGGTTGTCAAGCAGATCACCTCCATCTCTCTTGAGCCCGGAGTTGAGGTTGAGGTTACCATCGCTGCCTAAGCGGCGGATCTTCTCATAGATCTTTTTTGGTAGACTTTTGGGGATGTATACGGTCGTTGGTGAATATGGTTGCCATGATTCCGCGCTGCACAATTGGTCGCATTCTTCTATCTAGTGCTATCTACATGGGCATTACGCCCTCTTCAAAAACTTGCTAACCCTCTCACCCTCTCGGATCCCACTCAGTACAGCACCCGCCACACTCCCTCGATTCTCCATCTCGGTATGCTCTCCCGCAAAGCCCAGTCTGCCTCCCCAGACAGGCCTGCCGAGCTCTTTGAAATCCATCGGACTGCGCTCATCATTCGGTGACACGATGGACGGGGTGGTAGTGGCACCTCGAGAGAGAGGATCGGTGAGCCAGGAGGTGAGGGTAAAGTTGGAAGGAGCAGGCGGGGAGGAGGCGTTGAAGCGGGTCGTGAGGAAGGAGTGGAAAGCGGCAGCTACCTCCTCGGCGGGGTGCTGGAGCAACAGCCTCGCGGGTGTCTCGGACAGGTATGTCAGCAGGGTCGGAGTAGGCTTGGGAAGTGTAGGAGCAGCAAAGTTTGCAGTCACCAAGGTTGACCCGGCAAACACCTCTTTGAGCGTGGAAGACGCAGTCGGCTCGGGGCCAGTGGGAAGGAAGGTGTATGACCCCGTGTTTTCCGCGTCGGGCCACCAGGCTGTGGGGTATTGCACGAGCAGCTTCTCGAGGACGCCGACGTGGGTGCCCTTGATAGTCTCCTGCAGGTGAGCAGGCAGAGCTGGGGAGAAAAAGTCGCCAGGCAGGGTCTTGAGTACACCCAAGGGGATAGTGCTGAGCACGGTAGATGCAGTGTATGTCTTGCCATCCTTCGTAGTCACTTCGACACCAGCATCGACCTCCTTGACCGACGTCGCAGCGGCACCGAGGATGACCTCTGCCTTGCTCGCCTCGAGCACCTTGCCGAGGAAAGCCTGGTACCCTCCTTGAGGAGCAGCATCAGACCCGGCATAAGCCGTGGTCGACTCCCATCCAGCCCACTTGAGCGACGCCTGCTCGAGCTTGACGCCCAGACCTACTTCGAGCGAACGGGCGAGAGAGATGGCGAGCGCCTTGTCGGATGAGATGCTGAAGAGCGCAGAGTCGGAGGCAAGGAGGGCCGAGGCGAGGGACTGGGAAGAAGGGGGAGAAGGGTGAGGGAGTCTGGCTGCTGCTACGCTCGCACCAAGGTTCTTCTGGAGAGATCCAGCCTCGGCAGCAGAGAGGAGACCTAGTCGTATCGGATGAGCTCACATTCACATGTGCTGCTCAATCAACTCACCGTTGGGTCCATAGATGACACCCTGCGCTTCTTTGGGCAGGATAGCTTCTACACCCACCTCCTGTGCCAGGTCCCTTGCAGGAGATCCTTCATTGTAGCCATGGATCCAGCTGCAGCCGACATCGATCTTTGCGCCTCCGCCCTGCCATGTGCTTGCGCGACCGCCGATTCTGTCACGGGCTTCGAGGACGAGGACCGAGTGGCCCTTGGCAGCGAGCGACTTTGCAGCAGTAGCGCCAGCCCAGCCCGCGCCGAGGATGATGGTATCGTATCTGGACATTCTTCTGGCAATAGACGGGAGCATTCTTTGTTAACAAGAGCGTTGTCCGTCAGCGTTGATGGATTCGGCTCGGCGGTCCGGCGGAGGGCGGAGGTGGCCGCTTGCCACTTTCGGGAGCAATTCACGGGATTAAAAGGGGGCTCCCAATCGGGTAATAGGCAGCATATCGTCAGAGCGGAGGTCCCCGCTGTTTGGCCCAAACCTAAACCGCGCGACCGACATTACAGAGACACAATCTCCTCTCTTTCTTCTTCTTCTTCTTCTTCTTCTTCTAGCTATATACCCCCACACGCCGCCAACCACGACGCGTCGCCCCCGCCCCATACCCCCCCGCCCCCTCCACAGACACCCCCAAAACGGCCCCGAAAAGAGACCGAGTCGCGTCCTGTTCCTGCGACCGTCACCTCGCTCGGCCTCCCTCTTATCGCCCAACGAGAAAGAAAAAAGAACACGGGGCAACAGTAAGGACAGATATCGGTCTACAGAGCGGTCTTGCGAATCGCCTAGAGGAGCATGACCGTCACTCAGCGGCGCACAAATGCCCAGGCAGACAATCGGCCGAGTGAGTTTGGTTCGGCCTCTTTCTTTAGTACTCTAGCTGATACATTTCGCCAGTCATTGAGCCTGGTATCAAGTATACTTGTGACTTTTGCCATGTCGACATTACCCACACTGTGCGCATCAAATGCGCCATGAAGCAGTGCGAAGAGGTGGACCTATGTCCGAACTGCTTCTGTGAGGGTAAAGAGGGGCTGCAGCACAAGGCGTGGCATGATTATATGGTTGTTGTATGTGCCTCTAGGATTCTGATGTGAGCTTGACTGACAATAGAACAGGAGCAAAACTCCCAGCCGATATTCACACCAGACTGGGGCGCCGACGAAGAGTTGCTGCTCATCTCCGGCCTCATCCAGAACGGTCTAGGTAACTGGGCTGAGGTCGCGCAGCATGTCGGCACGAGGACCAAAGAAGAATGTGAAAAGCACTATCTGGAAGTCTTCTTGGGAGTGGGCGACAACGGGCAAGACTTGCGCGGGGACGTCAAGGAAGAGCAAGATAGAGACGGAGATGACAGAAAGAGACGGCGAGAGTTCATGCCGGTATGTCTCATCGCTCTACCTCGGAATGATACTTACCTTGCTCAGCCCATGAACTGCAACTTTCCCTACGACCCTGACGAGTTTCAACAACGCAAAAAAGCTCGTATAGAAGAACTCCGCAAGCCCCATGCACTTCCACCGACCAACGCCCCTCCCCCCGTCTCGGCGCCCACAAATCACGAAGTCGGCGGCTTTATGCCTGCAAGACTAGAGTTTGAGCACGAAGTGGACAATGAGGCCGAGATGGCAGTGAAGGATATGGAGTTCAAGATGGTCATGGGGTATGGGGGAGATGAGCAGCCGGCTGCAAAGGTCACAAAGCTGGTCGAAGAAGAGGAGGACGAAGAAGGAGAAGGGGAGAATGGGGAGGCCAAAGACAAGAAGGAAAAGATTAAAGAGGATGTCGATGAGGTCGTGGTGATAGAGAAGGATCCGCCACCGCCAGAAGTGGAAGACCCAGACGAGCTCGAAGTCAAGCTGGCCATGATGGACATTTACTTTACGCGGCTAGACAAGCGAGAGGATGCCAAGGAGATTATATTCGACAGAGGGTTGACAGAGTATCGAGCTGTGAGTGAATTGTGAATGTCGGGGGTTGAGCTGACAATGCACAGATTCAAGCGCATGACAAGAAATTGTCGAAAGAAGAGCGCGATCTGATACACCGTTTCAAACCTTTTGCCAAGTTTCAAACGGCCGACGACTTTGAGACTCTGATCGAGGGCTTGATCTGTACGTTTCTTGATACCTTTTAGGCCCGCTAACACTTGTTCAGATGAACAAGCCCTGCGCAAACGCATCTCTGAGCTTCAAGAATACCGCCGCATGGGCATCACAACAGCTGCCGAGGCAGACGCCTACGACAATGTCAAGCTCACACGCGCCATGGACTATCCCCCACAGAAAATTGGTGATGTGCTGCCGACGGGGGCAAGAGCGAATGCAGGCCAGCATCGGTATCTGCACGGGGCGACGAGCACGCCGCCGCCGGATATCAAGACGAGGGATGTAACGCCGAGGGCGTTGCCCGTTGTTGGAAGGAAACCTCGTGAGTCGCCGAGATCTCATTGGTGTGCATGACTGACTTTCAAATAGCTGCACCGCTCAACCTCGCCAACTCTGCCTCTCTCGATCTTCTTTCCTCCGAAGAGCAGTCGCTCTGCTCTACCATCCGCGTCCTCCCCAAACCCTACCTGACCATCAAAGAGCTCTATATTCGCGAGAACGAGCGTCGCCAAGGCTTGCTACGGCGGCGCGAGGCGCGAAAGATGCTCAGTATCGATGTCAACAAGAGTGGCAAGATCTTTGACTTTATGGTGCAGAATGGAATGTTGCTGCTGGCGTACGAGCCACAAGGGAAAAAGACGAAGGAACCGGAGGGTATAGTAGGACAAGTGCAGATGAGTCAGACGAACGGAGTGCCAGAAGGGCAAATGATGTCTGGTGGTAAGGAAGTCATGATGGAGAGGGTGAATGGGTTTGGTGGGATGGGGAATGGGATACACCAGCCGATCACAACAGAGATCAGGCTAGCTTAATGTCCTCGATGTGTGTACAATATCCTCAGGTATAAAGAAAGGGGTAGGGGAGTGAAAACTGCTGTTACGTGGCCAAACGTTTTTTATGGTCCTTGGGTTGTACTGAATATGCAAATCAAAAGTCAAATGTGTGCAATGTACGTGTCTATTCTTTGAGACCATAGCCTCCGACCCAGATCTCGGTCTCCCCATACCCCTCCTCCGCACCCTGCACCTTGTCAATCAACACCATTCCTATGCCCTTCTCCTTCAACATCTCCCACAGGTCTCTCTCGGCCAGGTCACGTTGTTTGTATGCTAAAATTAAAAGGGGGTGCTTGTCGTCTTTGGGAGGAGTGAGCAGGGAAGTCAATGTTGAGAGGAGAGCGGGGAAAGAGTCGGTGTTGTAGGTGACGTCCGCGGCGCTTGCATTGGTGTCAGTATCTCGATCAGAAGGAAAGAGGAAATGTCAAAGACGTACATAACGAGCTCGGGCATATCGCGAACCACCCAGTCTGGTAGAGGTTGGTCCCAATCCAAGACTTTGGCGTCAAGGGTGACTTTGGGAGAGACCTCTGGCTCGTCGTTTGCTTGCTCTGTCGATTGCGGTTGAGGTGGGATAGGATTGAGGGCGATGTTTTCATCCATCAGAGGTATAGCAGAGTCTGTAAAGGGTTAGTGGGTAGTTAGGATTTGAACAAATGTAGAGGCTTACCGAGGTCGGTGGCAGTGATTTCTCTGCCCAAATTTCGACGTCTTAGAGCAAGAGCGAGGACGATTGATACTAGACCTGTTCCCGTACCTACACACGTTGAATCTCATACTTTAGAACATGATACGGGGATCATAGTAGGCGAACATACCAAGCTCGAGAATGCTGAGCTGCTCTTCTCTTGTCAGTAGGGCCAAAACTCGTGGACCCAGGGAGGGTAGAGTTGACGGGTCTGGCAGATACTTCCATAGCCAAGCAGACAGCGCCAGACCCGAGTCCCATATTTTCTGAAGCTCATGTTAGTACCGGTGCATATGCACACGGCTTATCGGCTTACCTTGTCGAGATCAAAGCTAGTCTGTTCAACGATCCTCAAGGAATCCTCGTTCTCCGGCAAGGCCCATTCCCTGATGATCCTCCCCTGCTTTGCACCCTCATCTTTCTCGGGCTTGCCCTTTCCATTGCCTTTGACATTCTTTCCCTTTGCTCCTGACGAGGGCTGGGTCTCTTTTTGTTTGCCCATACCTCGTACTGCCCCCGGCGTAAGACCCGAGCCAGATGGTCGGATGATCTGAATTCCTTCAGACCAGACGCCGAGTATTTGCGGACCTTGCACCAAGTCCAACAGCTTACCACTGGGCCCTGCCTCGGCCCCTCTGGCCTTACTAGAGGCCCCCGAAGAGAACAAGCCCAAACGCCATGACTCTCCGACTTTGGCGAGAGGAGGGAGAGGGATGGTGATGGGTTTGTAGGTACTTGCTGGGGGCTCAAAGATGGTGAGCTGTGTTGGGGGTGTAGGCGGTGATGTGGCCGGTACAAGGCGTTGCCACAGGTAAGAGATGGTGGTGGGCTCGTAGCGCAGCCTGCGTCTGGTGAGTAGGAGAGGGTCGGGAAGGAGAGTGTACTTACTCTGTGCGGAGGTCGTTGGCGACTTGAGGGGTCATAGTGATTCCCTGCGCAGGATTTGCCGTGGCCACGGGGGGCGGGCGCAGGAAAGAGATGTACCAGTACATCCGAGATAAGATAAGGAGACATCAACGGAAAGAGATTTTGCGCGCATTTGTTGACACTTTTGCATCTCGCTCACAATTCGGTAAAAATGGCGCTCGTAGACTATAGCTCAGAATCTGATTCCGACTCTCGCAAGAGGCCCTCCTTGACTCCCCCACCACCCCCAAAGAGGTAGGTACTGGGTTTGAGTGACTGTGTGCTGCTAACCATCTCTTCGCAGAGCAAAGAAGCTTCCGTCTCTGCCAGCCACATTCGACACGGGTAGGGTCACGACTCATTGCAGGGTTCTCCGCTGATTCAGCCTCAGCGCCCAAAGATGATCCATCATTGCATCAAGGACGAACTCGCTCTCGGCCCTTCGTGGACGGAGAGTACAATACCCATGTCTATCTATCTCGTAGGTCGTGCTTGAATCGTCTGTGAGACCTACAGCTAATCGTGACAAAGTTGCCATCCCGCCTCTTCTCCTGTCAACACTCAAAGAACTTCTTTCTTCCTTCCCTTCCGCAACAAATCCACTTCATCCCCTTCTCCCAGATCTGCACATATCCCTCACCCGCCCTCTACCACTCCGTCGTCATCAGACCAAGTCTTTCACCGACGATTTAAAGGTCAAATTCGCCAAGGAGGTCCCAGCTTTCAGACTCAGTCTAGCGGGTAGAGTCAAAGAGTACTTTAGTGAAGTTCATGTGGAAAATGGGCAAGGAAGAGGGTTCTTGGCCTTGAGGGTTGGGGCTGGGGCCGCAGAGGTGAGTATTCTTCTTGAGCCTCCACGCCTTGATTCTGACAGGCTGTAGCTCAAAAAGGTGGTTGACAAGACACTAGATCCGCTACTCAAGATATCACACCTCCCTACATATCACAAGAATCCCGAATTTCATACTTCTTTTGCTTGGACTTTACTCGGGCAGGAGGAGACCATGGTTCTTGGTGACGCACTCGACGAAGAGGTCGAGCGGCCCGCCGAGAAGTGTCTAATTTCCCAAGAATTACTTGACAAGATCAACGACAGATTTGAGGAAAGATTATTGGCAGCCCAACCTACAGGCGGCTGGCTCATAGACTCTGTAGAGCTCAAGATATCGAAAGACATCACCACGATACCTCTGGGTATGCCATAAGTGATGTTACATATTACAGATCATACACTAGATCCTCCAGTTATGGCCTCCGCTGATAGGGACAGGTACAGGCTTGAACCTCTTCAAGACCTCCGACTCCCACTCTTCCCATCCCTTGGCCCATCGCGCCTTCTTCATTTCTTCCGGGTGGAAGTTTTGTTGGATCTCCTCGGCACCCATTCCAGATGCAATGGCCGCATCCTTCTCCGCCTTATCATTCGCGATCCTCTCTTCCCGCTGAGCAAGAGCCCGTTCCCAAACAGACCAAGGAATACTGCCGCCCGACGGTCCTGACGGGACGGAAGCAGCGGCCTCTTCAGATGATGAAGCAAAGTTCATCGCCTCCTCCTCGCTCATGGGCTCTGCAGTCTGAACATCAGGAACGACGAGCGCGCTCTCGTCGCCGTACAAGGGGAACTCTCCCTGTCTTGTACGAGTCAGCTTCTGGACGTGGGCACCACAGCCAAGAGCGAGACCGATGTCGTTGACGATAGACCTGACATAGGTACCGCTCGACACGGTCATGCGGACAGTAAAGGTTGGAGGTCGAAGACCTGATTTGGGGGAGACTTCGGGATACTCGGGGGCATCGAGGTCAGGGACGAGGGGCTCGACAGCCCCTTCCTTCTTGGCCTCGGCCTCCGTTCCCTTTGCGCTTGCTTGGGCATCATGCACAATCGCCGTCAACTTTCTGAAATTCTCCTTTTCCTCTGCGTCCAGTCTCTTCTCAGGCCATCGGTAGTCATGGCCACCGTCTCCGGGAGTGACGGAAGCAGGAGTGAAGTCGACGAGTTCGATAGAGACGGTACATTTACGCGCGGGGATTGGTCGGGGAAGAGGTTTGCCTTCTCGGGCGTACTCGTACAGCGGCTTGCCATCCATCTTCAGAGCAGAGAAGCTGTATAGAGTCAGTAATGCTTGATTTACCAGCCCTTCACTGAACTCACATGGGAGGAACCTGCATGATTTCACCACGGAATTGGTCCAACGTCTTTTCGACGTCTTCCCTCGTGACATGCTCCCAAGCGGCAGTGGCCAGCACAGGGTCATCTGCGTCCATAGACGTAGTGGTAGCTCCAAGCAGGCCAATACTCTCGTATTCCTTGCTGCACTCGAGAAATTGATTCAAGTGCTTGGTACCCCTGTTGACACCGATGACTTAAGACTGTTAATTGATGCCTCGAGCTTTGCTTCATTATCGCACTCACCCAGAACACCGTCGGCCAGCGGATCCAAAGTACCTCCCTGTCCAATCTTGAGACCGTGCTGGGTCAAGTTCTTCTTCCTCTTGTTCTTGTTCTGCTGCGCCTGGTGCTTCTTCTCGGGGTCATCAAATAGCTTAGATTCGAGTAACAACGGTGTGATCTTGTCGATGGCCTTCATGCTATTTAACGTTAGGAATTGAGTCTTGATACGCGAGTGACACTTACGAGCTCAGTCCAGTCGGCTTGGCGATGGGAAAGAGACCATTGAGAGGCAACGTAGGGGCCGAGGAAGCTTTAGGCATGGTGAGAGATGGCTTGGGGGGTTTGGTCAAGATGCCAGCAGCGCGGAGGAGAGTGGCGCTTGGTGGGATGAGTTTTATGGCAGGAGAGGAAATGGCGGAGGGGCAGGCAAGCTGGGATGGCTGGAGATGACTATCATGGACAGTTCATCGGCATCTTCATGGCGGGGCAACTTTTGAGGTGGAGGTTGCTTATGTAACGCATTTCGGGAGGCAACAACAATTGCAGAATCACATTGGCAAGCCTGAGGTACATGCATGCTACATGAGCGGGGTATTCAAGAGGAGGAACGCATGTCAAAGTTATGTGTACTAGCATTTCCGGATACGAGAGGCACGTCGCCTGTCAAAGTATGTGACATGATCGACCGCGCACTCGTGCGACGTTGAGCGATGATCGTGCTTGATCGATGCGCGAAGTAGGTAGTGCAATTGTCCTAGACCATAGCAGACCACTCCATTGACCAGTCAGCTCACGCCAAAAAGACACGAGGGTGCTATGTACTCACCAAGGGGTGCCGTTGCTCTATCCGAGACGGATGGCGGAGGCAGCCTCTGACAATTTATCATCAGGGTCTAACCGTCATGGAGGCATGTTGATGGATGTCGGAGGGCCCGAGATACCACATCAAGAGCGTCTGCAAAGAGTCTGCCATCTCCCGGGCCCTCTAGAGGCCGCTAATCCTCCTCTTCTACAACTTCATACCCCACCCTGACCCACTCTCCACAACCTTCACATCCCACCACATCAACGCCTTGGTCCAGCTGCTCGGTAGTGATGAGGAACTCTCCGCCACATCTGCAGGGGTGTACGAAATGAGTCGGTTCCTCTTCATCCTCGGCCTCTCCAGTTCCCCCAGATGTCGTTGAGGCATAGCAAGGCTCAAATTCGTCCAGACTGATGTGTCTGAAGACGTGAGGACCTTCTTCTTTCGGTTTTTGGGGTTGCTGTGCGTTCGATAAAAAGGACGAGAGCCATTCTTCACGCAAAACGGGGTCGGTAAGCACAAGGCGCGCTTGGTTGATCAGGTGAATCTTTGCGTTCTGTTCTTCCGAACCACTGGGTGTACTGGCACCTGATACTCCTGTTGAAGAAGAGGGAATCACCAATGAAGGGTTCTTGTCCGGGTGATGCTGGACTGGGCATCAGTCGAGCCTGGAAGCAGGACGTGCAACTCACGAGTAAGACCTCCCTTCTCCACGCCTTGTTCACTTCTGCAGGACTAGCTCCTTCCTCCAGGCCGAGGACGGCATAGTAGTCGATCCCCTGTTGATACTGTATCTTGGCGGGTCGTCGTGATTATCTCGTGAACAAGAGTACAGTCAAGGACTTTCAAAAAGTCGGTTTTCATGATTCGCAGAATCGCAGTGGCGGCGATGTCCGCCGTTCTATAAGGCTGTTGTTTGTGCACCATCAGAGCAGACCATGATGCATGTGGATCAGTCAATTTCTGTAGCTCAGCTATGCTCGCTCGGTGGACATGCTGCTTCTCAAGTCCGCACTCGCATGCATGGAGCTCTTAATTACGTGAGCGATGATTGCGGACGTGAGTAACTCGAGTCAGGTACGGCTTCTGCACTTCGGATCAACAACAACAAGCAGTGCACATGGCGCGAGGTCATCTTGGTCTTGCATCTCCATAATTTGTATACCCTCGGCAACCATTATATATCCCGCCAAGGACTCTTCCTTTCACCTCCTTCTCCCCTCTCCGACCGACAGCAAATATCCCCCATCGAAAGAGTGAGAGGCAGCCAAGAATACACATATTCGCGATCGACTATCTTTTCGCCGCCCGCTTTCCTGCGAGCCTCTTCAAACCATGGCAATCCAAACCCAGGCTCCTCTCGAGCCCCCTATCGATACTGAAGGAAAGGGACAGATCATGGATGGACCGAGCTATGAAGAGCGAGAGCGTGCTGCTGTGATCATTCAGAAACATTATCGGGGTCATCTTGCCAGACGGCGGTATGGCGAACTCAAGCTGTACGTGATTGCATCTTGTCTTATCCTTGGACAGCTGTACTAGACACATGCTGTTAATATACCTGTGAGGGATGCTAGAGCTGATTGGCGTGTGATGTGACAGAGAAAACGAAGCGAAATGGAATGATCTCGTCAAGCAAAGCCAGGACTTGAAATACGCTCAGGAGCAGTTGGAAAACAAGAACGACGTCAATTCAAGGTGCGTAATGTGTTCTAGAGCTGAAAAGAATTAGCGCTGAGTCAATGCTGTACAGATGGCGGCGCGCAGCCCAAGCAGCCTCACGCCTGCAGACAGGCGACGGCCTCTATTCCACTCCCGTGCACCTCACATCCAACACCACATCAGTCCCGGGTCACGCTGGCGATCCAAGCAGGCTGGCCATGTTCGAAGAATGTGTCCCGGAAAATCTGGATGAAAAGGAGAGGCGAGCAAGAAGAGCGACGTTCTGGGGAAGTTTCAGCGTTATGGGTTTGGGGGAGGAAAGAGACGATAAGAAGGAACTGCCCTTCCAAAGCAAGACTTTGGAGCAACAGCATTGGTTCGTCGGTTCCTAACCAGCCTTTGAAATTTAGACTTACCTTGAGCTTTCAGGCTGGAGATGATCGACGGCAAGCATCGATATGGCAAGTCTATGCTGCCGGACTGAGACCGGGCTCCTCGCTGACTCTTTCTCCAGGCAGTAACATGAAATTCTACTTTCGCAAGTGGAAAGAAGCCGAGACTTCAGACAACTTCTTCAGGTGGCTAGATAAAGGCGAAGGGAAAGATCTTAATCTGGAGGAGTTGCCGAGGGAGAGGTTAGAAACGGAGCGTATAACGTATATCACTCTCTGTAGATATACACCATTTGCTGACATTGTCCGGTGCAGATATCTCACAGCAGAAAAACGCCTCAACTACCTCGTCAAAGTCGACAAGGATGGTCTATTACGATGGGCTCGCAACGGCGAGCTGGTCGACACTGCAGCCGGGCAATGGCAGGACGCAGGTGATGGCGGCGGTATCATTCCCGCTAAGGACGGTGATGAGGAGGCCGGAGACGATGTCCCCGTATCTGGGGACCCGTATGCTGCTCCAAAGAAACGCCTCCCAAAACCCAAGGTCTCACTCGCAACCTCCCACTCCCATTCAAAAGCTTCCACTTCGTCATTCTCGTCAGATTCCTGGTCTGCCCAGTCATCCGATCTAGATGAGAATGAGGACACTCACTATATCGGGCTGGACAAGGCCAACAGTGGGTCTTGGCTGTCGAGACATAGGAAGAAGATTACACCTGGCGGTGTGAGAACGGAGCTGCTGAGGAAGACTGTGAGAAGGAATACGTGGATCTATGTCAGCGATATGAAGATGAACATGTTTATCGGGATGAAGAAGAGCGGGACGTTTCAACATTCTTCTTGTGAGTCACCTTTCCTCCTTGGTTTGATGCCAGCTAACGTTATGTAGTCCTCGCTGGAGGCAAGGTTTCGTCTGCTGGTATCATTGTGGTAAAGCATGGACTGATCAAGAGTCTAAATCCCTTGAGTGGGCATTACAGAAGCTCTATAGATGTAAGTTTGTGTGATACCACTGCGACTCGCGACTGACTCGCTTGATCCAGAACTTCCGGAGCTTCATTGCGCAGCTTGAGGGGTTGGGTATCGACTTGTCTCATGTCAAGGTTGCAAAGAGCGTGTTGGTGAGTGCCTATTTGAACGCTGGACGCAGGAAACTGACAAACCTCTCTTCATAGTCGCTTTGGGGGTGAGATAGCTACTCCAAAATACCAGGATACCGGGCTGACCCAGATCATAGCTTGTCGAAATACTCCAAGGCTACCAAGGCCCAGAAAGACGTTTTCACCCACATGGCTCGCGCTCTTCATCTCTCTCACAACCCTACAGAGGAAGAAAAGTCTCAAGCTGTCAAAGATAATGCCGAGAAGGAAGATAGGGAGCATATGGAGAGGATGCAAAGGCTGAAGGAGGCGGAAACCCAAGAGGATGAAAAGAGAAAGCAGAAAGAGGAAGCTGGTGTTGAAGAAGATGAGGAGACGGAAGAGCAGAGGGAGGAGAGTATGAGGAGGATTCGCCGGGAGGTGCTATATGGAAGGCAACAGTGAGACCACTTATCGCAATTGAGAGTGAATAACGGCTGATGATATGACAGGCAGAATGTCAAGATTCAACAGGAAAAGAAAAAGGATACGAAGCAGGAGCTGCGACCGGTATGATTGGGTTTCGGCTGTAAATACCCCACATAGATATGATCCCCCGATAATCTCGGGTGCTGTAATAGTAGTGTTTCTTTGTGTTCATCCATGTATAGGGTATCAGTCAACAACGTCAACATCGTGTCCGGGTCAGATAAGGGGCGTCCGGATCGGCATTCCGGCCAGCGGACACGGCCACTGTCGCCACCCAACGCTTGCACAATCGATATTCCATCTCTCTTCTCTCTCTGCATCTCCACAATGTACATCCCCCCCCTCGTCTACCTCATCCCCTTCCTCGCCCCCGCCCCACCCCCACCCAGTACCCTCACGTTCAAACCCTCCTACGCCCACTCCCACTACGGCCCAACTAATGGGTCTGCTGCCCCAGAGCTCTTTCTGCGCGACTCGTCCGAGTCAGCATCCTTCCATGCTCAGGATTATTCCCTAGAAGGGCTCGATATCTTTGGGCTGACACAGGGCGACTTTGATGCCAGTCTGTTGTTGGCGGAAGGGGAGAAGGAGGCTGGCTTGACGATACGCACAAAGAAAGGCCTGATACGCCGGCCAAAGCATCGTCCGCCCCGGATCACCTCTTGGGCTCTATCACAGCGCAGCAAACTCTCACTGGCTGCTTACAACTCGTCTTCGGCCTGGGTCGCCCCATCGACCTCCTACAACCCAGACGAGTGGATAGAGGAGGAAGTGACCGTACCCGATGTGTCTGATAGGCAGACGCTCATTGCTCTTGCCAAGATGGCTAGCAATGCATACGTGCTACCTGGTGGTGACGGGTGGTATCCGGTGGAGGGATGGAATGGGAATTGGAGCGATAGTAGTGGAAAGGGAACAGTGCCTTTTGGGTGGGAAGAAGGTGCCGATGGGCTGAGAGGGCATATCGTGAGTTCGCTTCTGATCGGATGGACACAAGCTGACACTGCTGGCTCTAGTTTGCGGATGAGAAGAATGAAACGGTGATTGTATCTATCAAAGGTACCACTGCTGGTGTACTCGGTTCCGGAGGACCTTCTGCCAAGAACGACAAGTTCAATGTGCGTTCTCGATACCTATAAGCGCGACCTTACGGCTGACAGGCGAATCAACAGGACAACTTGCTCTTCTCTTGCTGCTGCGCCAGGGTAGACTTTTCGTGGTCGACTGTCTGTGACTGCTACTCTGGAGGCAACAAGTGCTGTCAAACATGTCTGGAAGATGCCGTAGTGGCTGAGAGTGTGTATGCGACTGTCGGCACAGTAAGTAGTTTCAGACGCTGGGTATCTATCTGACGGAGCATCTCAGAACCTCTACAACAACATCACTTACATGTACCCCAACGCTACCATATGGTTGACTGGTCACTCTCTCGGAGGATCCGTCGCCTCCCTCATTGGTCTTTCCTTTGGCGCCCCGGTAGTCACCTACGAAGCCCCTGGAGACCTTCTCCCAGCTTCTCGTCTTCACCTCCCCCTCCCTCCCGGACTTCCTGCTGACCTTACGGGTATCACTCACGTATACCACACCGCCGATCCTGTCCCCATGGGAGTATGTAACGGCGGTTACAGTGGGTGTTACGCAGCTGGTTTTGCTCTGGAGAGCAAGTGCCACACGGGGGAGACTATTCTCTATGACACGGTACAGGAGAAAGGGTGGAGTGTGGATATACGGACGCACAGGATTGGGGAGGTCATCGACAAGGTGTTGAAGGACCCGTGGCCTGTCAATGGGACGGGTGAAGGGAAGAAGCAAGTCGATGTCAGCGGGGGCGCTTGGGAAGCTGTTTCTGGGCTGATTCAGTACTTGGTCGACCCTGCCAGGCTGGCTCTCAAGCCAGCTGCTGAGCCCATACGAGCCCACGGCACTGGCGAGGATGATGCCTCGGCTTTAGGGGCCATCAGAGCGCAATGGGGCTGGGGTCGTAGAGGGCCCAAGAAGGATAAGAATAAGAAGGAAGATGACGACGATGACGACCAATGGCATAAGCATGGAGGAGTGCCGAAGCCGGTCTCGGAAGAAGACTGCGTGGATTGCTTTAAGTGGTACGTGGTACGGAACGGCTTTTTTGTCTCAAGTGCTGATCCGTTTCTATAGGGAATTTGGAGATTGGGAGTAGATCAAGTGGTGTGAAAGTAGACTGAAGTTAGCCTAGGCGCGTTCACGAATGTTGTAACCATTTATTGTTGATATATATAGTCTATTCATGTTCATGCAGATCATCTTACAGTACAAGGCGGTCCCGAGTCAGTCGCTGTTTACACAAGATCGTCAACAGCAGAGGCTACATTCTATTCTCTATGATACAGTCTATGGTTTCTACAATCTAGTCAATGCTGAATACCGTCGCTTAATCAATGAGCTTCTTCACGCGCTCAAAAACCTATAGGGGTATTGTCAGACATACACAAGAACCAGCAGTGGCCACTCACGGTGAAAACGATGGCCTGCCCCGGAGCGACTCGAAGGACACGAGGAGTGATGCCCTTGTAGAACGCCTTGACACCCTCGTGCTTGAACATTTCGGAAGTCACTTTGATCATCCGTGAACGGGCAGTCTCGCCTTTGACCTTGGTCGCCTTTTGTATACGACTGATATACGACCGTAAGCAAACACTAATACTCGAGACCTCATACTGACTCACGTTTTGATAGTGTCTATCGGCGCATTCGAAAATGGTCCCATAGCACCGCTGACCAGCCCCAACGACATGGTCTGCCAACTAGGCAAGCCCCGCTCTGCATGCTGAGGCTGCAAGTCCAACGCCCACCTCTTGAACTGCTGATAAGCCGTAAAGTTGACACCTTGATTGGTCGCTTGGCGCAGAGCCGTCAGAGAGACGCCGCGGTAGAAGGCAGCGAGACCTTCTTGGTGAACGATGGTGTAGACAGCGTGGGCGGCATTTCGATATCGAGGGGATCTCATGGCGCCCATTGGACCGGCCAAAACAGGCTCTGAGAAAGAAGATGAGTAATGAGGTGAGGGAGGGACCATGGGAACGTACGATGTTGGGCTTGAAGTCTTATCTTGACGACTTCGATGGGCGTCACAACAAATACGGCTTCAGTCGCGCCCGCCCCCAGACCGGCAAGAAACGTTGCCTGGGGCGAGATGCTGCCGTCAGGCTGTAACAGCCAAGACTTGTACACTGAAGGCTGTCATCCGCCTGATCCCTTGTATAAGGATGGTAAAGATTCACCTTCAAAACTACCGAAACGAATAGCCATCTTTGGCACGATACCGCTGACGACAGCACCGAGTCCTTTATACAGACTCAGGGGACCTTCCTGGGAGATGATGTGTCGACCTGTGGCAAAGAATCCGTTGGATCGGGACTGCATGCAAGGGGCTTAGCATAGGCGAAGAGGATGATAGGTCTCTACACAGGACTCACCCCGGCAGCATTCTGTGTTTTGGATAGCTGTATGCGAACCTTGACGGTATCTAGCGGGTGACTGCGTGTATCAGGTCAGTATTTACATCGACCATGGCCCCAGCTCGACTCACCAGACGAGGGCCTCCGCAAGGCCAGCCGTGCCGCCCGCGATTAGGTGAGTGCTCAGTGGTGCTTGACTCTTGCCCGCATTACCCTTGGGCAAAGGCAAGGCCGCATCACGGTCTTTTGGAGCAACGCTTTGAAGGCGGGCGGGAGTGTTGTAAGCAGAGAAGGACATGGTGCTAGGATTGTGGGGGTCTTGTCTTGAAAGGTAAGAGCGGCCAGTTGAATATATAGCATGGCCCAGGCGGTACATGATTTCTTGAGATCAACGTGCGCTCGTCCGGATGGGTTCTCTAGTCTCAATGGAGACTCGACTAGTACGTGCATGCGGTGGGGTGCTCGGTTAGAGCATTCTGCGTAACGGGTCGCGGTGAATGGCGCATGAAATTTGTGTCTAGAGCTTTTTAAACAACGAGATCAATTGTCTTGGTGTGCACACCAGTTGACATTTTAGTGCCTCCTTCTTGTCGATAAGGTGCTATCGTGCCCGTGCCTCCACCTGACACGTTACTATGCGATACAGTGCATGGGTCTTTGTACGTACCATCTGACCTGGTACAGTAGTATACTATGCCCCATTATGTCATTGGTCCATCGTACGCTACGAGTACAGCAACCAATGTTGAATGTCAAAATATGACACCATGCTGCGCAACGCTCGATGAAGCGGCACTGCCTTCTTTCTTAGACGACATCAATGAGTATCCAGACAGAAAGATACCACCATCGACAACCACGAGGATGACCATGAAAGGGGGTGCAGCAACAAGATACAGAAGTTATCAAGCAACTTGACGATAAGAAGAGAGTGGGGCGATGTCGAGGCCAACGTGTCCAGTCTGCTCGAGAGAGATCTGAAAATCAAAAACCCATGCTGGTCATCAAAGCTTGAAATCAAAGGCATCTTGGCAGACCTCTAGACTGTTGATTGTGCGGCAAGTGCGGTAACGCTAGAAACCGGGGCAAGACGGAGGCGCGACTAACACGGGCTCTATCAGGCGGTGCCCTGGGCACTCAGAGATGATAGTTGTCTTTTGTGGCATGTGCAAACGAAACCTCTAGAGTCTGCTTACAGAGATAGATGCACAGATCCCAATGTTCATTCGTATCGATAGGTACAAAAGGAAACTTTTCCGAGATTTTTCTCATCTTGATACTCATGATTGCAAGGTTGAATTGCTTTGACAACGTTAAGGTGAGATAGGAAAGGGTTGGGTATGAGGTTGAACTGTTATACAAATGAGAAAGAGAAGATGCTAAAAGACAAAACCCATGAAAAAAGAGAAAGAAAGAAAACTGGTCATGCGGATGCCTAAGCATACTCCTCCACGCTCCCACACTCGCAAATCAAGTTCAAATCACCCGCCGCATCATCCAACCTGCCCACACTAGGCCAGAACTTGTTCCTCCTCAAACTCTTGACGGGGAACACGGCCTTTTCACGAGAGTATGGCTTGTCCCACTTGTCGGCGGTGAGCAAGGAAAGGGGGTGGGGAGCGTTCTTGAACACATTGTCGTCCTTGGGCTGAGCGCCCGAGGTGATTTCGTCAATCTCGGCTCGGATAGATATGAGTGCGTCGATGAATCTATCGGCTTGTCAGATTTGCTCTGCCTATCTTGAAAAATCGCTCACCGGTCGATTTCGTGCTTGGGCTCCGACTCGGTGGGCTCAATCAACCAACACGTCGAGATGGGCCACTGCGCAGTAGGCGGGTGGAAACTGTAATCCTGCAACCTCTTGCTAAAGTCCGACACCTTCAACCCTGCGCTCTTTTCAAACTCGGCCAGATCAATCAAGCACTCGTGCGCGACCCTGCCATTCGAGTTGGTGTATCGCACGTTGTAGTATGGCCTCAGCCTCTCGGCGATATAGTTGGCGTTGAGCAAGGCAATTTTGGAGACGTTGGTCAGACCCTCGCCACCGAGCATCTTGATGTATGCCCAAGAGATGGTGTTGATACTGGCAGAACCAAAGGGAGCGGCCGAGACGGCCGAGATGGGGGTGGAACCGCCGGTAGCGACGATCGGGTGGGTGGGAAGGAAGGGCGCGAGGTGGGATTTGCAAGAGATGGGTCCAACACCGGGTCCACCGCCACCGTGGGGGATGGAGAAGGTCTTGTGCAGGTTGGTGTGCGAGACGTCACCGCCGACACGGCCGAGAGAGGTCAAGCCGACGAGCGAGTTGCAGTTGGCACCGTCGACGTAGACTTGTCCGCCATTGTCGTGCACAATCTTGCACGCCTCTTCGATACCCTCTTCAAAGACACCAAATGTGGAAGGATAGGTAACCATGAAGGAAGCAAGCTTGTCCTTGTGCTTATCGGCCTTTTCCCTCAAGTCTGCCAAATCCAAAGAACCATCTTCCAACGCCTTGACGGGCACAACCTTGTAGCCAACCATGGCGGCCGAGGCAGGGTTGGTACCATGGGCAGAAAGGGGAATGAGACAGACATCTCGGTGGCCTTCACCCTTGGACTCGTGGTAGGCCTGGATGACCTTGAGACCGGCGTACTCGCCTGAAGCACCCGAGTTGGGCTGGACAGAGGTAGCGTCGTAACCGGTCACGAGTGAGAGGTCGTTCTCAAGCTCCTTGATAATCACCTCGTACCCCTTGGCCTGGTCAACAGGCGCAAAGGGGTGAATACCGCCAAACTCTTTCCACGAGAGAGGCACCATGGAAGACGTCGAGTTGAGCTTCATGGTACAAGATCCCAGGGGGATCATGCCGTGGACGAGGGAATAGTCCTTTTGTTGAAGGTACATCATGTATCGCAGCATGTCGGTTTCAGAGTGGTGCTTGTTGAAGACGGGCTGGGTGAGGAAGGGGGTGGTTCGGGCAAAGTGCGCGATGGGGGCAGAGACGCTGGACGAGTTGAGCTCGAGCTTTTGGGCAAGAGACTCGAGGACGTCGGGCTCGATGGCCGACTCGCCCTTGACAGCGTAAAAGACGTTGACAATGTCGGTCAAGTCGAGAGGACCGACAGACTCGTCGAGTGTGATACCGATCGTCTTGTCGTCCACTGGTCGGAAGTTGATACCAGCCTTGACAGACGCAGCGTGTACATCGGCAGCCGTCACGCCAGCAGAAGAAACGTCGATGGTGAGGGTGTCAAAGAAGGTCTTGTTGGTGATGGTGAAGCCGAGAGCGGTGAGAGACTCGGAGAGGATCCGGGTGAGAGAGTGGACCTTGCCAGCGATGCGACGGAGGCCTTCAGGACCGTGGTAGACGGCGTACATGGCGGTCATGTTGGCGAGGAGGGCTTGGCTTGGGGATCGTCAGTACCAAGTTGTATGGGTCTTGGACGACTCACGCAGTGCAGACGTTGGACGTGGCCTTTTCTCGTCGAATATGCTGCTCTCGAGCTACAAAGTGTCAGTTTGGCCTCGTCCGATCTAGATGTACTCACTCTGCAAAGCCAATCGGTAGGCAGGGTTTCCAGCCGAGTCCTTGCTCAGACCGACGATTCGTCCTGGCATCTTTCGCTTGAGGTCTTCGGTACAAGCAAAGAAGGCGGCATGGGGACCACCGTATCCAGCAGGCACACCGAATCGCTGAGAGTTACCACAGACAATGTCTGCGCCCCACTCTCCAGGCGGCTTGAGCATGGTCAACGACAACAAGTCGGTCGCAACCACCGTCTTGGCGCCCTTGCTCTTGACGCCCTTTGCGATCGCCTCCCAGTCACCAATCTCACCATTCACATCGGGGTATTGCACGAGCGCGCCCATGAGCTTTTCCTCGCCAAGACTCTCGACCTCGGACGCGAAAGCGGCATTGCTCTCGGCGATCTTGATCTCGATGCCAAAGCCGCTAGCTCGGGTCTGGAGGACCGCAATCGTCTGCGGGGCCACGGTGGGGGAGACCAAAAAGACCTTTTTGCCCTTTGTAAACTTGGGCTTGGCAACAGAGGCGAGGCACATGGCCATACCTTCGGCAGCGGCGGTAGCTTCGTCAAGCAAGGAACCGTTGGCGATTGGCAGGCCAGTGAGGGAGATGGCGACAGTCTGAAAGTTGACGAGAGACTCTAAACGGCCCTGGGACTGCTCGGGCGAGTAGGGGGTATACGCAGTGTACCACGCCGGGTTCTCAAGGACGTTCCTCTGGACTACAGGCGGGACGATTGCATTGTGGTAGCTAGACACGTCAGCAGGGAACGATGTGAGGATAGCAGACTTACCCCATGCCGATGTAGCTCTTGACGTTCTTGTTCATGGCGGCGACTTGCTCTGCTCTGCGTCGCAGCTCGAGCTCACTGAGAGCGCTGATGCCTTTGCTGCTCTCTGCGTTTGTGAGGGCATCGATCCTGACCTCGCTGGGGATGGTGGCCGCGACAAACTGGTCGAGAGTGTTGTGGCCCAGGGTCTGGAGCATAGTCTGGATGTCTGCGTCCCGGGGGCCGAGATGGCGGGGGAGGAAGGTGTCGAGGGGCGTGAACACGGAGGTGGCCGCCGGGGGGAACGACTGGGACGCGCTGCGGAGTGGCTGGGTCGCCGTGGTGGAGGAGCGCCGGAGGGAGGACAGCGGGCGGGCGGCGGGGAGCGCCAGCCTCGGGAGACGGCGGGCGAGGGACATGGTGGATGGGAGACCAAAGAGGGATCGAGTCGCGTTATATATTTTATAGGGATGGGGCAGCCCATCCTTGGAAAACATATCTCGCTATTTCCAACAACTGATACCACCTCGTGCCTGGAGCCCATACTTAGATAAGACTGCCCCCCTGTTTAGCCTCATCTCCGTCCTTCAACCGCCACAAATCACATGCATCCTCTACCACGCGTCGTCCAGCCCCGTCTCCGCCCGCTTCCACCCCTCGTCCTCGCTCTCCCAGTCGTCGTCTGCATGGTCCGCCCCGTCTTCCTCCTCATGCTCTAGCCTCTCCAGCACATCCTCCCCTTCTTCCTCCTCTTCGCCTCGCCCCTCGCCCGTAAACGTGATATCTTGCCCCCGCTTCAGAGCCTGCAGCTTTTTCAGCGCAACAGGGTTGAAGATGGCGTCGACCCGTAGAGACTCGAGCTCTTCGCGCGATGGCCCAGAGGTGTGTCTTCGAGGGGAAAGTATGGATAGCAGAGGGAACGGCAGATCGTTCGGATCATCTTCCTCGTCCTCGTCTTCATACACTTCTTCTTCCTCTTGACTCTCCTCGTCCAGCCCGTCACCTAATATGCTTTCAAGCTCGTCATGCTTTGGCCTCTTTGGCTCTCGCCGCGTAGGCACAATCACGACGTTGGTCCGTACTTTGCCCCCTTCGGGATCCCACTCGTCAATCTCGTCATCGCTCAGTACCAACTCTTTGCGCCTCTGTGGCGTTCGAGATTTTCGCGGTATCGGGGGATCGGCGATGGTGGCATCCGGCACGGGATCTTGGGGATCGGGAAGAGGAGCATCGGAAGGAGTCGGAGACGGTGTAGTCTCGACAAGCGTCTCCTTGTCCTTTCCTTTGGACGATTTCTCTGCCGCATTCTTTGCCCTGCTGAAAAATCCCATCATTCCTTGCTGCTTGCCGCCCCTCTTTCCTGCAGCTTCGCCATTGGCAGCCGCATTGGCTTTGGAGGCAGGCTTTAGAGGAGAAGCCACATCCTCGAATAGAGGAGCGTAAGCCTTGCCTCCAGGGGGAGGCGGTTTAACAGGCGTCGGGCCTAGTGCAGTTTCATCCTCCTCATAATCTTCCATCTCGTCATCCCCCGCATCCACCTTAGCACTTTTGGAAGGGCTCGCCAAAAGCTCACTGACAGGGGCAGGCCCCTGCCCCCTCCGCCGGCGCACCTGCCGATCCTTCCCCGGCGTATCTTCCACCCACTCTCCCCTCAACCTCTTTCTCGCCTTTGTCCTCGGCGTGATCCCCTCCCCGACCCCCAAGTGAGAAGGGGCGCGGTGCATCGAATTCGCTTCCAGCACCTGTTTCAGCTTTTTCGGCGAATTGGCGTGGATGAATGGCGAGCTCATATCCCCTTCTCCTTTCCCTTTCCCTTCATCTTTCCTTCTTTCCGGAGATAGACCAGAAGACACATTAAACTCACGTCCCTTGCCTTTAGCGGCGCTGGAAGGCGAGTTGGCAGTGTTGAACGGGTTGACGGGGTTCGGGTCGATGATGGGGCCCGAGTAGGCGTGTTTCTTCGGAGTGGAAAAGAGTGTGCGGGCTGTTGATGCGGGAGGAGGCATACGTGGAGGACTCGATGCTCGATCGGCCATATGCTTTATACCGCTCAACCCCGCACTCGAAGAGCTCGCACTCGCAGCTCCAGCCGCTCTCGGCAAAGCGCTGTAGGCTCCAGAAGATTTCCGAGAAGGAGGTGTAGGTGTGGTGGGGTAGTCGGATACGACGGTATGCCGCGGGGTCACGCGGGGCTGTTGGGATTGGGACGGTTGTTGGGATGAAGAGGAAGCGGACGAGGGGAGGGGTTTTGAGGATTGGCCGTTGATTTGTGATGTCGATGTAGGTTTGGAAGATGCCCCTTTCGATAATGTCCTGTACAGCGCATACTGCGATGCTATTCCACCATTAGCCTTGTACAGACAAAAAACGCATCACGACGCACCGATATCGCCCTTATCCTTCTTGATATCATCCTTGGTCGGATTTCTCTCATTCTCCGCCTTGAATGCCTTTTCCCATGCCTTTACCTCTGCCTTTACCTGCGCCAGCTCCATGGTAGATGCTTGAGGGATACTGTATCTGAGATGGAGTCAATATTGTTGGCGCTGCCGGCTTTGCCATGCGCGTCGCGTCGGTCGGGATCAATTGGGTGTGGTGATGTCAGGAGTTCTTTGCGAGCCGACTTTTGAAAGTACAACTCTGACCAAGCCATACAAACGTCTCAAAAGAAACACATACCCCATCGCTCGCCATGATTTTCCGACTCGCCCGTTCTGCCCGACCCACCGCCTCCCTCCGCACCACGCTCCTGACTCAGCGAGGTTTCCACGCCACCAGGATCGCCCGAGACCATTTCCTGGACGCTACCCCCGAAGCGTTTGAGAAGAGGGCGTTGGATGCTGGTAATGCCAAGCCTGTTTTGGTCGACTTTTACGCCGAGTACGCTCTACATATAATGATTGTAGAAGAAAGAAACTGACATGGGACACAGCTGGTGTCAGCCCTGCCGAGTGCTCTCGCCACTGCTGAAAGCGGTCACCGGCCCCGAAACAGAATTCGACCTCATGACCGTCAACGTCGACAACCACCCTGAAATTGCTGGCAACTACAAGATCAGTGCTCTGCCAACCGTGGTCGCTTTCAAGAATGGTGCCGTCAAGAACAAGTTCAGTACGTTGTTCCCTATAAGCCCATGACTCTTGCTGATGAATCAAAAGTCGGTTTCAAGGGACAGGACGATATCAACAAGTTCTTGGGTATGCTCTAAGCTGCCATGCATTGTATCTAGACTCTACCTCCCCTTCCTCTCGGCTTTTCATCTTCACTCTCACTATCAGCGGCTGTCGTATCCGACGCCCATCCCTCCTTGTCCATCTTATTTGCTAATCGTTTCTCTGCCTTTGCCAACAATCTCATCTCGGCTCTCGTCAGCTTCTTATCCAGTAAATGCCCCATCTCCTTCCTCTCCGCCCACTCCCTATTGATCCTCGCCTTGATTTCCTCTCCCTCTACTGCCATCCTTCCTTTCGCCGCGCTCACCCGCTCCATCAGCTTTCGGAAATGCTCATCTCTCGCAGCTGCAGAGCTCATTTCTTTCATCACCTTCTTCTCCTTGTCAATCGTCGTCCCCAGGCAGTCTGTTGTACCGACCACGACCCGGTGCACATACCCGTCTTCATGCCCCCACCAATGCCACCTCGCCCTCGCCATCGGTTCTTCCGGCAACTCGTGCCGACCACACGCTCTCGCCATATACGTCGGATCCGACCAGCCCTTCTTCAGATCACCATGCTGCTTTTCCAAATCTTGCTGAATCTTGGTCGGCACGCACCGTAAACACCCTCTCGAGCAGCGATGGTAATCATGCTTGGAAGCGGCATTGCAGCAGTTCTTGCAACAACTGATGCAAGGGCCGCGATGGCGCCAGCACCATCGTTCACAGCGGTAAGTGCATTTGACATAGCAGCAGCAGCACCGGAAAAAGTCGTGGAAGCAGTGGTAGCAGCAGTAGATGATTGAGAGGACGTAGATGGTCACGATAAGGGCAAAGACTGGAAAGGGGTGAGTGGGCGAGGGAAGGGAGGGAGGAGGGCTTACTGAATATGATGAGGTTTTTGTATTCGTCCCAGTATCCTTCAATCTGCTCACAGCGTTAGCGACCATCCCAGGCTTTTGGCCGCGATGCGTTGGTACCTTGTCGATACACTATACTCGTAGAGAACGTCATTTGTCAGCACAAGACAACATCTACGAGACCGGACGAATTACATCCTGTATCTTGTCTATCCATTTCAACAGCGCGGCTGTCCTGGTCGCTCCATCCTACGATCGCCATCAGCTTCTGCCACTCGCCTTTTAACCTCGGCTCACAATGACATCCCCAGCTGCACTCTTTGCAATCCCACTTTAGTATCAGTATCCGCCAACTTCATCTAGACAAGAGGTAACTCTTACCGTAGCTGTCGAGACCGCCCCTGCTGCTTTATCGGTCGCCGTCGCCACTGCTCCAGCACCCTTGTCTGTAGCTGTCTCGATGGCGCCACTAGCACCGTTTATTGCTGTATCGGCTGCCCCTCCTATAGCATCGCCAACCCCCCCGAGGTCTATTGGAAATGGAGCCATTCAATTAGGTTGAAGGAACGTGAAGGGCTGACCAAAGCCGGGCAATATGGGTCTACTTGCAAGTATCGTACACTGGAGATGATGATTCAAGGTGGCATGATGCGAGATACGATATGTTGACCTGAAGGCATAGCCGAGGTACAGGGAGATTCACCTCAAAGGACGGTCATCGTGGTCTAAGGAGTGCCACATGCTGATGGCGACGGCGTGCTCAAGACCGAACAGGTCCCTTGTACTGTTACCAACCGCATGCAGGATTGCACATGTGTCTCTGGAGCGAACTATCAAGCGATGTATGCATGGCATACCATTGTCTACCACTCGATCCTTTTGCCCTTCCAATCCCAACACCTCCCTCCCCACTCTCCCTCTTCCCCTTCTGCACCTCTTTGGACCTTGCCCATCACATCTGTCAGATGCACTATGGCTTGATCGACATCGAACCTGCCCTGGGACGCGTCGGGAGAAGGGTTGCCGATAATGGGTGCTGTGAATGGGGTAAGGACTGTTCCGGGGTGGTAGCCGTATGCTATTCCGGAGGATGATTTGTTGATGAGCTGGTACGGTGTTAGTACGCGTACAGAAAGCAGATGGATGGAGTGTACTTCGTGGTCCAGCGTCCGTATTATTTGGTTCACAGCGGCTTTTGAGCTATGCATCAAATTAGCCAAGATTCAAATGTTCTGTTCGGGAGGACTGGCTCACGCTCGATAAGAATACCAGCCTCCTCTCTCGTTGTCTCCAATACTCCCCACCCTCGCACTGAGCGAACAGCAGATCGAATGCCCACTTCCCATCAACCCCTTTGCCGGATCGCCCTCCTCTCCCCATCCACCTTTGAGCTCTTTAAAAGCCTTTTTGCTGGGAATCAAAGGAACAAAGTGCTTATAGGTCATCAGGTGACCTAGAGTGTTGATTTGGAAAGAATTGAGGGCGTCCTGGAGGTTGATGCCAGCGAGTGATTTCTCGGCTTTGAGCTGGGGCGCATGTGAGTATAGTCACCCTGTACACAATCAGGTGCCTACAATTCCAGCGAGACACACCACCAGCCTGACACTCCCTTCTCCTTCTCTCTCCTTGACTAGCCCCTTTGCTCTCTCCAACCCGTCCTCCTCTCTGATGTCCACGCTATCGACCACTGTCAATCTCTCCGATGTCGATAGCTTGCCCTTGTCTCCTACTCCAGAAGGGAGAAAGTCCAGTATGGTGTCTTCGAGTCTGGATGCAGAGGGCTGCTGGGTAAGAGCATATACTGAGAGGTTCGTGTGGCGCAGGATATGACGGGTGAGAGATGCGCCAAGCCCCCCAGATGCGCCTTGAACGACCGCAACAGACATTACTGTAAGGTTGAGTGATGAAGATGTTGGCTTTGTCGAGATCCTCTACATAGACCACTTGAAAGATGGTGTTTCGATGACCACACTAGGATCAAACCGCAAACTAAGCAGAGCGTCATAGGTCAGAGCTTCCAGCATCACCACTTGAACACCGTCGCCGTCGGTCTCCCGCCGTCGCTGAAGCATGCATATTCGCATTGTCCGTTTTCACGACCTAACATTATAAGCTCAATGTGCCACGACCACATGTCCAAAATGTCCCTAGCAAACCTGTTCAATACCAGTAATACGGCTCATCTGTCTCATCATCCAATTCCTCAGCGCCCCTCCATTGGAAACCTTTCAGTTGCGGCTCCTACTTTGATCAGCCCGAGCGACCTTTCACATCAGAAACCACTCACCTGGATGATCAAGTCGCCTCCCCTATCCACTAATCTCCTTCCGGACCCATCCACGTCATTGACCAACACGAGATCTCTCATAGGCCTCTTGGAGCCAACCAGACGCCATCTCCTGATTCGCTTATGCGACGACCCCTCTGCAATCTGGTTCTCGGGAAACGGATGCCAAGCACTGAATATGCGGAGGATTTGTACCAGCCACCCTTCTGCCTTTACATGAGGAGATGCGGCGGTGAGGTCCGGTTCGATGGGTGAAGGTGGGAAGGAGGACGTGGTAGGGGAATGTGCGAGGGGATACGCATGGGTAGGGCGCTTAAAACGGTGGTGTCGTGGTTGAAAAGGAGTGACAACAATAGGGTTCTTGGGAGAGTCGATGAAGTCTCTCTTCGGAAGCTATGTACCACCAACAATTGAGCCGATAAGCATATCCAGACTCGAGACATGGGGTGCTTACCGGTTTTTTAAGCGTAGGAGCCGCCAAGACGAGGGCCCCGGTGTAGAGGATGAAAATGAGCGTGAGCTGCCACAGACGTGTCTGGACCATTTGTGCGAGGTGCTATAACATGAGCTGGGGGTGAAGAAGCAACATCAAAGAGTTGAGAGATGCTGGATAGCGATAATTCCCAGAGATGCGGTGCCAAGGGCATGTCCACGCTTACGCTATATACCAGTTCCTGTTCAATCCGAGCCCAGATACGAAGGCACATACGCACGCTCCTATGTCCTCGAGAACGCGAAAGGCCAGAGCGGTCGAGGCAGACGAGATGCGGAAAATCAAGCAAAAGGGCCCTTCAGCCAGACAGCGCTACACGACGACAGTCCTTTTCCCTGTGTCCTGGAGACTGTGCGGTATGTGCTGACCTAAGGTTTCTCCGATGCGGGCAGGAATCGCATGACCTCCTTCTTTACACCTTGGAAGACGGGCAGAAGCATGTATATCTATGCATGCGAGTGAGATATCGTGGGATGATTATACACATGTGTCGTGGCGATTCATAAACAGCGTTACAGCTCCTCGTCCGAGCCCTCGGCTAGCCGACAACATCAGCATACGTTCACTGCCCTGAAGGAACCAGACTTACCACCCATGTTGGCCAAAAAGTTGGCCAAGTCTGCCTCCTGCCTGATCTCTGGATTGGCCTCCACCTCCATCTCCTCCTGTGCCTTCTTCTGTTCTCTCCTCTGCTTGTCTTGCGCCTCCTTCTTTTCTCTTCGCTTGTCCTTCTTTGAGCGCTGGTTCAACCCGCTCACAGTCGACAGACCCGCACCATCATCATCCCGTTGCTCTTCCATGTCCATTTCCATGAATCCAGCCATAAGCTCGCCTTCTGTTCGCTCGACCGCTGCCTTTCTCTTCTTTGCTTTCTTTGCATCCTTCTTGGCCTTCTTGCCTGACAATGAAGGTGGCAAAACGAGAAGCTCTTCGGGTGTAAAGAGCTTGTTTGCCTGGGCGTGAGATGGTTGTACAGGGTAGCGAAGGGCAGGAGCCACAGCAGCCGCGGCAGCGGCGGGCTCTACAGTCGTGGCAGTTGGCAGAACGCGGGGACGGGGGCGGAAGGAAGAGTCGTCAGAGTCGGCGTCAGACTCTTCGTCGCTAGAGTCTACGAAAGCGCGTTTGCTGGACAGTCTGGGTTTTGTTGGCTGGGCAGGGGCAGGGGCAGCGACAGGAGCGACAGCAGGCTCGGGGACAACGATCTCCGGGCTATATACAATGTAAGTAGCTTTCGAATCAAAAAGTTGGTGACATACTCTTCCGCTATCGGTTCCTCCTCTACCACTTCGTCTCCTTCCCATGCAGCCTCATCGCCAAGGTTGTCGAACAGCCCGTCAAGCGTGAATGCCTCACTGAGCGAGTTCAGAATCTTGGCGTCTCCAACCTTCTCCACAGCATCACCCATAGCCTCATCTTGCATACCATCCCCAGCAGCTGGAGCCGCCGATGCAGCAGTTTGAGGAGCAGGGGCAGACGAAGGGTGGAATTTGGGTGGGACAGTGTGGTATTGGATCCTGCCGCTGTTCCAGTCGCGCAGTACTTGTACGGCGGAGGCTTCCAAGTCGGGGACACCTCCTTTGCCGAGACGTCCTCTGGTGAGGGCGATGCGGATGAGGAAATCACGGACGTTCTCATATGGTGGGATGTTGTAAAGTTTCTCTAATTGAGCAGAGTCTACTTTGTTGAGGATGACTTCGACTAGCGTGGATGTCAGTCACGTCGGTTACGAAAGTGATGTACATACCAGGCGCAATAGGGTCATCGACCAGCTCAGCCTTGACGCAGTTCCTCAGCATAATCTCCGCCTGTTTTCTCCGCCCCTCCTCGCCCTCCTGATGTATCCCTATATCCTCCAAGACGACACCGGGGCAATCCAGAATCTTGACTCCCTTATCCAACACCACCTCTTGCACGACCCTTGTCTTTCCAGGCATGGCTGCGACAGCACAAGCACGGGAACGTTTGAGCGAGTTGATCATGGAGGATTTTCCGACGTTGGGGTAGCCGACGACGCCGACTGTGAGGGAAGAGTGGGGGGTGGACAAGGCGTATTGCTTGAGGAGATGCAAGAGTGCAGGTGCACCAAGAGATGAGGACGTTTGGGGAAGCTCAGAGTACACTGCTTGTTGCCCCGGCACAGTGGTCGGTTGTGATAGCAGCACAGAGTTTTGCGAGAGGTTTTGACGTTGGTTCTGGGTCGAGGATTTGAACGGCATGGTAGCGAAAGAATGCCTCAAGTGCTTCAACCAAGCTTCCAAATTCGCCCTTGGCACAAGATCGATCTTGTTGACCACCGCCAGCAGCTTTTTCCCCTGCATGTCCCTTTTTCTGACTTCCTCTTCCACCCACCGACTCCTCGTTCCCTCCGGATCTCTCGCATCGAGCACCTGAATGATGACGTCGCTCCGCTCAATCACTTTACGCAGCTCGCGCATGAACGCCTTGGAGGAAGAATCGCGGGTGAGGGAAGAGTCGATAGGTTCGTGAAAGGTGACGTTACCGAGGTCGAAAGAAGAAGCCGAGATGTCAATATCGCTCTGGTTGGCGGCAAGGGCGGCTAGAGATGCTGGCGTGGGCCGGGCTTGCTTGGCATTGTTGATTTTGGTTTGAAATTTCGGAACGTCAAGCCCCTTCTTTTCTGGAAAAGCATTAGCCTGCAGTCTATTTCTGCGGACATAAGACTCACTTTGTGCCGTGGGAAGAGCAAACACCTTGCGGTTACCGCCTTTGTCTGCAAGCTGTCAGCGGCGACTTTCGGGCGTTTCTAGGTTCTCACTTGGTTTCGGCATTCTGGATTTTCTAGGCCTTGTGGTCTGACTGGCAGGGGTTCTGTCTTGACGTAGAGAACGCTGTATGAAAGCAAAAAAGGTATCGAGATATCCGGTGTGTTGTTCTTTCCAAAGTTTTGCAAAAGTGGAGGCAGCCGATGCAGAATCGGGCTATCAATTGATTCAATGTTAGAAATCTCCGTTCAAAACCCCAAATCGCATTTTATGCCTCAATCAAGTCGGATGATTTCCCGAGATTTCTGTCATTCTTCTCCATCTCCTCTTGCACCCCACCACCATGCTCGTCCGTATTCCCCGCCTGGCCACGAGGGCCTCTCTCGCCTCTAGGTGCTCTATCATCTCCTCAAGAGCCCTCTCAACCCAGAACCCGTCCACCCCTACCCCTGAAATATTCTCATCCAAAGCCACCCCTCGTGAAACTCTCCACAGGCCCGAGGCTTTTCGTGGTATGCCTTCTTCAGGCAGGACCGTCGATCCTAATGGAGCCTTTGATTCCAACAACCCTCACAAGGGCAAGATCTTTATGGGAGTGGACCCGAAGAGCAAGGAGGAGGTATATGAAGCGTTCAATGGGCCCAGTAAGCCCAGGCTGATTTACGAGAGGCCTGGCGGAAGAGATCTGCCAAAGGCAAAGGTGCGAATGCTGCATTTCAATGACTGACGCTGACTACTTGAGAAGAGCGTGGTTCCATTCGTCGTCGCTCTTGGCCTCCTCGGACTCGGCTGGGGTCTCTTCATCTTGCACGCTACCAACACTGGCAAGTCTTGCGTATTCAATGCGCTACCCGGGACTAACGCAATTGCAGAGCGACTCTCGTCTTCTGTATTGAGACAGGTGACATTCCAGATGAGGAACTCTCCCGATGTCATGTCAGTGCTGGGTGATAACGTCAAGCTGGTCGAGGAATGGTGGGGTAAGTCTCTTACGTTCATCAGTACGAATACGGGCTTACAGACTGTAGCTTTGGGATCGCCTTGGATTTCTGGAACTGTTGGTCCAATCACGATGAGACGGTTATGATATTAACGATTGTGCAGATCAACCTGATGCAAGGCCGAGTTGACCTGAGCGCTAGACTGAAGGGTGAAAGGCGTGAGTTGTTGTCCAATGTCTCTCGATCTAGCTGACAGCGCTATCAGAGGCCGGCACTGTCTACTTCACATCCATCAGACCGCAATCGCAGGGCGCCTGGAGAATAGGCACGTTCTTGTTCCATGCTGGGCCGAGAAAAGCTAACCTCGAGAGCAGTGAGATACAAGGTGATTGCCGACGATGGGACCGTCCTCAGATTGGAAGACAAGGCCGGGAGACCAGACCAGAACGCTGCCATCAAGATGTAACAACCCACCAGCATAAGATAGTCAGACCTCGAGGAGATGCATTATTCCATGTCATATCGCGCTCCACCTTACTCTCTAATAGGACCAAAGAACCCGACATTGCCCGCAATGACATCTCTATCGCTGATCTTGTCCAACCTCGCCAGCTCCCTTCGAATAAACTTTACAATCGTTTCGATCTGCTCAGCCATCTCGAGCTCCTTGCCTTCCTTCATCGCTTCTCCTTCAGGATAGACAAGCTCTCCCTCGCCATTCGCGCCCTCACCTCGCCGACCAAAAATGAACCTCCACGCCCAAGAAGCCAACTCGGCATCGGCAATAGCCCTCTCGTCCGCACTCTCAGAGACCGTCAGGCCAACGATATAGTCGATCGTGAGTTGCGACTCTCTCCACCAGTTCGCATACTCCTGCATCCTCGTCTTGATCGCACTGTCCCTCGTGATCTCGGCACCCAACATCAATCGGATCTCATTCTCAACGATGTTGAAAAAGTGTGTGAGAAGCACTTCTCGATACTTGTACTCGTAGTTGCCGGTAGTGGCGGCTTGGTACCGGTCAAGGAGCGAAGGAGATTTAGGAGGGGGTGTGGTGCCGGGCTGGCCTGGCAGACGGGGTTGAGGAATGGGGGAAAGCGGGTTCGGAATGTCGTTGGAAAGAGCACGGAGACGTATCAGAGTGATGACGATGTAGACGACGTGAATGGAGAAGAATGTGTGGAAGGTTTTCGGCAGGTCACACTCTGTTCACCGTCAGCTCTGGTCCACAAATCAGACATTCGTGGCTCACCGTCATACCAGAATGGCTTGTCCCTCTTTACAGCCTCTACGATGCCCGCCATCATTCTTCCAGTTTCTCTCGCCGTCGTCCTCTTCCGCCCATTATACCCCAGCAGCAAATTCACATGCCTCAAGACCCTCAGCACGACTGGCGGGTACTGTGTGCCCTTGTGTGCGGGCGCAAACGGGTTGGCGGGGGCGGGGAAAGTGGGAGTGCGGTCGACCTTGACGGGACGGTCTGTGATGAACTTGCCCTTATTTTTAGGGGCGAGCGGTGGGGCTGAGGAGTGGAGGGTACGCAGCAGGGGGAGGGGTCGGACGGCATGGCCGGAACCGGATGCCCTTGTGAGAAGGGGGAGGATTGATGTCGAGGGGCGCATGGCAGGACGCTTTTGTATAGAGATGGACACAATCGAGCACGGAAATTTCCTTCATCATATCATCGCACCAGTGAATAACGCTGGTTACGTAACTCCATTCAACTAGAGGAGGAGGGAAGGGGGTTGGACGTTGAGTGACGTCCTCTCCCTCAAGCATCGTTCTGATGGGGATAACAGTATCAGAGACTCCGCATAACATTCCAATATAATACTATAGCATGATTTCAAAATCACTTTCTACGTTCTACCAGCCTCCTCAGCCGCCTTGACTGCCTTCTCAAAGGCGCTTCGCAAGTGTGATATATCTTCTTGCCCCACACTGACCCTAATCAGTCCCCTCTCCACCCCCCATTCCTCCGTCCAGTCCATCTCCGAATAGTGAGCCAAGACCGTGAATGGCGCTGCCAGCGTAAAGTTGGTACCCAGACTGGGTCCTTTGAGGCAATCGAGGTTGTCATAGAATGCCCGTGAGGCGGCCAAGGAAGTGAATGTGAGGGAGAAGAGATGACCGAAGCCGCCCTTGCAAAGAGTAGGGAAGCGCTGAGATTGGGAGTAGGTTGTTGGGGCGATATAACGGGGATAGTAAACTGTTTTGATTACTTTGCCGTTTTCAGGCGTGCTACCATCCGCCAGGGAGCGACTTTGTAGATAGGTGGTGATATCGAAAGTGTTATTGTCGACCTCTATTATACGAGAGACATAGTCCCGAGAGCTGTACTCCAAGCGTGTTGCGTCCCGTGAGAAGAAGAGGTCCTCGAAAGACGTTTCTTGTGCAGCTCTAAGATCCGTATAGTGGGGGCTATTGGGATTCAAAATCAGACTGATAGCCATCAGTAGATGTTCACAAGCTGATGAACTGGCACTCACCCGCCTCCCATGACATCGCCACTCCCACTAAAGATCTTTGTCAAACTGCTAACCACTACATCCGCATACGGCATCACCTCAACGTTGACAAAGTTCCCGATCGTCTCGTCAATCACGAGGACAAATTTGTACTGATCCGCCAACTCTCTCAGGCGAGCCAGATCCGGGCTGCGGAGGAGGGGATTGGAAGGGACTTCTGTTACTAGAGCGAGAATGGGTGCCTCTGAAAGGTCTTTCGATTGACTTTGGAGTATAGCTTCGAGCGCTGGTATGTCGGCGGTGCCTCCGGCGCCGAGAAAATGGCATCCAGAACCGAATTGGTTGAGGACGCGAAGTGTATCTTTGTAGGGGAAGCTATCACATACATCAGCCCAGATAGATAGTAGTAAGTAAGGAGCTTACCTATAGCATACGCTCTTTCCTTCAGCGACATTCCCTTTCCTAGCACGCCGTATCATATCATGACAATGCCATACAGCGCTCATACCAGTGGGATAGAGGTATACGTCTTCTTCCGAGATGGGCTTGCTTGAGCTCAAGCCTGCCGCGAGTGCGCGAGGACGAGCATCGTCCGGTGACAGTCCGCGTGCTATGCGGCCCTTCAGCGCCTTCTTAGCCAGACGACCCTCGAGGAGCGGTAGACTTTTGCCCTTGAGCCCTTCGAGATCCAACGCCAGCTCAGGTGTGACCTCCTGATCTTTGAGATACTTTTCTTCGCGCTTTACCTCCACACTCGACAGCTCCTCCCCAAGTATACCCATTACCATCTCTGCAAATCTCGACGAGATCCCATCCCCAGTCAACTGCCAAAACGCTTTGGCTTCGACTAGGTTGTCTTTGGGATAGAGCAGCACCTGGATCTCCACTTCGGGGGCGACTGAGAAGGGGACAGTGCGGGATTGAATGGGAGGTGATTGGCGTAGCAGGTATGCTTGTCCTTCTTGAGCAACGCGAGGAGATGGGAGCATGAGACAGAGGTCTTCATCTGGGTTTCCGAACCGGTCCACGCATATTGAGGCGATCTCCCCTATCATCAGCTTGGAATGGATACCACAAACAGATCACTCACCTTCTGGATATACCTGTGAAAGAACATCCGCGGATAACCACTCTTCATACTTCCACAAACCACTTCGTCTCCCTCCTGATACCTGAAGAGCTCGTCCCAGGTCGGGATGGACATTGACACAGGATGGTCGGTGTGAGCCGGCAGAGCTGCGCCCAGGGAGATAGGGGAGGGTGGCCTGATAGGCATTTTGTAGTAAAGTGACCCGGTTGGCTCTCGAGTGCGATGATAGAGAGATCTTAGACTCGATATGGCGTTCTACCTGCGTAAATCTACGTTCTACGGAGATGACCGCCACAACTCGGTTGGCCGTCATGGTAATCCCTTTTCCTTCTATAAACTCGTCTTTTCACGATCTTGTATCACTCTGAACCATGTCCAAGTAAGTCCTGTGCTTCTACACAATAACCCCGCTAACATCCTCAGGAACACTCTCAAGCTGAAAGCACTCCTCATCGACCTGAACGGCACCCTCCACATCGGCTCCGACCCCACGCCTTCTGCCGTTCAAGCCCTCACTCGCCTACGTCAAGCCCGCATCCCATTCATATTCTGCTCCAACTCTACCAAGGAAAGCAGCTTGTGTCCGCTGGGGAAGCTGAAGGGGATGGGGTTTGAGGCGAGGAAGGAAGAGTTGTTGACGAGCTTGGGAGCTTGCAAGATGCTCGTCGAGGAGAGAGGATACAAGTGCGTCTTGGCCGGTCTGCTGCGTCTTGCAAGAGCTCATAATCTGTAGGCGACCTTTATTGCTCATGTCGCCTTCTGCGCAAGAAGAGTTTGCTTCCTTCTCCGACTCGGCGCCATACGATTCTGTCATTCTCGGCCTTCACCCCCAATCCCTCTCTTACGAACCCCTCAACCGCGCCTTCCGCGTCTTGAAAGGCGAACCTCTCTCTACTCAGGACTCAGAGGATAAATCAAAAGCAGAGCCAGCTCTGATAGCGCCCCACGCGGCAATGTACATGCAAGACCCCGGCTCGTCTTCTCTCCTGCCAGGCCTGAGTCTGGGTATCGGTCCCTTTGTCCGTGCGCTGGAAGAGTCAACGGGGACGAAGGCGGAGATTGTAGGTAAACCTACAAGGAGCTTTTTTGAGCTCGCTCTGGAACGGCTGAAAGCGCTAGGTGGGGAAGAGTGGGATGTAGGAGAGGTGGCAGTGGTGGGGGATGACGTGGAGAATGATCTGGGAGAGGGTGCCAGGGAGCTGGGTTTGAAGAGAGTGCTGGGTGAGTGTACATATCGGGATGAGGACAATGTGCTGACGTGCTATAGTCAAAACAGGCAAGTATCGTCAAGGCGTCGAGAGGACGACAGAGTACCCGCCGGATCATGTTTACGATACGTTTGCGAATCTAGTAGATGATCTCGCCCAGCAATAGAAATCTACAACCTACACGCGAGCAAGGGGTATAGAAGAAGGTGGTTTCGACATTAAGGAGGTGAGTTGGGTGGGAATCCGTACTCCCAATGTATGGAGAGCGATATCTATCTATGTGTGTATCTAGTGTTGAAATGTCTGCTATGCATAGCTAAACATCTTGTCCTGCAGTGAATATTGATTCTGTCACCATCTATAAGAGTGTCGTGTTTGATGCTCAGCTGTAAAGGTTGTTCAGTCATTCAACGTTGAGGATGCATTCGCGTTGATGGCCTTGCATTGTTCTCACTCCCCATCAAGGGTTGAACTACTTCGGCCATGCTCGATCATAATCCCGTCGAGCCCTGTGGCTGCCAAGACATGACAAGGGCCTTGTCAGGTTTTAACTTCGTCGTCTCGGATCCGGCGGCATGCAGCCCTCTCCTCTGCGGCATTCAGACTCTCAAAGCAGAATACATCCGAGCTCTGTACACGTTTCATTGGCTCTTTATACCCAGTGAGAGAAACTGCAGCCTCGCAACGCGAGTCGCTCAAGCAATGTATACGGAGTGTAAAAGTGACCCGATAGGTGGAATCCAGATACAGAAGGTGAAGAGCCGAGTTCTCGACCGCTCTTAGCCTAATAGCCTATGCCGCCGCCGCCGCCGCCGCCGCCGCTACCGTTGAAAGCCGGGAAAGCCTGCGCGAGCTGAGCATCCAAGTTGTCTTTCGTGATTGCGTTCCACCAATAGAAGGTGTACTTGGCTGACGGAGACCAAGTGCCCAAAGAGCAAGCGAGATCGACGACGGGATGGCCGAGTTAGGCGATGGTGGGCGATGGCTGGCGGAGCTGGCGTGTTGATTGACGAGGAATGGTGTCATGACTGCGTCAGTCTGTACTTGTACATCCAGGCTTTACATCCTCCCGCCGCATATATAGCCTGTAAGCGCATACACCACGCTACCTCTTAGTGCTGAATACATAGACTGTACTCAAGCATGTTATAGCCTTTCCATATCCGTAATTGATGACACTAAATGCTCTATTCCCATCGTGTGCACGAAACTTTTGGTGCGACGCCTTAACGCAAGCCACCCGCCCGACCCGATGAAAGGGAAAGCTGGATCTGGCTCCTGCACGGAGGTAGCCGATAGATAGTTTTCCTTGCATGCCGTGCTGAAAATGAGGGCCCGCCGGTCTTCGCGGGTGTGTAGGGGGAAGGCAAGGCAGGGTGTATAGTATAGCTGTGTATAGAGGAATACCCTGGGGGTACGCTGTTGATGGACGATTCCCCCGTTCCCCGTTGCGGGGATGCTTGATATGTACTCGTATGTACAAGAAAGCCGATCGATGCCGTGATCCTGAATAATCCCGTACCTGAGCTGACTGGACTTGCGACTCGAATATATATAATCCCCGTTTCCATCTCTTTTCTCTTTCCCCATCTCCCACGCGCACAACTATTATATCCCTACCTACTAGCATCACTCACCATGTGCTGCTAAATACCCCGCCCGACAAAGACTACACTACCCGTTAACACACACCCAACACGTCGTCCACAACCAGCGAGAGTTACCCCACCACCACCACCCAAGATGCTGCTTTCCCATTCCCCCAACCCACACACCGATCTCTATCGAGACCGCACCCCACTGCCCTCCACGAACAGTCCGCCCCCAGGCCAGACACTGCCCCTCCTACCCCTACCCCTCTACGACTGAGCGAGTCTCTGCCTGCCTTTCCGGCTACACCGTCTAGTTCTATCACTACTACTACTACAACGAGAGCTCTCAACGAGCACAACATTACTACGCGTTTTTCGCCTTCCACCTACACCACCAAACACATTAGCGATACCATCATGCGCTTCACTTCCGACGCCAGCCCCTCCCTCACCCCTCTCGGCTCCCGCCTCCTCCACATCTCGGAGCGCAAGCTCTCTACGCTCGACGGCATTGCCTACGACGAAGGTTTTGACCTTCGTAAGGGTATCCTCGTCCGCGAGGCCGTCCGCTCCGCCTGGCAGAGCGTCAGCGACGGTGAGGAGGTCGAGATGACCAACCGGTCTTCCCACAGTGCCATGGGGCTCGAGGTGTACGAAGAAGAAGAAGAGGGGGACTTGGAGCGGAGCGAGCAGAGGTGGTTTGAACAAATTGTCACGAGCCTGGACGAGGAAGAGGATGAGTTGGCTAGCGAGCACGAGCACGAGTGGGTCGAGAGCAACGTCACCATTCCCGAGGACCTCGAGTTCAACGTCGACGGCATGGAGGCTTTCACCTTTACTTCTCCCACTGCCCCATCTACGCCTGCTCTCGAGCCTGCACATTGCGCCTCGACTAGCTGCGTCGATGTGGTCGAGGTCGATGACGACGAGTCTGACATCTCGGACGAGGACATGATTGCCCTCACCCAGTCTACCCACTGGTCTCTTCCCACCACCACCCACCTCAAGTACGCCACTTCTCCCCCTCTCTCTCCTCTTCCCGAGCCCTCCCCCCTCCAGATCCCTGCCGCTCTCTACCCAGGCATCGACAACTACTTTACAGGCTTTGAAGAGGATGTCGACGACTTTTCTGCCCTGCCTCCTCCCTTGCTCAGATCGATGTCGAGCTCGACCACGAGTAGCGAAGGCGATGATACGGAGGTGTGTGGCACGCCGCCGATGAGAGCTGAAGAGTTGAGTCGGGAGGACGAGGATGAGGAGGAGATTGATCGGAAGGAGCAGGAGGCGTTGTATGGGATGGGGTTGAAGATGGGTGGTACGGATCCTGCTTTTGTGTTCTTAGTTCAGCCTAGTCGATTATTTGGATAGCTTCCTTCTGTCGTGTCGTTCGTTGAGTTGTGTTCTGCTTTTGAATTCGTTGAAGAATAGTATTAACAAAAAACTTTACAAAAACCATGTTCGGAACTTTTATTAGATGTAGGTCTTTATGGATGTTTGTGATTGTGACCTGTACTCCCTGACCACTTGATCAACAAGCAGACAGAACAGCATGGGACGCAAAGAAGGTCTCCAAATGAAAGAGGTGATAGATTTCCCGCCCGTCTGCGTTTGAGTGTATAACCCCACAACGCGCGCAATGGGCAGCCCGAAACCCAAACCACTAAAAGTTGCGACTGACATCGGCCCCATCATCGTGCATCCAGCTCAACTTCTTCACAACCCGCATCCACAAACCATGTCTGCCGCCCAGGACTTCCAGATCACCGCCCCCCGTATGTCCACTGGTGCTCTTGAGATAATGTAGCTGACTGTCCTGGTAGAAATCTCCGAATCTCTTCGCAAGGAGCTCGAGACCAGTACGTCACTCTCACCGTCTTCCGTCTATCATTGGTCCGCAATTGACATAGATTACAGAGGAAGGAGCCAAGAATGTCCGCCTCAACCGATTCCAGGTCAAGGAGACTTTGGCGTACCTCGATGAGTTGAGGACCAAGGTCAAGGATATCGACAGCTTTTGGCTGATCGCCTTGGTTCGTCTTTATATCTCCACTCCCGTCCATTGGTCTCAAGATATTGGGGAAGGCCAGAAGCGAGATGAGAGCTGACAATCTGATGGATAGATGAGCCACGAAGCTGTCGCTGCCCACCTCACCGCCAAGGTGGACCAACACGCGCTCTCTTTCCTCCAGGATGTCGAGCTCAAGCAGGACGTCAACGATTTCCGACCCTTTGAGCTTGTCTTCGTAAGTTTCATGTCTCTCACCAATCCGCCGTATATTGACCATGAATGATAGCACTTTAAGGAGAACCCTTACTTTACCAACAAGTCTATTTCCAAGAAGTACTCTTTGGGTCCGGACACGAAGCCTGTCACTGGAGAGGACGTCTCTGAAGAGCTCACCGAGTTTGACGAAGACTCTCTTGTCGTCGAGGTATGTCCCTAACCACTCTCCTCTTACCTGAACTCAAGTTGAAGGGAGATTTAGCCAACGACAATCGACTGGAAGCCCAACCAGGACCTCACTGCCCAATTCCCCCGCAAAATGCAGGGCGAGGCTGCCGGTAACGGCGAGGCCGATGATCTGGAGGATGGATTCGAGGGCGATCCCGGAACTTTCTTCTGGTACTTTGTCGAGAAGATGGACATGTTCAACGTGCGTCCCCATTCTCTTTCTTTACTCCTTCTCGTAGAGTTACATGACCCAAGGGCAGGATCTGACACTGCCGCAGTTCGGTTTCATCCTCAAGGATGACATCCTTCCCGACGCTTTTGCCTACTTTGATGGTCGAGGCGCCGCAAACGCTTCCGACATGATCGACAGCGAGGACGAAGACGATGAAGAGGATGACGAAGACGATGACGAAATTGATCTGGAGAATGAAAAGCCCAAGAAGAAGAGAAAGGTGTGTCGAGATGGTTGCTGTTAAGCCTCCGTCTTGAGAGGGGTGCTGAGTGATCCTCTGCAGCTTTGATACAGTGCTGTGGATGAAGATATGATGGCGACGGGGATAAGCATTCTCATAGTTCTTTCTTGGGTTGAAAAAAGGCATGGTGCTGTAGGGTGAAAAGGTGTAAAAGTGTGTATAGTCAATCGCGAACAAATGCATGTCCATGAATAGCGCACAAGTGGTTGTCAGTGGCAATCATGTTGATAGTGCCATGGTGGCTGACTGGAAGACTGGTACCGTAGAGTTAGGGAAGGTTAGCAAGATAATTTGACGGACGAGCAAAGATCCAAAAGGTTGAAAATGCATATGCGACTACTTCTAACGAGCGTTCATGTTGGATCTAAACGCAAGGTCAGCCAATTCCATACCCCAGACTTTCAGCGTACCTGTTCAAGTAACCACTCTTGTGGACATCCTCCAGCCACTTGAATACATCGCTGGTCCCTTCAAGCACCGCCAACACTTCCCTGGCGATTCTCTGGTCTCGGCTGACTCCACTCTTCCTTCCCTTTTCGGCCGCCTTCAAGATCCACGAGATACCCTGCCTTGAACGCTGGCGTTCAGTAAGAGCTCGAGGGGTGAGGACAGTCTTTGCAGACTTGCGCATGGAGAGGATTTTGACGGAGGGTGAGGCGAGGAGGATGGATTGGCGGAGCAGGGGCTGGGGGGGTTGGGCAGTTGTTTGGTGCCTGTGTACCATTCGTCAGTACCACTCAGCGTGTTAATATAGACAGACATACAACAGCTGCAAGACACTCTGCACCATCTTTTGCGCCTCCGTCTTCTTCCCGTGCTTCATCAAGCAATTTGTAAACAGATCCAAGCTCGGGTCTTCAGAAGGAGGGACCGCATCGGGTGAGTATCCCCTTGCGGTCTCTTTAGAGATTACAGCAGGAGTAGCGGGCGCAGAAGCGAAAGATGATGAAGGCGTAGCGAGGAGCTGGGACATGTCGCTGAAAGCCGAGGGCGCCGAGGGAGCGGAGGGGGCAGCAGCCGAGGCCGCAGAGGGTGTCTGTGAGAGACGAGAGGAGGTGGCAAATCTTCTGAGGGCTGTTCTGAGGGACATGGCAGGGGCAAGAGATGTATAGGCAAGATGGAAAAGTCGCGCGAAAGAAAGAGTTGAATGGTGGAAATTGATTACGTAAATCCAAAAAAGTTGCAAGAAAGACGGTCATCCGGTTGTCCACTCTTCTCTTTCATCCAAAAAATAAATTATCACGACCATGGGCAAGCGAACGTCAGAAGCAGCCGACCTCCCCCAGGCCAAGTCTGCCGCCACCGGGCAGCAGACAGCCAGGAAGGCAGAGACCGTCGAGGAGGGCATGGGCGAGTTCGAGGACAGATGGGAAGACGAGATTGAAAGCGAGGAGGAAGTCATTGACGCCGAGGCTGAAGACAATGGTGAGTCTGAGAGGCTATATGGTTATCCAATACTAAGCGTGATATAGAGGAGTTCACTCCCGCTCAGGAAGACACTGAGCCTGCGCCTGCTCCCCTCCAGACATACCTCCCGGGCACTGCTATGGCGGAGAACGAGCAGCTTGTTGCCGACAACTCTGTCTATCCCTGTCTCCATTCCCTCTCCTACTCTTGGCCCTGTCTCTCCTTCGACGTCCTGCGCGACAACCTTGGTTCCGAAAGAGCTACTTTCCCCCACACAGCTTACATTGTCACCGGAACCCAGGCTGGCGAAGTTCCTGGGCAAGGAGGCAAGGCCAAGGACGAGGTTGTCATTATGCGCCTCGGCAATCTGGCCAAGACTCAGCACGACGACGACGAGGATGATGATGAAGAGGAGGAAGACGACGATGCGAACGACGAGGAGGCCACTTTGGATTTCCTTACCATCCCTCACGTCGGCAGCGTGAATCGTATCCGTGCCGCCCCTCCCCCTTCCAACTCTACGCCCACCGACCCGTACCACGTCGCCACCTTCTCCGAGACTGGTAAAGTCCACATCTTTGACGTCCGCCCCTACCTCGACTCTCTTTCCGGCCCTTCGAAACCCAAGCAGAAGCTGCCGGTGCACACCATCACCAACCACGGCAGGAGCGAGGGTTTCGCTGTGGAATGGGGACAGACCGGTCTGTTGACTGGTGACATTGACCGCAAGATCTTCCTCACGACCCTCACCCCTACCGGCTTCACCACTTCCCCCCAACCCTACCTGTCCCACACCTCGTCTGTTGAAGATCTGCAATGGTCTCCCTCAGAACCTACCGTCTTTGCGTCTGCTTCTGCGGACCGGTCAGTAAGGGTCTGGGATGTTCGAGCCAAGGGCAGGAAGAGTGTGGTCAGTGTAGACAATGCGCACCCCGATGATGTGAATGTTATCAGTTGGAATAAGGGTGTCGACTACTTGATGGTGTCTGGTGGTGACGAGGGTGGCTTGAAGGTCTGGGATTTGAGAATGTTTAGCAAGTACGTGATTCTGCCTCTTCCATTTTGACTGTCCTGACGTGCCATAGCGCTCCTACCCCCGTCGCCTCATTTAACTGGCACACCGCCCCCATAACCTCCGTCGAATGGCACCCCACCGACACTTCCGTCTTTGCCGCCTCTGGTTCCGACGACCAGCTCACGCTTTGGGACTTGTCTGTCGAGCCTGATGAGGATGAAGCTCCTATTGTGCAGCCTGCTGTGGGTGGTGGTGAGGGCTTGACGACGGTACCGCCGCAGTTGCTGTTTGTGCACCAAGGGCAGAAGGATGTCAAGGAGGTACACTGGCATCCTCAGATCCCGGGGATGGTCATCAGCACGGCGTCGGATTCTTTCAACGTCTTCAAGACAATCTCTTGTTAGAGTGGGGATAATCTTGTTTGTATAGAATGCAACGATAATAGCCACGACACGCTTTGCATATATGTGACACGTTGACTGCTCATTCTCCCATCCAATCATTTGGTTTCGTTGCTCATCATATACAGTGAGTATTCTCACAATCCGTTATAGTCATGTTACCCAACTCAACAAAGACTGCCCTCAGGGCTCACATTGTACCCCTTATTGAGTCAGAAGCGGCACCAGTTTACCATTCTCCAACCTCCACCCCTCCCCTGCGATATACTCCACCACACTCTCTCCCAAAGCCTTCTTCGCCCCATCTCGAATCCACAAACTCCTCCACGCACAAGTCGCCTGCGCGAAATTCACCCCCTCCAGCGCCTTTTGAATGCCGAGGACGTACTGCGGGCGGAGGGGAATAGAGTTGGGAATGGACCAGAGGAAGGAAAAGTGAGTTTGGGCAGGACGGATCATGAGCGTGTCAGAGACAAATATGATGCCAGAGACGGGCGTGGGGGTGGTGGGCAGGTTGTCGGCGGGAGGAGATGGCTCGAGGAGGCGATCCCAGTGAAGTACGCAGGATCCGGGGAAGTGACTTACTCTATTCAGCTTGTTTCTATAGGTCAGGTGGAAGCTCACCCTCCACACTGGACAAGCTTGACGCCTGGTCCAAGCACTTCTTCGCCCAACCACGACCTCACATCATCACAATCTTCCAAGTCTTCTGCTCTCGCGAACCATGTCTGATCGGATGCACAAATGTAGAGAGGTATCTTGAGTGCTCTTGCCCAGGTCAGAGAAGTAGCAAAGAACTTGGAGAGTATCAGCCAAGTCAGATGACACGCTGGGTGGGAGTTACATGAGGATGTGATATCGCCATGGCTTTCAGAGGCTTCTCCAGCGCTGTCAGATGACCGATCAATCCCACCGACAAGAAGGCAGCACAGTCCCAGATGTAAGATCCTTCGGCAGTCTGTATCAAGAAGGCTATACGGCTATCAGCTTGTACTTGCTTGCACGGCAAGCAATCAAGACATACGTGTCTGGTTGATGGCGAACCCAGGCTCGGTCATGATATGACTGATGCGAGCGTCTTCCTCGTCCGGCTGGAGGATGTGCTTCCTGCCAGAGCCCAGCTCTGCAAGGGAAGTCCACTCTTGACCTGTAACAGGGACATACTGCCGAGGGTCTTCACATATAGGGCCTATACATCACAGGTCTTTCAGCCCTCGACATGTCAGAGGTCATGAGAAAGGTCAACACACAGTCGGGGCGAGGCTTGGGATACTGGGTGCCACATGCCTTGCAGATGGGCAGCAGAGCGTCTTGCTGCAGCGTGTCGAGGGAATGGACGGGGACGGATGATGTGTCTGGGAGGGTTATGGCTGACATGGCCACTGGGACTTGGGACTTCGAATCACTACATAAGTGAAAAGTGAATGCCTCGCAAATGCCTCGAGAGTTCGAGACAGAAGGAGTTATTGGTGACGTCATACATCCCATAAGCTGACTCTCACCAGGCATTTGTATCTATGCACAAAGAATAATGCTACAGGAGCCAGGGTAAGGGGTACATCAGTACTGGTTGTCTAAGATTCATTTTATGGGACAAGCCAAAGAGACGAGAACATCCATAGCTTGTGTGAGCAAGAACGGTCAGTCGCCGACGTCTAGGGACGTCGCTTGCAGTCATGACGTTACTCCATGCGGGACCATGCCCCACATCTGCATAAATACTTTGCATGGCCATTTTGCCTCTCGTCTCCATCTTCACATCCATCTCTATCAAACAGCACTTTCATACCCCAATCAAATGACATCAAACACCAACTACACTAGTGTCGATGACAGCGCTGGATCTCAGGCTGCTTCAGGTATGTTGTTGTCTTTGCCGCCGGGCCTGCAACTGACAGAGAATAGGCCTCGGTGACAAGATCAAGGGCTCTTGGAACGGTGGGTTCATTCTGATTGTCTCCTCGTCTGGTGCTGACCCATGATAGTCTTCCATGGTACGCTACGACACCACAAATATCTATCTACCGACTGACACACCCCCTCAGGCGCTGGCGAGGGCATCCGTGGCAACGTCAACTCTTTCCTCGACAATGCCGGCGAGCAGCTCCAGGGAAACGATGCTGCTGCCGCGGCCCAACAATCTAGCCACAGGGGCGAGCGCCCCGCAGGCGTTGCCTCCAAAGGTGCGGACGAGATCCAAAAGGGCGTTGAACAGATCCGAAGGTGATTCAAGAGCATAAAGAGACTGCCGAGGGGACCGAGCGGCAAGACAATACCAAGGAAAGACAAAAGACCGAGGCGAGAGATCTTGTGAATAGTATTCAGTGGTCGTAGCAAATGTATTTGTACGATATCTTGGGATAGTGATTGTTTTCATTTTGATTTTGTGAGCAAGTCTAGTACATCCGCCAACTTGCGACACCATCTTTCTCTCTGCTTCCTCACTTCTATTGCTAAGCTTAGATAGCCTTGGACTTGGCGATCTCTGCAGGAAATGGTCAGCTCGCCCCTCACCCAGATATGCAATCGACGTACGCTCGACCTGAGACAAAGCCTCCTCCAAAAGCTGCTTCTTGAAGGCGGGCTTGGCAAGCTCAGACTCGACGTTGGCCTGGATAGACTTGACGAGCGCGACCTGCTCAGCCTCCCTCTGCTGCTGCTCGTACCTCACCCAAGAGTCGAGGACAGACTTGAGCTCGGCCTTGACAGCGTTCTCCTGCGCGAGCACAAAGTTGGCGTGCTCGAGGACGTTGGTCTCCTTGGCGACGGCGTAGAGGGACTCGGTAAGGGGGACGACGTCCTTGAGTTGCTGGACAGACTCGATTCGGTCAGAGACGGCACGGGTGTGCTCCTCACGGGCACCGTTGAGGATAGACTTGGTCTTCTCGATCTGGCCCTTGGCCCACTCGGCGTAGGGGGAGGCGACAGACTTGCCGATGACACCAGCGATGATGAGGAAACCGACAGCGAGGACGGTCTCTTCGTTGGCGACCTGCAGACAGGGTCAGCGCGTGCTCCAATGTCACCATCCTTCAGTTCTTCGCTATTCCCCGTCGTCATTTCCCAATTCCTCCCATAGTTCCATCCACCCCATCCATCCAGAAGCATTGTACTCACGTAGAGCTCAGAAGAGACGGCAGCGGCGGTCAAACCGGTACCGAGCAAGACACCACCAGTCTTTGTGAAAAGAGAAGAGCTGGGGACGGCGTTGATGATCTCGGACGCCTTCTCGTCGGGGGTGGGCTCTAGACACTCTCATCAGCACCCCATCCATTTTCATTCTCTCATGTTGATGCTTGAAACATACGGGTAGCGAGGAATCGCGCGCTAAGAGCAAATCGTTAGTATACGTGTCCCGGCTTTTCGTGCACGTATTCCACTCACCTCTGAGCGGCCATGGCTCTGGGAGCAACAGCAGGCCTGGCGAGAGCTACAGCACATGTTCATCAGCACCACCCCCATGCATAGCACCCCATCGGCCGAACCCCCCATCTTGCACGCTGTCGGTCATTTTCGGCGTTGGCTCCGTGGGCTCTCATGCTCCGTATTTCTTCTTTCGCAGGGGCGGTGGGCGGGGGGAGACTTACCACCGGACCTGAGGGTCTTGAGGGCGAATCGGGAGGCCATGGTGAGTGGTGAGTTGTTGTAGGGGAGGCTGGCGACATAGGGGATGCCTCAGATGCTCGGAAAGCGAGACTGGACTAACGCCGCCCTTTTCCGGGCGTGGCACCTCCATCTCCTCTTGCATTTCGCGTTCCACGTCCGGCCCCATATACATTTTTCAAACAAGCAGCAAACATGTCCGAGTCTGGATCAGAAGCAGGCGACCTCTTTGGCGGCTCCGACAACAGCCGCGAAAACTCCCCAGCTCGATCGACCACTGCCCCAGCGCAAGAACCCGTCCAGTCCGAGACTGAAGAGCAGGATGTCGGCGACTTGGTCAGTCTACGTCTTGTACCCTTTATACATGCTGATAGGCGTATTAGTTTGGTGACGATGACGAGGAGGAAGAAGCCCCAAGAAGGAGGCAAGCCAGCACCGGCACACCACGATCTGGTTCGCAAACACCCAACCCATTGGAATATGCGGAAGAGGACGAGGACGCTGGACCAGGAAAGCAGAATGTCGTTACTATCGCTGTCCCCCAATGGCCCCATCTTTCTGCTACGGATGGAAAGGTGCGTCTGATCCACGCGCCTGATTTCGGTGGCTGATGAGGAGGACAGATCTGGCAAATGAAGCTTCCCGCCTACATCAACCTCGACTCTCAGCCATTCGACTCGGATTACTATCGCGCCACGGCAGACGAGGCGCCGGATCCAACAGAGAAACCTATAGCAGCCAAGAGCCATATGATTGGAGTGAAGAATACCATCAGGTGGAAGTGGGTGACTGGGCCGGATGGAGAGCCTGTACGTCTTTACCCTCAATCGCCTGAGCACTGGCTGATGTGCGCATAGACGCGCCAAAGTAACGCGAGGATGCTCCGCTGGTCTGATGGATCCGTCTCCCTTCAACTAGGCGATGACCTGTACGACCTCGCCGCTTCCCATGGCACCACCCTCTCCCGACCTTCCGACCCCATTCCCCCAACAAAGAAGCGCGAAGCCCTCCCTCCCGCCCAAAACACCTCTACCACTTTCCTCTGTGTCGGTGCTGCCGCCGAGCGGGTTCTCGTCACTGAAAAGCCCATTGCGGGACAGTTGAACTTGCTGCCCACGAGTATGCAGAGCAAGACCTATCTGGAGCTTGTCAAGCATGTTGGTGCCCAGCATACCAAGCATTCCAGGATGAAGATGCTGGAAGAGACGCAGGATGAGGATGCTTTGCAAGAGCTGCTCTTGAGAAGCGCTCCCAATAGAGAAGCTATCAAGGGGGCAAAGGCGACGACTAGCAAGCGTGCAACGGCGAGCAAGGGTGCCGGAGGAAAGGGAAAGAAGACCAGGAAGATTGGATATTCGGATACCGAGTCGGAAGCTGGCTACTCTGGAGACGACCGGCCCAAGCGTGGGGCTGAGCGAGACACGTTCGAATATGGGGATGATGATGGGTTCGTCGTCGATGACTCGGACTCGGACGGCGGGTATAGCTCAAAGAAGAAGGGCAAGGGAAAGGCCAAGAGTAAGGGGAAGAAGAGAAAGGGAGGATTCACGGATGACGACGAGGAGGATGAGATGGAGGAGGCCGAGAGAAGAATAGAAGCCAGGGAGAGAGAGAAGAAGCGGGCAAGAAAGGAGAAGGGTGGTGCGGCAAAGAAAAGCAGGGATTACATTGAGGATAGCGATGAGGAGGAAGGGGCAGAGGAGGATGGAGAGGGCGAGGAGGAAATGGATATGGATGTTGAGAGTGAAGAAGATTAGAGAACGATTTGTATGTGTATGTAATGCTTGAACATCAGGACATGCCCACCCCCCCGATGAAGGTCACTCGATTGCAAACAACGCATAACACTGCACATTGTAACAGAAGAAGGGACTCGCATGATGCATTACCATCCATTCGAACAGGCCTTCTCACTCCATGCCATTCACGCTGGGCGACTCTCTTCGACTTTGCGCGCACCAGTGCCAAGACGACAGGACTAGAACTCACAATGTAGCACGCTACAACGATATCAACTCCACCAACACAACGACGCGGTGACCCCCGCTATCTATTCTTATCTCTCGGCCGAAAAGCGTCGGATGCGAACAGTAACGAGATGGTATTTTCCATTTGCCGCTTCTTATGACCACAAGCACGCAGATTGGTGGAGAGCGCGTAGTTAGGGTGTGCGCTCTTGACAAGCTTCCCCGGGTCATCTAGCTTATGTACATCCAATGACCATACCTAAGCTGCGCAAGAGTACATACGCCGCAAATATCCGAGCACGTCAAGGCGTTGACGTGAAATGCGGGAAGCTGAATAAGTCGGCATGTCTGTCCTGCATCTTTACAATCTGATCTAAATTCTACATTGCTCGTCACTTTGACTTTCACCCAGCCAGTCATGTCCCCAAGGACGATATCCAAGGAACCCGAACGCACACCAACACAAGTGGATCCAGAAGCGCAATCGCCGGAGCGAGAAGGATATTATGATGGCCCAGAGGGTCTGGAGAGGATGATATCCGTGGCTTCAGCCGGAGCTGCAGGGGCCGTGCAGATGCCCGACGAAGAACGGCCTGAAAGCGGCTTCCCCGGCCTGCGGCCTGCCCAAACAAATTTGACCACAACGTCCAACAAGCCGTATAGCGCCTTCTCCAACGGGCAGAAGTGGTTTATCGTTATCTTTAGTGCCTTGGGCGCCATCTTTTCGTATGTCGAGCCACGCCGGGTTCAGTGGGTCCAGTGTCTGACGCTCAATAGGCCAATATCGACCATCATCTATGCTCCTGCTATCCCTACTCTAGTGGAAGCATTCCATACGACCACCGAGAAGATCAATTTAACGGTCACAGTATACCTCATCTTTCAGGCGCTGACTCCTTCAATATGGGGGTCAGCTGGAGATTCATATGGCCGACGGTGAGCCACATTTTGTGGTCACCTCTGAGCCAGCTAACGATTTCGTAGCCCGATCTTCATCATATGTCTTCTCGTCTACCTCCTGGGATGTGTCGGAAGCGCGCTGTGTCCCACCAATGCCTACTGGCTGCTCATGCTTATGCGCATCGTTCAATCGTCGGGCGGATCTCCTGTCATCGCTATCGGAGCTGGAATCATCGCAGACATTGCTCCACCTCAAGAGAGAGGGAGATATCTGGGAATCTACAATCTGACGTCTACAATGGGCCCCACTTGTGCGTATATTTTGGCCCGAATGAAAGCAATCTGACACTCCTCAAGTGGGCCCTTTGATAGGTGGTTTATTGTCTTACGGCCTAGGATGGCGGTCAATCTTTTGGTTCTTGGTCATATTCTGCGGTGCAGTGACGGTGCCGATGATCTTGTGAGTCTTCTTCGGCTACCCTGCCATCCATCTTGAGCTGACCGACTTCTAGCTTCTTCCCAGAGACCCTTCGATCACTTGTCGGAGACGGCTCAATACCACCTCCCTTGGCCAATTGCACCGTTCCTATATATCTGCACAGAAGGAAGGAGAAGAAGATGTTGGAGGAGCGAGGAGAGCAGTTGCCAGTCTCCACCACCCATAGGGCAAAGGTGAGTCGCGAGATGAATATCGCAAAAGTTTGGAGCTGACTTGGGCAATGCAGTTCCAGCCTTGGTCATCCTTCACACTCTTGTTGGAGCCTGAGATTGCCCTCATGTTCTTGTCATCATCCTTGTACTACGCCCTGTGGTATGCTCTTCTGTAAGCGCGTTTGTATAGTATTGGAGAAGACTCTTCTAACCTGTCACGTATCAGAACCATCTTCTCGTCGCTGCTGAAGACAGAGTATGGCAAGAACGATGTCATCATCGGTCTTTGCTACATGTGAGAACTCCCCTTCCTCTCTCGAGACCTTGCTGACATCTTTAGCCCGAACGGAGCCGGATCGGCGATATCCGGCTACTTGTCAGGCCGCATCATGGATATCATGTATCAGAGAGAAAAAAAAAAAAAAAAAAGAGGACTTCCCATTTGAGCGTGTGCGCCTTTCCATCTTGCCTTTCCAGCTGACGTGAGTCTACTGCCCGCCTCGAGATGGCTATGCTAACCTCAGTGCAGCATACTGGTGGCTTCTATCCTGGGCGTGGCGTGGAGTATGGAAGTGCATGCTCCTATGGCTGTGCCGGTCGTACTCAACTTTTTTGTCGGGGTTGGGACAGGCTTCCTTACCACCAGTACGTCATTCTCCTGAACAAAGACACTGCGGCTCGCTGACAAAATCACAGCCACTATCTACGGGATAGATAGTGTACCAGGAAAGGGTGGAGCTGTCACAGCATCAGTACGCAATCCGTCGGTTCGGAACGCACTCATACTGACTCAAGACGTAGTTCAACCTCGTTCGATGTGCCTTTGGTGCCGTGACGGTATCCACTGTCCAACTGATCTGCGACCGCATAGGTGTTGGATGGTGCTTCGTCCTCCTTTCAGCTATATGTGTAGCTTCGTCTCCGCTTTTGCTTCTGATCGTCAAGTATGGTCCGATATGGAGGGCTCGAAGGAAGGCAAAGGACAAAGCCAAAGAGGCGGAGAAGAAGGCCCAGGGGGCATCCTATTCCCCTCGAGGATAAGAAATTGAGGAGGGTCTGAAACTGGAGAGAAGGCCGTCCTTTGTCGAAGACTGGTATACAGTCTTTAGCACTTCAACACCTGGTAATGTGGGAGTCTGAAGATTCCTAAGCACTAACCCAAACACTTGCTACGGCCAATGATGCAGTTAAAGAGTGACAAAGAAAGAGAAGAAGCTATTGACGCGCAGAATAACGTGTGTATTGATTTTAATGACGAATCCCGCATAACGCCGACTGTGGCTGATTCTGACACTCCCCTACAATCAATACCGCAGAAAACTAGTCTCAGATAAGGCTTAAAGAAAGAAACAATCAGGAATTTTATGTGAAAAATGCTCCCCTCACTCAGCTCTCCCGTCTCCCCTTTTCTCTAACCCCAACAACTTGACTGCCCGTTCAAACGGCTCTCGAGGAATGACCTTGGTGAGAGCATCGGCCAAGTTTTGCGCTGAGGGCACATGAGATAGCTCCACTTCCCCTTCTGCCACCTTTTCTCGGAGGAAACCAAGCCTGATTCCCCAGTGTTTAGTCTTCTCATTATGACTGGGATTTTTGGCTACGGCAATAGCCCCCATGTTGTCATTCAAGATCGGCATTGGCGAGTCTGGATGAGTGGGCATCAGCTCCTTGAGCAGTGCCTTGAGCCAGGTGGCTTGTGTGGTTGTGTCTGTGGATGCCATCCACTCTGCATGCATTGTTGACAGTGCCACCGTTGTCTGCCTTCTGCTTCTCCATGCTACTGTCCCCCCGTACGCCTTGAACACGTAGCCGGTTGTTGACCTCCTTGTGTCGAGATCTCCCCCCCAGTCGGCGTCCGCATATCCCAGAGCGGTGCGCTGACCGGCAGCCTGGTCAAAGTGTAGACAAAGGTCAAGAGTACCTCTGATATAGTGCAAGACATGTTTGGCGGCTTGCCAGTGACTGAGATTCCACTTGCTGAGGTGGCGAGACAAGACACCCACAGCAAAGGCAAGATCAGGGCAAGAGATGGTTGAAGCTAAAGGATGGCACCAACAACGGTGGGGTATGGATAGTGAGAGGCCTTAGCAAACTCTTCGTCACTGGCAGGCATCGAACGGAAGGTGGTTGGAAGTGGGGTGGAGGCAGGGTTACGTACAGTGGAGCATACCATGTTGGTCAAGGAGATTCGAGAGGTAATGCTGTTGGGAGATGAAAAGTTTGTGGTTCTGACGTTCCCGAAACATGTTGAACCCAAGGAAGTAGTTAACGGGGCCGGAGTCAGAGCAGGCAAAGGCATGATTGAGTTTTGACTTGAAATCATCAAGTGCCGGGCGGCTGTTGCACACTATGAGCTGGTCGTCCACGTGGACAGACAGCATGAGGAACTTGTCGCTGCGTCGGCGGTAGTAGAGACAGGGATCACCAAGAGTAGGTTGCAGACCCTGGCTTTTGAGCCACTTGTCAAAGGCTTGATTGAAGCAGCGGGGAGCCTGCTTGAGGCCGTAGAGAGATTTCCGCAGGCAAAGTACGTTGCCATTGGGGACGGAACTGTGTTCAGGTGGTTCGAGGTAGATGATTTCATCGAGGTCCCCATTGAGGAAAGCGGATTTGATGTCAACCTGATCACACTCGAGATCGAGGTAGTTGGTCAGACTCAAGAACACGCGGATGGAGTCCTTGTGCGCGACCACCGCAAACAGCTCGCCATAATCCACGCCTTCCCATTGGTTGTACCCCTTAGCAACCCACCTTGCCTTGTAGCCAGCCACCTTGCCTGTCTCTCCATCCAGTTTCCGGCCGTATACCCATCTGGCCCCCATTACTCTCATCGACTTCTCCCGCGGCACCACCTCCCATACCTTGTACTCCTCCAACTTGTCCAATTCCGCCTCCATTGCTTTGATCCAGGATGCCCGGTCCTCCGATCACAGTGCCTTCCGATAGGTCTGGGGGGCAGTCTCCGTCGTTGCCGCCAGGGCTAATATTTCTTCCTCATTGTCCACTTGAGCATCCTCAACCAACACAACTAGACCAAAGGCATGCCCAGTACGTGTAGTTTTGGCAGGTATGGGGGCAGCGAGTTCATCAACACTGGGAGGGGGTGCGTCCTGAGTATAAGTCCACCCCTTGAC